GCCCCCCCCCCCCCCCCCCCCCCCCCCCCCCCCCCCCCCCCCCCCCCCCCCGCCCCCCCCGCGCGGCCCCTGTCCGGGGCCACATCGAGGCGTTTTTTTACTGCACGAGTGTATCCCTTTGGTTTGCAAGATACCGACGGGTGTTGTACTGATGGTCTTCACCGTCCTACCTCCTACCGAGGGTAGGTAGCTATCTGTGTGTGCGATTCTAGTATGATATTGATTCGATGAGATACCATGGCTCGGAACGATGAAACCGAAGTTCTGAAGATGAAATATCGCAATGGCTCCCTCCGATCTCACCATAACGCAGCAGTCAAGAGAGTCTAGACATCCCAAGTATTAGTAGATGTCCCCCCCGGCATCGTCGCCACCCAGCGATCTCGCCGACCGCTCCACAGACCCCAACCACGAACCATCCTTGCCATCCAGCAGTGTACGCATCACCCTATTCACGCGTGTGTATCGGCCAATTCGATTTCCGGGTCCGAAGTGCATACTTCCCGCTCGTCCTCCATTGCGACGCCGTCCGCACTGCTATCTGCCTTACCGACTCCCTCTACAAGCGTCGATGCGGCGTCATCCACGGGGCCCCATTGCGGGCCGCCCGCTTCGGGAGACGGATCATCCTCCCTGAGGTGGACACGGGGCCTTCTGGCGATGGCGCCCGCCTAGTCGGCACCGTTCTCTCCCGGGGTCGTGGTAAGGGGTGTCTGTTCCTCTTCGGTCTTGGTTTCGTGGGCGGCTGGGGTTTCTGCCGGGGAAGGGACTTCTGCCTGGATCTCTGGCGTCTCGGGATCGGGATCGGGAGGCATGAATCCCTCGGGGACACATCCGACTGGTTTCCCCCCTGCCTGTGACTTTGTTAGCACACTTCTAGATTCCTTGTTATAAGAATGGGGTTGGTCCCCGAATTCCAGTGCCCCTTTGTTGGCTCACTTACCGGTGGGCTATAGGAGAAATGCCCCTTGTCTGCCGTTCTGGCTTTAATCAGGCGCTCATCCCACTCGATTCCGGTCTTCTTCCGGAAGAAACTCTTGAACCTGTCGAACTCGGTGCTGAATGATTGTGGCGTTTGACTCGGTCGGAAGAAGTTTGGCTGGGGATCTCGATGCTTCTTGTATAATTTGGCGGCAAACAGGTACAAGTGAGGCCTTGCGTTGGACTCGAAGAGCTTGTCATCTCGTCAGCTGCCTGTGTTATGCAATAGGGGGCGTCGAATTCCACTCCAAACTTGTTGGGGGAACTGTAGGTAAGTAAGAACGTCAACCTACATAGAGCGTATATCGTTGCCCCTTGATCTCTTCTTCTGCATCGTCCCTAGTTAAAGTGATTTCGTAGCGGAAATATGTTGCGTCGGTGTAAGTGTGGTACAGGTCTTTGCCCATAGCGTCAGGGGCTCATCTTCAACATCCAATATCTGTGTGGGTAGGGACTTACTCGAGTTGACAAATCTCTCGGCCTGCTCTAGGCCTTTAGCTTCCTTTACTTCCCGGCGTATCTTGGCCCGTTCTTGCTTGAGAGCAGTGGTGAGCAGATATGGCTTCTCCTTGAGTCTCCGTTTCTTGTTAATCGAGTCTTCTAGCCAGTCGACGCTGACTATATGGCAAGCTGCACCACGCTTGAGCGCCTGCTTGACTAGGGCACGTGGTCAGCACTGGGCCAAACATAGTTTGCCTTCTATAGGGTATCCTCAGTTCATAGTACCTACCTCGAGGGCCTCTCTTCTTGAACTCTTCGGGCGAACAGATCAGATGAGTGACCGAGTTGTTCATCTCCGTAATGAAAACGCCACTTCTCTGATTGACCCATCTTGAAATGTTCGTGTCAGTCCACTGGCCTCCCAGCTGACATGCCATGCTAACAACAAGATCTCGGAAGATCGGCTTTTCACTCGATTTTGGTGCCATTTTGACGCCCGTTGAGTATTCAGGAAAGGAAGGAGATGGTCACTCCACCAATCCCGTCAATGGCAAGTACGATGGTAATAGATCGTCACTTCCAGGTTGATATAAGACCAAAAGTGCGAAATGAGTTTCACCAGAGAGTAGCAATGAGAACTCGAGCGTGCAACTAGAAGATGCGATGGGGAAGGATTAATACGAAAGCGGCTGGTCTAGGACAGGCGAGTCGGGTTATGGATGTATTATCCAAGCCTCTTGAACAGCGACTGCTACCAATCTTCGACCGAGGTATAGATTGTAGCGATCATTGTAAAAGGCCGAGACTGATGATAAAACTAGATCATGTCAAGCTCGGCCGTTAAGCTAGATCGCGTACTTTATCAGCCCAAGGCAAGTGACTGACTGACTACCTTACAGCCTTCGCAGCTTCCACAAACGCCCGGATCTTTTCCAGACTCTGCTTGCCCCCCTCTTCTACTCCGCTGCTGACGTCGACGCCGACAATTCTTACCGAGACGGAACCCAAGCTTTTCACCAATTCCGCAACATTGTCCGGATTCAAGCCCCCAGCTAACAAGACTTGCAAGCCCTCATCCTGCTCCAGAGTCGCTGCTACAGATGACTCATCTAGGAGCTTCCCTGACCCAGAGCCGGAATCTAGAAGGGGCAGAGCGTGGTACCCGCGGAGCCCGAGCCCGGGCTGGCCGGGCTTGAATTTCCGAATAACCGGGACCGGAATGAGGCTCGCCCATTCGATCGGTTCGTCGCCGTGTAATTGGACGACATCGAGTTCGTAAATCCTCTGCTTCTCTAGGATCTCTTCCAGGGGCTGGTTCTGGAAGACGCCGACAAGAAGTGGCCGCCGGCTTGCCACGGCCCGCGCGGAGAAGGCGAAGAAATCGGTGGCAACCCCCGACGACTTGGAGGCCTCGGTAGCCGTAGCTTGAGTGCTATTGCCGTGTACGGCTTTTGATATTGCCAGTGCCGTCTCGTGTGGTGGGGTGCGCTTCGCCCCCGGGACAAGTATCATCCCGATTAGATCCGCACCAGCCTTGGTGGCTTCGACTGCCGCCTCCGCGCTTCGCGTCCCGCAGATCTTCACAAGCAAAGACCTAGGGGTGGCGAGAGGGACGGGGCCAGTGAGCCCCGAACACAGTTGCCGAATGAACTGCGAGGCATCTGGTGCTCTCATGATGGCCTCACCAACGAGAATGCCGTTGACGCCGTCCTTCTTGGAATCCAGGACATCCTGGTGGTTGTTGATCCCGCTGAGGGCGCAGAGGAACGTCTCTGGCGGAACCATACTCCTCAGCCGGCCGGTGGTGCCAAGATCGACCTCGAAGCTCTCCAGGTTGCGGTTATTGACTCCAATGACCTTGGCCCCCAGCTTCACTGCTGTCGTCATCTCCTCGGCGTTTTGCACCTCAACCAGAGGCTCCATGCCTAGTGATACTGAGTACTTGTAGAGCCGCTCTAGGAGGTCTGTGTCGAGCATCTTGACGATCAGGAGAACCGTATCAGCGCCAGCCAACCTCGCCTCAAGAATCTGGTATTCTTCAAAGATGAACTCTTTCCGGAGAATCGCGGGGCGGTTCGGCATCCCGCCGAGAACTTGTCGCACCGCCCTCAGGTCCTCGATGCTGCCCTTGAACCATTCGGGTTCAGTGAGGACCGAGATGACGCTGGCTCCAGCAAGGGCATACTTGCGAGCCTGAGAGGGAGCATCAATATCAAGGGCAAATACTCCTTTGGACGGGGACGCCCTCTTGATCTCCGCCAATAGTGCGACGTCGAAGGGGGACTGCCGCAGCCGATCGACAAGCGATATCTGAGGCGGTGCTGCGTTGAGTCTGTAAGCTGCCTCCAAATCGGCTTGTCTCTGGGCGGGAATGAGCTTCTGTGCGGCCACAGCAGCCTTCCGATGAGCATATATCTGTTGGAGGATATTGCTCTTTGCCCCATCACCAGCCTTTGCCGCCGCGATGGCATCATTTCGGGAGGCAGTCGATTGGAGTAGCCGATCATTCTCGGCCCAAGTCCCCCCTTGCAACCGAAGGAAGTTCTTGAGCATCACTCGGCCTTCGGCAGTCAAGATGCTCTCTGGGTGAAACTGTACACTCTCAACTGTGTATTCCTTGTGGCGTACGCCCATGATAACACCCTTGGAGCCGTCGTCCTTGGTAATCCAGGAGGTAATCTCAAGACACTCGGGGAGAGTGACGTGAGTGCCCGCCAATGAATGGTAACGGGTTACTGGGAGGTCCTGGGGGAGACCAGCATAGACGCCCTTGGAGTCATGGCTCAGGGGCGAAGTCTTGCCGTGGAGGATCTCTCCGGCATAGCTGACATCGCCGCCATATACGTCGAAGATGCATTGTCTGTTGAACCGTCAGTCACAAAGGACGCAATGGCGCCGGCGAAGCAAACATACTGGCCCATGCAAACCCCCATGATAGGGACCTTCCCTGCGAAGTGCCTGATGACATCCCGACTGATTCCGGAATCGCTGGTGGGGTGACCGGGTCCCGGGCTGATGATCACTTGGGTCGGCTTTTTGGCAATGAGCTCCTCCACGGTGATCTTGTCATTTCTGAAAACAGTGACTTTGGCGCCTTCGAGGATGAGATACTGGTAAACGTTCCAGGTGAAGGAGTCATAGTTGTCAATGAGAATGAGATTGGAAGCAGTGGCGACTGTCGGAGCCGGCTCAGGATGATGGGGTGAGTAATCGACAACGTCTTCTGAAGACATGCTGGATGTCTTTGTGCAGCCCGGGCTGTTCTTCAAGGTGTCTTGGTGTCTTCAGGGAAAATGGCCACTGAGGAAGGGAGTCATGAGAGGATATGCACAATAGTATTTCTCATCGCCTATTGACCAATAGGTTGTTAGGTCCCGCCTCTTCTGGTAAGCATGGGAACTTAGCCTCCGAACCCGTTCCTGGGAAGCAGAGTTGGCAGACTAAATTGCCCCACATCATCCTTGTTCAGATCCCTCCCCTTTGTTTCTTGTGGCCTGCAAGGCTGCTTATCGGTTTAGAGCTTGGTGACTTCTGATAGGCCAGTCCTCGTTAGCCTGCTAGGAACCCAGAGCTCCTCCAAAAAAAAGCTCCCAAGGCTGGTAATGCGTTCCCAGCCGGGCGCGTTTAGCAACCACCCGACTCGATTAACACCACCTTCGATGACCGACATCATCGCCCACCGCTCATGCTCGCAAACCACACAGCACCGCTTCGGTTACCCGCTTCGGTTACTCGCTGATCGAAGGTAGCAATCATGACCGACCGAGCATACTTCCCTCCCTTGGAGCAATGTTTGACTGGCGAAAACGCCCTGCTGTACGGAAACCTCGTACTCCATCTGCTCTTTTCTCGCGTCCCCCGTATTCCTAACGCATCTTCTCAGGTCGTGGAAACATGTTGCTTGCGCGCTCTCCGTCGATTCACCAGACCGTCTGACTACTCCGGCCGTCTCCAATTTTCTGAAGGATCCATTTGTCCACGAATTAGTGAAGGATCCGTCCAAGGTTTTCGAGCAGCCGACCGCTCGATCCAAATCAGAGTTCGAGACCAAGACAGCCGCCATAAACGTCACGCCGACCCCGAACGACAAGTATGACATCAGCACGATCAAAGCCGATGCGCAATGGCTTAGCCAAAACGCAAAGGTCAACGAGTCCGCCGCCTTGCGGGTGGTGGTCATTGCTTTTCATTCTCGAGCCCATAGCCATCTGATGGGGCCTCTCTCCATCCAAGACTTTGTGAACTTGCAAGAAGCTGCCGGTGTGCGTAATGGACAGGCCTCGGCCATCCTGGGCTCTGTCGACACGTCGACCACCGTCGACGCCGAGACGATCTGGGCCGAGTTTGAGACGGTGGAGAGTCGGCGCCGACATCTTCTCGCGACCTACCTCTCGGAACGCCGCTCGTTCACTATAACTGCGGACTTCTTGATGACTTTCTTGTTGCACAGCCAACGGACAGTGGCTGGCTCGGAGTCCGACGCGCTACGCCGAGCTGTTTTGAAGGAAGCATTCGCCTTCGACGAAGAGACCGATGTCAACATAGCGACCTTTGAGGCTCTTATACCGAGATATTTTGGGCTTCTGGGGAAGTTTCTTGAAAACCCGCAGACTGTGTTGCCGTCATTCGACTCTCAGATCCTCACAGCGGACTTGGAAACGGACTGGATGCGGACCTCGTTAACCGAAGCCATTCATTCCATGAGCCTTGCCTTTCAGATCCTGGATCTTGCCGGTCAGAGATTTGCAAACCCCGACGTGGTATCACAATGGTTTCAACTCACGGCAAAGTACCGCTTCTTCGACCAGTTGCGATGTGTAAGAACCTCTCTCCTTACTTTTTTTTCTTTCTAATGCTCACTCCAAATAGCCCGACGAATCAGTCTCAGAATTGGTCCTGCCATTGCGTAGCATCGTCTGCGTAATCTCGTTGAGCCTCATCAACCTCGGCAAGTCGATTGCTTACCTCGACCAAGATGCAGACCTCGATGAAAACGAAGACCCGTATCTTGCGTCTCCTGAAGTCCTGGGCACGATTCATAACACGGTCTGCGGTGCAGCGGACGCGAACATAGCGACAGCCAGCCCGGTCATATTCGCATGGAGCCTGGTTCTCCAGAAGATGTACGTCGCGTACCAAGAAAGGGCCGAGAGACGAGATCTGGCCCAGAACCAGCGAGCTCAGGATGGCTTTGAGTTGGAGAACCACCCCTACCCCACTGGCCGAAGGAATTCTGCTGGAAGTATCGTGTCGATCGAGAAGTCACCCTACGATCTCTTCCTTGCCACCTCGTCGTTGGACCGAGATATACAACCCGTGGAGCAACTTGCCATGGCAGCGACTTCACGTGGTCTGGTCTACGATATGATCACCGACATGGCTCTGTGCATGGGAAACAACCAACAGGCGGCTTTCCGGCCAGTCGTCGGGTCCCGAGCGAGAATGGTCTTCTTGGGGCTGCTGAAAATAAGCTTTCCGGTCGTTGGTTACCTATCGGAACCGGTGACAGCTTTACTGCCTGTTCTTTCTGGAGGACAACAATATTGGGATCTTTCGAATGAGACAGCTCTGGCCCCGGAAAGGGAAGTAACTGCTCTAGCCTTGAGGGACCCTTTTCTTCTCGAGTCCTACGTTTCCCAGTCGCTCCATCGATACCCTTACGAGTTTCTCCCCTTCACCAACCTTTGCCGGATCCTTTCCTCGTCTCTGTGTTCAGATGACAGGACGGAACTCTTACTAGACTTCCTCCTCAAAACGCCGAGCTTGACATTTGAGTTCGACAACGAGTGGGACAATTACGAGCTTGCACATGAAGTCGATAACTCAAACACCATTCGCCTTCTCACGGATGAATGTTTATTCACGCCCTCATCTGCGAGGAGGCGACACTTGTCCAGCGAAGAGTCATTCCGCATCCCATCCGGCACATACGGCCGCTTCGTTACCGATGGCGGCAAGGTCGTCCTGCTGGAGTATGAGCATTCCACCCTCGCCCTCCTGGGCAAACGCCTCGAGGTTAATACCGCCACCGATGCGTACAGGCGCAAGCCACTCGGGTTCCTTGAGCCTGAAGAGACGGCAGAAGCGATAAATCTTCTGGCTACTCTCTTGAGGGTCACAGTCCTAAAGGCACCGGCTCCTGCCTCCGGGGCGGTATCAGAAGCCGGACTCAGACTCCTGAAGGAGGCAAGCAGGGCCCTCCCCCGTACAAAAGACATCATCACTGTCATCCATGACACCCTGGACAGCGTAATCCAGGATGAACTCACAGATTCCGAGGGTGCGGATATATCCGTCGTTTCCTCTTGCTTGCGCTTCCTTCATGCCCTCTTGCCTCTTGCGCCAGGCCGCGTCTGGTCGTACATGGCTCGCTGCGAGCTCCTGAACAGTGAATCGAGGGCGGGGCGCCTATCACGAATCACTGGAAACCTGGATATGCTCTCGGAAAGATATGACCTCCTCGTCTCTTCAACCCACCTCTTCTCGAGCCTGGTCAACAGCGTCATGACCAGTGCCGCTCAGCGCAAAATCGGAACCAGACCATCCAGCCGACAGGAAGTCGTCGACGATCCCTGGTTGGGCGTCTCGGATAAGATACTTGCACGAGTATGCCTCTCGATAGCCCAGACATCTGTTGATATCTACGAGAACTCGGCCACGTGGAGATTCTCTTCCGAAGTCCACCGCAGTGTCGTAGTGAGGGATGTAGTCGGGATAATGAACGACCTGATAACCTTCTCGTTTAGCACTGGCGCTCCAGACGGTTCGAAAGGCTTAACGGCTTCCCTAGTACCAGCTGCAAAATACGTTGTCGACAGTTTCCTGTCTCCCTCGGCCGGGACGTTGAGATTCCAACCCCTCCTAGCCAGCCTTTTGGTAGCCTTCCAGATCCCGGACACGACTTTTTACCCCCGACGAGAGCAGATCTTGACCGACCGGCTGCTTGCCGTCCTGAAGCTTGCGACCGCCTTGTTAAGGGTTGCAGATTATCTGGACCAATCGTCGTCGACAACACAGAAGCAGCTATTCAAGGTGGGCTCCTTGGTGGCTCGACTGTATGCCGTTCGCGATGCCTTCAGGTTGCCGTGCCTGACTTTGCTTGGAGCTCTGGTCGAGAGCGCCGGAAAAGGAAACAATGAGCCACCATCTCTGCTCGGCTACCTAGGACCCCAATTATCCCGGTCCTTCATACAGATCCTCTCGAAGCTGGATAGGCCGCTTGATCGACTGCCCACATCGGTCGGCATCTGGGAGTTCTTCTCCGCCATCATGCGGAATAGACAGCAATGGATGGCGAATTCTCTCCTTACCGGGAAAACACCGCGAGAAGCCTTGCAAGGGGACGGCAGAATATCCAAAATACACCCGGATTCGGTCCTCAATACCGCGCTGGAGAGGCTAGCCCACATATCTTCCATGCCGAGTAAGGAAGCTCTGGCAATTCTGGACTTCTTCAACTCGTCCCAGAACTATTGGCCATGGACGATCTTTGCGATGCAAAAGGACAACTCCTTCTTGGAGGTCCTCCGAAGCTATGTCCGTGGCCTCAAATCCGCGTCTGTGGTTTCCAAGTCAGATCCAGCGGAGGCTGCCTATCAGGCGCGGATAGCTTCCTACATTGCAGAGACGTTTGCAATGCAGCTGTACCACCTGCGCCAGATGGGGAGAGAGGAGAACTTTGCCAGAGATGTGGTCGACGATCTCGACTACTTCCTGCGCGATGGGGTGCAGGTCTCTGGATACAATACTTCGTTGCATGCGAACTTTTCGAAAAATTTCGCAAACCGGTATTCCGGGTGCTCGTTGGACGATTTCAAGACGACAGCACTAGCACCTCGGAGTCTGGGTCCGCAGTACTACTATGCTCTGGATTACGCCGACGCCATGCTGAAGTTTGATGCCGGCTGGATCGGCCCACGACGAAATGGGTTCAGGCACGAGATGGAGACGGCCAACTTGAACCTCTCTCTGGTCGATGCCCAAATAGTAGGTCTACCTGATCTCCTGATCTGCCGAGGGAACATGACGTTGAAGCTAACTGATGATAGGCGCTTTTCCATGCTTGGGAGTACCTGCTCCTAGAACTCAGTGTCTGCCTCCTGCCGAAGAACCAGAAGATCCCCAAGCAGATGCTCCAAGTCGCAGAGAAGTGCTTGGAGTCTAACCAGACGCCGCAACCGCCCGATAGCATATTCGTACGGATCACACAGTCGAGGGCCAACCTGGCCCTGACTCTCTTGCAGCGTCTTGCGGACTCGTCCTTGTTACCTAAGGATATTACCCAACTCCTCATGACCGTCTCGGCCGCCCTAAACGGCGTCGAAAACCCCTTTGGTCCGGAGCAAATGAACTACTTCCGAACACTCTTGAGGATTCTCTACGTCGTTCTACGGGGATCAGCCCACTCAGCAAAGTCGGATGCCACTACCACGGCGTCGTCGAGCGAGACTCCGGTGGCGCTCACCCAGCTAGTGCTTAACATCCTTGATCGAATGGTTGCCCAGGGCTTCCGGTCTCTCGTAACCTTGGTGCACGAGTGCGAGTCCCCAACCGGGCCCGAGGATATTGCGCTTATTACGGCGATTCTGCAGGCCTGTCTCAGCATACCCGGGACGGGTCAATGCCAGACGCAGATCCTCAACATCATGGCCTCTAACGACGTCCTGCACGTTGCCACCTCGCTCTTTTCCTGGGCCGACAAGCTTGCGGACAAGGGCGACCCGGTCTACGGCGAGCTGGCCCTGCTCTTTCTCCTCGAACTCTCCGCACTGCCCGTCGTGGCCGAGCAGCTAGCCTGCGATGGCCTCCTCAGCCACTTGACGTCGGCCAGCCTCGCAGGGTTCATGCGCCGATCGAACGTCTCGCCCTTCTCGGACAACGCGGGAGCGGCGCGGTGCTACGGCGTCTGGGCCAAGGGCGTGCTGCCTCTTCTCCTCAACATGCTCAGCGCCCTGGGCGCCACCGTCGCGCCCGAGGTCGCCTTCGTCCTCAACCAGTTCCCCAACCTCCTCCGGGCCAGCGTCGAGCGTTTCGAGGCCCCCGGCATAAGCAGGACGGCGACGCGGGACGCGCCGCAGTACGTGACGCTGCTGGCCGTGTCCGAGGTGCACTCGCTGGCCATGCTGACGCGGGTGCTGGCGGTGCTGCGGGCGAACAACAACCGCGACATCGCCGAGGTCGGGTGGGACGGCGGCCCGCTGCTGGAGAACGTCGACTTCTGGCTGACGAGCCGCAAGGTGCTCCGGGAGCGCCTGCTGCCGCTCGGGTCTAGGGAGGCCGACTGGCGGGCCACCAGGGCTGCTGAGGGGAGCGGGTGCGAGAACAGGCTGGAGGAGAGGGTGGTCGCACAGCTGATGTCGGTGAGGGACGTCCTCAGCGAAGACCTGGAGTAGAGGGGGATGTCGTTGTGGAGGAAGAATGGAAAATCAGATAAAAGGGGATAAAAGGGGAATGCCCACGTATTAGTGAGGGACCCCGGGTCTGTATGTATCATGAGCGACAGGGCTGTCAGGACTCGAGAGCGATGGAATTTGGGAGGCGCAGAGGCATTGCACGAGGACCACGAAGAGGCTATCAAACGACCCCCATTTGTGGACATGTCAAGATGCTACGCCTAGGACTATGTGCATTCTGATCATAGTCTGGCACAATAATTATTCGACTTCATGCCCGGATCTCCGTCTTGGAGTTGAAATTCCTGTTTGTTCTATGTGGTCATATCCGGCTTTATCTGTCCCACCATTGTGATGTCTATTTCCTCTGCAGCCTAACGTTGATGGACTCGAGTTCAACAACTCAGGCCACGCCCACAGAAAAACTTCCATAGTAAAGAAATAGTTGTACACAGGATTGAGGCTCCAAATCCCGGAGCCCAAATAGACTACACCACACATACACACACGGACCACGCCAACCTTATTTACGTCGTCGTATCTGGCTGCATATGAGATGTTTCTTTCACCGCATCCCCCCCCCCACTCCCTCCAATCCTTACAGACCGCACCAGAAACGGTGATATAATCATACAGATCCCAATCGACCCCCCCAGGACCATCCAGAAACACCCCCACCTCCTCTTCCTAACTCGCGATACGACATAGGTATGATTCGACGACGCGGCCAGGGGGAAGGCGATGGATGACTGGATTGGACCCGGTTGGGGGGGGGGACGCCTTTTACCGGGCCGGGAGACATTTCCTTTTCCCTACCGCGGCTGCTGCTGCTGGGCGCTCATGGCGGCGTTGTTCTCCTGGAAGCGCTCGGACATGCGGGCGGTGGCGGCCATGGACTTTTGCACGCACCGGGACAGGCAGCCCGTCTCGCGGCCCGAGAGGGCCTTGCTGGAGAAGTCGTCCACGCAGGGGGAGAAGCAGCCGTCGACGAGGCTGGAGAACATCTGCCGGGGGGGTTGTTGTTTAGCCTTTGTGGAGGGGGTGGGGGGGAGGGGGGGAGGATGAATTGGGTCCTCGTATAGGTAGCTAAGGGGGAAGGGGAGGGGGGGAATTCGTTGATTCTCCCTCTCTGCTGTTTTAAGGTTTGGGCGGTTGAGAAGTAAAATTCTAGGTAAATAGAAGGAACTTACGCCCATGAATTCCTTCACTTGGCGCTTCTGGAGGCGCGTCTCTAGCTCGCGGGTCTCGGATTGGGTGAGGCTGGCCGGATGCGATGGTCAGCTCTACCTGCCCGGCGAAGAGAGAGAGAGAGCTATCTCTTGTTCGACGAAGACTGTTTTGCTTACCCGTCCATCTTCCAAAGAGAATAGCGTGCGGCGTTCGGGCGAGGATGGGAATCTGTGAAGTGGGTTGCTGGAATGGAATCGCAGTCGAGCTCGCGCGAGGAGTGTATTATCGCGAACTGGTAGCTACGAGTTGCAGAAAAATCACAGATTAACGAGTCAAGGAGACGCCAAAAATGATGTAAAGACATTGGCATTGGACCAATCACATGCTAGACTCAGGCTGGACTGGGCAGGCTTGGTCACCTGAGACATCACGTGGACCCCTCTCCGAAAATGGCTAGGTTGGAGCTTCACCTCCATCACTTTTGGTAAAGCTTAAAACGCGGCCGCCCCGGCTGGACATCACGTATCCGGCCTTTTAGGATAGAGTTTGGATGTGCCTTAACTGTTCCTGGGCCGCCCAGGTGGTCAGCTGGCGGGTTTGTTTCCTGGGCTGTCTCACATAAAAACTTGTTTGAGTGCAGGGCGTGCTGACCCTGCATGCTCTCTCTCTCAGTGCTGCTAAAAATGGAAAAGGGCAAGACGTCATTCCCTACCAACAGTCGCGACCTGAGTGGCCGCTGTCAGATCAGAGATGCATGGTTCCACTGCAATGCCACGTTCGGCAAGATCCTTCCTGGGCCGGGTGACAAGAAGGCGGGAGCCAGTTCAGGTGAGGCCAACCTGGGAAGACAGACAGGGCCATCGAAACCGTGCGCTAGCCGTCGAGTGCTGCATCTGGAATCTCGAGAATACGAACACAACAGCGAAATCCGACGACTACCTGCCTGCCCGGCCTCCCTAGGTACTGTACCTTGCAATCAGCACCTTCGTCATCAATCAGGCGCCCGCAAACTTAGAATTTCTCTCCAAGTTCCATGCATCCTGCTTAATTCTGGGGGAAACGACCAGCGCTGTAGTTTGCCATGCATGCAGGACCGCACTTTTAACATGGATCATACCTGGTTAAGAAAGGCAGGCAATGTATGTACAAGCCAGATCTACAGATCCCTCACATCGCATCGCAAGCTTCGGTAGGGACCTGGCATGATTATCCAGGAACATCCAGGGATCTGGGCCAAACCGGGAAACGCTCACGACGAGCTGACCCAGCATTGGTATGAGATACCACCTACTTAGATACCAGGTACCTGCCTAGCTTTACGCTTCACGGGGTAGGAATAGGGTGCACGGACAGAGGAAGTCCATACTAAGTCGTAACACAATCGTCATCTGCAGCTTCTCCCATGCCTACTGGTCCTCAGCCGCCAGCTGCAATACCCCTCATCTAGCTGTGGCGAGGCTGCAGGTGCATTGCATTGGTTAGGTACTTCTCATCTGGGTATGGTTTGGTATGGGATTCGCCCAAGCAATTGTCCCGAATATTACCACCTCCAACGAATCGAGTCCTCTAAAAAGAAAACGACGGTACATGCCGTATGCCGTTGCACACTGGGTTCATTTAATCAAACTCTGGTGCCTCTGCACCATCACTATTTTCGTCGCGCCAAGTTTCATTACTTCTTTCCCCATTCCGGGCATGTCCACGCCTCGCGCGCCCAGCCAGAGATCCGCCCAGACTTGTTGGTGGCTTAAAACATACAACACGCCCCCTGAATAAATGTTACCTTGTGACTTTAGGTACAGTAAGTCTACAGCCTGCGCATCAAATCCCTGCCAAAGGCTGCTACTATTGCTATTGCTGTTGCCTTCAGTAGGTACAATACATAGAAGACCCCCGGTCCGAAGGCCCGCGCTAACGTTTTTCAAGGTTCCGTACTGCACGGTGTACACTACCAAACCTCTAAAACCTACCTGGTACCTTAACCGACGTGAGCTTCTGACTAGTTCCCCTCTACCGCTCGAGGCCCAATCATTGCCTGCCTCCCGCCGCTCGACTGCCGCCCCCCAGACCAGTTCACATCTCGCGTTCAACTCAGTTCTCCTCCTGTCCTCTTTCGCTCTTTCGCTGCACATCGTCCGGGCGGATTCTGCGTACTGATCATCGAGCGACCGAGCCAGGCGATTGCCCTGGCAATAGACCGTTGCCTACTGCCAACCACCGCGCCGCCGCCTACAGAGGTACACAATGACGTCCGCCGCAACGCCTCACCGTCATCCACCTGCTCCAGAGCAGCAGAGCACGAACCCGTTCCACCCTCAAATTCCGAACCCAGCCTCGCCACCAAGTAAACGGGATCTGAAATCATGGTGGAAGGGATTCAAGCTTCCCACGAAGCATCAAGAACCAACCGGTACTTCTGCCCCGTCCGCTAGGTTCTACCGATCAACCTCGTTACTCTGTGGACGAGTTCGAGGGTTCTATGGGCAGCTCGCACCCCCAACCTCGCGCTCTCTGCTAGGGGTTCTATCCGGGCTCTGGCCGTAAGGCCTCTCCAACGCCCGCTCTTGAATTGCGCAAGTTGGACCAACTGCTCCATGTCCATTACTTGGCTTTTTTTGAGAGAAACCCCCCAGACATTGTTGATTTTGATGCAAGCTGTAGAAGGAAGTTGACTCTAACAGAAACCCGTCCAGGCATTTTCGGCGTACCCCTCCGGCAAAGCATCACCTATGCTAATGTTGCGATATCCCTCGTCGACGAGCATGGGAAGAGCTACATATATGGCTATGTTCCGATTGTGGTCGCAAAGTGCGGCGTCTTCTTAAAGGAGAGAGGTGCGCAACACACTAGCCGGTGATGATGCGATGATCAGCATGCGCTGACTTGAAATTCCTTAGCCACGGGCGTGGAGGGCATCTTCCGTCTCAGCGGGTCGGAGAAGCGGATCAAGGAGCTCAAGACTCTCTTCGACTCGCCAGACCGGTACGGTAAAGGCCTCGTCTGGGATGGATACACCGTCCACGATGCGGCCAACGTATTGCGACGATACCTAAACGATCTTCCCGAACCCGTTGTGCCGTTGGATCTATACGAGAAGTTCCGGGAACCATTGAGGGGGGTTACCAAACAGCCGTCTGGGGACGGCGAAGCGCCACAGTTTGTCGACAACTTCGATATGGACGCCGCCATTGTGCGATACCAGCAGCTGATCACGGAGCTACCTCCCCTAAACCGGCAGCTCCTGCTCTACATCCTCGACCTACTTGCGGTATTTGCCGCGAAATCAGACGAGAACCGAATGAATTCGCAGAATCTGGCGGCAATATTCCAGCCTGGAATGCTCTCTCACCCCAACCATGCCATGGCTCCTGAGGAATACCGGCTCAACCAATCCGTCATCATCTTCTTGATCGAGAATCAAGATCATTTCCTCATCGGCATGCAGGGCACAGCGGCAGACGAAACCACGATGCGGGAAGTGCAGAAGGGAACGCCAGTCGCCAGGACCCCGACGACCCCAACACACGACCGACCATCCGGTGTTGCACGCTCATTGTCCAATGCCAGCGCAGGGGCAGAGAGCGTTGCCAAGGAGGGCAAGATCCGCAGAAACAAGTCGACAGCATCAAGACAATCGCGCCACTCCAACGGCGCCCCGAGTCCCGGAAGCCCGGCCTTGGCTGCCACCCCTACTGGTGGTGGTGGGTTGGGACGAAGTAATACTGTGCCATCCAAGAAATCCCCGGCTCTTCAGCCTGGAAGATTTCAGTCCAGGAATGATCCCTCGTCCACGCCCGTTACCCCCCTGACACCTGTCACTCCCTCCGCGGCGACTCACGTCCCTCAGTCCCCTCTTGTCGAGGAGATTGCGACCCCCCATGAAGGGTATCCAGCACTAGCAGCAGCCGGGGCGGTGCAAGGAGGCTTTCTGGGGCCCGGGTCCAAGGTCGACGCTACAACGCCATCAAAGGAACGGAATCTCCCGAGCCTGTTTCAAAGGACTCCAACAGGCGAAAGCGACAAGCGTCCGCCAAATAAGCTTCGGAAAAAGAAGCTGCCCGGCAGCGCCAATCCGAGCGCACAGAGTTCCACCGCATCGCTTGCTCATTCTGCAGCAGCGTCGCCGGCTATCGAATCGCCAAACCCCCTAGAGGTCATCCCTTCAACTTCGCTATTGTCAAACGTGGAAGCGAGTGGTAGGCAGCCCGTGACTGAAACACCAGCGGAGCCAGCACCCAGGGCATCACAAGTTGCTTCAAGCAAAACCCTTCACCCCGAAGCCGCCGAAAATACCCTGAAGCCGAAGATGTCGCCTCCGACCTCTTTACATAGTTCGTTCAACGAGGGTTCAGATATTGACCAATTCGACGAGACGGTTCCTGGAGGCGAGCATCATGACAAGGAGCGGAGGAGGCGCTGGCGGCTGTCGAGGCGGAGAGAGGACACGCTTGCGACTGCCAATGCGGGCATTGCCTCACCGCGGAGAGACCTCGGCCAGAACACAACCGCCGAAGCGAGCGTCACATCAGTCGGGAGCACAAGCCACAAGGCAGTGCGGAGCTTCACGGGGGAGTCTTCTGAACCTGCCAGCCTCGCGGCGGGCGATGTGCCAAATCCCGCCGAATCAACATCCAGGGACGGCAAGGACGAGTCGAGGGGTCTCGCCGGTTGGATCAAGCACAAGTATCGCGAGGCAAAGGAGACGGCCGAGCAACGGCGAAACAAGTCGCCGCCCGCAGATCGCCCGTCCGCCGGCACCACGTCGTCCCCGAACCAGATCACGTCGCCCTCGAACCAGATCACGTCGCCCTCGAACCAGATCACGTCGCCCTCGAACCAGATCACGTCGCCCTCGAACCAGGTCACGTCGCCCCCGAACCAGATCGCATTGCCCCTGAACCAGATCACATCGCCCCCGAACCAGACGAGGTCCCCTCTCGAGACCAACTTGCCCACCGCGGAAGAGGACAAGGCACCGGCGGATACCCAGGGGCCGAAGACGCCGCAGTGAATGTGTCAAGTAGGACATGTTAATCGCCCGTGCGTTTGATATCAGCATTTTTTATTTTTTTTTGACCAGATATTGTACCGGCCACGCGGGCCATTTCGGCGCTCCTGATGTTCTTGTGCTGGGCTTTTTACGGTCTCCTAGCTCCCCCCGTTGCCGAAAGTTCGCGGAAATCACATACCAGTTATCTGCGCTGCATCTGTATCTGTTCAGACCCAGAAATGACAATCAATGTCACCTCGAGCGGGGGTGGGAGGAGAGAGAGAGAGAGAGAAACATTCGAGAGGAGAAGAAGGCTCGAGCCCTTCCAAAAGTCTAAGCTTAAAAGTGTTGGACTACACACATACTGAGCGGCCCCGCACCGTTACCGAGGATACCCCATGGAAATTTCTGCCCTTTCGAGAAGTAAGAAGAGTTGTGTTGCCCATTGGCTTTTTGGGCGGTTTGATTTTTGCGGTTGTTGGTTGGTTCAAAAAGTCGCGGCTCTTTTCGCTTTCATGGTGGGGGTTTGGGGACGGGGAATTGCTGGCTCTCTTTACCATCTCGCACACCCACTGTAATAGAGGAGTGAATGAAAGGAAAGGCTGAGGAATATATAAGGTGCTTGAACTTTAGGCGAAGATTAGGAAACTGACTTGAGTACACTACACACATACATACTTGCCCTACCTGGGTAAAGGAGGAAACAAGTTTATAAAAAACACGACGGGCTGGACGAGGTGTTGTGGTGCAAGTGCCGGGTTGATAGATATCTCATTGTCTGTTGGTGTATAGCACCTAAGCTCTCTGAGCATTTTGAGTCTTTGCGAACATAGTAAAAACCATGCAGGAATCCAATACCAATCCGAAGGGTATTAGTGGTGTATTTCACCGTGTTGTGGAATAAGTGAGTCTGGCTCTCCAGGCCCAAATAGATCATGCCGTAGAGATATATATCCTAGCAACAAAGGAGAAAGAGACCGCCCACTGACTCTTGTCAAGGACATGCCATGATCACGCAGGCCAGGTAACTCTTCTTTTAGGGGCGGTATAAAAAGCGTACTTGCCATTAGATACGCCTGTCTAGCTTCAAACCGCCTTGCCGAATGCTCCAACCGTACAAATCCAGTTATCCTTCATCCGGTAGACAAGTTGCTTTCTTTTTCTCACTCCTCGACCCCTTCTTCTCTTCCCGGCTTACCTACTGTCTACTCGGGATCGCCATACTGCTCCGGTTCCGAAGCGGTCTGCGCGGCCTGCTCCTCCATCTGCTTGAGCTGCTGCTGGCCGGCCTCGGTGGTGGCGTCGATGATTTCTTCTTCGAGACTGAGGATGCCAGCCTGGACGGGAGGGGTCGCGAGTCAGTAAAGCGGTAAAAAATAAAAGCCCTATGGCGTGGGGGAAAAGGGGAGGCAGTTCAGGAAACGGGCACGAGGCTTCTGCCCTGTATGCCTGCCTGCCTGCCTGTCTGGGGTTGGGGGGAACTCGAAACTCACCTCTCCAAGCTTCCCGACCAGGTCCTCGGCCTCGGCAACGGGCATCTTGCCGAGCGCCTTGTTCACCTCGTCGAGGCTCCCCGTCTCCAGCGCCCTGCGCATCTCGGGCGCGAACCCCTCGAATATCTCCCGCCCCCTCCTCTCCGCCTCGTCGCCCCCCTCGCCCCCCTCGGCGGGTGCGGCGGGGATGCGGATGTTGATCACGGTCCCGGGCTCGACGGCGTGCAGCTGGATCTGCTCCACCCCGCCGGCGGCGTCGTCGTCGCTTGCCCGCTGCGCGATGATCCTGCGGGCGCTGTCCCGGATCTTGAGGTGCGTGTCCTGGACGTCGCGGAGGAAGACCTCCTGCGCCTGGTGGCCCCTCGTGGTAATACGGCGGAAGAAGAGGGCGACGCCGTCGCGGCCCAGGGCCCGGCAGTACTGCAGCAGCAGGGCCTGGTGGATGCACTGGCGGGCGCGGTCGTCGTGGCCCTCGAGCTGCGCGTCAAGAGCCAGGACTAGCAGGCCGTCCGTCTCGCGCTCCGTCAGGATCTGCGGGTGGGAGCCCAGGAACTGCAGGCTCGCGCGGTAGTCGCCCGGCTTGATGGTCGCGAACTCTCGCGCCGCGGGGGACGCGTCGATCTCCTCCTCGTCGTCGTTGTGGTGGCCGCCCGTCGACGTGGGCTTGTTGGGCGGTTCGGGGCCGGACGAGGATGCCACTGAGAAGCTCGGGTTGAGGAGCTCGACGGCTTGCGAGTCATTACTGGAAGGGCTTGCTGTGTCGGTGGGCTTCGACTTGTTCACGTGGGAGCTGTCGAATCCGGTGTGGATGCTCTCGCTGGTGATCTTGCGGCTCTCTTCCTTCTCCAGCTCGTCCAGCTTCTTTTGGAGATCCTTCTGGAGGTTCTCTACCTTGTTCAGATGGTCCTCGACCTCGACGAGCATCCCGCCGTATCTCTTGCCCTGCTCAATCTTCTTCTCGTCCAGAGCCTTGTTCACCTGATCGAGCAAGGTGGCCATCATCTTGGTGTAGGTGGGCAGCTGCTCCTCGCTCCCGTGAACGCCGGCTGGCCGGGGCGGCGGCTGGTCGTCCTTGGGGTCGAGCGACGCGGCGGACTCCATGACGGCCTGGAAGGCCACCTCACCCGGGTTCCGGGACTCGGCATCGGCGGCGTGGGCTTTCAGGGAGGCTAGGAGGGATGAGATGCGCTGTATGAGAGTGTCGTTTATGGTGCGCTCATACTTCAGAGTCTCGATGTGTTGCTTGCGATGCTGCCGCTCTTGGTGGATCTGCGACTGTTTGGCGCGGATGAACGATCGCTTGTCCACATTGGGGTGGACCTCGATGTCCGAGTCGTCACTGAGCTCCAGCGCGTCCTGGAGAGAAAGGTTTAGTTTTGCTCAAGGCGAGAGACACCGGGGCGATGATTCACTCACCCATTTGCTGTAGTCGACAGGAGCCATTCTGAGCAGATGAAAGACCTTTTAGGGTTTCTATCGTGCAGGAATTTTCTACTTGCAAGCTGTCTGAGATATTTCGTCCTGCATATAACGGTGAAGCAGGCAGGTAGCAGGCTCTCTCATTGTTTTGTGAGGTAATAGAGGGGTAGTTACCTTGGTACCTACCCAGAAGGGTGGGGTGTGGCATGGGAGAGAAGAGCATGGAATCTCGCACTGTAAAGATACTATCATGTACCTACCTTGATGCCTACCAATCTCACTTCTACACGACCTATCTCTGCTTAGAACTTGGAGGATTCAAGGACGGTTGTAATCACATTCATGGGTGCTGAGAGCCCTGAAGGATCGACTATTACTAGGTTCTACTTTTGAGTTTCGAGATACTATGTGTTGCCATCCACCGCTCCTCATTGCCTCGTCAACCTCTTATCCCAGGCCCTGTTATACAAGCCGTATTCAACCTCGCCCTCATTCCCCTTTCTCAGTCCCAACCCGCCAACGGCGCACTCCCTCTCCCCCTTCTTCTTCAGTCCGTGGAAGTCACCTCCAAGCCTCTTGAACACGTCCAGCGCATTGTTCCTTCCAATGTCCACGAGATCGCGGCCATTTATGGGGACGTATTCGTCGAACCACGTGCACCCGTTGGGGATGCTCTCGAACGGGTAGTCGATCGAGAACATGACCGACTTGACCCCGATCTCCTGTATGGCGCATAGCAGCGCCGGTGTGGAGAAGTGGCCCGACGTCGTGATGAAGAGCTGCGAGCCGAAGTAGTCGCGCACGAGCTTGTCCTTGGCCATGGGCATGTTGGGGAAGCGGGCTCGGTTGAGCTTGTGATCGATCCGGTAGAGGTCGTATGGGCTGGAAAAGCGATGCAGTTAGCCAAGGGTGCAGCAATCTAAACTAGATCCGCCGGCATTACTCACATATGCTCGCCCATGTGGCCGATGACGATCTTCAGCCCTGGGAAACGGTCCAGGACCCCCGCAGTCACGATGCCGAGGACGTGCATTCCCACGCGATGGGCGTACCCCAGGGCCGAGAACTCGAGCCAGGGCCGGCCCTTCCACATCAGGTCGCGTATCTGGGGGGTCGCCTGGCGCGGGTGCAAGTAGACGGGGGCCTCGAGCTCCTCGGCGGCGGCCCAGAAGGGGTCGTACTCGGGCTGGTCGAAGAACAACATCGTGTTGCCGTCGGCGCCGGCGCTCTGGAAGTCGTTGAGCATGACGCCCACGAACCCCTTGCCCTTGTGCGCGCCGTCCGGCCCGAAGCACCTCCGCATCTCCTCCGCCGCCTGCGCCGGGTCGTGCATGCTGACCGACGCCAGCCCCGCGAACCGGCCCGGGTTCCGCCCCACCTCGGCGGCGAGCCGGTCGTTGGCCAGCGACGCCAGCCGCGCCGCCGCCGCGGGGTCGCTCTCGCCCTGCGGGCCTGGCGACGACAGCGACAGCACCATCATGTCCACCCCGTTGGCGTCCATCTGCTCCAGCCGCGTGCCGTGCACGTCTAGCAGGTTGGCCACCAGGTCACCGCCGATGACGCCCTTGGGCGCCAGCGCGGACACGTCATACGCTTCGAAGTTCTCGGGGATAGCCCACGCTTCTTCGAGGGCGATTTTGCCGAGCATTGTGTCTGCTTTTTATCTCTGAATGTCTTTGTAGGGTGAGTTTTAGATGTGAGATATATTTGATACACATGCAGAACAGCCAACGGAGCAGGAAACAACAGGATATAAGAAGAGCAAATTGCTCCGTCCGTAGGCCCCGTTATCCATCACCAATGCCAATGCCGTCCTCCCCCATCTCCGCACTCCTTCTCCAACTTTCCCATGGCCGCGATGTTCCCCTAGCGTATCCTCCCCCGCACGCGATCCATCGTAGCGGATGCGACCAGGCCAGTGGTGATTGGTCGGCACCCCCTTTCCCTCATCTGCCGACAGCTCCGAAGCGCAGATCGCACTCAAAAGACGGCGTCGCGGGTGCCTTAACCTGGGCGGGTTCGGCGCCAGCCCCACGAGGTTCGGGAAAACTAAACGGAGGAGCATAACGCCGGCAAGGCTTGTGGGACATCCCCCCGGGGAATAAACATGTAAGATTTTCCGATTAATCGTTGACACGTTCTATCATCCCAGGTATCCAGGCCGCAAAAGACATGGGGGTTTGTATGCTTTCCCACGCAGCCGAGAGGCAGGAGCAAAATACTAACAAATTCATGACCCGTCCCATCCGTGTCAGAAACCCGCCGCGCAAATTCCTTCATCCCATCATACATACAAAATACTCGCTGTGGAGTAGATATCCGGATACACTCCTCGAACACAACCAGCTCATGGGAATAAAATATGAAGAAAAAAAGAATGGGACAAATCCGAGGAAAGCAAGGTTGGTTGTTTAGCGAACCGCCGTCTAAGGCTTCTGTCCCTCGACGAAATTCAACGCATCCTCCGTGGAGACGCAGTCGATTGTGCTATTCTTATTGCGGAATAAGACACCGTAGCACTTGTTAGCCACGCGGACGATCTCGGGCCTGAAGGTGGTGCAAATGAACTGCGTGCCCGCCTCCTTTGAGATCGAGTCGAGCAGGCTGGCGACGGCAGTGCGGTACTGGGCGTCAAGGTTGGCGTCGACCTCGTCGAAAATCACCATGGGGCTGGATTCGGTCGCCTGGATGGCGAAGATGAGGCAGAGAGCACACAGACCTAGAGAGAACATTAGCGGCGGAAGGGACACAAACAACTGAAGGTGTCGGGGAAACTTACTCTTCTGGCCACCACTGAGTTGCTGGATCTTCTGCTGCTCGTCCATCGTCTTGGAGTTGAACGAGACGCTGATGCCCACTCCCGTGTAGTTCTCCACGCCACCTCGCTGTTCCTCGTCCGAGTCCACTGGATCTTGGCGGCGATCCGTCTTCCGTTGGATCACCAGACGGCCGTGGCCCGCCGGGACGAGGCGCTCGAAGATGTTTGCGAACTCCCTCGACACCTGCTTGAAGGTCCGTTCGATCTGCTCATCCTTGACTTGGTCAAGATGGGAAACGAGCTCCTCGATCGACTTCTGGGAACTGTCGAGCTCCTTTCTCCGCTTCAGCAAGTTCTCTTGCTGCGTGGTGAAGCTGTTGTACTGCTCGAAGGCCTTCTTATTGACGTGTTTAAACTTCTTTAGAGCCTCGTTGACCTTCTTGAGCCTGGATGAAATCTAGCATGACCGTCAGCAAGCAAAATTCAAACCGGGGGCCGGTGCTGTAGAGAGGACGCTTACTGTTTCCGACTTCATCCGTTCATACTTGCCAAACGCCTCCTCTGGCAGAACGCCGAGGTCTCGTATGCTCTTGGCAAGTTCGGCGGCCTGGTTCGTGAGAAGTGCCTTCTTCTGCGCCTCCTTCATTATCCTCTTCTGCTGCTTCTCAATATGCCGAGCGAGTTCCTGCTGCTCTTGCTCTCGCTGGGACTTCTGGGCGTCCACTTCCGAAATGTTACCGCTCAGCTCCTCCAGCTTTTGCTCGGTCACCTGCAACAGCCTTTGAACTTCGCTGGCTGCTTTCTGAGCCTTCTTAAGCTCCTTTTGAGCGTCTTGATAGCTGCCACTGGCGCCCGAAGCCGAGGCGTTTTCAAAGGCCTGGCTGCTGAGCTGGTCTTCTTGCGGGCGCAGATTCTTCCTCAGCTCTACTTCTAGTCGTGATGTGTGGCTCTCGAGCTCTCGGCGCTTGTTGCAGACCTCGTTCCATTCCTTCTGCAGCTGCTGGGCTTGATCGCTGAATTCCTCGAGTTGCCGCTCCTCGGCAGGCGACAGAGCTTTCTTAAATTCCGTCGCCAATTCTGCCTCGTAGGCCACTAGATTGTCGCCAAACTCCTTCATGTTTTTCTCGACCGCGGCAAGCCGATTCATCACCGCACCAAGATGGTCTGTTTCACGCTCTAGATGGGCCGTCTTGCTCCGTAACTCGGCTTTGAGGGGCTCGAATCCGCTTTCGAGCTGGCGCATCTCCTGTTCCAGCTTTTGAAGCTCACCCATCGCTCGGGTGATCTCCTGGTCTTTGACTTCAATGCTTCTGCGGATGCTCTCGGCTTCGGCCATGTGACCGTCAAACTGGTCTCGCAACTCGTTGGCATTTCGGACTGCTTCCAGGCGAGATCTGCGCGAGTCGACGTAGCCACCGGTCATGGCACCTCTCTTGTTGGTGGTGTCGCCTTCTGGCGTGATGGCATCGACCCCGTGGCTCCGCGCATACTGGCCGGCGATAGTCAGACTCGGGCAGATGATTGTCTTGCCGAAGACTTGTTGAAAGGCCTTTTCGTACTCGGGCTCGAAATCGATCTTGCTGATGAGCGGAACAGCATCGGCAGCACGTGGTAGATTGGCCGTTCTTGGGCGCAGCTGTTGCAATGGCATGAAGGTGATCCTGCCCCCTTGCTGCTTGAAGAGCTCACTAGACAGCAAGGTGGCCGTCTGCTCGTTGTCAACAACGTAGTGGAACAGGCTGCCCCCTGCGACTTGCTCCACAGGCACACGGTAGGCTTCGTGCACGCTCATGAGTTCTGCCAGAGTACCATATGCGCCAGGGATGTTTCTCTGCTGCTTCAGACGCCTGATCGTTGCAAGACCGCGTGCGGTTGCACTGTCCATGGCTTGGGACAGTTTCCTTTCCGCTTGCTCCTTCGCGGAACGCGTGTTCCCTATGACCGACTCCAGTTTATCGTCGTCACGTCTCAGCAACTTCCTCTCCTCATGGAGCTGATCTCTGACCTCCTGAGCCTTGACCAATTTCCGAAACAGAGTCTCCCGACTGCCGCCGTAGCCCTCAAGCCTCTCTCGAAGACCAGCGATCTCGGTTTCGAGTCTCGACATGGCTTTCTGAACGGCTTTAACTTCTTCCTCGGCGTCCAGGCGGTTTGCCTTTTGGTTGCTGAGGGATAGGTTGAGATCTTCTATCTCCTTCTTGAGGTACGCATCCCGATCGGCCTTCTTTTTGAATTGAGAGCTTCGAGACTGCTTGGTGAGGAGACGGTTCCTTCCTGCTTCGGCTGCATCAAGCTGTTGCTTAACTCGGGCTTCTTCGGCTTTTCGCTTCTCAAATTCAGGACGGAGACTCGCAAGCTCTGTCTCGCTCGCCTGTATCTTTTGTCTAACACTCTTCAGTTCGGCCTCCTGCTGGCGCTGCGCTTGCTCTCTAGCATGTCTAGTCTCATCAAGGCTTTTTGCCTTGAGCTCTGCTTTTGCTTGAGCCTTGGAGGCGTCTCGACGGTCTTCCTCCAATTGGCCTCGCTCGATGGTGAGCAGCTCCATTTGCTGCTGCAGCTCGTGGAGCTTGCGCTCCATTTGGGCAATCGCCTTCTCTCCGGCTTGGAAAGCTTGGCGGTCCTTATTCGAAGCTCCCGCGCCATCCTGGCGAAGCTCGTCTATCTCGCCGAGCTTCTGGGCAATGGCCTCCTGCTGCTGATGGTAATAGGCATATTCGAGACACCGTCGTTCCCTGTCTTTCTCTTGGAAGCCTCGCAGCTCCTCCTTCTCTTCCTCCAACTCGCTTAGCCGATCCTTGATATAGGAAAGAAGCTCGTCGATTTTCTCTCGCTTGTTGTTGGTCTCGGCCATGATCTTGAGTGATTCGGCGCGGCGGGTTTCGTAGACGCTAGTGCCCGCGATTTCCTTGAGAAGGTTCAGGCGCTCAGACTCCTTCATATTCGTCAGGGCCGTCACACGGCCTTGAGGAACAATGTAGTACGGGTTGGACTTTGAGAAGCCAGCTGACTCGAGGAGGTGGATGATATCTTGCTTTGACACGACTCTCTTGTCGTGGGAGTACTCGTCTTTCTTGAGGCCGATGGTCCGTCGGACGGTGACTTCCTCGCCGCAGCCGACAAACCGTCCGTCGGAGTTGTTGAAGATGATCTCGACGTATGCCGACATGACTGCGGAACCGGATCCCTCGTGGAGGAGGGCTTGCCGCTCTTCGCGGCTCATCTGGGTATAGGCATCGCTAAGGACGAAGCGGATCGCGGCGAAGAAGTTGCTCTTGCCCGAACCATTTCGGCCGACAATGACATTGGTGCCCGGCGAGAAGGGTTCGAAAATGGTCTGGTCCTTGTAGCTGCGCTGATGTTAGCGCGATATTGAGCGGGAGCGGAGAGAAGTCGCGAAGTCGCGCACCTTTTAAAGCCTTGGATGATTATCTGCTTGATATACATCGCGGCAACAAACGCTGCCCAGCGACGGCGGATTCAAATTGCATACAAGTCGAATGTTGTCAGGAGAGAGGCTCTGTGAGAATAAGAATGACACTTGCGCGACGAATTGCGGTGTGATGCAGATACCTAATTTGCCTTGAGCGGGTCTGCCACGTCCAGCGAGGGAGGGGAATCACGACGCGTCTTTTCGTGATGGTGGGAATATCCAAGGCGAGTCACGTGACCTAAAATGAGGTGCGATGACCAAAGCTCCCCGTCTTCCATGACAACTGCCTGCCAAGCCTGCAACCCTCGAGTCAGTGCCCCGCCACTTGCTCAGCGAACCTAGCTGGCTCTGGGCAAATCCAAACATCCATGTGGCCAAGTGCAACATCATCGAAAACTTTGTCTTGGGGCCTAGTCGCCTCTAGTCATCAAAAGCGCCGCACCCAGACAGCACGATCCTGACAAGATTAGATCATCCCTACGAGGTTGTATTAAATCGCCCTGCAATCTAGCGTATGCCGGGGTGGAGTCGATCATTGCTACATATGGGGCAAGCTATGGGACGGGTTCAGATTCTAGATACGCCTCGTTCGTGACTGACGGCCCTGAAGGGTTTGGAACATGCAGGTGCCCGGCATACGTAGCATCCACATGTACTGCGTAGGACAGACTGGCTTTTGGATGGCATGTCTTCACCATCACGGCAATTGCTACCTAGGTTTTAAGACGTTTTGCCAGCTCTGGGGATTTTGAACCACAGACTTGGTCTAGAAGCTTGGTGCACTTGAACCAATAAGACCCCATACCGGAGTCGTAGATATGCAAACTCTAGACAGAAGAGACAAACACTCGGGAATGACAGTCTCGGAATGGCGCCACCGGGCGGGAGGTGCCTTTTGACCAGGGCAGTTGCGAGGTGCTAGAATTTCAAGGTAGCCACGTTGTGTATGATGGGGTCAAGGCCCCGGATGTTGTGGACGGCTGAAGTTTGCTTCTTGAAACAAGATACCAAGGCAGGATCGTCGTCTCGAGCGCAGGCAGAGAGACCACCAGCTTGTCTTCATTTCCACTTTACAGTTACCTTGGTGTGTAATGAAGTGAGACTTGGTGATATTTGTTTTCTAGGATAAGGCCGGCGTTGGGTGGGACAGAATGAGGCAGGAAGGAAGGAAGGGGAAAAACCCAAGGCACAACCGGGTGAGCCAATGGCTGCACTGACGGCCATTGCAGGGGTGTCACATTGCTAGTAATGGCGCTAAGGAATTAAGCGAGAAGCGGCGCCAGTGGAAGGGACCGTTGGGAAGTGGGACCGCTGTGTATAAAAATACGGCAATATTCGTATAGAAACCAGGCCTGCCCTCCACCCGATTTTCTACTGCCACCGCGCCGTTCGAGCCCACTGACCACTGCACCAAAACACCGCCCAAATATCTTGCCGCGTCTCACCGCCTGCAGTGGCAGTCACCACCATAAGTTCTTACCGACGAGGTAAAGTTCACCGTCCGCCGGGACACTGCACTCAGTTCCGCGCTCCCGATGCAACTTGCCAACCAACGACATTTTAGGAATTCTCGACCACGTCTATCTCCCACCTTTACTCTTGGCTGTCAGTAGACACAATTACCGCAGCATATTTGACTTATTTTCAAAGTCACGTGCATCTCTTCACCTGGGCAACATTTCCGTAAGTCGTCACTTTTCACTTTTCCATCTCAGGTCTGTGATACTCGGGTGCGTCTCATTGTCTGCTTTTGCGGTGCTCCCATTTGTCACTGGTTTTCTTTGTGTTGTGTCGCGTCCCTCCGCTTTTGTATTTTTGGTCAAAGGGGCACGAAGTCAGTGCTTCTGACTTACACAAATGCCAATGGTTGCACAGCATACATCGCATTTTTTATGATCACCAAGCATTCCGTGTTTTGATTGCCCAGCGCCTTGCAGTTATTTTCGGTTGAAACACTTTGGCAGGCATTTACTAACATCAAACCTCTGGTCCGCAGGATTATGAAACTCGCAGCGTAATTGGTTCCGTGTTGACATGAAGCAAAGATGGTGTCCAGGTTAGTTGCATATGCTCTGGGGAGGAGGTGCTTTACATCTAGGCCCTTGCTGACTAGTGTTCTCTACAGGCTCGACCGACTTGTCACGTGAGTTTTGCTAATGCAGTATCTCCCTGTTACGGGGGGTTCTGGGCTGGGAATTCGATACTAATCGCTTTATCTTGCAGCATTCTTGAGTCCGGTAGTACCCGGTTAATCCGTGATACTGCCGTCAACCAACTGGCCGATTGGCAAAAACAACACCCCGAAGAGCTCTTTAATCTCCTCTCACGAGTTGTTCCCTATCTGCGGCACAAGGAATGGGATACGAGAAACGCCGCAGCGAAAGCTATCGGCAAGATCATCGAACATGCTCCCGCCTACGATCCCAATGAGGGGGAGGAGCCGGCTGACCCCAAGAAAGAAGAGGAGCCAGTCGAAAAGGACTTTGTCAAGAAAGAAGAAGTCAAGGACAGTTCATTCTCTGACGAGGACTATTTCGACCTCGACAGGCTCGACATCGCCAACATCTTGAAGTATGGCAGAGAGCTGGCTAGAAACGCCACTGCCACCGTAGACTATTCTCTGGCCTCCCTGGATCCAGCTGCGCGTCTCGCTCATCAGAAGAAGACGCTGAACGGGCGACTGGGTCTCCTCGGTCGGAGATTTGAAGATGAGGAGATGCCAATCGTGCCCGAGAATAACAACAGCTCTCCAGATGCCACTGCTCATAATGGATGCGCCAGTTATGACGGTAACAGTGTCGGCAGCGTCGGCAGTGCCGGCGGCGCCGGCGGTGGCCAGGGCCATCTCACGGAGGAGGCTGGTCTAAGCTCGAGGCAGCTCAATGTCCTTAAGAGGAAGCGAAAGAGAGAGGCGCAGAAGGCCGCCCACGGGAAGTCAGGCTTTGGAGATCTCTCTATTCGCCGGTCGATAACGTCTACGTCTGAAGGCGTCCCCGACGATACACCCATGGCCGATGCCGACTCGAAGAAATCCGGCAAACTGGCGGAATACCTTAACCTCGAGCGACCGGCGGATGTGGACGAGGATACGAAAGTAGTATCCGAGTTCAAAGGCCCCATCATCCCCATCAAATCGGAAATCGAAGCCGACGACCAGGCGGAAGGCGCTGAGTGGCCATACGAGCGACTGTGCGAATTCATCAAAATCGATCTCTTCGACCCCCAGTGGGAGATCCGCCAGGGAGCAGCGATGGGCCTAAGAGAAGTGATCAGGGTCCATGGATTGGGTGCTGGGAGGTCCAGGGGGAAATCACGAGCAGAGAACGACCGACTCAACCGGAGATGGCTGGATGACCTCGCATGCCGTCTGTGCTGCGTCCTTATGCTCGACAGATTCACCGACTACAGTTCCGACACGTTGGTCGCGCCTATCCGGGAGACAGTCGGCCAGAGTCTGGGAGCGGTGCTATTCCACGTCTGCCCGGAGTCGGTTCATGCCATATATCTAATCCTCTACCGGATGGTGATGCAGGACGACCTAGAGCTGGAACGACATGTGTGGGCCATCTGCCACGGCGGTATGATCGGCCTCAGATATGTCGTCGCTGTGAGAAAGGACTTGCTCCTAGAGGATGGTGCCATGATTGATGGTGTCATCCGTGCCGTGATGAAGGGTCTCGGAGACATGGACGATGACGTCCGGTCAGTCAGCGCAGCAACGTTGATCCCTATGGCGAAAGAATTCGTAACCCTCCGGCCCGGTGCTCTGGACGGTCTCATCAACATAGTCTGGGAGAGTCTGTCCAACCTGGGCGATGATTTGAGCGCTTCCACCGGCAGGATCATGGATCTTTTAGCCACCCTCTGCAGCTTCCCCGAAGTCCTGGAAGCGATGAAGGTGTCGGCATCACAGGATGAGGAGCGATCCTTTGCGCTCCTCGTCCCAAGGCTCTATCCCTTCCTTCGGCACACGATTACCTCGGTACGCCTCGCCGTGCTGAAGGCTCTCATGACCTTTGTCAATCTTGGAAGCGAGAGTACCCAAGGATGGCTCAACGGAAGAATACTCCGGCTTATCTTCCAGAACCTGCTGGTCGAGAAGGATCAGGAGACTCTCGCCATGTCCATCGAGCTATTCACGGCCCTTGTCAAGGCGCTTGGGAGCAATCCGGCCGTCCTGGCCGAAGAGTTCGAAGGGCACATTGACGCCATGATGCAACTATCGCTCCATCCTATCGGTGTCTCGCGAAATCCAATACCGATGAACGCAACCCTCTTCCAGAAACCGTCCGGAGGCACCTACTCTATGATGGGTGTCACCGCCACTGCCGGTGCCAGGAAGTCGTCGCCAACCGAGGGGCCGGAGAGAGCAACAAAGCGCCGAAGAAAATCCACCAAGGTCGACGACGCTCCCGTGGCTACCCAGTCCCACGATGTCGACGGCCAGATGATGCAAGGGGATGTCAACTTGGTGGGCATGGACGTCCTCGTCCGCTCACGAGTCTCGGCCGCCAAGGGCCTGGGACTTATCATGTCTCTCGTTCCAGCCACAGAGCTGGGTCCGTACGAGACGAGAATCACCGACGGTCTATCTTCCGCATATTCCTCCACTCAACTCACGGCAGCCATGATCGTTGACGAGTATGCGAAGAATTGCCCCTCTCCTGAAGAAGCCGCTAGGCTCGCCCAGCCGCTTCAAAAGATGATCGAGTCGGATCGCCCGTCGCACTACCGGGACTTGGTTAGCTTCGTCCAGCGCGTTCGCTCGCAGACCCAGCAGCTCCTGAACATGTTCCGTGATCACGGCAAGGTATCGCAGAGCAAGCTACCAACCCTTGCGGTTGTGGTCCAGGGAGAGGCTGAAGCCGGACCCGGCGCCTTCTCAGTTGCCAACGCGGAGAAGGTGGTCGGGGAAGACTATGACCGCCTCAAGAAGGCCATGGCCCCAGGCCAGCGGCTGATTGCTCTCCCGCAGCTTACGGAAGCTCGTGAGGCTGTCGTGTCTGCCATCGACCAGGCGAACGCTGCCAAGGAAGCGCGGGATGCTCGCATCAAAGCTGCGGCTGCCTGCGCCCTCGTTGCCATGAAGGTGCTGCCAAAGAAGCCGAGTCCGCTCATCAAGGCTATCATGGACAGCATCAAGGCCGAGGAGAACCAGGAACTCCAGGGACGATCCGCAGGCACAATTGCACGTCTCGTGCAGGTCTTTACCGAATCGGGTCGTCGAGGCCCGGCGGATAAAGTTGTCGCCAACCTGGTCAAGTTCTCCTGTGTCGAGGTTGCGGAGACCCCCGAGTTCCCAGTCCATGCCCACAAGACCAGCGTTATTCTCTCCATGCAGAAGGAAGAAGACCGTGTCGATCACGCGGATGCCGCCAAGTGGGCGAGAGAGGCCAAGGCAGCTCGCATCACACGACGCGGCGCGAAGACAGCTCTGGAGATACTGTCGCAGACCTTCGGCGCCGAGTTGCTGGACACTGTCCCGAGCCTTCGCGCCTTCATGGAAGAACCCCTACAGAAAGCCTTCTCAGGAGATCTCCCGGCGGAGGCGAGAGATGCCGAGAACAGTTTCGGCCAGGAGGTGGTGGATGCCATGTCCGTCATCCGCACAATGACGCCGACGCTGAACACGGCTCTGCATCCTTTCGTCGTGCAGCAGGTTCCCCTGGTCATCAAGGCACTGCATTCCGAGCTCTCCGTGTTCCGCTACATGGCGGCGAAGTGCATGGCGACGATATGCAACGTCATGACTGTCGAGGGCATGACGGCCCTGGTGGAGAAGGTCCTCCCATCCATCAACAATCCCGTCGACCTCAACTTCCGACAAGGCGCGATCGAGGTGATCTATCACCTGATCGCCGTCATGGGCGATGCTATACTGCCATACGTCATCTTCCTCATCGTGCCGGTCCTGGGCCGCATGAGCGACTCGGACAACGAGATTCGGCTGATAGCCACCACGTCCTTTGCCACTTTGGTCAAGCTGGTCCCCCTCGAGGCCGGCATACCAGACCCGCCCGGCCTGTCAAAGGAGCTCCTCAAGGGCAGGGATCGTGAACGGACATTCATTGGCCAACTTTTGGATCCGAAGAAGATCGAACCCTTCGTGATCCCAGTGGCCATCAAGGCAGAGCTGCGCTCCTACCAGCAAGAAGGTGTCAATTGGCTCCACTTCCTCAACAAGTATCACTTGCATGGCATCCTTTGCGACGACATGGGTCTTGGCAAGACTCTGCAGACGCTCTGTATTGTCGCTAGTGACCATCATGAGCGAGCCGAAGAGTTTGCAAAGACGGGGGCCCCGGACTCCAGAAGGCTCCCGTCGCTGATTGTCTGCCCACCTACCTTGGCTGGACACTGGCAGCAGGAGATCAAGACATACGCGCCCTTCCTGAGCGTCACCGCTTACGTCGGTTCTCCCGCAGAGAGGAAAGGGCTGCGAGACAAGCTGGATCAGACGGACATCGCCATAACGTCTTATGACGTTTGTCGCAACGACATAGACACGGTCGGGGCGTACAACTGGAACTACGTCGTCCTCGACGAGGGTCACTTGATTAAGAACCCCAAGGCCAAGACCAGCATCGCAGTAAAGAGACTTATCAGCAACCATCGACTTATCCTGACGGGAACGCCAATCCAGAACAATGTCCTCGAACTCTGGTCCCTGTTCGATTTCCTGATGCCAGGCTTCCTTGGAGCAGAGAAGGTCTTCCTCGACCGGTTTGCCAAGCCGATCGCGAACAGCCGCTACAGCAAGGCCAGTCCGAAGGAGCAGGAGGCGGGAGCTCTCGCCATTGAATCGCTGCACAAGCAGGTGTTGCCGTTCCTGCTCCGCCGTCTCAAGGAGGAGGTGCTCGACGACCTGCCCCCGAAGATCCTGCAGAACTACTACTGCGATCTCAGCGACCTGCAGAAGAAACTGTTCGAGGACTTTACGAAGAGGGAGGCGAAGAAGATCACCGAAGAGGCTGGCCGCGACGACAAGGAAGCGAAGCAACACATCTTCCAGGCGCTGCAATACATGCGGAAGCTCTGCAACTCGCCGGCTCTGGTGATGAAGAAGGACCACAAGGCGTACGATGACACACAGAGGTTCCTGTCGAAGCAAGGCACGAGTCTCGAGGATCCCGCGCACGCGCCAAAGCTCACCGCCTTGAGAGATCTCCTCGTCGACTGTGGCATCGGAGTCGAAGGCCAGGAGTCGGCCGATCCCCTCTACACCCCCATCAAGCCGCATCGCGCCCTTGTCTTCTGCCAGATGAAGGAAATGCTTGACATGGTGCAGAACACGGTCCTGAAGAAGATGCTTCCGTCCGTCTCGTATCTGCGCCTCGACGGCTCCGTCGAACCCAACAAGCGCCAAGACATCGTCAACACGTTCAACAGCGACCCGTCGTATGATGTTCTCCTGCTGACCACCAGCGTCGGCGGTCTGGGCCTCAATCTGACGGGAGCCGATACGGTCATCTTCGTGGAGCACGACTGGAATCCGCAGAAGGATCTGCAGGCCATGGACCGCGCTCACCGCATCGGCCAGAAGAAGGTCGTCAACGTGTACCGGCTGATCACCCGCGGCACTCTCGAGGAGAAGATCCTCAGTCTGCAGCGCTTCAAGATCGACGTCGCTAGCACCGTCGTCAACCAGCAGAACGCGGGCCTGTCCACAATGGACACGGACCAGATCCTGGACCTGTTCAACGTCGGAGATGTCGGCCCGAGTCTCATCTCGGACAAGCCGAACGACGCCATCGAAGGCAGGGAGGAGGACATGGTCGACATCGAGACGGGCGACGTCCGCCAACCCGGCAAGAAGGCCGCCTGGCTCGAAGACCTGGGCGAGCTATGGGATAACCGCCAATACGAGGAGAGTTTCGACCTGGACGGTTTCCTGAAGTCCATGCCATAACCTGGTCGTCCTCTCTCTTTCCCCTTCACGCGCCCTTTTTCATCTTGGCTCACGACAACGTCCTTGCTAGGATAATCGTCGGCAATCTTAGGGCGTTTGGCGTTCGGTGGTATCCCTCCGTATGTGGAGCTGGTTTTGTACTGTATACAATATTGATGTATGATCACTAGAATAGGTAGGCGTGCCCATCCATACGGATGCGCGACGCTTTAGATGCGGGCAGAATAGCCTAGCAGGAACAGGAGCAGTGTAGGAACAGACGAATACAATGAGGTTTATATTAAGTTTAATGTCTCCCTTTCTATCTTATATGGTGTAACATCGGTTGAACCTTTCCTCTGTCCAAATAGGCAGAACTTGGGAATCATGGTAACCGCCTTGACCGCCTTGCCTGCCCTTTGAGCAGGAGCCTTAGCCACCCTAACTGCCCTCAAGGAGGCAGTCTCTCAAGCCCTTCCTTATCTACTATTAGGTATCTCCCTCCCCCATCCATTACCCCCCTTTACCTAGTAGATCGGCTACTCCTCAGAGCTCACCTCCTCGTGCGAGCCCTCCTCCGCATCCCGGCCCGCCCCCGCGTCCTCGCCCTCGCCCTCGCCGTTACTCTCCTCCACCAGCGCCTCCTCGCTCCCGACGATCATACCCCCGAAATCCACGGGGCCCCGAAGGGTGGTCTCCTCAACCCACACCTTGAGCATGACGAACGGCCACCGGTACGGCTCCCCGGGGGGCGCCCACTCGATCTCGACGAGGCCGGCGTCGCGGCCGGGGGTCCCCGCGGCGGCGCCAGACTGCTCAAACGACGACTCGTACTCGGGCCGCACGTGGTACTGGTAGTGTAGGTTGTCCTCGACGCGCGCGTTGGTCGGCCGCGCGAGCGACAGGAACACCGACAGCGCCGCCCGGTTGGCCTGCCGGAAGCACGTGTGCCCACCGTGGGAGCCGGCCTGGTGGGTCGCGGAGCGGAGTGGATGTGTCGCTGCCGCCGCCGCCGCCGCCGGGCCCCTTAGAGCCGCTGCGGCGCTCGCGGCGCTGCTGTCGGCGTCGCTAGCGATGGACTTGTCTGGGTCTCTGGTTGCGGCGTTGTCGTTGTCGTTGTCGTTGTCGTTGTCGTTGTCACTACTGCTGTCGGTGTTGCTGCTGCTGCTGCTACCGCTGCTGCTGCTGCTGTCGTCGTCGTCGTCTGGGCTGCTATCCTTAGCCATGGGGCTAGTTCTGCCCAAGGGGACATGTTCCTCCTCATTATCCCCTGCCCCGGCTTCCTCCTCCTCGGAAGCAACCGTGCGCTCCACAGGAGCTGTCGCAGCCACCAGCTCCGCAGCAGATCCGCCAGCGACATCTCCACCCGCCCTGCCGGGGTAAACCCTCATCGAGAAGACATCATACCGCATCCGATACACCCCAGCCCTCTCCTTATCCAGCAGCACCGGCTCGGGCGCGTGCCTCCTCCCGTTCCGCGTGGCCAGGACGGCCGGCAGGTCCACGAGGGCGACCAGCTCCTCCCGCACGAGGAACACGTGCCGCTCCCCCGTGGCGAACACCGTCTCCCCCCTGAACGTGGCGCCCTCCCCCGGTCCGCCCTCGACGGCCAGCCACGCCTTGGACCGCACGGCGGCGCGCACGCGCGCGTCGTTGCGCGCCATGGTGTCCTCGGCGTGTCGGTTCGCGTCGGCGAGAGACGCGTGCGACCGCATGCGCACCTCGCGCACCGTCGCGTAAAGGTTGCCCCGGTCTAGGCTTGGCGTCTGCGCCTGCTGCTCCTGCTTGAACACCGTGTACGTGCGCACCGGCTGCAGGTCAGGGAACGCGTCCGCCGCCCGGATCGCCGGGATCAGCCCCCCCTGGCCCGGGATCCGGGCTGGGGGCGCTGCGGCTGGCGTGACTGCGGCATGGCGAGGGGTGGCGACAGCTGGAGTGCGTCTTGGGATGGGAGCTGCGGCGGGAGGGGCTTGGCTTCGGACAGGTAAAACATCTTCGTTGTCTGCTAGGCCGTTATTATGGCCCAAGGGAGGGGGCCGCAGCGGCGAGTCTCGGATTGGGAGGCGCGAGGCAGGCGGGGCAGGCTTGGCTGGGGCAGCAGAAGTGCGGAAGCTAGGGCCTGATCTGGCAGCGGCGTCGCTTGGACGATATCTGTTGCTAGACTGGGCTTTCCCTGGGCCTGGTTGGTTGAGTGAGGCCCGGCTGTTGGACGGAAGGTACTGGACGACTGTAGTTGTTGGCTTTGGTGAAAGCTTCCTCTTGAAGTGATTGAACAGGTCCTCATCGCTCTTGTCCAGTCCGCTGGCTGCAACTCCCTTCGTATGGCTGCTACTAGGGGCCTGTCTATTGTTCATGACTATGTCGTCTTCATCTCCCTTACTGACGGGGCCCTTATGCTTATTGACAAGGGCAGGGAGTCGAGCCTCGTGCTCAGCCTTGGTGGGCGGTGGGACGCCCAGTCCCGCAACTTCCTCGTCGCTGTGGCTCTGGTCCGCCTTAGGCTTGTTAACCAGGGCACGCAGCCGAGCTTCAATCCTGTTCTTCCGTTCAGGTGGGGGTACATCCTGCACCACAGCTTCTTCTTCGGGCCGTTTGTCCGCTTGGTACTTGTCGACGAGAACACGTAGTTGGGCTTCAGGCTCGGCCTTGCTAGGCGGGGAGGTGCCTAGCCCTGCAGCTTGTACTTCTTCGTCATCGTCCCGCTGGTCCGCCTTATGCTTATCGGTCAGGGCGCGCAGTCGAGTTTCATGCTCGGCCTTGCTAGGCGGCGGCACGCCGAGCACCACGACTTCTTCGTCATCAGCGCGGTGGTTCGCCTTGGGCTGTGCCGCGAAGTAGTTCTTCAGGGTCAACCCGTCTTGTGATAGGGCCCTAAAATTTCTGGCGTCTTGCTTCTTCGAGGCGCGGTGGGCGCTACGTCTCACGTTTCGGTTCATGGCGCGACTGGTGAGGTTGCCATAGAGGGGTGGGAACGCCCCTAACGGCGAGGGCCTTGAGCCGCTCGAGGGGATAGCTGCGGAGAATCCAAAAACGGCCGGAAGGGTTCGATGGTTGGCTTGCGCCCCCTTTTCTCCGGCCCCCTTGCTGGATTTGCCATTGTCCTTGAGGCCGCCCAGGGGAGCTCGGGAGAGCTTAGAAGGCCCTCCTCCGTCCAGATCTCCCTTCAGATCGTCATCCCTCTTCCGTTTTCCTCTTCCTGCAACTCCGAAGTCGTTGTTTTCTGAGTCATTGTCATGTTTCTGAATCAGGTACTGGGCCGAGTTCGGTGACTTGAATTGGCTCTGGCCGGCCATTTCGACGTCCTACCCAAAGTTAGCTTATCTGCCCAGGATAGTTCAGCTCTCAAGGATAGCTTACCTGACCAGGACGCTTTACCTGGCTGGATGGACCCCCCAGTCCCAGGAGACTTGGCTGGTGGCCAGAGTGACTGGCCCCTGAAGCTCTGGGTAACTCCCGACGAGATATCTGGCCGTGTGGATCATCCACCAGTTCAGGCTGCCGACCAGAGTAGCCGACCCCTGAGGGACTGGTCAACTCAAGGGAAGTCACCTGACCGCGCGCACTTTCCCTTTCAGGACTCTGGCCAGAGTAGGGGGCCCCTGATCCACTGGCCAACTCGAGGCGAGCCGCCTGGCCGCGTGCACCTGCCAGTTCAGGCTGCTGGCCAGAATATCCACTGGCCAACTCGGGGCGAGTTGTCTGACCGCGTGCACTCGCCCCAAAGGGGCGTTGGCCAGAGTATCCACTGGCCAACTCAGGGTGACTCGCCTGGCCGCGTGCACCCGCCCCTTCAGGGCCAGCCGCCTGCTGCATCTCATCAGAGCCTTCCTCTTTGCTGCTGTTAGCTGGGGTCTTTGCAATATCAGATTTTCACTTACCTATTAGATTCATGTCAGAAATATCGTGCAGAGAAGGCTATTGGTGGTGTTCTGTGCTGGCTATGGTGTCTAGATCTATTGTGGCAAAGTGGTGTAAGGGGGAAACATTGGAAATGCTGGTAAAGAAACTATTGCTTTTGGAATATGTGCTGGTTGGGTATGCCTAGTGAGAGGAAGGCAGTGTGTGTTGCGTTGGAGGAGAGCAGAGTGTGTGAGACAGTAGAGGGAGGAGTCGAACCACGGTGCGTATTGCATGAAAGGAGGGCAGTGTGTGTGAGATGGTAGTAGGAGGTGTTGAACCATAGTACGTGTTGCGTGGTGTAAGGTTTTGGGTGAGAGAAGGGCATTTTGAAGGATATCTTGGAAGGCACTTGTCAATCGTCTTAGACGGGCGAGAGCACCTGGTCTTAGTCCTGAACAGGCGAGAGCACGCGGTCTTGGTCCTGAACAGGCGAGAGCACGCGGTCTTGTTCCTGAACAAGCGAGAGCATGCGGTCTTAGTCTTGGATGGGCGAGAGCACGCGGTCTTGGTCTTGAACAGGCGAGAGCACCCAGTCTTGGTCCTGAACAGGCCAGAGTACTCAGTCTTGGTCTTGGACGGCAAGAGCATTTAGTCTAGGTCTTGGACAGCGAGAACATTCAGTCTTGATCTTAGTCTTAGTCTTGGACAGGCGAGAGCACCTGGTCTTGGTCTTGGACATGCGAGGGCATCAGGCTAGGCGAGAGCACCCGGCCAGGCAAGTCATGCTGGAATTAGGAAGAGTGCAGCTTGTCGTTCGAGGAATACTTGGTGAGGCGAGAGCACCTGGCCAAGGGAACTCATATTGGACAGGTAAGAGCACACAGTCAAGCAAGTCATGTTGTAATTGGGGAAAGGGGCATCTTGGGGTTCAGGGGAATACTTGGTTAGGCGAGGGCCCTTGTTCAGGGGGAATTGTCCTAACAAGGCGAGAGCACCCAGCCAAGCAATTCATGTTGTAAATGGGAGAAGGACTTGTCATTCTAGGGCTACATATCTTTGAGAGCATGTTGCCCTTCAAAATAAATTGTTTTGACCAGGTCAGAGCATCAGGTCAAGCAGTCACGTTGTAAATGGGATGAGAGAATTTTGTTGTTTAAGGGAAATCATCCTAGCTAGGCGAAAGCATTCGTTCAAGGAGAATTGCCCTAGCCATGAAGAGCATCCAGCCAAGCAAGCCATGTTGGACTGGGAAAAGAAGGGCTGTCTAACTAAATGTTTGAAGGGGCAAAGCAGGACAAGGGAAGAATAGCGTCTAGCAGGGGAACGATAAGGGGGGTTGTCATCTAGAAGCTTCATGTAGGAAAGGCATTATACTATTCAAGGGATATAAGGAAGATTTACTAATAATGTAGAGCAAAATAAATAAACATTGTAATACAAGGCAAGAGCAAAAAGTGTGAAGCATTGTTATTGCCAGAGTGATAGGCTGGGGGCAGGGACAGAGCAACGTGCGTCGCAAAGTTATAGTGAGAACAACATAGTAAAGGAGAAATCAATGAGCGTGAGAAGTAAAAGTGAGGGTCGTGAAAATAGCTAATTAGAGCATGAATAATGGGAGGAAGGGAGTCAAAGTGAGGACAGCTAAGAAAGTGGCAGAGAGCATTGGGAAAGATGTAGTGACAGCAGCTGCCAATAACTCTCTCTTCACAGCGATATCAATCAAGTTAAGAGATTTTCTGTTCTTTATGACAGAACACACCAGTTGATAACAGATTCAGTATGAAAGGTTCCTATAAAAGGTTGAGAGTCTCTTCATAACTCTTTGGGAAACTACAGACTATCAAGAGTTAGGTTTATTCAGAAGACTGGCAGCTCAAAGCTGCCTAAATTATACGTAGCAGGAAGAAGTAGGCAAGCTGATAAGATAGGTATATTAAGATATTTCTAACAGGTACCTAATATAAGAAGCAGTATGAGAACGACCATGTTTAGCTGGAAGAATCAGGGCACGGCCTCATTGATCTGCGACTTAAATCAGGAGCATCACCCAAGCCTCCTGGTAAAAGTATCTTGACAAAATGAGAATTCACAGGAGCGACAACAACCTTGTAGCACACTTCTCCCCTATACTTCTCGATTACCCTGGTCTCTAGTTCTGGACTCTGGAAGGGCTTGGGAGCGGTGCGTTCCTCAAATACATGCCGTCAAAGGCAGGAGGAGTGACAGGCAACGAAACCATATGTCATCCCCCAGTCATCCCATCAGAGCAAATGGCACGAAGTCAGAAGAGACATCCTCTCATTCCAGCCTCTAAATGTAGCTGACTCGGTTCAATATCACGTACCAACCAGGGAGAAAAAACTGGGCCGCCGAACTGGCTCCTCAGCCGCAAGATATCTGGGGGGTTGTGGAAAGGGAAGAATTGCCATTGTGATTATTAGTACGGACCTGATCCGGCATCCGGTAATACAATATTCGAAAACCACGAGAGCACCGATGAGCCCCGAGTGTCGTGGTGAAGCGACCGGGGGTCACCCCGCTAGCTTGCCAATCTTGGCTCGGGGCTAGGGCCGGCCCGGCCACACAGACGGGCAGGGCCTTGATGACAGGCATCAGCGCGGGCCGTCACATCAAGGGTCGCGGTATAACACGCCGTACTATGTATGTGCTGAAAATGCAGCTTGGGTGGCCCAAAACAGGCATGCTATGACCGCATCAGGGCCCAGCCTGCAGGATACTCGCAGCTGGAACTACAACAAGTACCCGCAAGTCACTATAATACGATATCTTTAAGAGCACTAGAGAGGGTTGCCTGTGCCCCTCGAGCCGCTCAGGGTCCGCACCTCATACTAAAGCGCTTGACCGAGGCGGCAATTATCGCGGGGAGAGCTTGACCCTCCAAGATAGGAATTGGCCAATAAGGGCCGGCAGGGCAGGGGCGAAACCTGAGAGCAAGAAAGATGCGTGCTAAACATTCGACGAAGACCCAAGACCTGGCTTACGCTCTAAAGGAGAAGCGAAGACTGACGCTTACAGGTCAGGGCATGCGAAGGCTTCCGGCCCCGACACGACAGGCAGCAACCGACGGGCACAAGTCTTCAAGATTCCGACAGGCGAACCCCGTCCCGATGAGGGTGGTGAGGGGCATCCAAGCAACGCGCGTTGCACGAGGGCCCGTGTGTAGTGCCATGACCACAGGCCCGGCTGAAAGAGAGAGAGCAGAGCAACAGCCACCTGCGCCTGAAGGACAGGCTCGTGGGTACGTGCGCTTGCATGCCTACCTACCTATCATGCACCCCAGACGGGTTGGGCCCCCAGCAGGTCGAATCTGCCTCTGAGCAGGCGATCATGGAGTCCCCCTCCTTCCCCCAGTCTGCGACAGTTTGGGGGGGAGGGGAAAAGAGGGCGGCTGGAAGGAAAGAGGGGGACCGGTCGCGCTCGTGCGTTTGCGAGTGCAGGACATTTGAATAGCTAAACAGGGGAGACAGACGGCAGGGCGAAGAGGTGGGGGGGAGGGTTTAGAAGCCAATCGACGAACAACAGGCAGGAGGGAGAAAGGTGAGGATTGAAAAGGGGGGGCGACCCAGAAGAGAAGATGAACAGGGCCACTTATTTCTGAATTTAGTCGCCAAGATGCGAATGCTGATAGGGCCCAGGTTACAACAGCGAGGAGCGGCATGAACCCCTGGGGAGGGGAGGGGAGATCATATCCGAGCGAGACCTACGCAACCTCAGGATAAATCCAGTGAAACCTGTTCTGCGGTGATGGCCCGGGCTGGGAGAGGCGCGACTTGACAGCCTATTCTTGTCGCTCTGCAAGATGGGGTTGGAATCGGCCCGTCAACCGCCTCGGGATGGATCGACCTTGAGAAATCGATGCGCAGGTGCGAGGAGGAATGGGTTGGTCCTGTTTGGGTGCGTGTGTAGACGAAGGCGGGCCGAATTGGGCGACGAGCGGGCCAACGGCTGAACCACCTGCAGCACCGTTGTTGGCAAGGGGCCAAAGGAAGGTTCCATTTTCCCCAGCTTTTCTAACCCAAAGGATTTCTGCTCATCTCGTCTCCGAGTCGACGGTCCGCGGAGTTGGGATTTGCGGTAACTCCTCGCATGGGGCCACATTGTGGCCCGTGATTCCTCACCCCAGTTGGATACCTATAAGCCCGATGAAGTGGACGGATTAATAGCACCAGAAACGAGAGCAGCCAGCAGCCCGCGAACATATGTTTGTCTATTCTCGTTTTCTCGTTTTCCGGCGGATTCTCGAGGCGGAAGCCGCAGACTCGTGCCTAGGTTCGGTCCAACTCAGAAAGAAAGGAGTCGGGTAAAAGGCTCAATCTCCCTCGACGACCTACTTTATCCCAGAAATATTCCAGCTGCATGCAGCCCTCCAGTTTTGTGCAACACCTGCCCCAGTCAATGGTCCTTCTCGGCTGTTGTTGTTGGTTGGGATACGCCCATTGACGGGGCAGACATGCCTCTCGAGTTTTAGAATCTGCAGAATCGAACCAACAAGCCGCAGGGCACCAACCACATGAACTTCACATGGGTCGAGATATGTTGGTCATCGTTAGAATACCACACGCGCAGAAAGACAACGCATGCCATCTGAAATCCCATTTCCATTTCATATGCGCCGTATCTATCAGCCTTTCAGCCGCATGCATAACGATCCCATATGCCTTGGAAACATGGGAGCAAGTAACAGAACACACTCGCCTGGGCTATCAGACAAGAACAATAACGACGACGACTACACTGTCTGCTTCCCCCCCTGGACCTGATAATGCCCGTCCCACATCCAAATGTTCTCGATCCGGGAGAGGGCGATGGGATTGCCCGCCGCGTAAACAAACAGATACCTGGCCGGTGTGGGGTGCTGGTCATACCAAACAATATAGATATATATATCGAAGTCCCAAATGTCTTCAGACGACATCCATGGAGACCTCCGTCGAGATAGTGTTGTAGACTGCCGAGACGGACTGGCCTTTCCAAGTAAATAGCAGCCCTAACCCGTTTTTCTAAACTTGCCCATGCCCATGCCCATGCCCATGCTGATGTGCAATCCGTCCTCGGTCTGGGAAATAAAGTGTGTGGACTGTGCCCACACCCTGACAATCCGGGGGGTAAAACGAAGCGATATTACGCGATATCGCCGAGTAAACTGGGCGCCTCAATTCCGGGGATTTCTGCCGAAAGAGGTACGATTTCCGCGTAGAGATATAGTTGTTGCATGGTTTTTAGAGCAAGAGGTGCCCCGATCGCCAAGGTAGATGTCCCCACAACCAGTCTAGCACCGGAATTGGGGATCGAGGTTCGGACCTTTTAAAGGCGACACTAACCGTGATGGCATTTCCTTGCCTGCGTTGAATGGAGTCGTTAAGGTCGTCGTTTTCGTGTTAATATGTCGCATGATTAACTTCGTTCGCCAAGGTTGGAATTTGTCGAGCACACCTCGGCGCAGGTCCAGAAAATGCAGCAGGACGGCGGTTATGTGGGTGGCTGGCGGGTGAGAGGAGGATGGTGTAGGAGTTTGTCATGCTCATAGGAAGCCGGATTCTGCCAGGACCCTGCATTGTGACACAGCCCGAATTAGCTCATGACCTCGAAGTAGTACTGTAACGCCCGAATATGAGTGTAGAGCATGGGAGTGTAGAGTAGGGAAGCGTGATGGACAAACCCGGCCTCGCCGATCAAGCAGCAAATAGGACACCTCTACGTGACGCTATGCGCGCCACGCGCTCACGCGCATTTCCACATACCTTACAATCTTTTCGTCCTCTCTCTCGCGCGGCTCGATCTGCAAGCTCTTGTCGTACATCTCGTGTACATCTCCAGCAGCTTGCATGTTGCTCAAAACATAGTCTTGCAACTCTGGGACCGGTTGGAGAGAGTATGCGACGTTCTGGTACTGCTGAATATCCCGGATCACTTCGGCTGTCTTTGATCGCTTTGCAAAGTTGATCATGTTGGTCTTCTTGATGACCGAGGGTATGCCGTCCTCGATGAAGGTGAGGTCGGTCAAGTAGACACCTGGAATAGCACGAACGCGGTTAGATTGCTGCGCGTCTTTCCGAAAAGGGGTGGCATTGGAAGGTTGCTCACCAAAGAAGGGAATGCAAGGTGGGTTAGCAGCATGCAGCGTTTCCCTGTATTCCCCGAAATTCTTTGTGCTGGCCATCAACTTCCGCATGGTCTCGAGGTTGACGTGGACGCGCTGGGGAACCTGGTCCCATGTCCGTTTGAGGCGCGCAATGGGCGCTGTGCCCAGCGCTGATATGATAGAAGTCAGGGTGGAGAAATTGTTCAGAGTCCGGCATTTCTGTTTCCTTGTCAATATAACTGCCTTTCTTGATATATATATATATATATATATATATAGAGAGAGAGAGATGTACTCACGTCGGCAACTGCAACAAAGTGCTTGATAACCACCACTCGCTTCCTCACATCGCCCTGCGCAAGAATCATCTCAGCGACCCAATTGGTCATCTGGTTCGAGTGCAGGATGAGCGCCTTGACGTTGGGCGCGGGCTCCGGCTCGCCCTCGCCAACCTTCTTCTGCCACGTCTTGTTGAGACATTCAGTGAGCTTGATTTTACCGTACAGCCGGGATTCGATTATGGTAAGCTGCCGGGCAAACTCAACGACGTCGATGTCGAGGAATTTGAGTTTCTTCATGTTCCTCGGCATGATTGGCGCCGGGGTGTTCTGATTCACTGTCTGGATCATGCGCCGGCCGACTTCCTTGCCGCTCAGCCGCTGATCTATAACAGCCATCAGTGGAGCCGCTCCCGCTGTTTCCGTCGACTTGACCGTGTCCCTTGCAAAGCTGTAGACATCCCGGATCAGCTGCCTCGTCTCCTCGCCTGGTTCCTCGAACCAGAAACCGTCGAACCACATCCTGAGAACGTTGACAACCCGCAGGCGAATGGGGATTTGCTTGCCCACGCGCCAGGCATCGTAGTCGGACTGGCTCAACCCTTCGGGCGGCTGAATGTTGAACCTCTTCACCAGGAGCTCAAACAGCTCGCGTGCCGTCGTGAACGATCGGTACGTGAGAAGGAAGGTGTTGTTAAAGTTCGAATCGAGTTTGTCATGCCGGGTCACCTGCTCTACCAGAGCCATGAGGGAACCACCTTTGATGGCAGGGGGCTGCGACTTGAGGTCCCAGGAGAGCTCGAGCTCGTAGTCCAGCCGCATGAAGAGGGGCACGTCATCCATGATAGGCGCAATCGGTGTGATGGGCGACGGGTTTTGGCCAAAGAATTTTGCAAGTTTAGTAGGATCGCCCTTGTTGATGACCCTGGGAGCCCCCTCGCCCTCAGTAAACGACTGCGATCCAATCATGGCCGGCCTCATGAGCCCGCGCGACTCGACACGCTGATGCGATCGCTCGTAAGGCATTGTGTCCCCTCTCTTGAGCTGCTCCCGTTGGAGGCCATCGTCCCTCATGCGAGTGTCCACTTGCTGCTTTTGCTGCTGTTGCAGATTGATCTGTACTTGCTCCGAGAGTAACTGGAGAGAGAAGCCGATATGGGACGAGTTTGTCTCCAGAGCTCTTGCGCAATGTCTCACATATTCCAGCCTTTCCTCCAGCGCCTGGCCACGAACTTCAGCCCATTCATCCGCCAGAGGCCCGGCGACGGCTTGGCAGCCTAAAAGGAGGTCTGAGACGTTGTCGTACAAGCTCTGCTTGTTCGTGCTGAAATCGGATAGTTGTGGGGTCTGGAAGCTGTTGCCCAGCGACGATAGATCTATCGACTCGATCATTGCAATCCAGGGCTTGAACATTTCCAGCACCTTTCCGCCCGCGGAACAGACGTTGTTCCCAACGACTTCGTGCTTGAAAGGCGTGATGATCTTGTCCGTGACGACGAGGTTCTTGTCCAGCTCTCGGATACTCGACACGAGCATTCGCTTGAGCTCGTCCAATCTCTCTAGCAGCTTCCCGTCGAGGATGGCCGTCGGCTCAATCGCTCCCTCGTCGTCTTCTAAGAAGTTGGATGCGATGGGGTCACGAGGCCCTAGCCCATTGTTCTGCCAGCTCCCGCCCGCGTTACTCCCGATGACGAAGCCAGGGAAGAGGCGGGGGATCTCCTCACCGCGTTGCTGCCTGGCGACATCGACGTAGCTGAAGACGCCTAGCAGAACGCCGTCTGCCTCCTGAAGACATTTTTGGACCGACTCGGCATTGGGCCAGTCTGCAGAGGCAATATGCGAGGAAATGACAAGCTTGGAGAACTTGGACATCATGTCTCGGAAATGCGGGTAAAGGGCCTTGTTAGTAGAGATGATTGAAGGTTGGCCAGAGTGGTTGTCGGTCGTGCCAGAACCGGCGGCGAGGAGCAGGCGGAGATGATCCGAAATATCCTCCGCTCTGGCTACATATTCAGACCGGTTACTCGTGGCTATGGCCTCGCGGTACCGGTCGATGGCCTTCTTCATATTCGTCACCAATCGATTCCATGTGAGAGGTGGGGTGGACCCATCGTCAAAGAACGAGCGGGGTATCGTGGCTGCTGTCGGGAGGTTAAACGTCGTGCTGGTGAACGAAGTAGCCGCAGCTATGGCAGGCGTCTGGCTCAGACCAGTATTTGAGAAAGTATCGCTTCGGCCAATCCTTGTGGCTGGCGACTGCCCGTTGATCGAATCCATCGAGGTGGCAGGAGATATGCCTTCGTTGCCATACTGTTGGCGCGTGCGTGCCTAGACAGACGTGTGTAAGTCATCACTCTCAACAAAGCCCTAGATGGATGCAACCAGGCCCCTGGGAGCAAGTAATGTTGCAACTTACCAGTGCGCTCCGTGACGCCAACATAATAGACTCTCCCTCGAGCTCTGAAGCTGAGTTGACGTCAGACTCGTCCCCTTCGTCTTGCATCAGGCCTCTAGCCATCATCTCGGGAGGCGGCCGTGTCTTGTCAGGGAAGTTGACGTTCATGCGGTCCCTAGGGCCCGTTTCGGTGACTGACGATGGAGATTCGAGCGGTAGCTCCATGCTGCTTTCGCCTGTCATGGTATTGTAATAAAATAGTCTGCCATCGGGAGTCGCTTGCGGTATCCAGAAGTCCGCCCTCGACTTGTCCCCCTCGGTCCCTTCGAGCGGCAGTCCGGAAGTGTCATCTTGATCAGAACCCTCATCGTCGTCAAAGCTCTCATCATAGACGTCGACATCTTCTGGATCCTCATCGCCGTGGTCGTCGACGCCGTTCTGGTCGGGTTCGGGGAGTTCATCGGAACTAGTAATGGCCTGGCAGTAATTGCTTGGAAACCAGCCTCGGACTCCGTTGATGACGCCATCCCACCATCCGCTCTCCAGCTGGGTAATAACCTGGATGATATCTCCCTCGTGGAAGCTCAAGCTTGTCCTGTCGTCCGCTTCATAGTCGTATAACGCCCGAACGTACATGGTACCGGGCGGCGCCGTACCCACAATACCGTTCATCTGTGACAGCGAAACCTGCTGGTCGGAGGGGATGTAAGAATTAGGATCACGGGGGAAGTCGGAGCGGTCCAACGACACCGGTTCGGGGGAGTCGAGAAATTGGGAACGGTTTGCAAGATCGAGAGGATCGGAGGTGAAGGATGGAGATGAAGAGGCTCCGGCGGCGGCAGCAGCAGCAGATCTCTTGGAGCGAGAGTCGTACGAAGCGTTGGAATTCTGACCCTGGAGTGCCGACACTGCGGACTGTGTCATAAGCATGGCTGAAGTTGTCGTAAATTGTATTGAAGCGGAAAGGGCGAGGGGAACTAGGTCATGGTTCAGCCACTCAGCCTTGTTCCGTCCTCATCATCTTCAAGTAGTATCTGAGTGTCTAGATGCAGGAATGCGACGAGATGGTCGTTTCGACTGGCCTCGTCAATGGCTGCGGCAGCAAAGTCGGGTTACTTTCCAGGTCGTCGCACGGCGTTCTGGGCGCTAGAAGGCCGAGGTAGGATGATGATCGCGATGGGCGATATGAGTGGTGGATGGGCTGGTCAGCGGGCGGGTAGGAAGTGGCGAGACGACCGGTGCAATTCGCTGGTTGCTTCTTGTCCAGAGGAAGAGAAAATGATAGGTGAAAAGGCCGCAATTCAGGGAAGGAGCGAATGGGAACTATTGGGCGGCAACTGGCTCGCGCTCGGGCACTCTTCCCTCTCTCCTTTTGTCTTGTTACTCGTGCTGCTGTAGGTCGTGGATGCTCTTCGTTCCTTGTAAACCTTCGACCTTCTTCGGTTTTTCCTTTCCTTTTTTTCGAATCAGGAGAGGCGGAGATGGGGGGCCCCTGTGTCAAAGCTCGAAAAGGTGATAGGTGATAGAAGCGGGGGAGTTTTAGGTAGGATAGGCGGATTGCTGGGCAATTCAATTGGGCAGGCCGTACGCATCCGTACCTAGTGTAAAACTACGGGTGCATCAGGAGGGGCAGCTAGGGTCACCAACCAAAAATGAACGAAAAATTTGGTAAAAAAGGGCTCTTGTACACAAAAACTCCCCCTTTCTTAGGCCTTTTTTATCCAGTTAATCCTGTCATAGATAATTACTCTATCATTGTCCGCCAACAAGACGGAGACCATAACGGGTAGCAAAATACTGAGAGTCGCTACTCCTGTCGACACACTGCAATGAGTCAATGAGGAGTTGGTTGAAGGAAAATGGAGACGCTCTTCGGTACACACGGACCTGCACGGCCCACCCGCCCCGCCTCTCCACTGCACTATGAAGAAGCACAGACCACATGCAGCCGCTAGTGGGTATAGAATGTACACCTAGAGGTACACTCAAGTACGGAAGTACAGATAGAACCTTATAAGGGAGGCTCTTTTCGTTCCCTTCCCACTGGACTTGTACCTGGCACTGAGTCTCGTCATCATATCAACCTGCTCTCGAACATCATCGGCCTCGTAGCAGGTCAAACAATCATGATAGCGAATATACATACATTTCCCTATCCATGACAGGGTCCCGCCAATCACCCTCACAAGACAGGCTAGATATGCACCAGGATACTTGTTAGGTGGCCTTGGCCAGTGACTATTGGGGTTGACCCATCGCGAGAGCGACACTGACAGCTTGGTCTGGGGGCTGTGGAAAAGGGGGATCGGGAAATTCAATCGGTTGATATTCAAATTGCCCTTCTCATGGAGGAAATCCTTTGGGATGCCGTGACCGGGCACAGTCCAGTATTATCTCATCTTATCGAACCGTGTCGGAGGCACGGCCGCAGGGCCGCTCCCACGTCCTCTACAACGTACTACATTTTTGTACATCCATCTCTTCGAAGAGCAAATGACTTCCCATCGAGTTTCAGTTCAGCGAACATTCCTGTCTTCAATGTCTACTATGTACGCTGTCACAACCTCCTGTTTACTATGTACTACCCTTGTGGCCACCCACGTTTTCTTGGTAACTCGTAGAATTAGCAGGCGCTATGGAGTAGGTACCTCGCTACCTAGTTAGCGAGCTTCTAAGAGTGTTCGAGAAGCCCACGATAGGTACTCGATAAGCCACTCGAACAGCTTACTGTTACCTTACATATGTAGTGACCTGTAACTAGCCGCAGGGACTCGTTGTAGCTGGCATTCAACTTACGCAGAGTCCGTCGTTGTCCCGATGTCGTACCGGTTCCTACATATGCGTATACGGACGGGCCCCGGTTTCTATCTCACCATCGCGCTGTTCAGCGTTTGGCCCGTGTTGCCTTCCTAATACAAAATGTTGGCCAGCTTACGGCCGGGGTGTCCCACAAGGATAGCAGCAAGTAGGCGGCATCAAGTATCACGGAGGCTACGGAGGCCTCTCTTGCTCAGCTGATCGCTTGATCTCACTATCGGCCTTGTCGCCCCGTCCAGTCAGCGTCGTTCCGGGTTGGAAATCCTCAGCAGTCTATCTGAACATATTGCGGGGCCGCTGCTAAGAGCACTGATCAGATAAGCAGGTTCGTGGGAGCTGATGTATTGCTGTCAGTACCTTCCCCAGAAGCTACACCGAACCGAGATCCCCGGCGTCTCGGCCATCACCTTGTTATCTTACTCGAAATTAATAGTGAGATGACAGGAGCTCAAAGGTAAGGACGGGATTGCAGGTTGTCGCCACCGGGGGGGTCATCATGGTCCACCACGGGTAACCGTTGACCAAGCCAGGAAGATTTTCTAGCCATTAAGGTCAGTCGTGGGAGGCCCAGGTAGTTGGGACATGCTTTGGGACATGCTTTGAGCCTCAGTCTTGGTGGGACCCGGGCAATGAGCATGGGATCTCAACTGGGAGGGGACGACGAGAGCGACAATGGAGATATCATCCTTAGGAAACCCCACTAAGTACGACGTCCAGGGGGGGAAGGCACTCGCTTCTTGGAACTGGAACGGCGAAGGTGCTGGGGCTGACGCCCTCCAGGTCCAACACGCCTGGGACACGCCTGGGACAAGAAATGGGCGTCTCCAGCTAGAAGTCAAACAAACAGAGACTTGAATCTCTAGGCCACCGCTTGGTTGCGTCTCTTCACCGTGCCAAATCTGCAGCCTGGCGAGAGGATGTTGATCGGCGGTCCAAGGATCGAGTTACTGGTAATGCCTCAGTTGGGGACAGAGTCCAGTTACCCCCACGGATGGCTCATAAGAGCCAAGCCTGGTTCCCTTTCTGGCTGCTCCTATCACTTGATAGATCAGAGAAAGCACGGGAAGATGCAGGTGTGATTCAGGTACCCGCAAGTTAAGAGCAGAACCATCCGAAAATTTCCTCCCTTTCCCGTAAGGTCGTGTCTAATATGCGGATTTCCAGTTTGAGGTTCTATTTGGAGCCTCGCCGTTTGCAGTTAGTTCTTCGACACCCGCCGAGATGCTGTGGTCCCCGAGATGACCAGTTCTAAGTGACTCTGGGCCACTCCACGGAGCCGAGTACGTCCAGATTTTGAGGGCTGTTCGGCCATTGCAATTTTCTTGGTGTGTGACCCCCACTGCCCCTGGAATGACGACTTTTCTTTTTTTGTTGCTGGATATGCGGTGTGCAACGCAGCTCGCGCCCAGACAACCCAAGAAGCAATTTAGCGCCACCATCAGATCTCTCAGGACCTGAATGACGATCTTCGGAGACAGCGAGGTGTCCCAAGTCCCAAGGACTTTGCCCCACTACCGCAGCAGAAGCGAGATCTGGGTTCTGGATCGTACCATTCTGGCGGAACTCCTTGGACGACGATTGGCTTCAATTTCGTTTTTGGGAATGGCATTTTCCCCTGTCTGTTTTGAAATTCGAAAACCTGTCTGAGAAAGGACTGAGAAAGGTGAGCCCCCTTTTCAGTTCCCTGCTTGAACTCTGAAGGGAGGACAGGAACAAGAAGTGAGTGACCCCCTTGTGGGGCTTCCCAGGTTAGCGGTACACTAAATCTGTCATTTTCCAGGCCATTGGCTAAAACACGTGGGGCTTTGTGGCTCCCGGAACGCTGCCGCGGACTGGGGAAAGAGAGGTTTGGCCTGCAACTGCACTAACATTAGCGGGTAATAATGACAGCTGGGCTCCGAGAAGTCCTCGCCTTGACCGGGAATCCTCGGGTCTCAGCTGACCGGCCCGCCAGCCCCCCAGCCCAATGCCCATAGCCTAAACTGATCTGTTAGTTCTGCTCAGTCTACTCACATCGACCATTTGCCTATAACAATTACTCTTACGCGTACAAATCGGAGAAGAATTGAGAAAGGTATCCCGTATTTGCTGCCTAGCGCATTATCGAAGTGGATGCTGGGAATGGAAAAGTAGGTAACTCCGGGTCTCACATTTCTCTCGACAATGGCTCGTGCGCAGGAGTGGGAGTATGCATGGCCAATGCGGTTCGCTGATCCGAGTGGGCTGGCGGGGCATCCAACTACTGCCCCTCGTCTCTGCATTGATGGACCGATGGAAGCTTCTTTGGAAGACTGGGGTCCCCCGAAAATGCATGCACTCCAGCCTGCCTGCCCGTCGGAACTGTCCCTGGCCCTTGCCAGTTGCTTTCCCAAGATAGAATCCCACTCCGTTTGTGAACATGATGTTCGAAAATTGGGAAATAATGCCACGGGTCCCAAGATTAACGCAATTTGGTCCCACTGTCCGAGAGGCAAGACAGGCCGCTCCGACGGTGTTAATACTCTCGTACTCCGTAATTTCAGCAGGAAAATTTTTTCCTTCTTCTCATTTCCTAGCACTTCCAAGTTCTGAGGGATGGATGCCCTTCATCAATCAATGCTTGCTTTTTGGGGCGGTTTATCATCCACGCTAACTCCCGCGATGGGACGGATGCTGCCGCTGTTTCAGCTCAAGACTCAAGAGTTCATATTGATAGCTTCTCAACTGCTTGCCACCATGCGCAAACGGGCAACGTGTTTGTACAAGCCAGGAATAAACAGTAATCACACCTCCCAGAAGGATCCCGGCTGTGAAAAAAAGGCCACAAGAAGTCTCTCTTCCGTTAGTGAGGTTCCATGTGAATACTCGACGACATCCGGGATACGTAAGTATTCTGTACGGAGTACTGATTAGAGCATCCGTATGTTGCTTTATACTGTGTCACACACGGTGGGAAGCTAGGTACGTTAGGCTGGTCGTCCGAAATGGTACTTTCGGAGGCACGCCAGTGGGGTAAAGGTTGCTGCGTTTATGTGCACTTTAGCGTTCCTCCTACGTGTTCCTTCATACGTGGAGCGAGATCACGCCTCGTGCCAGTCACTCCCTGTATCTTGGGTGTTCAACCCTACCGCAGCAAGTACGTTTAAGGGCAGCCCCTGGAAAGATTCTTCTTGTCCATTGACGCAACTGGTCATGTGCCTTCATACAGGCCACCGTCAGAGCAAAAGTGCTGAAGAGGCCGCGATCTGCTATCTCACAGTCACATGCCCTCCGGATATGCCGAATTACGTCGAAAAGAAGCGCGCTCCAGCTAAGGTAGTCCACACTGCACAGCGCCGGACCTCTTGACCCCTCACTTTCCACGCTTTCTGCCCCTCCATTGACGCAGAGCTTCCGATGACCGATGACCCCTCTTTCTCTTGCCGGTCCAAAGCCGAGGGATCTGAAAGGGCGGATAGTTGTCGACTGCTGTGGCCTTTATCAGCGATAGGCAGCGCTTCCACGTCAAAAACCAGCCTTGCGACTTGAATGTGGCAATCTTTTGATGCAATGAATGGGCGGACTGGGCATCAGCCTTACTTTCCACTGCAGTACACGTGTACCGACCCGGTCTATTCGCACATTGAATTTTCATGCAACCAGTCGCTGCTCACTGTTCCATGGCACCTTAGGGGCACTCATTATCGCTATTTTGGGCATGCCGCCAGCGCGGGTATGCATTTCTACCTGCCCCGTCTGAACCGTGGAGCAGATTGTGGATGCTATCTCACGGCTTGGCCGGACGACATCCAGACAACCTGTCTTAGCATCCCCTCACCCCTGGTTCCAGCGCCCCTCCAGCACAGAGGTGCACTAGAAGGTGTTTCCAAACTTGCACCCAGCGGTCAAGAAACCTTCCTTCGATTGGAAAACGATATCACAGCAGCATCCGGACCCGCGATGAGAAGCGCCGACCAGCCCGTCTAGTTCATCTGGGATGTAGGGAACAATTAAAGAGCGTGATAAATGGACAGATTAAGTACCTCGACGCGTCTGTGAGCGAGACAACGAACGGTGGCTTACGGACACGGTACCCAAATTGCACTGGAAATTGGAAGGGGGAAACGGAGCTTTCTTTACGTTAAGTACAGCCGGGACGCGTGCGGTTATGTACTTACTGGGTCGCGGCGACCACCAACAAAGGCAAAAGCAATGACAAGGCGCAGCATGGTCTCTTTTTCATACGTTACCTGACTGGATTCTTCGCCAATCGCAAGCAGCGAGGAAGCAGAGAGGAGGCACTGCAGCTACAGATACCTACTCGGTGGTGATCAATGGGCTTGACTTGCTTCTTGGGTGGGACGTTTCGACCAGATTCTGTACACCATCACGGCGTGACCCCACGCTGTCTTGGTACTCGGGACTTGATGGTTGTGCAGGGTGGCTGGGAAAAGCCCCGTAAACAAAACGCAATCCGTTACGAGAGTGGGTACCTAGTACCTTAGATGTTGCCCCCAAAGGCCCGGTGACTAAGCCTAAATTGGATAGGCAATTTGCTTGCTGTTTGCTGTCCTGGGAGTGGGCTTCCAAGGCCTTGACCGACCCCACCCCCTTTTGAGCAGGGTGGCCACTGCTTCACATCATTTTTGCACTGTACAGTACAGCCAAGGGTGTGTGTATTATGAATTGCATATCTAGCAGCTATGTCGGCAGCGGGGCCAAGAATTTCAGCAGTGCACACTGTCCCAGACAGGCCACCTTCCTGGCAAACGCAGAGCTGCCCCCTCCTTTCACGCCTGTCCCACTCCACACCCCCTCACCCCCAACCACGTCCACCTGCACCTGCACCAGCTCTCCCTCTTTCCCGTCCTCTTCCCTCTTAAAAATTTCCCCTCCTTTTATTTTCCCACTTTCTGCCATCACTCCCCCTCCTCGATATCGTCAACCATCGACAGTTGTCGCGAACATCAATCCACCAAACCTGCCCTAATAGTCTTGCTGGAGTAGCAGGACGACGTCTTCTTCAAGACCCTTTTTTTTTTTCTCTCTGGCCGCCGGCCGCCCTAATCAACCCCTCAACCCCACACCTTCGATGACAAGGTTACCACCACAAATGAGCAGCATCACCCCTCAAAGTCAAAAAGACACACTTTAAATCCTACGGGAGCGCGCGCGAGCGAGGAGTCAGACGGTATTCAACTATCGTCTGTGGAGCGTCAAGAAGACTTCCGAGTGCCGTTGTCATTGTCGTCGCCGTCAAACCCTCTCCCTGTTTACCGACCGTGTTCCTAGCGGGTTTCGAGGTAAAAGAGAAACGCGACGTACATTCAAGATGCCGGGCGCGAGCGTGGCCGTTCTCCCCACCTCCGCCTCTTCAACGCCGGCCTCGCGAAAGGCCTCCCTCGTGCCGGAGCGAAAATACAAGTGCCAGTTCTGCAACAGGGCTTTCAGCAGAAGCGAGCATCGCAGCAGGCATGAAAGATCACGTATGTTCCCAATATTCTCGCCCCTCTCTCCATCCCTCCCCCTCCCATACCAACCCCACCAATTTTTCCCCCGTCCACATTTTATCATTCTATCTCCCATCCTGTCGCGTCCCAAACTCGATTCCGCTCTGTATCGTCAGACTGACCGCCGTTCATCCAGACACCAAGGAGCGTCCCTTCAAGTGCATGAAGTGCAGGAGCACATTCGTGCGACGCGATCTGCTTCTCCGACATGATCGAACGGTACATGCGAAGGATGGTGGTGTTCCCCTCCACAGCGACGGCAAGCGTCGCGGAGGTCCAAAGGCTAGGACCGTCGCCGGCCCCTCCAAGTCTTCAATCGCCATCGACCCTTCGGCTCTGGAGCAAATCGAAGCCAGTAGCGACGGTATTTTCGACGTCGAAACCGCTGCTATGCTCGTTGCGGACCTTCATCACAAAGCCACCGCGGCTGTCCGTTCGAACGACGGCCCGTACGATGGCGGCTCCGGCATGGCGTTTTCCCAGAACGGCTCTGCCGTCATGGAGCCCTCGGTGAGCTACCCGTCAAGCATTCCGCAATGGGACGGCTTCATGTCGCAATCCGTGGCAGAACCTAAGGCCCATTCCATCACCTCGAGCATGGCCGGATCCTTCGACTCGCACCACCAGCATCCCAACCAGCTGCCGCCAATCAGCAGCCATGGCGTCAACGGTCTGGTGCCAGCACTGCAGACAATGATCAACTCGCTTCCTCCTGCTGCCGGAAATTCGACTCCCCAGTCACCTCACCGGACTCAGACCCCGATTGACCCGTCAGGCTCGACCGGCTTGAAGGCTCCCCAGGTCACCGGTGATGAGGAACGGAACGTCATCCTGGACAACATCCGCGGCGATGACGACGAGCACGCAATTCCCGAGGGATTCCGCCTTCCGAATCTACCATCGCTCAACCGCTATCTGTCCACGTATTTCGGCATGTTCCATCATCACCTGCCATTCCTGCATCCCGCCTCGTTCGAGCCCACTCAAGTCTCGCCTGCGCTGCTGCTTTCTGTCCTCTCCATCGGCGCTCTCTATGCCTTCGACCAAGAGCAGGCGTACATTCTGCACATCGGCTCAAAGGTCCTGGTGAACCAGTTTCTCCAGAACAGGGAGAACTTCAGCTCTCGGAAATGCCCGCTCTGGACCATGCAGAGCTCTTTCCTGAACATGATCTTCGCCAGCTGGAGCGGCGACCCCAAGGGACTGGAATGGGCTTGCTCGATCAAGAGTTTGCTGGCCAACATGGTCGCCGGCAATCGCTACGAGCTGAAGTTGAGGCAGGAAGGCCGCGGGGGCCGTCCGGCCACGCGCGCCGAATGGGTCGAGGATGAGGGCTGTAGGCGAACATACTACGCAGTGTACATCTTCTTCGGTCTGTTGACACTCACGTACAATCACACGCCGGCAATCAGTTTCAACGAGTTTGAAGATCTGCAGCTTCCGTCGACCGAGGGTCTCTGGAACCTCAAGGTCTCGGACGAGGCTACGTGGCAGGACCATCTCAAGGTGTCTCCCAGCGTGACCTTCATGGATGCGCACGAGAATCTCTTCCAGGGCGAAACGCTCAAGTACAGCGCCTTTGCGACCCGGGTCATGATCAATGCTCTGTTCCTGGAGGTGTGGTACCACAAGCGCAGCCCCGAGGCTCTGCAAGACGTCGTTACCGAGTACAAGCTGAGGCTCGCTCTCGAGACGTGGGAGAAATCCCTCGATTTCTGCGAGCCCGAGGACACGGTCCCGCTCAGGGCTCCGCACAAGGGGCATCCCCTGCTCTTCAATGCGAAGGCGCTCTTCCGCAATGCGCGTGCCCGGCTCGAGGTCGACCTGAAGGCAGTTCAGGAGGCTCTCCGGTATCACGACTCGTACGAAGTCGCAGCCGCCATGTCCAGCGCACGTGACCGGGTAAAGCGGTCGCCCGAGATGCTCAAGGTTATCCAGGAGTGCTACGATTGCATTGAGACGGCGGTCGTGCACGGAGTCCGCTGGGTGGCGCGAACTTCGCCGACGAACTGGAGCATCGAGCACCCGCTCTGCGGCATGGACCTCATGATCATTCTGAGCCTGTGGCTCTATCGTCTGGAACATGACGAGGAGCCCGCTACAGAGGAGGAGTTGGTCATGTACAACAAGGTCCGACAGCTCTTCGACAAAGACCTGGATGAGACTTATATCTCACACCTGAGCTCTATTGTGGCGCGTCTTTGGGGATCGATGCTGGACGAGGTCGTGGTCTGGGGGTAAGTTCCAACCCAATCCAACCCAATACTATGCAGCAGAATACCTATGCTGTGTCCCCGCTGTTGTCGAGGTTCCATGCTGACTTAATTCCTCCACAGAATCGCTCGTCTTATGGGCGAATCGTTCCGGCTCCATTCTCAGGCTCTGGTCGGCTATGTGGACGACGTCGCAGCGTCCTCGAGTGTTTCCACCCCTTCGATGACCTCGCAAGGGGCCGACGAAGATAGCGTCTACTAGCCTTGAACGACGTTTTGACGATTTCCTTTGTCTGACAGGAGGGGTGGGTTCCGGTTTTCCTTGGCATATACCTGTGTGCGCGTTCTCGACTGCAGACTGTCTCGTTTCGGTTTCGGCGCGGAGGGGTTTTCTTTTCTTCGTTCTGACTTTTCTTTCCGTTCCTGCCTACATTTCGCGTTCTGCATCGTTTCATGGTCTCTGGCAACAATGGGGGCGGGTTTGGCAACAACAGGAAGAATTTCTCATCGGTTCCAACGGGAAGGGAGGAACCACAGCGCTTCCTGGCGCAAACCTAATATCTGCAACAAGTTTGGCTGGCCCATAAGAAGGAGGGATTTTTATTATTTTTACTTCCCCTTGTCTCATTAGCTACGGCACCCCTACAGCTCTATTTAATGGCCCTCGCGTCAGTTCTCGACTCTCTCTGGCCATCGCCTCGTCTTCGGTTTCGACTGTCTCCCGGATACCTTGTTCCATATACAATTTGCTTTTCTCTTATTTTTCTCTCCATCTTTCCTTCTACGCTTGCTTTTTTTTTTTTTTTTTTTTTTTTGCTTCCACGCGCTCCTTTGCACTGAACTTCTTTTTGTTCTACTGTTGTACTAGATACGGACAAGGTCGAGGTTGGGTGGCGGGGCGAACCAGGTTTCGGAAGCTTGTTTTTTCTTGAGCATCGGCACAGAATTGCCTTTCGCCAACAGGGAGGCTCGTTTGGCACAAGATTGACAGATGCCGGCTCAAATTCCGCTGGAGGCCGGTCTCGTACAGTCGGACTGTATAGATACTTGGCGAGGGTTTTCTAGCATTCCAAAACATCGCTTCTCTCCTGACTGATGGCTCCCTCGATGACTCCTGTCGTGACCCTCGCCCCTCTCTGCTATCTTCAGCGCTCCCGGGATGTGAACTAGCCTCGGGCGGCAAACCCACCATCTTCTTGAGGTTGACTTCTGTGTTTGCGATGACCCCCTAACCCAAGTGATGCCAGGGCGTAGGTCTCAAGGTAGCACCAAACACATGTCTCCAACCATACCCACTGCCCATGAAGCTCTATCCCTACGTGTCGCGGAAGAGGGTTTGCAAAACGGTGGCCTCGACAAACAGAAAGCAAAATAGACGCTGAGCAATCCCCGGGGGTGCGGGAATGTGGCCGCATTGGCTCCAGGTCCGGCAATGGGGACCGGATGCCTGCATGATACTGTGCTTACACCCGCCATCCAGGTCACTATTATTGACGGCGGTAGGTAGGGATAGTCAAGCTAAAGTCCTTCGCCAAAGCTGGTGTCCCTCGTTCCTGTACTTCCCTCCCGCGTGGCCTCCGTCCCGTTTTGGTTCATGTGTTAAAGCCTCCTGGTTTGGAGACCGTCCCGGACACACGACCCATTTATTGCCACCAGTACGTCGCCCGCCGTGTCTATCACGCCGTAGGACAACGCTTGTTTCGTGTCACCGGAATAATTCTAGACATCTCTTGCCCTTTCCCCCCTTTCCCACGCCCCTCTGGATTCCCTCCGGGCTGCTGCTGGCCACACCTCGTCACAATGCGGAGCCGAATCACCGTCACTCCTGTCTACGGGCCACCGCACGCCCTCTCCTCCACTATCACACGCCCGGCCTTCCTCTCGCCGGCGTCTCTACCACTACTTCTCCTCTCCCTCCTCCCCCTCCTCCTCCTCCTCCTCCTCCTCCTCCCCGGACGCGCCTCGGCGGACTGCGAGTGCGGCTACGCGGCCGTCGTCGACGGGGCCAGGCACGTCTTCACGGACCTGATCGAGACCGACTTTGGGCGCATGACCGGCGGCGGCGACGTGGTGGCGCGCGACACGGACTGGGAGAGGCAGGCGTTCAACCTGAGCGCGGCGCGGGCGCGGGGCCCGCTGGGCGAGATGTTCGCCGTCGGGAACGTCGTCGCGGACGAGGGCCTGCGGCTCGGGGTCGGGAGCCGGACCGTCGACGAGATGGTCCCGGTGGCCGAGATCGACTCGAGCAGGATGGACCTGCTGTGGGGCACGTTCAGGGCTAGCATGAGGCTCACGGGGGTCCCGGGGACTTGCGCCGCGTTCTTTTGGGTGAGCTTTTTCTTTACACTTTACCCCGAGTTTTCCATCGCCCCCCCGGGTGGGTGGAAGAATAGAGAGGAATGGCCAATAACTCATGCGTTTTCTTTCTCGTTGTTGCAGTACTTCAACGACACGCAGGAGATCGACATGGAGTTCCTCTCCAAGGACTTCAACCACAGCAACGGCAGCTTCCCCGTCAACCTGGTGCTGCAGTCGCGCGACTCCCTGGCGGCGGGCTACAACGCGCGCGCGACGGGCAACTTCGTGCAGGCGCAGCTGGGGTTCGACCCGACGGCGGCCTTCCACGAGTACCGCATCGACTTCCTCCCCGGGCGGGTGTCGTTCCACGCCGGGGGCCGGCCGCTGGCGCACATGGTGGGCGCCGCGGTGCCGGACTCGCCGGGCCACCTGATCCTGCAGCACTGGAGCAACGGCAACGCGCTGTGGTCGGGGGGCCCGCCCGCCGAGGACGCGGCGCTGGTCGTCCAGTACGTCAAGGCCTACTTCAACTCGTCGGCGCCGCAGAGGCAGCGCGACTGGGCCGGCAGGTGCGGGGACGCGGCGGCGCCCGGGGCCGTCTGCGATATCCCCGAGAGGACGGAGGGGAACACGTCGGCGGCCGGATGGTTCTTCAGCGATGGGCATAACATGACGAATAACCAGACCGTGTATGGGAAGAGCGAGGGGTCGAGGTCGGGGGTGTTGTTGTGGTGGTGGCTTGTGCTCTCGGTGGTGCTACTGTTCTTGGAATAAAATAAAACCTGAACTTAAACCTCCTAACGGCGGATGGGTCCTGCTATCCTGATCTTCTCGGTTTCCTGTCCTTGGGTTAAGGGGTGTTCCATGGTGCGTATAGCGTGCGTAATCTCTTCCTTCAGTGGGAGAGGCATAGTAATCAAATGTGCCTCGGCATCTCCTTGCTGTCTAGCAGGAATCGTTCCCACATCTCCATCCAGCCCACTTCGTTTTCCGATCCGTCCCGTGATAAGCGATGTCTGGAGGGATCGAGGAGATCGGCCATCTCATGATTACAAGGGGGCCACATGGAGTTCGGAGTGGTTGGTTCTCCGCATCGGCCGCTTCTCCAACCCGTCTTCGAGGGAGATGACTTGATGGCACCTCCCGACCCCACACGGCACCTTTCGTCCAATCCCGTGGGCCAATACAGCGCCGGCACCAACTAAATGGGAAGCTATCCCGCTAGCTGTTTGAACCTAGAAGCCTGCCTGGATCTTATGACTTATGGATTGGTAGGATTACAGTCGCACAAGTGTGCTTAACAGAGACAAGGGTTGAAAGTTGGTTGAAGCTCGGAGTTCAGGTTGAACAACATTTCTTTTTTGTCTCTGGAAAACAGGGCAGTTACATTCTCGAGCGAGAAACCTCTGTGACTGAAGTTGGAAATGACCGACACGCGTCATCCTCAGCCTCGCATGGTCGACATGTTGGAGCTCGAGTCATCGTCTCAGCGCACTTGATAGGTTGATCTTGGCTCAAGGGTTGGGACTTGGGCCTCTTGTAAGTTTCCATTCATGATGCCACCTCCACGCGCCTCCAGGGGTTTGGCCGATAGGTAGGTAACCTTCAGGCCGACTGGTCAAGCCGAACATGGCTCCGAGTTCCGATGGTCACGCTTCCGGTCATTCTCACGGTCATTCTCACGGTCACATTGCCAGGGGCGAGCTTGCCATCCTCCCACCCTTCCATCCTTCCACCCCGCAGTCTCAACTCCAATCTCCGAAGTGGCCTTCCTCTACCAAGGCTGCTTGAGACAAGTGTTCTGTGCTTGGGGTTTCTCTCTCGTTGACTTCATGGCCTGGGGAATTTAGTCCACGGGCATGAAAACAGAAAAGGGTTCCTCAGTTATCCGTTGTCAGCCTGCTTAGGTTGGTTCCCTAGCATACCTAGGTAACATACATGCCCACACTCTAACAGTCGTTCGTCTCGCCATGCCTTCTCAGCCCTTCCTATCCCGTGTGGTTACCATTAGCGAGGCAACCTATTCGGAATGCAACTCGAACACTCCTGTATCTCAACATGCTCCACGCACCGCTCAGTAGAGGGGTGTTTCCCCTGAATAGACTGCCAACCACCAGGGTTTTCCGAACCCGTTCCCCAGTTCCTGGTAGCTCTGCTACATTGACATCGGGGGCCTTCAGCCAATGTCGTAGCCGCAACCTCCCACCCTTCGTCGAAACCTACGCGGACCCCTCTTGCTCGTCACATCTAGCGCAACTGAGAAGTGCCTTGAAGCCTCCCAGCTCCACCATGTTGCTACAATTCTTGTGGCCGTGCTAGGAGATTCAGACCGTACTGGACGGCTGACATTGCATCCTGAACACCTTCCCACCTAGGATGGCCTCTCGGCGCCTGTGTAGGCTATCACGTTTTCCCATTGATCGTCTATATAATGCCCGAGACATCATCTGAAGAGGTGGTCACAAGCAGGCTGCCCCTCCACTCTTTCTAAACACATGTGCAGCTCTTTTGTGTGAGGCTCATTCCTTTCGCCTCTCAGTCTCTCGTTGATATTTCAAAGTCTCGAAGAAGAAGCTGGATATATAGCTCTCCCTCCTCTCTTAATACCAGAGACCAGCATATAATCACTCCTTGATTTTACAACCTATATATGTTCAAGATGGCAACTCTTGAGGAAGTTCTCGAAATCCAGAAGCAGCGTCACATCCTGCAAGCCCCTACCTCGAGCAAGGCAGCCCCTGCATTCACGACGGCGACTGCTCCGACCCTGGACATCGCGCTGGAGAACACCACCGATTCGTCGAATTGCTGGGCCTACGTTACGGGTCTGGACATCAACAAGAACAATACCGTCTTCATCCTGCAGAGCGATGGAGTCACTCCATACTATCCCGCATCGCCCGGGGATGTGGGGTCCCCCCTGCAGCAGGACTGTCACATCAAGCTCGGAGCGCCCGGATCGACTACACAAGTCACCATCCCGCAGCTTGCCGGCGGTCGTATCTGGCTATGCCGGGATTCGCAACTCAGGTTTTTACTAAACCCCGGACCGGCCGTAGTGGAACCATCGGTGACGAACCCGAGCGACCCGAACTACAACCTCTACTGGTCCTTCGTTGAGTTCACCTTCAACGACTTCCAGCTGTTCGCCAACATCACGTACGTCGACTTCGTCGGCATGGCCATCTCGATGACGCTCGAGAACCAGTCCGGCCAGATCCAGAGCGTGCCGGGAATCCCAGCCGACGGCCTCGCGACCGTCTGCTCCATGCTGCAGGACCAAGACGCCAAGGACGGCGCCGGCTGGAGCAAGCTCATCATCAAGCACCCGTCGACGGGCGCCGACCTGCGGGCCCTGTCGCCCAACTCGGGCATCGTCATGGACTCCAGCTTGTTTGAGGGCTACTACCAGCCTTACGTCGACGCCGTCTGGGCCAAGTACTCGTCCGACACCCTCATGGTCGACACGCAGAACCAGTGGGGAATCGTCAACGGGCAGGTGACAAACGGCGAGCTGACCTTCGCCGACGTCGGCAGCTACGCGCAGCCGAGCGCGCGCGACATCTTCGCGTGCAACAGCGGGCCCTTCGCCGACCGGGCGGACGACAGCAACAAGGAGGAGATGGGCAACATCACGGCGCGCCTGGCGGCGGCCTTCAACCGCAGCACCCTGCTGGTCAACCCCCGCCAGCCCGACGGCGAGGCCGTCGCCACCTACTACGCCGACCCCGTCACCAACCACTACTCGCGCGCCGTCCACGAGGTCGCCGGCGCCGGCAAGGGCTACGCCTTCCCCTACGACGACGTCGCCCCCACCGACGACGCAAACGTCGCCGGCACCGTCTCCGACACCGACCCCAAGCTGTGGACCGTCTCCTTTGGCGGGGGCGGCGTCGCCGCCACCTCCTCCGCCCGCCGCACCTCCCGCGTCTCCGTCAGCCAGATCGCCCGCTCCGGGGGGTCGGGCCGGCAGCACGTCGGGAGCGGGTTGTCCCGTCGCGACCCCATCGAGCTCTCCGCCACCACCGCCGAGGACGAGAAAACCGCCCTCGCCGGGCGAGACGACGCCGCCAACACGGACCTCGAGAAGGGCCTCGCCAAGCTCCTCCTCGCCGCTGCCGACAAACCCAACATCACCGACGCAGACGCCGAGACTCCACAACGCCACCACCCCGTGCGCGCGCTGCTGCGGCGTTTCGGGCTCGGGCTCGGGACGACGCGCGCCCCGCGGCGGCCCGCGCTGGATGCGCTGGTCGCTGCGGCGGCGGAGCTGATCCGTGTGGCTGTGCGGTCGGCGGTCGGGAGGGCGGTGGTTGTTGCTGTGCTGGTGCTGGGGTCGTTTGTGCTGGGGGTGTTTTGGCCTGGCGGTGGGGAGATTGGTGCTGGTGCTGGTGGGGTTGTGGGCGGCGGTCTTGGGGGTTGAGAGGTTGGTTGGTTTGTACCTTTATTTCTCTTGTGGTTTTGGTTTGGGATGGTCCGAATGGCATTTTGGATTTGGAATGGCATGAACCCGTAGGGTTCTGGTTGGACTCCTTTTGGGTACTTCGGTTTAGTGTGTTTCTATTCCCCCTTACAGCCCCTATATACACACGCCCGCTCTTCTGTTCACACTCTTCTGTGTTACTAGCACTCGCTATCATACCGTTTATTCACGGCCTTTCCCCGACACTGTATAAACCTTCCTACCTCACTCCATTCATATACAACAGAAACCGTCAACCTGGAAAGGTGAAGCAGGTTCACGAATATTGAGGACATGTGCAAACCACAAACAGCCAGGCGACAATCCTCACACTCACACACCGCTCCACTTCCCAAACTTGAGGTACCGCTTATACATCTCCTTCATGACCACCCTCCCGCTCGCATCCATCGCCTCATTCATGATCCGCCTCCCCTCGGGCGTCGTGATGTCCAGCACCGAGAAGGCCGCCGGCTCGAGCGCCTCCCTCACGGCCCGCGGCACGTCCCGCTCCAGCTGCAGCCGCACGTACAGCATCAGCACTAGGTACATGTGCCCGCCGGCCGACCGCCTCGCCGCATCCGTCGCCGAGTCGAGCCGACCGCCGCCTCCCGTCCCGCCTCCGCCCCCGCCTCCGCCTCGCTGCACCGACGCCGCGCTGGGCTCGCACACCAGCGTGAGCAGGCGCGCGAGGAGCCGCGCGTGCCCTTCCCAGTGTGGGTACCGCGCCGGCGCCGGCGCCGGCGCGGCGCCGTCCCCGCCGGAAGAGGCGTAGGGGTGCGTGAGCAGGGTGCGGAGCAGGGACTGCAGGGCGGCGACGACGAGGTGGAGGTGGCCCTCGAGGCGCAGGCGGTGGCGCCTGACGACGGCCTGGGCGAGGCGGCACAGCCAGCCGAACGCCTCGGGGCGGGCCGACACGACCGGGTGCGTCGCCGCCTGCGAGCTCAGCGCCGAGACGGTGCTGAGGGTCAGCTCGACGTTCCACTGCGTCATGCAGCCGGGCTTCTCGAGAATCGCGTGGAGGAGCTGCGCCACCAGCACGAACTCGGCCGGTGTCCGGGAGGCGCGGAGTCTCTTGCAGAGGGCCGTGTGGGCTGTCGAGAGACTGAACTCGCCTGCGAAGGCTGGCGATGCATGGGGCCCTGGGACGACGGTTAGTAAGCTTTCGAGAAAAGGGCAAACATGGTGTGGCTTGCCTTCGAGACGCTGGACAATCCGGTAGGCCGACAACAACTGCGAGGTCGTGTCGGGAGCGTCGTCGAGCTTGGCGAGTAAAGTCCGGAGGTACTCGAGCTTCGTATCTTCGTCCGCATTTTGGATCGTAGTATCGACGAATTCCAAGATCTTGGCTTTGTCGAAGGCGCCAGCAGCGGCGCCTGTACCATTCTGATCAAGCGTGGACCGTTTTCGTTGCAGCCTCGGAATCCTGCCATCCGTGGCACTAGATTTCTCTGGTTCTTTACCGAAGAGCCTTGCAAGCAGGATCTTCAAATCCCAGTGGCTATCATAGCCAGCCAGCGACAGCTGCTCGCTTGCATCCACCAAGCACGGCAACGAGGGGCCAACAGCCTCGGAGATGGCAGCTTGGTCTAGGATGTCTGCCGAATCGAGAGTGGCCAGTAGCGGTGCCAGGTGAGAATCCCAGTCTTGTTGGTCCCCCCTTTCCCACGTAGAACAGAAATGGCCCACAGAACTGCGAACCTCGGCGCTCATAATCTGCTTCAGACTCCCAATATCCAGATCCGGCAAGGCCTTTAGCGCCGAAGGCTGTTCTAGTGCCGATACAAGCGTCTTCAGAAGAACCATGCGGACGATCCGATTGTGGTAAGGGCGGCCGGAAAACCAAGTCGGAGGCTGTGACGCCGCTTCCAGGAGGTATTCCCGCTCCCGCTTCTCGATGTTGCTCGTCATTTGCCTGGAGTCAGTCAGTACTAGTTCGGATACTTGGTCGCCTCGCGTCAGACTTACCTGGTCGTCAGTATGGCGAGCTCTTTCAGGAGTGGTAAGCAGTCATCCAAGACGGCGATCTCGTGACGTCCATCGACTCCAGCCAGCTTAGCCAGATATGCAGCTAGCTCGTAAAGATGTCCGAATTTTATGTTCTGTTCTTGTTGTGAGTTATGGGGAATCAACTGTGGACGTCCCTAAGGTACTTACTGGATAGAAAGTCGGCCTCCTCATAATTTTGACCATCAAACTAGTCGTCCTCTTCACATCAGAGATGTCAGGACTGACGGCCGAATCGGGACGCGGTCCCTGGTCGACCAATAGCCCCATGATCTGTTCTCGTTGCTCGCGCGTTATTGCCTCTAGCGGCACAGCAAGTAAATACTCAGTCGCCGTCCTAAAGACTGGCGACGACCACCCTTCTTTTTCGCCTTCCATCGTTGCGATGATTTGGCCCAAGAAGTTGTCTGCTTCCGCAATCAGTTGGGAGTACATTTCAAGTATGTAATAGGGCCCTACCCATGATGTTCCGATTATTGATATTGTTTTCGCTTGCGAGAAATTCGGAAACAACCTGGTTGTTGCTGATGCCCTGTGGAACGGGAGAGAGAGCGGACAGGAGGAAGCCCGGGCATTTGCCGGTCCTCTCCACTACCAGACTATTATTTTATCGATGAGCATGCATTCTAAAGCAGGAAGTAGTTACGAGTTGAACCTCTCACCTTAGTAGCTGCGGAGACTCGACCAAGAGATAGTTAATGTAGGGGGCCGCGGCAGGGTTCAGCTCCGGACCTGCTGGGTGGACAGCTCCATTGGTGAGGCGATCCAGGAAGCCACAGGCAGTAGCAGCCGCCTCGTCTTCATGCTTGCCTCCAGGGTAACTCGCGAGCCAGGCTGCGGCAGAGCACCGGAAAGCATGAAGGGTGGCATCCTCTGCCAATGGCGATTTCTCGAGGACCCCCCTAAGCTCGGGTGATATCCGTGCCCATATGAGCTCGGCTTGCTCAAGTGTTCCCCACTCAATGGAGCTCTCGGTAACAGACCATATGCAAACAGACACATCCATTGGCAGTGATGCCGGGCGGTCCCTGCTGAAAACCATCTCGAACAAGCGCTGGCCAATGGCGTCGATGAGCTCGACTTGGGTAATCTCCTTGGAGATTGCCGCCAGAATGAGGGCCAGGGCGGCGACCTCGGCCAAGCCGTCCTGCGAATCAAGCCAGTCCAGGAGAGAAGATATCTGCTTGATGTTCATCGACTTCTGGAGTGAGAGGGCGACCGTGTGGTTGAGCCGTTTGTTGTACCATATATGGTAGCGATTTGTCGTCTGTTCGAGATGAGGTTCGGTGAAGGCGAGATACTGGAACCATTTCTTGACGAAACCTGCCAGGTCGCGTGCCTTTGCAAACCCATCCGCCAAGGTGATGATGAACAACGTCGCCGTCTCAAGATCCTCGTCACTTAATGAATCGGCCCCTCGTGTTCGGTCTAGAACCTCGTGGAGTAATTCCTGCCGCTCTTCGGCTATGAAGACATCTGGGTTGATCTCGGCGGTACGGAGCAGCAAGGTCCAATGCGTCCGATCGGGACGGAGAGCATTTGCTTTGCAGACCGAACGCAAGCCCTGCAGAGAGAGTACAACCTCTCTCCCATGGACCATGTCCATCATCGCCTGCAATGAAGCCGGTCTTTGTTCGGAGGTGCTAAACCGCAGAGACTCTTGAATAATATCGAAGACAGCTTGAACCCAGGCCTCGTTCTCCCTCTTCGCCGATTGAGAGCCGATGATACGAGGCGACGAGATAACCAAGTCAAAAATAACCGGGTAGGAAACTGCGTCAGATTGAGCTGCCATCTGAACCGCAATCTCTATAGCTTCCGTTGTTCCTCGATTCACAAATGCTGTCCTGGCTGGGAGCATCAGGCTGCGGGTTAAGAAGCGTCTGAGATCCTTTGCCCATCTGGTCTGTACTTCGAGTGCTAAGCCCAGTTGCTGGTCACGCAGAGTGCCTGTCAGTCTACCGAGCATACCGAGGCTTGCTCGCGAAAGATAAGATGCGACATCCAGCACCTCGCCATCTTTCTTGATATGAAGATCCAAAATGTTGGAGATAGTTGAGATCCACGTGTCTTGCCCGGTGTAGGGACTAAATTCCGTATAGTCCATGGCCAGTTCACAGATGGCGAGCGCGGGGGCAAGGATGTCCTTCAAGTTGTTGGTGTAGGAGCTGAACAGCGACTTGATGTGCTCCGCACCCATCGGGTCGTCTCTGCCGGTCCCATCAGGCTTCGAATCGAGTCGGGCAAGGAGTGACCGGAGCGACGCGAACAAGGCCTCAGCTGCTCGTAGGCAGCTTGGCAACTGCCTCTGCGTCTCGGGATCGAACGACACGGGATCCAGCTTTTTCCTCTTCGAAGGTCTAGCTTCAGCCTCATCGGGATATGCGTCGGCCATTACTGTATCCGAGGAATCCCCATCCTGGCTGGAAGAGCTTTGCACCTCGGCCTCGGACAGATCCTTCACCGCCGCCTGGAGAACATTGACAAAGCGCCTGTCTGCCAGGGACTTTGCCAGGGAAAAGAGAGGGATCGAGGAGAACAGTATGCTCAGGATGCGCCAGGTCAGGGGATATCGTCGAAGCCTCTCCGCGTCGGCCGAAGACCCGTTCATATTCTTCAGAAGCCATCGGACAATCACCTCCTCGGCGGCGTGGAAGTTCCCCCCTGGATAAACCTCTAAGATCTTCAGTATCTGGTCAAGCTTGTCGGGAATCGTCTCGACATCTCCCTGGTCGAGGGTCCTGGCCGCTTTGACGAGGGCCAACTCGCCCGGCTGAATTTGCAACTTTAGCGGGGTACTATTTTGGCTTTAAATCACTCCTCCTTACTTACCTTGTTTTCATGAGCCATTATCGTCGGTGTACACTCGTCGAGTCGGGTGGTTCATGGCGGCTCTATCGACCAATCTTGAATCCCGGTGGTCTGTCGTTGGGGACTTACACAGCCAAGCACCCCTCGCCAGAAAAAAAAACCAAGCTCCCGAAATTTCAAAAATTCTGCCGCTTTTTCCAAGCTACCGACCCGCTGTTCGGCGACCAGGGTCCCCTCACCGCCTTCGGGTGTCAGGGCCAAGCTCAATCACGTCTCGAGAGCCGGGAAACATCTTCAATTTACGACTACGGACTGTACCAACCCTCACAATTTGCCTCCCACGTCAGGCCAATTCGTCAGAGGTATATACCCCCGTCCATGCACGCCACATAATCCAGAAGCCAGAGCTAACGCGACAGGTCTTTCCCTCCCAAACAGCATTCTGCCCACCATGTCAGAGACCTCGATTCCCCCGTCGTCGCCCGCAGGCCCAGTCGCAAGACCCGTCAGCGAGGCACTTCTAAACGAGAAGGTGCGTTCCGAACAGCAAAACCCCCAAGGCCTGACCTGAATAATTTGGTACTAACAACAGCCTTCCTCCTTGCAGTGGGACCGCTGCCTGTCCAACCTGCTCATCAAGTCGACACTTGGCCTCGGCTTCGGCGTCGTCTTCTCGGTCCTCCTGTTCAGGCGGAGGGCGTGGCCCGCGTTCGTCGGCGCCGGCTTCGGGGCCGGGAGGGCATACGAGGAGTGCAATTGGAACCTGAGGCAGGCGGCAAAGGACATCAGGAAGCAGGCGTGAAGCCATGCAGCCAGGGTTTGGTTTTTGGGGCGGGGAGCTGGGACTACTATTGGAAGGGAGGGGAGCCTCGAAAAGGCAGGGCCAAACCAAAGCCCGGTGGTCCCTGTCGTCGAAATAGGGGCCAAGAAACCGGGTAGTTGAGGTTGGTTGTGGTGGCCGTATCGTTGGCAGCAGATTGTCTCGATTAGGGGTTTTCCTTGGTGTCAATTGATCTAGATTATTTATAGGTTCGAGTGTCGCAATAGAGCTACCTGTACATCATGACGGGCCTTGGACTCCTATTAACATGCGATGGCCGCCTGAGAAGCTGAATACCAATACCTAGCCTTGGAAGCCGAGGCCGTCTTGCCGGTTGTAGATTGCGGGTTTGTCCGGCCTGAGTAGCCAATTCGACCGGCGCAGCTCCCGAATCCCGAGACCAACATTAACTACGCCGTAAATTGCTCACTGGGACTCGGGATATCGTTCAGTTGAGCCACGTGGGAGGCAGCATTTAACCAATAGACTAAACCTGCAATCGATCGGCTTGAAGGTTGGGTAAGCACTTGTAGCCTGGATACCTAGCCAATCATCAACGCACGTTGCTCTCGACCATGTCTCTTGCCAGCCTCCCTCAGCCCAAAAACTCGCCTTACTCCGCCGGACACCCAATAAGTATAAAGGTGTGTCGGCATGCTGTTTGGGCCATTTTTAGGTATCGCCTTTGGCTCGACACACCAGCCGGGTTGCTCGTCATTCCTCAGGAGGCACGCACCCATCAAGCCCCAAAACGATGGCTAAGCTCAAGTGGTTAACCTCCATCCTCCTGGCCTCCTGCTGGGCGGGCGCGGCCCACTGCAAGAGCACCACCGGGCTAGCGGACCTCGCGCTGCGAAAGGTGCTCGCCGACGCCTCGCAGATCTTCGGCATCTACGATTACGGCGCACGGTGCGGCGGGCGACCGCCCGCATCGGAGTGGATGGGGCGACACCCGGACTCGATGCCGCTGGCCCAGCTGAACATCCCCGGGGCGCACGACACGGCGACGTGGAACTTCAGCCGCGAGACCAGGGACTCGCTGGCCCCCGACGCCGGCGTGCGCGACCCGGCCTACTACCGCACCCAGACGCTCAGCCCCGCGGACGCCCTGGACGCCGGCCTGCGCTTCTTCGACCTGCGGTACGCGCTCGACCCCACCGGCACGACCCTCGTCTTCTGGCACCACGACGCGCTGCTGTCCGCTGTGGCCGGCGTCGAGGACGTCCTGTTCGCCTTCTACGCCTGGCTGGACGGGCATCCGTCCGAGGCCGTGATCCTGTCGTTCCAGTACGAAGGCGGCACGATGGACGGCGCGAGCAACAACGCGGACGTGCAGACGCGCCTGTTCGACATCCTGACCTCGGAGGCCGCGCGCCGGTACATTCTGCAGACCAGGGACGAGCTCGGGACCCTGGGCGAGGCGCGGGGCAAGATCGTCCTGTTCCGGCGCTTCGACACGGACCGGCTGCCGCCGGGCTACGACGCCGGCGCGCTGCCCGGTTTGCACCTGGCGCCGGGCAGGTGGCCCGACAACTCGGCCGACTTCGGCCTCGTGTACAACGACGCCCGGAACCTGACGGCGTATATCGAGGACTACTACGAGCCGGACGACCTGCCCATCGGACTGAACGCCAGCGTCAATATCGCCCGCAAACTTGATGCCACCACGGCGCACTTGGACAAGGCTGCGTCGAGCTTCCCGGATAGCCTGTTTATCACGTTCGCGTCGGGGGAACACAACGATAACGTCCCACCCGTCTTCCCCGAGATCATGGCTTTGGGGAACGGGACCGAAGACACGCCGCTCGGTGGTGTGAATCAACAGCTCGCCAGTTTCCTGGGAGGTATGGGGGGAAAGAGGTTAGGAATTGTGGTGTTGGATTATTGGAACCAGCCTTCGGGTCTCGTGGACGCCATTCTGGCCCTGTAAAGGCCACCGCCTCCGTTGTGATTCTGAGCCATGGCGGTTTCTTGGTCAACTTCTTCGGAGCAAAGAGAGGATAGCAGGATTTTACTGATTTTCCCTCAAGATGGGCCGGTTCTTGGGAGGCTGAAGGCAAATCAATCATCCACTCCCTCGTCACTCCCACTGGACCAACCCTCATGATATTCCTCTGCCATCCCCGCAAGATCGTTGCTCAGGGCTTCGCGATCTTCAAGGCTGATCGACCTTGCCACCGTAGTTCGAAGCAGCTTTAGTCTGTCTGATACCGCCGTGTCCGTAGTGAGGCTCGTGGTGACATCGACCGCACCCTTCAGTGGGTTGCCATCATCGTCTTTAAAGATCTTGGGGAAACTATTAATGAGCGGGAATGGAAGAGAAGTCTTGTATCTATATTTATCGATCAGCATGGCGAAAGTCGCCAAGGCGATTTCACATCACCGGGCTTTAGGGAGACATACCTTCGATTGGTGGGCTTGTTGGGGTTTCGGCGCCGGAACCGCTCATCTTCAGCTGCCTCGTCCTCATTAGCATCATCGTCGACCCCTTGGCCGCGCCTTGTGACAAGTTGGCTGAAGATGCGTGGCTTTCGGAATCCATTCAGCGGCCGGCGGGATTCTAGCTGGTCAGAGGGCGAGAAGTCTAGGTCCAGATGTAGCCCCTCTGACTCGGCATCTTCGCCACTGACTGCCTCCCTCATCCTCACATCCGGTGAATCTTGCGTAGTCTGGGGGTCGATGCTCATCTGGAGATTCGCAATGCTCTGATTCCCCATGGTGTTGAGGAGGTCGGCCATCCCCCCGAGCGTATCACGGTTTTCTCTATCTTTCAGTCGGGAGGGGAGAGTCGCGGATTCTAAAGCAGCTGCAACGACGGCTGACGTGTGCCAGTGTGATGAGGGATCCAGGGCTACATGGCTCCCCAGAAGCCTTGGCAAAGTAATGGGCACTATAATAGAAGCATTCTTATACAGTTCCGTAAGAGACTTGGCTTTGTTAGCGAGTCGAACGAGGCGTTTGTCCTGTATTGCGTTAGCGAGCCTGCCTCCGGAACCCTGTGGCTTTGGACTAACCCTCGGGATACCATGGAACGAGTCCTGAAGGACCCAGACCCAGATGGCAGTCTTTCCGTACTCGTCCCTCAGGCGCTCGATGTAGTCGGAGGCGAAGCCGCCCCAGGCGTCATCGAGGGTCGCCATGAGCTGAATACCCTGCATATGGTCGGCTTCCTCAATAAAGGGGCGTAGATCTCGATCGACAAGATCGTGCTCCTTGTCCAAGGTGCTGAAGAGTTCTTGCCCCGTAGCCCATTTCTCAAAGGGCACCAGGCTCGAGTTCAGCTCGTAGTCATTCAGCTGGATAATCGACCGGGGATGGAAGAAGACACGGTTAAAGTCAGACCAGTACCTAACCGTACTAGTAGTGAGCTCAGGAGGCTCCAATCCGGCATCGAGGCTCTGTTGGTAAGCACTCTGAGGGATGGGCTCTTGTTTCTGGACCACAACTGGTTGGTGCCTGACACATCTTTGCGTTAGTGAGGAACAGCGCATCTGCCGGGCTAAGTAGAGAAACACCCACCAAAGTGCTTGGTCCGACCCCTTGTCTTCGACTTCGTAGAGGGCGTTGATCTTCCGCAAGGAGCCAAACCCGCCCTTCAAGTCATACACGACAGTCCGAGGCATGAACGTCTCGGAACCATCGGCTCCAAGGCCAGCCCTCCAGAGAACGTCATGATCCACCAGGGGCTCTTGATCGCCCGAGTAGGTGAAGTATGATTCCTGCAGTGTTGTCAGGATGTGTCAGGGACTTTGCAAACGGGCAGTTCCACATCTTACCTGGGCGTTCCAGAAATGGGTGGCTAAGTAGTTGCTTTGCTGTCCAAGCTGGACAGTGATTATTTCGTGCATCCTAGCAGAGACTGGGTGGTGGTTCGGTCGTCAATTAAACACAGAAACAGGAGAATAAGAGAATAATACCCATGTCATTGGGTTGAGACGAGGCAGGCGGGAGAATGATTCTAGAAGCTCTCTATATTGCCTACTTAGCTTATCTCTTATCGGCCAATGCGGGGTGAGAGCTACCCGTAGCTTCTAGGATATGACGCACTAGGCTTGCCTCCAAAACCTCGCATGACATGGTATATTCTCGACCTCGTTAAAACCGAACAGCAGTAAACAGCACAAACCCGTCAACATGTCGCTCCATATCAGCAAGCCAGCAGCCTCAAACGAGTCGAAACCCAATAAACTCCCCCCCGTGCCCAAGGTCGGTGACAAGGCGCCCGTGTCCGACCTGCTGCGCTTCCCCCAGCCCAAGCCCACCATAGTAGTCTTCCTCCGCCACTGCGGCTGCCCATGTGAGTTTCCCCACGCCTCAGTCACCTTTGCCCCATCCATCCCACAACCTCCCCACTAACCAGCCATCCCACCCGCTCCTCTCAGTCGCCGAAAAGACCTTCAAAAACTTCACCAAGCTCTCCGCCCAGCACCCGGAGGTCCACTGCGTCGCCATCTCGCACTCCTCCCAGCCCACCACCGACGACTGGATCATCCAGGTCGGCGGTGAGTGGGAAGTCGACGTGCTCGCCGACCCCGCGCGGGACCTCTACGCCGAATGGGGCCTCGGTCTGACCTCGACCTGGCACGCCTACAACCCGTGGGCGCTGTACTCGACGTACCGCCTCAGCCGCGACGAGGGCGTCCGCGGCGGCCCGCAGGGCGGGTCCCGGTGGCAGATGAGCGGCGCCTTCGCCGTCGACGTCGAGGGCCACGTCAGGTGGGCGCGCTTGCCCAAGTCCGCCGATGATATCCCAGACTTTGCCGACGCGCTGAGGGCGCTGCAGCTGGGGGGCGAGGGTCGGGCTTGAGTGTTGGGAGAAGGGGAATCTCGGAGCCTGGGCGTGCGGGAAAAAGGGGGTGGGGGAAGGGAAGGGTGGTTTTGGGTGGTAATGGCCAATGGCAAAGTTGCTTCATGTATAACACACTCGCTCGCTGCTTGCTGTATATTTGCAAGTTTCTCTCATCGCAATCGCTCTGTGCTTCATGGCGCCGCGGAGCATGATGGAGTTAGGTGGCCATGCTATCATTGGTGTCACAGTATGCTAATATTGACTGATATAATTAATGAAACCCAATCTCCAAATACCCATGCCTCCAAAGTAACCCAGCCACTCAAGCTTGCAAGGATCGAAACCATGCAGAGACCAGCGACACAGCTTAGGAAACCGTTCATCATGCATGCCAACTCAGGAGCTCTCCTCAAACACGGCCTCAATGGCAGACACGACACCCCCCACAATCTCCTCGATGACCCCGGCGTCGGCGTTGTAAGCCGGCATGATCATAATGTGGTCGCCCCTGCCGCCACCAGCACAGCCCTGGCCCTGGTAGACGAGGACGTTGTGCGGCTGCTTCTGGGCGCGCTTCTGCACACGGAGGGCCACCTGCATGCCCGGGTCGAAGGGCTCCCTCGTCCCCTTGTCGCGGACGAACTCGACCGCCCAGAAGAGGCCCCGGCCCCGTATGTCGCCCACGTTGGGGTGGTCGCCGAGCCTCTGCCTCAGGAGGGACTCGAGGTGGCGCCCCTGCGCCCCGACGTTGGCCAGCAGGTTTTCCTCCTTTATGATCTGCTGGACCTTGAGGGCCGCCGCGGCCACGACCGGGTGGTTCTGGTACGTGTGTCCGTGGGTGAAGGTCTTGCCGCTGGCCTCCATGACGCGGGCGACCCTCTCGCCGACCAGCAGGGCCGCCGCGGGCTGGTACCCGCCGCCGAGGCCCTTCCCGACCGTCTGGAGATCCGGGACGACCCCTTCCTGCTCCCACGCGTGGAGTGTCCCGGTCCTCCCCATGCCGCACATCACCTCGTCGAGGATCAGCAGGGCCCCGTGTTCGTGGCAGACCTGCTGCACCGCCTTGAGGTAGCCCGGTACGGCGGGGGCGCAGCCGAGTGCGGCCCCGACGACCGGCTCCATGATGACCGCGGCGACGGTCTCGGGGCCCAGCTCGAGGAACTTCTGGGCCAGTTCGTCTCTCTTGCGGGCCACAAAGTCGTCGTCTGGCTCGCCAGCGAGCCTCTGGCGGTAGGGGTTGCAGGCCGAAACCCGGTGTCTGTTCTGGAGAAGCACGGGCTCGAAGGGGCCTCGTCTAGCTACGTGCCCCGACAACGACAGCGAACCAATGGTAGTCCCGTGGTATGATTCGTCGCGAGAGATGAAGTTCACGCGCTGCGGTTCCCCGGTCCAGAGGAAGTACTCTCGGGCGAGCTTCATGGCGCCCTCAACGGCGTCCGAGCCTCCAATATTGTCAGCTGGATCCCGGCACACCTGATAATGGTTGGAGGACGGTAACCTTACCAGAGGACATGATGTACACCTTGCTCATTCTCCCGCCGGTACTGTTGATCAGCCAGTCGGACAGTTTTTGAGCGGGTTCGTTCTCGAAGTGAGCCCACGAGACATAGGCGAACTTCTTCGCCTGGGCCGTGAGAGCCTTGACGACGTCCTTCCGGCCGTGGCCAATGCAGGCAACTGCCGCGCCGCCGCAACCATCGATGATCCGCTGTCCGTTGTCGAGGTAGAGATAGTTTCCCTTCGCCCTGATCAAGAAGGGATGGCCCGGGCCTGACGCCGTTGATGGCGAGCATGGCGCGGAATCCTCGGACGACACATCGGCAGCGTCATTCTTTGGCAGAGGCTGGGCGCGGTCTTTTGGAGAGGAGAAATAGTGTCCCATTCTTTGGACTGGTAGGCTTTGAGGTCTGAGAGCGTGGAGTCAGAAGAGAGATGCCAGTGAAGGAGTCGAATATCTGCCTTCGCTATGCGGAACTTTCTGGCCCCTTTTATACTTTTGTCGTAGACCAGTCTCCTAGGGTGAGAGATCGTTCCCTTGCCTTGGGACACGGAGTCATACAGCAGCCCATAGGTCCGAGGATGCCGTGTTCAACCTTGCTGAACCTGCAGCTGGCCATCGTTTTGCGGCACCAGTACAATAGAAGACGTCAAGATTCAGTCATTGACCAACGCCAGAGAGTGCGTCCGGGCATTTTTCCAATTTCGAACATCGCTAGCGGCGGGTTATTGGGTCTCAAAAGGACGGTGAGGGATGTAAGGAGGCATGGCACGGCGCCTGTTCAGCGGTAACGCACCGCCAAGAATTCATGCCGGCGTCGATCATGGTGGTGGTGACTGCAAGGATAAGCTGTCGGTCAGAGAGCTGGAAGTAGTCGCCCTTGGGGGTAATGGGTGCCGAGTTGACCGATGTGGTGACACATCAAGGGAGGATCACGCGGTGACCAACCCGTTTGTCCGGGGGGAGTAATCCGAGGCCAAAATCCGGCATCATCTGGGAGCAAGTCGGCTGAAAGAAGAAGGACTCGGTAAGAGTAGTGAGCCAATAGGGCGGCCGAGTGCGGCGGCGGAGAACTGGATGGGGAGATAGGGCGAGATCCTGAGCGAGATTCGGTGGTCGTAAGATGCGGTTAACCAAGGATGTCGACGGGATTCTGCAGCGGCGGTATAAACCAAATCCCAGTGTTGCTCACTCAGGTAAGGGGTGCAAACCTGATTGGCATTGTGCCATGTGGAAACACTCGACTGGCTGCAGATAATATTCTGGCATGCGCCTTCTACAGCGCTACCATAGTGTCGGGTCAAGACAGCGAGTCGAAGGTCACGTTCGCTGCATAACCTTTGCCCGGGCTGGCCAAATCAGGTTGATGGGAGGTGAGAAACGTAGGCAACAGCAACGCATGGAGAGCGCAAGATCGGGCACGAGGTGCATACCCTCCCGCACGGTGACATCAGGGCCGACCACATCCACATCAGCAAGGAGGCAGCTCTCCTCGCTGCCTCCTGTGCCTCCTGTGTGCTTCCGCATGTACGTCTGCTGACCGGATTCGGCTGATGCAAGTGTGGGCACATCGACCTGCGAGGAGCCGAGAAACAAGGAAGGAGCCAAGTCAAGTCTACACAGGCCTATCCGAGTCGACGTCCGACCTTGAAACTCTGCAGCTCCGGGCCGAGTTGTATAGGGTCCCGACATCAACGGACTGACGATGGCAAGAAATTGCCTCACTACCCTTGGAGCACGCGAGTTCGTGCCCAATGAATAACAGGCAGCTGTGAAATAGGCTTGCATAATCCACGCCGTGCAAAGCAATTCGCATGCAGGCCCCCACGGATGACTTAGTTGCATTTTGAATCTCCTAATAAGAACATTCTCAAAGGTTCCTCATTCTTTTTGGCCGCGTCTGCGTCGACCGTTCAGGAAAGCGAGACAAGCCCGTAGACAGGAGGCGGTAAGCAGCTACGGCCCAATACTTGATAACATCGGTGTACGCCCAATAGAGATGGGTCGATGGGTAGATGCATTCTGTGCCAGCATGTGGAAAGGTTTCGGCCGCCTTAAACCTTCATCTTTCGGCCCAGTCCAAGAAAGGCATTCCGCTCATGCTTTTCTCTTCGCTTTCCCCAGATTAGGCTGGTTTGATTTGCAGCCACTCGGCACAAAGTCCAAATCCGTTGCGAGCTTCTTTTTCGTTTTTTAGTGCAACAGGCTGCGAGGCCGTCTGAAGTTGACTAATCCGTTTGCTTGTGAGGCACACACAGAGCATTCCTTCTGGGGGAGACGGTCCAGGTCTTGTCTCAGCTACAAGAGACACCAACCTTGCGGATTATCCATCTCCACAAATACCCCATTCCGAGGGGTTGGGAGTGTTGACGTTGGTGGGTTAGAGTTTTTTTTTTTTTAACCTATATTCTTCGTGGGAGTGAAAGTTTGCCTAGTTGGATTGCCTGGTGCCCTGTAGATTGCCCTGGTAAATTTTGGTTGGATTGATCAAGAAGACGACTCCCTGTTGTCAAACAGGGCAATATTGGGAGGCAAGGAGGCGTGTGAGGCGTCTGGCAAAGCCTCTTCACGTGATACTATGTCCTTGCAAGTCATGACAGGGCAGGGAGGATGGGATGCTTCCATATTAGTGGGTCTATTGAAGCAAGGAAGACAGGAGAGACATTGTATGCGTACTCTGAAGGTAGAACTAAATACTGGTATACACCTTAATCTACATGAAGTTACTTTCCCTAGCCTATCAATCGTGCACGTCCATTTTGTGGACATTGGTAAGAATCGACGCGAACCTCTTTCCAACCGCGCTCGATCGAGTCTGTAGTCAGTTTTCAATTAAACAAACTCCAAGTCAACTTTTTAAAAAAAAACTTTAGCTGCCAAATGAGCGCACTTGTGAGCCACAAGCCTTGACGGTCGATCCTTCCCTTTACATCCTCCATTTATAGTGCCCTTTACTGTGGCGCCTCAAATCTGTTGCTACCTCTCAGCCATCTCCATTAATCCCTGGTCATCTTTTTCGAGAGAAGTGCCCGTGCATTCTCGATTGTCAAATCATCATCAGCCCTTTGTCGCATTCGATGCCCCTCGCGACCGTTGCCACGCTGTCCTAGATTTCTCGTTATCTTTCCACAATGCCTCCCTCATCAAAGCGATCACAGAGAACTCGACGAGAGTTGCGCAGCGATGCAAGCGACCGTCCCGACGACTCCTCCCCTTCAAGGCCGCCGAAGCGCAGAAAGAAGGCATGATCCCTTAAAAAGTCGCACAACAGCCAGTCCCTCTGTGCGCTTAGCTAACCGCAGTCCGTCCCTGGTATATAGGCCGACGACGTACCTCCCGAACCAGCTGAGGAAGAGAGCTCCAGCATATTGGCGGATCAATCCGGTCTCACCCTGGCCGATGACGATCAAATCGTCACCCGAGTAACTCAGCATCTTCTCACTCCACCGGATCAGCTGGTCAAGGCAAGCGGCGACCATTCCAATAGCCTCCACGAATCGAACAAGGACGGCGTCAAAGCCTACGCCAAGATCTCAGCCCAGGACTGGACGTACTATGTCACCACTCTCAAGGTCAATATCGGCCGTTCCTCCGACCCGCCCCGAGCCGATCAAGATCAGGAGGATGGAGAAGAGACGGTTCAGATTGACCTCGGCCCGAGTAAGCTGATTTCGCGCCAGCATGCCCTCATCTACTTCCACAACAAGGAAGAAAAGTGGTACCTGCTCGTCAACGGTCGCAATGCGCTCAAGGTCGACGGGACTTCCTGGAGGCAGGGACAGTCAGGCCCCTTGAGCAGTGGCGAGGTCATCGAGGTTGGAGGCATCGAGATGATGTTTGTTCTGCCAATCGAGCTCAGCCCCCTCAACGTCCACGAACAGTATCTACAGCGCGCCGGAATCACGAAGCCAGAGGCCTCGAGCAGCGCGCGCCCGGTGCGACACCCTCTCCCCTCTGGAGACAGTCCGACTCTACAATCAAGCCCTCAGGGCAAACCCGCACGCGGTCAGGCTTTCCAGAAACCTCTCGCGCCCGCACCCCCACACTACAAGCGACCGGGTACACCCCCTTCGGCCAGCAGTCGCACCGTGGTCGAGCAGGCGAAGTCTCCCCATCTTGATCGCACGGGGCCGATGCTCATGAACCCTAACGATGTTGACCTCAGCCTGGATTCGAACAAGCACATCAAGCCCCAGTACAGCTACGCACAAATGATAACTCAGGCCATTCTCAACACTGACGAGGAGAAATTGAACCTCAATGGCATTTACAACTTCATCATGAATAACTATTCTTACTACAAGCATCAACCCGCGTCGGGCTGGCAGGTTTGTTCTCCCCTCACACATGTTTGTTTGCCCTGCAGCCCAATCCGTCTAACCTGGGTCGCAGAACTCGATCCGCCACAATCTCTCTCTCAACAAGGCTTTTGAGAAGGTGGCTCGGTCTACAGACGAACCTGGCAAGGGAATGAAATGGCAACTGGTTCCAGAGGTTCGGGACGACATGATCAGGAGCGCTTATAGGGGTGGCCGTGGTGGCCATCGCGGCTCTTCGAACCCATCCTCGCCCAGCCAGCTAAACTACATCACTCAGAGTCCGAGAGACATGACGGGTAGGGGAGATCCGATGTCGGCACGGAAGCGAAAGGTCTCGCCGTCTGGATCGCCACAGCCCCGCTCGGCCCTTCGCAACTCCCACCTGACTCCAGTCCGGGGTTCGCGGAAGCCGCTCCCTCACGATGCTGGTATCGGTGCAGATGGTAGCCCTCTGCCGCGCCTTCGCAAGACAGCTGCGTCCGAGGTCCGCCTCGGCGATAACCCGCCCGCCTCACCTACCCTGACCTCGTCTTATCTTCAAGAAGACGGAGCCTCGTTCGTCACGCCGGCGCCCCACCGTGTGCATCCCAAACTTGCCCCCCCGAGCACTGCCCAACGGCCGAGTCAGCACATGCCCACCAGCTCACCAGCGCCATTCTGGAAGTATGCGGACATCGGAAGCACGCCACTGAAGCCGGCGCAGTTTGATCTCAGCCCATCAAAAGCCCTCGGGAACCTGCCTGCTAGCAGCAGCCCACCACCAGCCTCTGGCAAGTCGCCGGTCGCGAGCCCAACGAGGGCGGGACGTGAGGAAACTCAAGAAGCCCCCTCAACCGCAGATCCTGATGAGGACCGTGGCTTTGACCTTACAAAGTAAGCTCTTCCTCCCACGCTTATTCTTCTTCAAGCTTGATCCCCCTCCCAGTCCGTGTTACTCACACCATCTCCAGGGGTTTCCAAAGCATTGGCTCGTACCACGCGCCGGTCGGGATTGGCCAAGAGGTCAAGCCAGCCACGAACGGCGGTACGACGAGGACCAACGGAAACGCCTAAATTTGACTCGCTCTTCTGGTATCCTTTGCCAGAGACCGACTAGCGGGGTTTGACTTTGTCAAATGCAAGCTTGTCCTACCGTTTAAGTGATCTCGGTTGCAAGACAGGATGGGGGGAAAGCAATGGTCCAATCATTCGTTCGAAGACACCTGTCTAGGTATTTACGGTTTAGGCAGCTCTTGAGCTGCTCGCCGTCCACGTCGAATGCCGGGCTTTGGTTCTGCAAGCGATTTTTTTTGCCCCTAACCCTCATTTTTCTCTCTCTCTCCCTTTCTATTTTTTGGGTTGGGGTTTGGGTGGGTTTGGCTTTGAGGGAAATTAACCCAGGACCGGGAGGGGCGCATCTTGTGTGATTTATCATTATAGTTTCAAAAAGCTGCTGCTCTGGCTCGGTCTCCAAGCCAGAATAGTAGACAGACTCAGAATCTCAGAGATGATCTTTCTGGCCACATGTCTGGCGTCTCCGCCCATATGCTTACGGTCCATGTTTTGCAACTTAACTACTGGCTAGGTGGAAACGAACTTGGAGGGTAAATAAGGTAGATGGTGAGCGAAGAGTTCTGGTATATTAAACAGAAAGGTTTTACACAATGCTTCGAGGGAGTGGTCCGACTCCCCTCCCTCCCTCCCTTCCTCTTTCCTTCTCCCCGCCTCTCCAAGCAGGCCACGTCTAGCGATCCTAGCTCTGTTGGTCGAGGAAAAGGAAAGAGGGAGAAACAAAAAAAGAAACAAAAAGGAGCGGTGACGGAACAAACCCCCCAAAGAGAGAGGAGCAACCCTTCCCTGCCTTCAGGGTAATGTACAGCATATTATGAGAACACGAGGGTAGGAGGTCCGCCACCTTCTCGCCCCCCTCCCCTCCCCTTTTTCCAGCCAATTTTTTTCGTTCTTTCCACAGCCTCTCTCTCTTCTCTCTATACAGGATGATGAGCCGGGAAAATATGCAGATACAATTACAGTGGTTATTGAAAAGACAAATAAATCCAGACAGAAAACTCCAGGTCGAATGATTTTATGCAACCGTTTTTCTAAAACCCGTGCCTTGGAATGGTTGTTTTTACACACACGGCCCCCTTTCCGTCCTTATAATGAGATTGGTTTCCCGCCCATTTTTTCCCCTATTTGTTGTTGTTTATGATGTTTCGAGACGAGATATCCCAGATGGTGTCTAGTGGATGAGTGGATAGATTGATCGATGGATTGACGGATGGTAGCCCGGCTCGTCAAGCAGTGGTGTTGACAGTCCCGGTACTGGCACTGGCACCTCCCCGTCGCTTGGGGTTGCCACGGCCCGGTCGCTTCTTGCCGGCGCCGGCGCCGCTGCTGCTCTTCTTCTTCTTGTCGGTGCCCTCGATGAACCTGATGAGCTCGTCGATGCTCCGGCTGTCGATGGTGCCCTGCGACGGCGCCGGAGCGCCGGAGCCGGCCGTGATGCCGGCCGCGGAGCTGGAGGGGGTGCCGAGGCTGACGTCGCGGGGCGTGAAGCGGATGCCGGCGCGGAGGCGGCGGGCCTGGACGTCCTTGGCGTGCTTGGCGATGGACACGGCGTTCTGGGTCAGCTGCTCGAGCCAGCTCTCGGCCTCCCTCGTGTTCTTGTCCTCGGGCCCCAGGGCGGCCAGGAAGATGTTGTAGCTCTCGCGCATCCGGTTGACGGCGCCCTTGGAGTCGTTGTCGAGCGCGAGCGCCTGCGCGAGCTGGAACAGCAGCGTGGCCGAGTTGACCGACTGCTTGCCGAAGACCTGCTCGCAGATGCGCAGGGACTCCTCGAACCACCGCCGCGACTCGTGGTACTGCTTGAGGTGCTGTAGCATGACGGCGGCGTTGTTGATGGTCGTGATCGTGTCCGGGTGGTCCGGGCCGTATATGACCTTCCACAGGTCGAGAGCGTGCTTGGCGTATACCAAGGCGCCCTTGCTGTCGCCCAGCTGGTGGAGGAACAGGCTGAGGTTGAGGTAGTCCAACACAGTCTCCGCCGAGTCGATGCCCATGGTTCGCTCCGACACAATGACGGCCTTGCGGGCGAGATCTACGGCCGCCTCCTTCTCGTCAAGCTGGTAGTAGATCTGCGAGAGGGTATGGTAGACCTGTGCTACCTCTGGATGGAGAAGGCCGTAGATCTGCTCGTGCAGGGAGAGAGACTCCAAGAGCAGTTCCTGGCCCAGCTGCTTCTGGCCGTTGTAGATGGAGATGCGTCCGGCCTCCAGGGCTTCCTCGGAGAGAGTGCTACGCGGGGAGGAATCTTTGACAATCGGCACGACGTTGACGATATCGTCGGGGGTGAAGGTATGCGGGGCGGTGGTGGAAGATGCAATAGAAGCCGGGGATCCGTCTCGTGCGTTCTTCTTCTTCTTCTTCTTCCCTTCGCCATTGGCCTGTCCGTTGACGGCGGCCTTATCGGCTGAGGGCTTCTCAGCATTCGCGTCCGTCTCCGGCCCGAAAGCAAAGTTCTTGGATTGGAGCTGAATGCCCAACTTCAGGCAGACTTCCCGGAGCAGCTGTAGATGCTTGGTCTGGTTGTGCCAGCCCTCTTCTAGAGCGTACCGGTACCGGCGAGCAGCCTCGTCCTGGATGGCCTCTCGGAGGCTCGCTGGGGTAACCTTCTCAAAGGCCAAGTCCGCATCGTCATAGAGAACCTTCAACGACTCTTCAATGTCGGCAACGGGCTTGGGATTCAAGCCGGAGCCCAGCAGGCAGTTTAGGAGGTGGGCGATACACGCCGAGGTCAGGGGCAACGGCAGGTATCTAAGATACTTAGCCGAGACGTGCTTGAAAGCCCGGACTACCATCTCTCGGACGCAGACCTCCCTCAGGCATTGCAGACGGGTACCTTCGCTCAATTCTGCGAGTTTGCCGATATATCGCATGTTGATGCCGCGTCTGTGCAGGATGCGGGTAAGCGATCGGCCGTCCATTGGGAAGCTGATGTCGGACTCCTTAAGATCGTTCAAGAAGCCAGGGATGACGACATCGCGGAGGTATTTACAGGCGTCTCGGACGTCTTGCTCGTCCTTGGCCATAGCCTCCTTCTCGGCGTCGGTCTGTGGAAGTTGGCCACTGAAGACGTCTGGATTGAGAGCGAACTTGAAATTCGCCATATCGATCTTGTCATCCTCTTTCGCCGTCGCTTCCGTCGCCTCCTCCTTCACCTCCTCGTCCTCTTCAGGGCTCTTGGAAGTTTCCGACTCGGCCGGCTGCGTCTTATCTCCATCGCCCTGCTCATCCTTGCCCTCCTCTTTCGACTCCGTGTCTGCTGACTTGTCCTTCAGGAGCCCACGCTTTACAAGTTCCGCGTTGACGTACTCCCGCGCCTTCTGTTTCCCGAGCGATTCGACCAGTTCGGGGCGGAGGACGGTCATGCGATGCGGGTACTCAAGGCCCTGGTGCTCATCGTCCTCCAGCCAAGCAATATCCAGGGGCGTAATGCGATACAGATCCAACACGTATTTTCGGCCGTCGGTTCCCAGGAGCCCCTTCATCTCGACACTGGACACGAGGTCGAACTCCTTGCCGTCCTTGTCCCAAACAGTATGCTTCTTGACCCTGAGAGCCTGAGACAGCTTCTCAAAGACTGGCACGAACTTGTCCTCTGCTGCGACCACCTCTTTGCCGTCGACGGCGCCGTACTGGATCTGATTCTCGCCGGGTTCGGGCTGTTTGAAGATGCCCGGCACAATGCTTTGACCAACAATACGCTTGCCGAGGTAGTCGACAACCACAGTGCCCGGGGTGTAGAGGCCGTCGATGTCGAGCTGGTTTACCAGCTTGACACCCAGCACATCCTTGCCTGTGGCAACACGCGCTGCCTCATCCCCGCCCTCGGAAGTGAAGGTGCCAACACCGTCTGCGCCGAAAGAGAAGAAGACATTGTTGTAGACGAATATCTGGGCGTCCTTACCCTCGGTTGGGTTGAGGGGCGCGATCTCTCCACGCGCAACCAGCGCAGCTCCGCGAGCGGCAGCGTCGTTGTAGTCGGCGAAGAGCTTGGAGATGAGGCGCTCCCTGAAGACTCGATCCTGCACTGTATCCCTAGGGAGTTCCCTCGCAGACTGGAACTCCTCGTTCCAGTCCCTCAGAGTGTCCGTGTTCTCCACGCCGCCATACAAGAAGGCCTCTTGCGTGCGGGTAATATCCGGGGTGTGTGAGCAGATGGGCGACGCAGAAGATGGTACGAGCCAAGGAGCTGACGGGATCGAGTTCCCAATTTGAAAAGTGGCCAGGGGGTCCCTTCGGTTGCTGTACTCCTGGAGCTGGGTAAAGGAAGAGTCAAAAGAGGGCGATATCTCCTTAATCAGGGCGAGCAGGGAGTGGGCCGAGTGGCCTTTCGGTGCGGCCCGGGGGAAGGGGTCGAATTTGCTGTTGGAGGATTTGTTCACATAGAAACCCCCGACGTGGGCCGTGATCTGGTACTGCTCCCCCTCATTTGTCGTGACAATGAGGTACAAGAGGTGGCCCTTCTGCCTCAGGTGGGCGGGCGGCGGGTTCCACGAGGACAGCGAGATAGCCTTGACGGTTTTCGGGGCCGGGTCACTCTGAGGCGGGAGAAGTGTTGCCAGGGAAGCTGGAGTGTTGAAATCGTACTCCTTGATGGCAGTGGCCTCGCCAGACTCCTCGGACGGAGGCGCAACATGGTCGAAGAGGGACACGCCAGCGAGGATCCCCTGGACGGTGTCTGTCCGATCCCCAGCAGCCCCAATGAGCTCCCGGATTCTAACCAGGTGGATTCTAGCCTCTTTCTCTGTGTAAGGATCCTCCACCAGGTGTACTTCAGAGTCGGGACCGAGCTCGTTGACTTCGGAGATCTGGACGAAATCGTTGATGCGCTCCCCCTTATGTTCGAGGTGGAAACAGGAGTATTCGAGGGCAGTTGGATGTTCTATAATGGATTGTCGCACCTCGTGGACCTGCTCTTGCGGAGAGACCTAAAGGGGCTAAGCAACGGTGAATCGAATTCGGGATCTGAGCTACCCACCAGGACCTGTAGTTTCTTGGGGTCGTGAGGAAGAACAACAGTGATGTTGAAGATGGCGTCTAGAAGTGGTCAGCTGCGGTCGATGGTGTCGAACATGTACTGCTATACCTTCGTTGGCCTGGTCGGCACTCTCCTGAGCCGTCACAACAGCCTCCGGGGCTCCGGATGTCGGAACCTGGGCCTCTGCAGCTTGCGAAGCTGGATGATTCATCGTCAGCTGGCTTCCGATTGGGGACGAGACAGTGTTTTTTCGTACCTATAGGTGACGAGCTATCTTTCGTAGCGTCGGCCATTGTGTCGGTTAAGTTCTCTAGATTGAGTAGAACTTAGGGCAGAACGAGAGCAAAAGTAGAGACAGCTGGTAACCTGGCGTCTTATCACGACTTTCCTCTGTGACGTAATTACAAGGAGGAAAGGGAATAAATCATACAATGGGCAAGAAGAAGAGGGCCAATTGCACCAGTAGAGAGGTACGAACTGAGGAACTAAACGGAACAGCACTTAGAAGATGGGAATTGAGAGCCGCTGTCGCATGTCTTTTCGTTTGTCAATTTTTGTTTTGTTTTATTTTCTTTTTCTTCTCACCCGGCAAACGGGAGAAAATTTCCACACTAAGCCGAGAAATTGGCTAGCGCCCTTTTTGAGCGGCGCCGACCGAGGGTGTCTGGGCCGACCGCTGCCATTAGCCCCTTCCCCATTTCCGTGCAATACACTATCAACCTCAAAAGAGAGAGAGAGAGAGAGAGAGCTGGCATTTAAAGTAGAGTTTCTCAGACGTCTGCTGCGTACAGTTGCAGTGTTGGGATGACCTAGTGGTCTGATGCCCGAAACCACCATCTCGCGGCCCTCCTCTGAATATCCGGCTTCAATGACTAAGTGTTGGCCAGTCTAGAGCTCCTGGGCGTTCAGACTTTGGACAACCAGTCGAATCTCCTTCTCCAACATCTCCACCCTATGCTCCAAAGGTTGTAGCGCCCATTGCTTTCCAATTGGCTCTTAAACCCATTTGGGTGATTTGGTACTCAATTTCCGAGTTGATGGAGAGGTGGGGATGCTCATGCGGGCCGGTCGGGATTGTGATGATCATGGCCTTAGACCCGACTAGGTACAGTCTGAATCTGAACTTTCGTCGGTGAGCAGATCTCTCCTTGTCGATGCTGGCAAAGTCTTCCGTGGAGACAACTTGGACAGTGAGGGCGTCTCCAGTAGTAATTGCTGTCGCTATCTGTCGCTATTGTCGTTGCTCTTGCTGCCTAGGTACCTACCTAGTACTCTTGCTATTACTATCGATTGCTCTTGCTATTGCCGTCTATCGCTATTGCTGTTACTGTCTGCGGATCCGTATTGCTCTTGCTCTTGCTACCTATTGCTCTTGCTGCTACTGTCTATTGCTCTTGCTCTTGCTGTCTATCGCTATTGCCGTCGCTGACCATCGCTATTGCCGTTTTTGTTGCTATCACCATTGACAATCACCTCTCTCACAGCAACGCATATATCCGGGATAAAGCCAACCACCGCGCTCGGCGCGACCTCACATTCGAAACCAGAGAAATCGACAGATTTCTGAGCCGATACAGGTAGGCGCAACCCTTGTTGTAGCCCTGGTACCTGAAATCACAAACAATTCATCGTCAGCCATCCGGTACACCAAGCACCAAATTGGCGATAATGCATAGAGCGATCATTGCCAAGAAGTCAAGGATACCCTCAGGACCGCCCTCTTCCTCAACTTCGACAAGGACCTCCTCCGCAGCACGCTGGCTCGACATCCGGTGGGTCACCGCATCTTGGCCGAGGCGAGGACACTATAGAGAAGGTGATAAAGGAAGCGGAATAGTTGGACACTGTGGGCTACACCATTTTTGCATTAGGAGGGCTATCGAATCCTTCGCACGCAGTTACGTTGCGAGGCAAAGTTTTACTTCCTGTCATGTACAGGCCTTCAGGAAATAATTAACTGGGCTCCTATTGGCTCCTAACCTGGGAGTCCGCCCGCCCATCTCATTGGTTGTTAGACTTAAAATCCGGTCATCTTATTGGTTCAACCCGCTCTGACACTCAGCGACTAGCAGGAGGTGCACGGAGTATTTTAGCCACACACTGCTACAGTCAAATTTCAGATAATCTGATTGGTTGAAAATATTCTACCTAATCTAGCGGCAGTACTCAGATCCCTGGTAAAATTTACCCACCAAAGAAGTACCTTAGGTACCTATGTTGCGGAATGAGTGCCGAGACAACCCAGGCTCCATAAACAGACAGCAATCCCTTTGTTTACTTTCTACCAATGATCACAGGTTGGATATCGCAGAACATCATCAATTACGCACCTTTACACCCATTTGCTACGCTACTGAGTCTCATAGTTTATGCCCCGTCCCCTCCATTTTTGGTCTTTAATTGCATACAGCTTCGAATTAGGAGTTGGGGGAGGACAACAAGGCCCGGCCTAAGACTCGGAGTGTCATGGCATCATCAGCATAAGAGAAACTCGCTTCACCAATCCGCACTGGACTACAGGTTATTTTGATTATTTTGCAACTATCCGGTTATTTGGCATTGCTAGCAATGGAAAAATGGACCTCCAAGGTCTCCGGCCCGGCGAATGGCTTGTGCCAACAGTGGACGGCAACACGGTGCCACAGGCTGCTTCGGCCACTTTTGACGCATGTCGCTGCGCTGAGGAAAGAAGTTGACTGGCAGAGGTCGTTCTGCCCGGATCAAAACCTTGCGCAGTCTAGGGCTCAAGAAGCAGTGAGCGAGGCAAGTGGCAAGCGCTCCAGCTCAGATCGTGACTCTTTCCAGGCACGGAAAAAGGCTCGCTATACGTATTCTCTGAAGACATCGAAGGCGACGAGCCACCGTGGCTCGGCTCGGGATTGCCCGGGTGAGAAGGCCAAAGAATCAAAGGCCAGGCACGAGGAACCGTCCAGGGAAGGGATAGTATTACCCACGCCAGTGCTTAAACGAGCAAGAGGGCATCTCATGTCCTCGCCTGTCATCCACAGCTTTTGGCCCCAGGAAGACGCAATGGTCTCGAGAGTAGGGAAGTGTCACCACGTGCAAGAGTGCTGTGCGAATCGTTGCGTCTTCGAACTCGAGCTAGCCACCCTCCGAAAGACGACCGCCCCTTCCAGGTTCTTCTTGTACGAGTCCATCTTCCGGGCGCTGGATGCATTGCTCAGGGCCACAACGACGCAGAAGCCCGGGCGGGGCACCTCCAAGTCACTCGTGGCGATGTGCCTCCGCAAGGTCCCGGAGTACGTCGTGGGGCTTGAGTTATGGAGGCAGGTGGATGCCGAGGCCAACGGCACAAGGTCGACACTCGATGGCGCCGAGGTGTCTTTCGAGATCTACTCAGACCTGGAGTCACTCGGCGTCGGAAACTGTGGCTGGAAGCACCTTTCCGACGTAGCTCGTGCGCACGGGATCAAGGTCGTCAAAGACGCCATCTCCGAGGGGCTCATCGAGCTCGAGTTCTCGGTCATGCTCGCGCGGCTGTGCAATGAATCGCCATCATTCACCGACCGCGGGGAACTCATCGAGGCCATTGTCTCTCGGCAGTACGAGAAACCATCTGGACCGGACGATTGGTTCGCCAAATCTAGGGAGACAATGCCTCTCGAGATCTTCCTGCCGTCCTCACGGAAGGCGTGGGCGGGAGCGTTCCGAGCGAGGAATATGTCCAACCTGTTGAGCCATCAGCTGCTGCCGCGGGAATGGATCCTGACGCGAGACTTTGGCACGATATGGTCGTCGACGGTGAGGGACATTGCAGGGAAGAGCACAAGCCAGGACACCATTACTTTCATCATCACATCGATCCATGCACTTTGCAGCCACATGTTATCAAGAGGGCGCAAGAAGGCTTCTCCGGAAGAAGCCGTGGGAGCAGCCCAGCAAACATTGATAGGTGCGTTAACAGCACTAGTGACAACGGCCCTCTTAGGACAACAGACTTTGGTTCAGTACCCAACGATATCATCCAAAGACCGAATCAGGACTATCAACAGGAGAGTTGAGTACATCATTCGAGTCTGCTTAACTACGATCGGGTCGAGAAGTGGCGGAATCCGACCCAGCACATACCTTTTGCTTCTTGCCGCATTCTTTCTCGACTCTACACTAGAATCGACCGAGTCCGGTCAGCGACGTGGCAACAGATACCGGACAATGCTGCAAAACTGCTGGGACGACGGCCCCGGGAGCTGCCAATGGGGGCAGCGGTACGAGGCGACACTGGCTCTGATGTGCTCCATAGCGCAATGCTGCGGGCGGGGGACCACGGCGCCGGCGAGCGCCTACCTGACCAGGCTGTGCGACCGCCTGGGGACAGTCCGCGACGGCCAGCTCGGGAGCTTGCGCCGGGACGCGGCGTTCCTACTCGCGGACCAGACCGGCGACCTGCGCGACCTCGCCTTCGCCGAGGGTCTAGAGGCTGGCCGAGACGACCGGCCCCCGAGCAGGGACAGGGACAGGCCGCGGCAGACGCCGGGCCGGGGCACCGCGTTCGCGGGGTTCAGGTGGGACGAAGGTATCAGCGAGTGGGTCACCACCAGCCCCGCCGTCCTGGCAGCGTCGACGAGGTTGCGCAGGGCACCGCCCCCGTCGCCTGCAGATGACCCCGGGGCACGATCGCGAGGTCACGCCCGCAGGAGGAGAGAGGACTCGACTAGGCGGCGGGAGGGCGATACTCATCCCGCTTCAGGGGAGAGGGCGGAAACCCGGGCTCCTGGGATCGAAACGCGCATCGGCGGCACGAGCTGCCTCATGGAGGTGGGGGTGGTGGAGAAGGTTAGCGAGGAGATACCATCACGTCGTCGCAGTAGGCCACAGGCGAAACGGAAGAGCGCAGAGGAGAGCCCGCGGGCGGCGGGGGACGCCGCGGTACCGGACAGCAACGCAGACGAGCTCTGGGACGACGACGACCACCACCACCACGAGCAGGGGTACCAGCTGGGCGGCAAGGAGAACCGACCGGCCCACAGGGCTGTGGAGTGGCATGCCCCCACCAAGCGGAGGCGGAAACGGGGCTCGCTGCAGAGTCGCCAGCCGCTCAGGACGATAGCCAACGCGTATTTCGACTGCGACGGGTCGAGCGGCGACGAGCTTGGCCTGTGACGGGCTGTGGGTGTACGTAGTACGTGGGGCGTTTAGGGTTACGAGGGCATTGTCTGGACGTGGGGAGAGGAAGGGTTACAGCTGTTTGGAGTAGTTGTTGGGTTGCCAATAGTATTACCTCGATAACGGCTGGCGGCCTGGTTGCATAACCTCTACAGGAAACATGGGGCTTGGATGATCGCTGTGGAGTCATGGAATACGTGCGCATGTGTGGATTATTGTAGGTGTAGGAAAGAGGAGACGAGAATAGAACATGGAACTCGCTCAGAAGCAGCCAGGGTTCCTACAGATGCAGAGAGCTTCACTTCAAAGCCCGTGTTACATGATTTTCGAGAAAACTCTCCGAGACCTGCCCTGCCAATCCCCCGCCCGCTGCAACGAATACCACCCACACTCGATCTGATTGCACCCGAACTATACAAGTCAGGTTCGGCCGATCGTGACGCAGGTGAGGAGATGGCGGAGAGAAGGTGGAACAGGATGTCCGTGATCGCTTGGCGCTTGCGGTCTTTTTGGGGGAAATCCTCGGACGGAATTACCCGATGTTCAACCATGAGAAAGGGGGGGCAAGCTAGATATGTGTAGAGAGACCTGGGTCTGTAGAGGTTCTAGACCCAGAGGCGAATGCAAGAATTATTAGATGACTCTGGGGAAATTGGGAAGTCAGGTAATCCGTATATGCCGTAGATAGAATGGCGCCGGGTAAACGATAGAGCCAAGGCTTGGCTTTGTAGATTTGATGACCGTACGGATCCTACAACTACTACCTATACCAGTAATGCGAGAGTCTTACCCCTGGTATGGTGGCATTCATCATCCAAGAAACACCAAGATAACAGCCGCGGCGGATTTACACCAAGGGGGTTGCCCTCCAGCCCTTATTCCCGCCCGTTCCACCTCCCCAGGAAAACAACTTCTGGCGCGCGCAAATCCAGAAGCTTAGATGTGAATCGTACCGAGAACCTGTGAGTTCGGGCACCGGCACCGATCCTGGTGGAAAAGCCACAACGATGCAATTTCCCGGAGAGGGTGGGTTTCGCCCGAAGAGCTGCGTGTCTGAGAAGGCGTAGGGCTATATGGAGGCTCTGTTTCAGGATGGGATAAAGCAGGTTGGCAACGTGATCCTCGCAGATCCCGGGGCTATCGAATCTCGCAGAATCACAGCAGTGTCCCAGATAGGGTTCCATTGGGTCAATGAAGAAGCGAGTGCCTGTCTGTGATACCGTGATTCAGCCGTTCAGCACCCTCGCCGGACGTCCATAATCATATCTCGGTCACTTCATGTGTGAGTGCGGATTGGTAGCCACCGCTGGAGTGACCTGCGCCCGTGATAAGCAGCGCAGCGTCGTCAGAATGCCCCGTGGCTAGGTGGCTGGTCATTGGTATTGGCCAAAATTCCCGTCGTCATCAGTCACAAGTTCAAAACACCACCTCACTCCGTGAACTGGTATGGAAGAATGGATATGTGACAGAAGATGCCGGCTTGACAGGAAACGGGTGATTCTCCAACGAGCCCCAGGATTCAGTTGTTGTTGCAGAGTGCCAAGAGAAACATTGGGCGTATCCAAACCTCTTGGAGAACATTTTCCTGGTTCTAGCATAGTACATTTTCATCAGTCTCCGATCGGGTTTCTTGTCGATTTTGGCACAAGTTCGCGCTCGAGAAGGGCTGGGGTCCTGTTGATCGCTCCCTTTCGCCCTTGGATCCCCCTTTTAGGAAAGGCTGGGGAGGGTGGGGCAGAGATGATTGGCTTAGATGTGTCGGACTGGGAGCTCTGACCCCTGGTTGTGGCTTGTTTCATATCTGTAGGGACAGATTGATTGGAAATAGCCAGGGCTTCCACAGTGGCGACCGAGTCAAGAAAACCAATCTGCGGCCGCCCATTCGCTGATGCGGTTGGACAGAAGCATGGTTGGACTTGGTTGCATGCTTCCCGCACTCGGCCCAACGCAGGTACGTACCAGCAAGGGCACGCGATTCAGGGACCACGCCAACTAAAGCAAGGGGAGCCGATGAGAATGAGAAATCTTTTCAGGGAACAGGGAATGAATGAATCGTTCCAGCAAGTGATGACGGAGGCGGTGGAGACAACCATTGAATCGCGCCCGATTTTGAGTTTGGCCAGCCTCTACCTAAAGGTACCCGAAGGGTCAACTAGGTAGGAATCCGCAATAACTTTCTCCGAGGGTCCAAAGTATGCGTAGGTTTTGAGGCGAGTCAGGCTGTTATTCGCCTCTCTCCACGTACGGAGTAGGTTACTGTTCCAGACTCTAAGAACCCACAAGCCAGAGTTTGCAACGCTCCAGAGTCTAGACTTGCCTTAGGTAGTTTAGGTAGACAGAAGACACCGTATTGTAGGTCAAGCTCCGAGAGTGTGGGTATTTCGTATTGCTGCCCCACTGTTAAGCCCAGGGCGATCGAGGCAGGGGGTGACGGGCCACTCCCCATCTATCTGGCATCCTCCCAATATATGCAAGATTATGCCACCGCTCCAATAGCGAGCACACTTTCCGCCTTCATCACTTTTCTCGTCACCTCCCGATCACTTGTTAGTTGCTTGGAGTGTCCGACTTTCCCAAAGGATACTCTCTGCATCATACTTGGAACCGGTGTCCCTCTCTTTAAGACAGTTCCTTTTCTTCAGCTCATTCCGTCCGGGCTTGCTTAGGCAACCCAGTTATTACTCCCTTTTCACGACCGAACCCAGCCGTCTGCCATTCTGCGACCCGACTGGTCCTGGCGACACTGGCATTATATTCTTTCTACACGCCGCTGGCCGACCTGTTTCTCATAGAAACATCATCTCTCACTTGTTAGGCGAGTTTAGACACTGCCACGAAGAGGATACGATCATCGAGACCTCGCGATATCCGTGCCAAGCACCAAAATAAGGATCGCCCTTCGATACCAAGGCCTCGACCACCCGATACATAACAAGGTCATTCTCTTCGCATCACAACATCCTACCCTCGACCACCCCGTGCTGGACTCGAGATTTTCGAGGGGATCGGTGTTTGAAACCTTCTTTTTTCAACTGGGATTGGAATGATACAGCGCACTACCGCAACAAACTAACCCCATTACATCTCTTGAACTTTGGGAGCCGATATTCACAACCTCTCGTACTACCAGACACACAAGATCACTGACGGGTTATACCGTACGATTGGTTAACGGGGGAATCCACGGGACAGGACATAGGTGGAAATATTTCCGCCGTCGCTATAGTCACTGCGATACTCAGTGCAACAGCCGCCATGTCAGCTACTGGACCACCAGCGACTGGAGGAGGTGCTTCTGGCAAGCAAGGAGGGAAAGGGGAGGCCATTCCTGGAACTGGAGGCATCGACCCGAATCTGCAGAATCTGCTCCTCTCAAACTATCTCTTCTACACACTTGCTTGCATCTCCGCTGCCCTCATCATCTGGAGAGTCAGCAATGGCGTGTTGAAGTTTGTCCGCCATGTGGCAGGTCTGAACAACGAGACACAACGTTATTTTGCCGCGCCGTCGGCAAAGCTGTCATGGTTGAAGAAGAACATCCTCTACGCTCCACTCTTCAGCAAGCGCCACAACCGCGAGTTCCAACTCAGCTCTGCAGTCAATGTCGGAACACTCCCTACGAGGCTGCAATCCGTCTTTCTGATCGGCTACTTCGCCACCAACGTCGCCTTCTGTGTCATTGACATACCCTTTTCCGGCTCCCAGACCGAGGCTCTTGCCTTGCTTAGGAATCGGAGCGGCGTTCTCGCCGTTGTCAACATGATCCCTCTCTTCATTATGGCTGGCAGAAACAACCCACTGATCCAGCTGCTGGGTATCTCCTTCGACACCTTCAACCTCCTCCATCGGTGGTTCGGGCGTATTGTCATCCTGGAGTCTGTCACCCACACACTTGCCTTCCTTGCCAGCAATGCCTCCAAGAAGGGATGGGGTGCTGCTTTCACAACCGCCACCACAGTCCCATACATGCTGTATGGTTTTATTGTAAGTTCATGGCCCCCCTCCTCCACCTTCGGTCCACGCAGAGCACTAATTCTTTGGTAGGCGACTTGTGCTTTTATCGCCATCGGGATCCAGTCAATGAGTGTCTTGAGACATGCCTTCTATGAATCCTTCAAATTGGCTCACATTGCTCTTGCCATTCTTGGAGTGGTTGGTGTCTGGTACCACCTGGACCTGAAGAAGTTCCCTCAGATCAAGTACATGTATGCTGTGGTCATCCTCTGGGCACTGGACCGCCTTGCTCGCCTTCTGCGTGTGGGTTACTACCAGCTAGGCTCTGGCAGCACTAGGACACTGGTGGAGGCCCTTCCAGGCAAGGCTTGCCGGGTGACAGTGACAATGGCTCGCCCCTGGTCTCTCCGCCCTGGCCAGCATGCATACCTGTACATGCCGAGCATCAGCTACTGGCAATCACACCCCTTCTCTGTGGCCTGGACCCACGAGGCAGAGCAGCCAGACAGCGAGAAGCTGCCCATGGACCGACAGGATGTGCTTGCCATGAAGAAGACCAGCATGTCCTTCATCATCCGGGCTCGCACAGGCTTCACCGGCACACTGTACGAGAAGGCAGCAGCAAGCAAGGATGGAAGGATGGTTACCACATGTTTGGTCGAGGGGCCGTATGGGGGCCTGCACGGAATGGGCTCATACGGAACGGTGATGCTCTTTGCAGGAGGTGTGGGCATTACACAAGCAGTACCCCACATTCGCGATCTCGTTGTCGGATACAGCAACGGGACCGTGGCTGTGCGCAAGGTGGTCCTTGTTTGGATCATCCAGAGCCCTGAGCACCTCGAGTGGATCCGGCCCTGGATGACCGAGGTCCTGTCCATGGAGAGGCGCCGTGAGGTGCTGAGGATTATGCTCTTCGTCAGCCGGCCACGGTCAACGAAGGAGATCCACAGCCCTAGTGCCACGGTCCAGATGTTCCCCGGCCGGCCCAACATCGACACTCTCCTGGGCATAGAGATGGAGAACCAGGTTGGAGCCCTAGGGGTCTCAGTGTGTGGCCCTGGTGCCCTCAGTGATGAGGTCCGGAGAGCAGTCCGGAACAGGCAGTACCAGGGCGCCATCGACTTCGTTGAGGAGGCTTTCACTTGGTAAATTTGGCCAGGTGTGTCAGGCATAGCTCTGCGCTGCCTGACTTTGTTACGCGTGCATGCTTGCACATGTTGTGCATATTTGTGTGCTTATCATTGCCAAGGGTTTCCACATCATGGTTTGGATGCTACAACAACTGTCATTCCCCAACATGGATGGCCCTATGGGACCTTCTTGTATATGCTTGAACTTTTCATTATCTATCTTATCAGGACTGGGAGCGGGTAGGAAGACGGGATAACTCGTTGGTGTCTCAAAAGAAATAGGCGTTCATCTAACAGCCTACAGAACATACATATATCCTGTCTTTATGGATTAGAATATGCTTTTGGTGATTCACCGAGTCTCACATTCCGAGTGCATTGGAATATACATACATGTGACATGGTGATATTTGCTCTAAGCTCTCAACTACCAACTTTGAGTCTAGACAGTCTTTGCTAAGTTGACTTCTTAACGGCTCCTAGAACACCTATTGATTTGGAAATTTTACTGCCTTTAGAATATCTCATGGTTTAAGTGGCAACGAAGCAACACATATGCTCTCGACGATCTATCTAGGTGGCACAGTTTGTTGATTTATTAACCTCTCACCTCTCTAATCTGCATTTAATGCCGCATGACAATAAATCTTCAATGGTGAAGGTTTGTGCAGCACGGTAGGAGGTGTCACACCTGTCTTCCCCAGCAGCCCTGTGATCACTAGGTATCCGTATATCCGTACAGTACAGGGCCCCACCAACAGTCCACACGGCCTGGAATCAGAAGGTGTGCTGCATGCATGGCCCATCAGCTACCCCACCTCACCATCCCCCATCCCCCATCCCCTCACCCTCCTCCCAAGGATCCAACATCAATCTCCCAATGGGCAAACATCACGACGGCCGACCACTAGGACTAGTGCACCTACCTCTTGATCTAGGATAAAAGCCACTTCTAGGCCTTTTTTTCCCGCATATCCATCCTGCCAAGCATACACTGTCGAAACCCCTTTTATGGAAGATAGCCCTCACTAGTGCAAACCCCACGGCCTTGATCCTTAGGCATTTGGATATTGGACTGGAAAGGAACCATCTGAGACTTGCTTTCTGTCTCGGGCATCTCGAACTCGTCGATTACCCACTTCATCATTTTGCCTGTGGTCAAACGACCAAATAGATCCGAGTCTTGCGCTTACACGCTGTTACACCCTCTTACCGGATACACTCAACAATAACCAAACAGCGAAACAAACCAAGACCGACGAGAGCAGCCGCCAAGATGGGTCTAGCGTACAACACATATCTCAACAGCAATAAGATCTATGGCTGCAAGAACTGCAAAGCCCACCTAGCCAACCATGAGGACATCATCAGCCGAGTAAGCCCCCACCCGTTGACACTCCCCGGGCCTCGTCCGCAGCAGATAGATAGATCATGACTCCCGCGGCCCCCAACACCACGTGTCCTCTCTCCCCAGAAAAAGAAGAAGCAAACCAGCTAACCACCACCACCCCCGCAGAACTTCCGCGGCCAGCACGGCAAGGCATACCTCTTCAACGCGGTGGTCAACATCGACGCGGGCGAGCCGAGCGAGCGCAACATGACGACGGGGCGGCACATTGTGCGGGACATTGCGTGCCGGCAGTGCAAGGAGACGGTCGGGTGGAAGTACGACAAGGCGTACGAGTCGAGCGAGAAGTACAAGGAGGGCAAGTTCATCCTCGAGGCGGAGAGGCTTTGCAATGTCAGTTGAGGAGCTCACCGGGGGGGCGGGGGTTGGAAGAGGGGCATACGGGGGGGAAACCAAGGACCCAGAATGGTGTATGTTTCCCTCACTGATTCGACTAGATAGCATGGGTCTCCTTCGGAGGTGGCTTGGGTGCATACTGGGTGTACACGCGGGGGACGGACCATATTGCCAGGCCCGAGATTGACACTGCCGCATGGTTGGGGAAGGGGGATTCGCCTGGGAACTACGAATCACACCGGATGATCGGTCGGGAGGCTATGGATGGGCTGGGGGTTTTTGATTATATCGGAGCATCACTGCATACTACGGCTGGTGTATGGCGTGCCTTTTGTTATTATTGTTATTTTTCCTTTCCGGTCTGGCTGGGACTGGACTCCAATGCAAAGGCAGAAAGCGGGCAACGGGTGCTCCGGCCTAGATATCTACTTTGCTAGGCCCCGGCACAGATGCCTATTTCCTCTTCTCTAACTTGTCGAGTGGACCCGGAAGCGCTGCATTTGTTTTCAGGGAGGTTTTACCGCATGCAGGTTACCTAGCTACCTAGTCATTGCTATGATGGAATAAGGCCAATCTAGCACGTTCTCAGGCCGCCGTATGTTCGCCAAAGCACGCGGGTCGAAGTAGCAGATGATGACGTAGCGAGTTAAAATAAAATAAAAAGGAAAAGACGCTGCCGCATTCCACCAACTCCGAAATGATGCGCCGAGAGAGGAAGCAAGCAGAAATATCCAAAGCGGAAGAAGAACCGACGTTGACGAGAAGCGGCCCCCAAGCCATACAACCCAAAACCGATACCGACCGACCCCTCTGCCCCGTCCCCTGCCCAGACTCGACGCCGAGACCATGCCTATTCTCTACTCTCCTTATCCCCCTCTAGAGATATACACGGCTGCTATGTAAAACAAAAAGGAGAGGAAATGAAAAAGCAAAATGAAAAGCGAAGAAGTAGCCCGGGACCTAGTTGTGTTCAATGGGCTCCTCGGGTAGCAGCTCCTCGACCTCCTCGTCGGGCCTGAGCCAGGCGAACGGGGGTTGGACGATGCCATTGAACAGGAAGGTGAAGTAGACGAGCAGCGCGAAGCCGGCGACCTGCAGCCACTTGAACGTCTCCCAGCCCAGGCCGAGCGAGACCATCCAGATGAAGAGCGTCCGGCACGTGTCGATGGTCGACCGCGACGTCGCACTCACGCTCCGGGTCACCGACAGGCCGAAGAAGTTGAACCCACTGTGCGTGGGATACATTAGCCTAGTTTGTGCTTGGGGGAAAGGACGGGAGGATCTAGTGCAAGGTGACTCACCCAATGCTGACCATGATGAGGAGGCTGGAGACGGCGACGGCCCTGTTGTGGGTAATCTGCCTCCAGCCCTCGACTATGTCGAAGGGCCCGTAACGGCCGGCGTCGGTGCTGCCGACGGTGAGGTGCAGGACGATCATGCCCAGCACGGTGACGGTGAAGCCGAACAGGCCCTCCCAGCCGACGACCCTGATGGGCTCGATGGGCGACCTCTCGAGGATCCACTCCTCCAGCACGAACTGCGTAGCCGTGAAGACCTGCGCGCCGGCGATCATCAGCACCCCCGCTATGACCCTCAGTGCGTCGGAGGACTCGATGCCTTCTCCGCCGTCCACGACCACCGCCGACATGGCGGCCTCGACGACCTTCTTGTCGGGCCAGATGGCGCCCGCGAGGCCGACGACGGCGACGCCCAGGACGACGCCCGCGAGCGACAGCCACTGGAACAGGCGCAGGCGGCGGCCGAGGAAGACGACGCTGAAGAGGCCGACGAAGAGCACGAGGGCGCCCCGCGTCATCTGGTAGATGCTGGCCGCCACGAGGAGCAGGCCCGCGTTCATGAGCGTCGTGCCCAGGATGTCGCAGATGGCCGGTAGGGCCAGGAGGAGGACGCGGTAGCCCCGGAGGACCGAGGAGGCTTTGTCGTGGCGGCCATTATGGTGGTGTCGGTGATGGTCGTCATCGTCGCCGTTGTTGTGGTGGTGGTCGGTATTAGCCGCGGCTTGTGGGAAGGAGGAGGAGCCGTTCAACGCTGTTCGCGAGTGGATGCTGCTGGCGTCGTCCCGGTCGGCCGGCTCGGAGGTGCTGACGGCCTCGTAGCCGGAAGCGGCAGTGGAGGGCACCTTCTTGGAGATGTAGCGCCGCCATAGGGCCATGGCGGCGACGACTAGCCAACAGCCCGCCTCGCCGACGAACATCTGTGCCGTCTGGATTACGGGCTGCTCGAAGTGGGCCCACTTCTTGGGATCTGGGTCTGAGCAGTTCCGGACACATTGGTTGTCCTATTTTGTCACAAAAGATGGATGTCTGTCAGTCCGCTGCACTCGCTCCATGGGGGCGAGAGGGGTTTGACTAGGACGCAGGAAGCATCGGCTCTTACCTGGTATTTGGTGAGGAGCGTGTTGCAAACACCCGTTAGGAGCATCATGGCTACCAGGAACGGGATGGCGGCTCGAGAGGCCATGATGGGTGGTCGTTATTCAAAGGTCGGTGGATGGGAGGAGGGCGGGGAGGAAGGGATTGTCCGAGACTGGCAACAGTCTCAAGAGTTCGCGACAGCAGCCGAAGCACAAAATCCTTTTAGCAGTACATGTGTGATTCAATGTAAAAAGTAGGAGAGAATATGAAGAGAACGGAAGAGGATATAGAGTAATAGGAGACAGCAACAGCGTGTCTCAGCTGCCGTCTTTGTCAGAGCTGTGCCTATTCAGAGAATGGGAATTGGTGCACGTGCATGTCTCTGTTGCTCTACGTGTAGGAGGTCTGTGCGGCACAGGTGGCACCGGGCCGCCCGGGTTTCTGGCAGCTGCCTCCAATCAAGATCCGTGGGGTAGTGGGGTAAAAGATACAAGCAGAACCACCACTAATTAAGTTTTACTGTACATACACATTTTTCGCTGCAAAAAAGCCAGTACGCCGACATTCTTCCTACCTTTTTTTCTGCATAAGACCAACTTTGCGAACACCGCTAATCCTCTCGATACGCCGCCGAAACCACAATCACAATGTCTCCCAACGTCGAGGCCGAAGCGCCTCACAACAACTTCGACGTACGTACCATTAGTACCCTGTAGAGGGCTGGAATGGCGAGCCTCGAAACTCACTTGTCCTCGCTCTCAGCGACTTGTGATCGAGAAGAATGGATTGGCTGACATTTTTCTCTCTAGACCATACTCGTTCTCGACTTTGGCGTATGTAATTTCAGGAGTCCATTTTCCCTCTTTCGGCCTGTCTCAGGAGCCTCGGAGTCGATAACGGAGCTTCATTACTGCTTCCTAGCTCCTGAGACCTCTTTAAATGGCAAATTCTGACTCCCGTTGTTCAAGTCTCAAACGAGCCATCTTATCTTGCGTCGGCTTCGGGCTCTCGGCGTCTTCGCTGAGCTGCTTCCGTGTACCACCAAGATCTCTGATCTGGCATGGAAGCCCAAAGGAATTGTGTTCTCTGGAGGTATGAAGTCTCTTAAGGCATGGTTTGCGCCGAGGTCTGACTGAGCTACTAGGCCCTTCTTCTGTCTACGACGAGGGCGCGCCCCGTAAGGTTTCCGTCTCCCGAACGTCCTGTTACCTGTGCTCATATGTGTAGATGTTGACCCCGCTGTTTTTGAGCTTGATGTACCCATTCTGTGAGTGTTTTCTACCCATCCCTCAAGTGTCTCAACCTGGACTAACACGGAGGTATAGGGGTATTTGGTATGACTTGCTTCAACATTGACACACGGTATGACACTAATACTATTGACCCAGCTATGGTTGCCAAGAGATCGCATGGCGGATTGACTCAACGAATGTTGCCCGCGGAGAGGCACGAGGTTTGCAACCTTTGAAACACCATCTGGAATTATTTCTGACCCTTTCCTCGTAGAGTATGGCCACGCCGACGTCAACATCGCCAAGGTTAATAGTCATGTCGACCGGCTCTTCGCTGGTTTGGGGGATAGTATTCCTGCGTTCATGTCCCACTTCGACAAGCTAGTTAGCCTGCCTACGGTGAGTGAAATAAATTCGTATTTCTGGACAACTTACTGACTCCAACAGGGCTTTGTGGTCATTGCTGCTACCAAGAACTCAGAGTACGCCGGCATCGCCCATGAGGAGAAGCCCATCTTTGGTTTGTATTCCCCAATCTATCTTTGTGGCCCAGTAAGGAAAGGTGCTAACGCAAAGTGACTAGGCGTCCAGTTCCATCCTGAGCTCGAACACGTTCGTCACTCCACGCATTACACTAGAACTCCTTCTGACTTTCGGATCTAGACACCCCGCGGCAGCGAGCTCCTCCGAAACTTCAGCGTTGATATCTGCGGAGCTCAACCAAATTGGAAAATGGGCGATTTCGTCCAGCTCGAGATCGCTCGCATCCGGGATCTCGTTGGTGACCGAGCACTCGTCCTTGGGGCTTGTAGCGGTGGTGTGGATAGCACTGTAGGAGCGGCCCTAATGCGTGAAGCCATCGGGGACCGCTTTAAAGCCATCCTCATCGACAATGGATGTATGCGTCTCAACGAGTGCGAGGAGGTCAAGGAGACGCTTGGAAAACACCTTGGCATTAATCTCACAGTTGTCGAGGCTGGCGAGCTGTTCTTGAGTCGTCTTGCGGGTGTTTCTGATCCCGAAAAGAAGCGGAAGATTATTGGGTCGACTTGTGCGTACTTCAAGCTGTCTTGGATGGGTTAGTGACCGTGGTACTGACTACATCGAAGTCATCGATCTGTTCGAGAAAGAGGCTATCAGGGTACGCTCAACCTTCTCTGACAGTCTATGTGGCTTGCTAACAGGAGTCGCAAGATCGAGAAAGAAGCAGAGAACACCCCCAACTCCGGGAAGGTGGAATGGTTTTTGCAGGGGACACTGTACCCTGACGTGTAAGTCGTTTTGAGCTAATTGCCGAGTCCAAGCTAATAGCATTTCAGTATCGAGTCTTTGAGCTTCCGAGGCCCTTCGGCCACTATCAAGAGTAAGCGAGTCAACGAAGTCCCGGGAGTAGAAGACTGCCCCACGAAGTCGTGCAAAAGAAGAAGCGGACAAAAGCTGACATTAGAGACAGCTCACCACAACGTAGGCGGTTTGCCTGAGGTAAGCAATATCAACGTCCCCAACACGAAAGTATCTTAACTAACTAGCATATAGCGGATGATGAACGGCGTAAGTCGAACCAACCTGGCGGGGTTTGATTTACACTGACTAACATGGCTCGTTTAGCAAGGCTTGCGTGTAAGTACACTTTCCATCTTTTTCATCACGCAGAGAAGGCTGACGTGATTTCTATTGCAGCTCATAGAGCCGCTTAGGCTTTTATTCAAAGATGAAGTGAGGGTAAGTTAAACTTGAGAGGTGAATATTATCTTCAATTATACTAAATATAATAGGCAATTGGTAAGCAGCTCGGCATACACGAGTCGCTAGTAAATCGCCATCCCTTTCCCGGGCCTGGCATTGCCATTCGCATCCTCGGCGACGTTACCAAGGAGCGAGTAGATATCGCCCGCAAGGCCGACCACATCTTCATCACCATGATCAAGGAGGCTGGCCTTTACGACCAGGTGAGTCGCGTCACACAGGCGAAGACGGGTGCAAGCTTGCAAGCTAATCCTTCTCTCCTAGATATCTCAAGCCTTTGCTGGTCTCGATACTAGCCGTACTGTTGGTGTTTTTGGTGATAAGCGAGTTTGGGGTTACATCGTGATTCTCCGCGCTGTTCGTACCAAAGATTTCATGAGCGCGGAGGTGTTTAGCTTCGACAACTCCTTCCTCATGGTGAGTCACATCTCGGTTATACTTCGGGCAGCCCAATACATTCTTTCCTATACAAGCTATACTAACTAACCTGTCTATCCCAGAATGTTGCGCGCACCATTTGCAATGAGGTAGAGGGTGTGTCCCGTGTTGTCTATGATTTGTAAGTAAAAGTCTTCGCCTCCATTGGTCTCGAGCCCCAAGCTGACATGGTGTTTCTAGTACCTCAAAGCCCCCCGGCACTATTGAGCTGGAATAGGCGGCATGATGGAGGGAAGGCAGACAGAAGATGGATCACTTGCCGGCGTGAGCTGGGGAGGAAGATAGGAATTGAATTCTATGGCGTTTGGAGACTCCTCTGGAAAAGCACATAGAGTGGGAAGGGCCAGGGGGGGTAGAAATCATTGCATCATGATGCTAGCGGTCTTTCGAGGGGAGACACAGAGTTCAAATCACGACATTTGATAGAATCAAAGTGTTCTTCATTGTCTGTTTGAGAGCGGCCCGTCGGCAGATGCGGTGATTTCGGTCGCAGTTCCTGGCGGTGGTGCAGTGGTGATGGCGATAGCGATGATGAAAGTTGCCAGCCCTGCCCGCGGGCTGCTCTATTCTTAAGTTAACGACAAGTGACAGGTGGATTTTGTCGTCTGCCATAACCCCTCGAAGTCCACCTCAACTTACTACTTTGCAGCAAGGCTTCCGCGTGAGTATACTCTTCATCTACATGGCAATGAGATTTGACACGTTTTCCCCCCAATAGCCTTGAGAGCAGTCAGACTGATATTTCTTACGACAAAGCCCGCCATAGGCTCTCCCTCCCCTAGACCAGATATTTCCTTAAAACATCCTCGACGACTTTACAAAGGAGCAATCAGACAACGTCTGTAAGGCAGACGATACTTATATCACCATATTCAAGGAAGCTAGTATTGATGATAAGGTCAGTGACTCTGACTCTGTATGAGAGAACGATTGTGCACAAGCTAACTTTGGGGAAGATGAAGTCTATGCCGGTCTAGGCGCTGTTGGCGCCTAGTTGTTGTTATTTGAAAATTCTATCTCTCGCATGCCACAACGCCTGAATCTTTCCTCTAATCATCAAGTACTGTTATAATAAAGGTATATCAATACTCCAGGAAACCCCTTCCAGAACCATCTGTGTTTCTGGCTGCTGGTTCTTCGTCGGCGACTTCAACTACTCAATGTCTGTTGTGCCCAGGCTTCATCTACCTATGCAAGCGTCCTCATCAAGCTCAAACATCCTTCTTATCCTTTAACCACGGTCTGTCATGATCTTGAGTGCATTTGTCGCACTTGCCCCTTCCTCCTCGCAAGCGAGTGCAAGGCACGTCGAGATCCTGGCAATGACCACACTTGGCTTTGCAACGATTCTCGTGCCATTGGAGTCGGCGTTCCAAGAAAACCGTGCCGCAATGCCTGCATGATTTCTCCCCCATTTCGAGTACATCGGCGTGAGACGAGCCTATACATTCAAATCCCTTGCTGGTACAATTTTCAGACGTCAACTGAGTTGCTGTCTGGTGTCATATGAGGCGATAAGTCTCATCACCTCCCTTGCTCTCTTGACAAACAAAGTGTAAAGTAGATGGTACGCCTGTTCCTGGTGTATGACTCTCCAGGGCAGAACAGCAAATAAGATGACCAAATTTCTTCCTCGCCTCGGATGCGCAGCCGGGTTCCTTGTCGTTTCGAGATTGGAGAATCCGTGCTCGCGAGCGAAAGTTTGGAGAACTTCAACAAGTTCGTCACTGCTGCGAACTGATCCTTGCTCTAGGGGGGTTTTGGGATGTATACATGGCTAGAGCTCGCCATGTTTGGTTGTACGGGTGAAGGTGTAGCTTGGTGAGGCATTAGGACGTCTCGTCGCCTCGGTACAATTACTCGTCGAGGATAGCAGAAGGGTCGAGAATAAAGCGCGGAGGCTGAGGATGGGCGAATAACCCGGGTCTCGCGCTGTATTACAGTAGGGGATTCCGTAAGATCGTGGAGGGGGTAGAAAGTTAGAAGGGTGGACGCTGACGTGGGATGTTACGCGGAGCGTCATCGAGGCGCAGGAGCGCGAGGGCGGCGAGCGGTGGGAGGAGGGTGTGGGCGAGTTCCCGGAGAACCCGCAGGATAGATATCATCGTCAAGGGTGGCCTGCCGCACTGGATCAAGCACCAGATCTCAAAGACGGAGGTTTAGATAACTTGTATAAGTGGTCAAAGGGTCTCAGTTGCAAGAAGTAAGCTGCAAAACAGGCAAGAAATGGTTCCCAATATTCCATGTGTGCAACCCCGTCAGCGTTGGCGATGACTGATACGAAGCCGACAATTGCCAAGGATAGTCTCCAAGTTCTCCTCGAGATATTCTGCCCTACGTAGAAACCGTTGCGACTCTGTGCTTGTAGGGATCGATTTTAGGAATATTGTAAATTTCAAGGAAGACCTTATTCAGTATTAAGATACAGGGCCGCCTACTCGGGATATCATAAGAGATTATTTGTAACTATTGCTTAGGTATCTAACATCACCTTTTTCCTACCTCCAGTCGGCCAAGCTCTATTGCGGCGACCGCCTAGATCCAGCCTTCTCTATATTCGACTCCGGATCCGTGACCTTTTCCTTTGGTTTCTTGTCCTTGATATTATTGTAATGCGGAATACCCAATTCCCTGTCCCGAGCCAACCTCTCCAGGTCTCGGCCTGTCAGCGGCACGCCCTCGATGCTCTTGACCTTCTTGCCTTCGACAAACATCATTATCCCCCCCATGGCTGCGACGATGCAGGCCAGAGCCACAAAGAGACCAGTCGACCAACTGGGACGCTTGTATCGGTTCATACCCCACATGAACCCTGAGAGGACGGCTTGCAGGAATGTGTTGCAAACCATGGACCAAACAACAAAATCCATCCTCCACGTCGGCGTCGCCGGCGCTCGGACACCCGTCAATGGCGCCTCGGGTATCCTGCTCTCCGGATAAGGCACGCTACTCCGGGGCGCATCGAGCGGGGGGTTCTGTGGTCCAGCCTGCAGGGGCAGACCCTGCGACCCGGGGAGGCGGAACCAGCCGCGGTGGAAGCCGGCCAGGCGCCGGAGCCCTTCCTCCTTCTTCAGGATGCGGAACTGGAGGAGGTAGTACCAGTCGCGGAACCTCCAGGGGGCGAGGCCGAAGCCGGTGACGCAGAAGAGCGCGTTGATGATCTGCGAGTCCCACTCGATCCACTTGCGTCGCGGCGAGTTGATGTCGTTGCACGTCGGGTAGCACATGGCCGGCGAGGCGTTGCAGAGAAGGAGGAACAGCATCCCGCCCCAAGCGACGACGTTGAGGCCGTAGACGACGACGCAGAACCCGAGAGGCGTCGTGAAGTACTCCCAGGACGCCCGCAGCCCGTGCGCCGTAGACTCTTTCCAGTTGTATTTGGGCGGGAAGTGGTACCCGTTGTCGAAAGGTGCGGTTGGGGTTTTGGCCTTGCTCGCGTCCGTCGACACTGAGATGGTCACGTCGTCGGAAGACGTTGCCGGTCCCTTCCTCGGCGACGACCCAGCTCCTTCTTGCCGGATCGTCTCGTGGTCGGCTGCTTTGCTGGTGTTCCTCTCGCTAGATGTTTGCAACCCATTTTCCGTCACGGCTCCGTGAGGGATAAGAGGTGACGAGGGGCTCGAATTCGAGGGTGCGGGCGCGTTCTCGGGTAGGGATGATATATTATTTCTTCTCTCGCCAACAAGCTTCGTCGCATCTCTTGACGAGACCAACGACGAGGCAAACTCGCCGGTCGCGGCCATGAAACCCCCCGGCGGATGCGATTCTTCAAACCGGTTCGACATCCTCCGAACCATACGGCTGACCGAGGAAGCTGCCGAGTCGCCTCGCGCTCGACCGTCGTGTGTAAGCGGCGTGGTCGGTGTCGATGATGGCTCGTTACGGCTAGGATCTATCGCGGAGGGCTCGCCATGGTTATCCGAGGGAGCCATGATTTGATCGCAGATTGTTGGAGGAAGTCAGCCGAGATTGCTTCGGCTGTCTATCGGTGAATGGTTCGAGATTGGGAAAAGGAGAACGGAAGGATAGCTAGGAACAGTATGGGTGGGCAGTCATGACAATATGATGCCAAAGAGAGAGGATGAATTCAAATGATTACAATCACGAAAACGAGGAAAACGAGGGGGGTTAAGGGACCAAGAATATGTTCTGGACCCTGTCGAAGAGAACGCAAATCAAGAACCGGACCACGCCTTCAAGGTGGCTGACGAGGCAGGGTTGGTTTGAGTGAGGATCGACCAGGCCTTCCAATTGGGTGCAGGATTTGGGTTGCACGAATAAAAGTCCCTAATCCTTGGCTCTGCTGGCACGTGGACGCAGTACACACGGCTTGAGACTTCAGCGCTGGTGATGTCATGATACAGGCTCGGGAGTCACTGCAAGCAAGCTAGTGGAACAGCCTGAATCTCTGATTCGGAGAGCCCGACGATAGGAGCCCTTATGAAAAAGTTAATATTCGGGGGCATTACCTTCCAGGTTAGTTTCCATCGCATCTTCGTATGCTTCGTACCTATTTGTGGAGCAATCTTTTGTTGGCATTGCGGTTCCTGGCCAGTTCCTGGCAGGGGCATTTGGCAGCTGGCCTGGACCGGTCCATTCCTGGCAAGTACTGTACATTTTGGGTAGGGTTTAGTATGTGGGAAAATAGGTACAAGTACATACGTACTTCTCGGAAGTTCACTGCACTGCAAGCCGTGGAATATTCTGTAACTTCTTTTCATGGGTTTGTGAACGGGGCAGCATAACGGGGCACACGCTCCCAATACTCTATATCCGGATCCCAATCCGGATCCTCATCCTCATCCTCCTCACCCGACTCCCCGGTTTTTTCCCATGCTTCAATCATCTTGTCCTTGATCAACACTGCGTGAGGTCGATGATGAAGGGCGTCTGTAAGTGTTTGTCTACCACCACGTTGCATGGTCCACAATCCTTCATGACAACGCCGCGCCTGTTGATGTCATGCGCAGCATCGGCGGCGGATTGCACTATAGCTAACCACTTCTTCAGGTCTAGGGGGGCCAGCGGTGAGCTGGTTAGGTCCCATAGGTATATTATATCTAGGGATGAGTTCCATAAGAATGCCCTTCACCTCCAAGTAACGCGCCGCCTGTGATTGCAGTAGGTCCAGAGGTACGTCGGAGCTCCGCAGCACGAGACGCACATGAGCGTACGAAAGTACATCCGCGGCATTGACCTGCCCTGGCAGTCTCTCAGCCGGGCGTATGCCTCGATCTCATAGCCGAAGAACTCATTGCACTCCTGCTACAGGGCCGCCCCGCACTTCGCACTGCCTTCTGGGGTGCCGTCATGGAGGTGCCAAGCTTCCGGGGAGACGAGTGTGGTCTTCTTTTCCGCCTCTGGCTCGCGAAGGAAACGGCCCATCTTTCCTCGCCGTACGAATGACTGGAATACTGCTTCGTCTGCCGCTGTGTGAGGCGCGTGCTCGCCCCGGATGTTCCGAAGATCTGGGTCGAACCGACGGTCATAGAGCTTGAGGACTGCGCGGACATGGGGGCCTGACTTGGTGTTGATGGACGTCCATCACGGGAAACATGGTGGTTTCGAATGTTTTAGAGATGACTGCCGTAAGTGACTGGGAGAAGGACAGATTGCAGCAACTCCCGATGACTTGCAGCTGAAGGGACTGCCCTGGCTGGTATGCACAGAAGTTGTGTTGTTGGACCTGAGTGGCATGCTAGTAAGCGAGGTCATCTACATGTCCGAGTCATAGATGCCAATAACCCAACGCGATGATAGAGCCAAGAAAGCATACGATAAGGGAGAAAAGACATAAGTCCGAGGATCAAGAGTTGCTCAAGACAGCTGATAATCGAGTACAGTGGTATAGGAATAGCGGCCTAAGGCCATGATTAATGAGGCTCGAGAAGAGTTGATTAAGCAGAATACGCGCCCTGTTCTTAGCCACAAGATACCTATTAAACACCTACATTTAGGACTACAGGAGTCGAGTAGGTATTTATCGAGAACAGTTGACGTCGTCGGTCGAGGAACATGTAGGTACCTACGTTCGAGGTATGGTGGACGGGGCGGGTGGGGCTGGTGGGGCTGGTGGGACGGGTGTTGCATGAAATGGAGGAATCAGAAAAGGGAAAGAATCTTTCAATAACCATCCCGACAAGAGCACAAGCGCACATAGAGGAACCTCAACCCATTTCCGTCTGGCGTAAAAATGGCCCTTCCCGAGCATCTCGAGGCTCTTACCGAGATTGTTCTCAATAATCTTCAAAACCAACATGACTGGACCGAACTCAACACTCAGCTCAAACCGGACCTCTCCAGGCGACTGATCTCCGGTCTTCCACCAAGGCGGCTCTATGTCCACCCTGATGAGCAGATTGAGATCATCAAGGCAGAGAAGAACCGGAAGGAGCATATTCCCCAACCGCCAGAAGTCGAGTGGGTGCTCCCCACCCACTTGGCGGAGAAATGGTCTCCAAAGGCCTTTGCTGCCGTATTTGACGCCATCGACACCATCCCGCCGGGCGCTGCTCCTCTCGATGCTCTGGGTGCAGAGGACGACAGTTCCCAATGGATGCGGTGGAGAGGACCCCAGCGAGGGAAGCGGATGCTCCTAGCCATTGTTCAAGACGACTCAACTGTTCTCTACTATTTGATGCACGACGGCATTGTAAAACCGAGGCAGAATTAAGCCGCACGGGGCTCTGGCTGTACGGTATATCATTTATTGCCACCTGATATACCCGATGTAACTGTGTGAACTCGCGGGCCGGGCTGCACATCGTCGCCTTCTTCCAATCTCCAACTTGACCTTTCCCGGCTCTTCCACGGAAGCTGGTTCCTCATGGTTTAAAGATGATCTTCTGAACCTTCATGTTGTCAAAGAGCTCATAGCCCTCGACTGCGTCGCTCAGATTCATGATCTTATCGAACATGAAGCTACTGGAGTGAGCGTTCTGGGGTCCCGGAAGAGTGCACGGAGTGTGGGCAGTGGGAAGCATACCTGAGAAGTTCCTGCTTCTTTTCCAGAAGTGCGAGCGCTTCCGGGAAGATGGACCGGACTGGGCACCGTCCCATCTGGACTCTCAAATTTTTGCTGTCGCCCTGTTAGAGGCGTCCTTTTCCATTTCCTTAAGGTGGGTTCTTACTTGTATGCTTCATTGCCGCTCCACGGTATCTGACATGTCTTAGCAGCATCGCCACGACGAAAATCAGGAGGGCAAACTCACCGTGCTGTTATGAACACCTATGCTGCTGATGACTCCCCAAGGTCTCAGCAGGTCATATGCGGTGCGAAGGGCTGGTGTCAGTCCCACAACCTCGATGACAGCATCGGCTCCACGGCCATCTGTGACCTCCTTGACTCTCCTTAGCATGCCCTCCTTGTCCTGCATGAAGTTGAGTGGTTCAGCACCGAGCTTCTTCGCAAGCTCAAGCCGGCTGGCGACGCTATCGACTGCGAAGAGGTGCTTGGGGCGGTATTCGAGGGCGGAGATTATGGCGCAGAGGCCAACTGGTCCACACCCGATGACCACGACGGTAGCCTCGCTAGCGGGCTGCGGTTGGAGCATGTGGAAAGCATTCTTCGAACCGAAAAAGCCCGTGGGCCAGATGTCGGCCATGAGCACGAGCGCTCCATCGTTAATCTCGGGGGGTGCCTTCATCACCGTGCCGTCGGCCAAGGGAATGCGGACATACTCGGCCTGGCCACCATCCAGAGCCGTCGACCCGAACAGAGTCCCTTTGGGGCAGCGTGATGAGTAGCCGCTGCGGCAATAGAAGCATTGCAGGCAGGACGTTGTGAAAGGAGAGACAACCTTGTCTCCAACCTTGACAGTCTTGACTTCGCTACCAACCTCGGTTACTACACCGGTAAACTCGTGGCCCATGATGAATCCCGCTGGGGATTGCTGGTGCCCCCTGTATACATGGAGCTCACTGCGGGAGATCGGGGTTAGACAGAGGGCCAGATAGGGCGAGGAATGACAACGTACGAGCCGCAAAGCGCTGTTGCAGAAACCTTTACTATAATGTCTTGAGGGTCCTTCACTAGGTCGTACCATCAGTCATGCCACGGTCCTAACACATAAACCTAATCTAGCAGACGCTTACCTTCTGGAATCGGACGCTCCTGGATCGAGACCTTCCTCGGGCCGTCAAAAACTACGGCCTTCATCATCTTGGGTTGAGCCATAGCAGTCTCGCGAGACCTTGATGCAATCTCGAGTCAATGTCGGGTAGTGAATGAGGATGAAACACTTGCGCTGCTTAAATGCTAACTTGTGGAGTTATCATGATATGACGATCGTCCAATATCTGGGAGTCGAGTCCTTGCTACCGACTACCGACGCACACTACCTTACCAACCTGGAAGTGGGGTGATTACACGAGAATGTCTCCCGAGCAGGAGCGGGGAGACAACTGGGGCAGCGGGGTTGGGTGCTATATCAGGTGCTAGATAAATTGACAGGTGGTTTTGGATCTTGCCAGTTGCTTCTGCCATTGGCAGCGCCGTTGCCGTTGCCGTTGCTGTCACTGTCGCTGTTCCAACCACTGGCACCAGACGGAAGGCTTACCCAGCTTCGTCGATCCCCGGCTCGAGTTATGCAAGCACAGCCGGACAGGAGTGCCTTATCCCCGCGTGCTTGAGTTCGTCCGGGCGTTGCTTGTCGCACAGCTGATTGCAGACTTGGCTGATGTGGTTGACGGCCTAAACCTGGATCTTAAATGGGGGTGAGGACGGGATCAACTTTGACAAGCTGTAGGCGGATGGTACCGTCTTCGCCTAGCGAAGGAACGCCAGGCTTGCGTCGTACGACGACATTGAGCACCTCCATCGCCTCCGTGTCGGGCGTGACTTGGAGAAGGATTGGAGGGAGGTTGTGAACAGCAAGGAGCGCCGTATTGAGCTTATGAAGAAAGAGAGGTATATCGCACGTTGGCGGTCCAAGGCACGCCCCGAAGACCCAAGGCTTCGAGACCAAGACCATATCTAAGCTTCGCCGCATTGGCTACTACTGCTTGTTGCCTGGAGCAATTTCTTCCCGGATAGTTCTGCTCCAGTTGTCGATCTCGCATTCATGTTTGGGTAGACCGTTCTATATGGAATATACGCAGTTATCCAAGATGAAAAGGCATGAGAATGAAGGCGATACACTTGTATCCTTGTATCGACAAAGAACTGTTGACAAGGTTTGGAGGAGGGTGCTTGGCAACTGTTGTCGACCGACGAAACCAGCACCCCTAGACTGAGTAGGTACTGCAGGTAGACAACAACACGTAGGTAGCTAACTTGAGTCAGTAGTTGTTCAATCTTCCCAACGGAGACTGTTTCTTGTTTCCTACAAAGCAGCTGCGCTCCGTGTTCGATCCGCATTGAGACAAGCCAAAACGAGTATTCTAACCAGGACATACCAAAGGATGTTGACGTGTGCCGTTATCTATCGAATCCGGGTCACATAAAGATACCTACTTCAATGCCATTGATGGATATCCACGAGATCAAGCCACCTGCTCGTGGGGGTCCCGGCTTTGGGTGAGGCATTTGTTAGTTGCAAAGATATGTACTACAAAGTACAGACTTGGGCAGCTCCCTAACTCGTATCTAGAAAGCCTTTACGGAGACTCCAAACATTGTTATCTCTGTCTGCGACTTATCAAGTCTACGCCTTGCTGGCTGGTCGGCTTCACTTCGATTACCAATCCAGAGTCCAATTCATGTTCCTTCCATGTTCCGTTCATCCCAGCCGGAATGTTCCGACAAGGGGCTGCACTTTGAGCGCAAGGGCCGCCTTGAGGGCTGTGCAGGACGGCAGGTAGAGGCCGGGGGGGGGGGGGGGTTATGTAAGTCACATCGCACTTCGATTCGCTGATGAACATTTCGCTGTTGAGCTGTGCCCTCCCTCCTTACAACGGACGGGCATGACGATGGGCCATGTGCTCCTCGTTATGGAGGGTGTGATTTGATGCGATGGTAGAAGAGGTGGCAGTATTCATATCGGCTGCTACAACCTGCGGCCTGAGGACTCGAAGATTGGCCGCCAGTCTTGTGCGAGTCGGATCCCCCGCTAGTAACCTCCGTGCAAAGCTATAGGCGGCTGAGATTTAGCGTGCGGCTAAACTCGCAAATCTTGCACTGGCGTCGACCTTGCTCGTTAAGGGATTTACACTACGAGTACGCCGTCACACACATATCCGACAACCTATTGCATAAGCAGCCTAGATAGGCAGGCGATTGAGGGGGGAATGGTCCTCTGACAAGCTTCTGGGAATTTGGAAGGAGGAGGGTCGGTTTGAAAGCTTCTGACCAAAATGACCCGAGGAGAAACCTAATTAAAGTGATCGGAAAAGGGATTCGAGACCCTGAACATAGTGTACCGTAGGGGCCACGAGAGGCAGAAGTGGCTTCCACGCTATTTCGCCTCGATACGAGTGGCGCGGGATGGGTCAACCGGGGTTGGACCCGACTGTCGATCGATCCCCCTTATTTGCGAGCATCGATCCCTCTTGGGGAGAAACTGCCCATGCGAAGCCACTACCGACCGCTGGGCTCTAGAGTCTCAACTCCCAAACCCCCCGACACGCACCTTCGACGATTGATTACTCGCGAGAGAGGATCTTCCAGGTGAAATGAGGGTTTATAAAGAATGAAGGGCGAGGCAGGGCTTAATGATACCTGGCAGAATGTTTACGTATTTTGCTGACGGATTGGATGAGGCTGAAGAACAGGCCTGTCAATTGTCACAGCCACCCCAGTCCCTCGCCCTGAATTTCCTGCTGCCGAACACCCCCGGTCGCCATGGTGGGGGGGGGGGTGTCTCGCCTGGTCGCCCGCCGATTGCAGCAGCCCGCCCACCCAACCAAAAGGTACAGCACCCACCGAGACAAGCATCACTAGGTATCAGCGAAGTAGAACATGCTTTTTTTCACTCATTCCACCGGCCGGAGCTGGCGGAGGACGTATTCGTAAGACGGGCGGTCACAATTAACTCGATCGGGCACCCCTGCAGGGGTGGGAATTGAGGCTGTAACTGCCAATTGGAACACAGTCTTAGGTACCCGACTATGTACAGTACAGTACCTACATCTCGGGTAGCTTCCGGGTTACAGGCCAGGGTGCTGAGAGGAAACTGGAAACGATGAAACAAAAGAGAGAAATGACTCCATAAATAGGTTCAGAAATATGCGAACAAGTGGTTGAAGTCGCGCTCAAGCAGAGCTTCGACACCAACAGGAGACTCGACTGGCATGTCATGCAGGCGACCTGCAGTGGCAGGTGTTGAGGAAGGAGCAGTCGAGCCAGCTGGAAGGCGCCGCGTGTGGAGGTACAGATTAGTACCTCAGGCATGTGCGTGTCGGGGTGTACAGTACTGTAGAGTACGCAGCACCTACTTAGGTACATCTGTACGTACCTCTAGGGGCTCCACCGGGTACAGAGGCTCTCCAGTTGCCTCACTGTCGGCGCCGCCTCAACCGTCATCAGGTTGCCATGTTGCGTGCCTACCTGCTCGCGAGATTTTATTGTTTTACTTCTGCAATGCACATATTTCTTTGCAAGGAATCGAGAGATTTCATACTCATTTCCCCCCAACGCCAAAAACAGAAACAGCTTCCTCGACACACGCCCCGCCCCACCGAAGAGGTCAGGAGTGGATTTCCCGGAGGTATTAGCTAGAGCCGCAAAAGCAGGGTATCGAGATTAGTTGATCGCACCTCCTGGCCCGCCAAGCACACCTCTCCCCCAATAAGTCGGGCAGCCATCAGTGGCCTCCTCGCCCAAATTGCAGACCCTCTCTCCCAGCAGACCCTCTCCCCCCTTGGACCTTGGACCTTGGACTCCTCCCCTTCGACTCTGGTCCTCCTTCCAAACAGCCTGCCACCATCCCGCTCCCGACCCTACCTCGACATCCATCCGCCTGCCTCCCCTTGCACGGCATCTTTGCTGCGCGTTTTCGGACATCCCGTCCCAGGATCCGGGAGGAACTTTGCATCGGTGCCTGCGCCCTGTGGTTTTATAGTTTCTTCGTTCTGTCAGTCAGAGTCAGTCAGGTGCGGCTTTTGGAGGACCCCCGCTTTCCCGTCTCGAAAAAGGAGGCTCAGCCATTAGTTCCACAACTGGCTCAACGACCCCACACCCTGGCATTGCCATAGTACTCTTTTTCCACGACGCGGGGATCGTCGATTTGCTTTCAACGTATCGGTGACCAAAGGTTCCCCTCCCCTCCCTTCCACCCCCCAGGCTTTATTTTCAGTACCCACGAAGTAGTCGACCAACCAACCTACGCGCCTGCCCAATTCTCGCTCTCCTCCGACTCGAACTTGCTGTGCCCCTAGCACATTCACTCCTGGCCTCGAGTTTTTTGTGGGCTTGGGGGATTTTCCCTAGACCTTCCCATTCACATCAGCCCACAGGACGACACACACACATACCGCGCACACAGTGTCTCCTCTCCACCACTTTCGTACATACCTCCCTCGCCTCTACCTGCCACCCTCACCCTGGTTCGCAGCCGCGTTCCTTTATTTTCCCACCGTCCCGAATACCCATCCAACATCGGCATCGAAACCGTCAGTTCCACACACCTTTTGCGCCTTCCTTGCGCCTTCCGACCCGCCCTCCCAATGGGGATCTGACGTCGCTCCCAAAGTCTCTCGCTCGTAAATTAATCTCGAGTTCCCCGCCCTTTTCCCCGTCACGCGGCCGTCGCCCGTCCCTTCGGTTATCGCTCCCTCCTGGCACGCCAACTACCTAGCTTTCCGGGCAATTTTCCCAAGTGAGGTCAAGCTCTTAACCGTACCTACCCTACGCGCCTGCCGTTCGATCTCGCCAAGACCCATCTTCCCGCACCCCTTGGCGTCCCCCCTCGCGGCTCTTTATTCTCCACAAGAGCATCGCACTCCTACCGTCTACACCTCTACACCTGTATCTACCTACCCAGCTTTAATTGCGACTCACTGTAACCCGCGATCCATCGGCGGCCCGAACGTGGGAAAGAGGAAGGATCAGAACGATCCAGAGCGCACGGTCAAGGAAGAAGGGAGGAAAGAGTTGGGTAAAAGGAAAAGCAAGACTGCTCGGGAGGTTCGCTGGAGGAGATCCGTTCCGCTTCCACGGTGTTCTCCTCGACAGGCCTGGTTTCGATGGCGAGCTAAAGAACCGACCATTTCGTGAGCAAGACCAAGTAAGAGCACCGAGCAGAGCTTACAATTATGAGTACGACGGCGGCTCCGAATCTTACTCAAGATCCCTCTAGTTTCTACGACCCCGATGAGGTTTTTCCCAAGAACAGTCCCATCCTGGCACCACACAAGCTCAAGCTGCAACCGTCGCCGAGCCCACCGCCGTTCTCGCTGGCTAAAACCCATTCCCCTCCAAGCTTCAGTAACAGGAGGTCTAATCGTCCAAGGATAAAGCCAAGCCAAGGCGATGCCGTCTTGGTCGCCCTCCTTGACGGTGGCAGACGACCCGAAATAGCGATTCACGCCGGCACTCAGGTTTTACCGTCCGACCCTGAAGACGGGGAAAGCGAGAGCGAGACCTCGGACGACTCTGACTCTTTTAAAGAAGAAGGGGTACCGCTAGATCGAGCGCAAACCGGGCGGCGACGGAGTAAAGACGATCAAGGGACCGCGTTAGGGCCCCAAGAAGGAAAGGATCGCACCATGACCACAGACTCGGCCAGGCGGCCGGATACCGGCGCCTTCCTCGTATCTCTCGCAGCCGGTGCGCTTGCAGTTACGGAGACGACAAAAGGGGATACTGATGACGCGGGGCTGCCGCCACTGGTTGCCGAGCAAGCTCTTGCGAAGGAGAAGCGCCATGCAACGTCGATACCAGCAGCCATCACGACTAGGAGAGAAGACCCTTACCCAGAGGAGAGATCGGTGACGAATGCTGGCCCGTCGCCTTTCAGCCCTCTCAGCATCTACTCGCCGCGCGAACCAGGTCATATCATGCAACAAAAGGTCGATCTCAGGTCGCCCACCGTCATGGGCTCCAGTGTCCGTGGGGAGCTGCCGCCAATACAGATTAACTCGCCCAGGTCGGACACGAACGGGCAGACTCCGTTACCATCCATTAGGGCACAATTTGGCGGCGACTGGAAAGAACTCGCCGACTCCCTGGTAGATAATCAAGGGCACCTACAGCATCCGACCTTCTCCCACTCACCGCCCGGGTCACTTCCCCGGTTCCCGCCGATGCATCGGCCGCATCACGGCTCACCACCCATCTCCCCGGCCGAGACATTGCGCCGAGACGTACCATCACCCGGCCACGCTCTGATACCATCAGGTGTCAGTCCATATAACTACTACCACCCGCAAGCGAATGGGCTTCATCGCCATAACCAGGACTACTCTAGCCCTAATGATGAGACCCCAAACACAGATCAGTCGGGATCGACCCCGGCAACCTCGATAACAGATCGGCTGAGCATCGATGGCCTCACCAACCCCGCGAACGGCGCGTTCGTGTGCAAATTCAGCGGCTGCAATGCTCCCCCTTTCCAGACTCAGTATCTACTGAATTCTCACGCAAACGTGCATTCGTCGGCAAGGCCGCATTACTGTCCCGTCAAAGGCTGCCCTCGCAGCGAGACCGGCAAGGGGTTCAAACGGAAAAATGAGATGATCAGGCACGGCCTCGTCCACGACTCTCCAGGATATGTTTGTCCGTTCTGTCCGGATCGGGAGCACAGATACCCACGGCCTGATAATCTACAAAGGTATGTCTCAAGTAACACGGTCGCGACCTCCCAACGGGTTAACCAGAGAGCTGACCTTGGCCAGACACGTACGGGTACACCACGTCGATAAAGCCAAGGACGATCCCCTTTTACGGGATGTCTTGTCGCAACGACCAGATGGGCCGAGTCGTGGGCGAAGGCGGAGAGGCGGACCGAACTAATCGGCTGCATACTCGGACCTCAAGCCGACTACTCTACTTTAATTTTTATCTTGCACATATTTTACACCCCTTGACACAGGCTTCATCATTGTGATGATGTGCCCGTGTGGAGGTATTTCTTTCTTTTCTGATCAATCAGCATCGCCCCTATGCCTAATGGGTGTGTACATAGGCAGACTCGGCGGGGGCTCCTAGGGTGACCTTTTTTATTTTGATTTTTAAATATCAAAAAGCCCCGAGATCGTTGGGCGTCGGCGTTACTTATTCCATATGTTGCTTCTGGGGCGGGGGGGAGTGGCCGTCTATCATGTCGGGGGATGTGGGATGTGGAAAGGGTCCACCTTGGGGTCTTTTTTCGGCGTGATACGGCTTTTGACGGCGTCCAGGGCGTCTGCATATACCACTTTTCTTTGTTTTTCTTCCCCTTGTTTTTCTTTTTTTTCCCACGGGAGGCAGCTCAGGGGCCTTCACCCTCCAGAGCCACGAGGTCTCCTTAGTCGCCATCGCCTCCGAGCGAAATTGGGTGCTCCTTAAGAGCAGGCGTTTTCTCTTATTTCACTGGGTGCCTATATGGAGGAGGAGAGTGGGTGATGGGATCACGAGGAAGCAAATGGCCCCCCTTTTGAGAAGAATGGCGCGCGGGAGTGCCAAAACGAGAGAAGAATTACCTGTCACCGCCATATCGCGAGATAAAAACACCTCCAACGTATATCACGATTTTCTCCCGCGGCACATAAAGGTGCTTTTTCGGACAAGGTATATTACCTAGCTCATTGTTCCGCCGCCTGTCGGCCACACTGGCTGCATGTGTGGTCTCATAAATGGAGAAAATATGGCATCTAGTCTAACCAATTCCACACGCATACCCAAATACCCTCTGACATGTCTCATCTCCCTCATCAGTCACTAAGCAGTTGGGCCTTTTTTATTCTTCTCCTTAATCCACCTAACATGCAAAACGAGAACCCCCCCTCCCCCCTTCCTAGCCATCCACGCTCTCCCACCCCCCCAACCGAACAGGCGCATCGCTAAGGACCTCCACCCGAGGTCCCACCGCCGCGGCCCCGGCCGCAGCCCCGGCTCCGGCGGCGATGCGCTCGACGACGAGCCACAGGCCCCCGCGGGTGGCGACCATCCCCGGATCGACGTCCACCTCGGCCGTCCGCAGGCCCGGCCCGCCCCCTCCTCCTCCTCCCCCTCCTGCTCCTCCTGCTCCTCCTCCTCCGGCCCCCGCCGCAGCGTCGAGGAACTCTCCCTCCCCCGTCACGGCTAGGATCGCGCGGTGTGGGCCCGTGCCCAGCTCGAGGGCTAGGCGGATCGCGCAGGGGGCGGCGGATGCGGTGTCGGTGATGACGCCGGTGCTAGGGATGATACCGGGTGGGGGTGGGGGTGGGGATGGTCCTGGGACTGGGGCCCTGGACTGGGCTACCGCGGCGATGCGGGTTAGGCGGCCGACGGTGACCTGCGCGCGGATGCTGGCTATCGTCGTCGTCGTCGTCGCCGTCGCGTCCCCGGCGTCAGCCGGGGCCGAAGCGGCGAGGGGCGGCAGGGGCGGGGCGGCGGTGCGCAGGCGGCCCGCGGCGTCGGGGGCGACGGGGCGGACGCCGACGGGGCCGTCGGCGGCGACGCGGAGGGCGAAGCGGGCGAGACTGCCGGGCTCGAAGGTGCTGACGACGGCGGTGTAGGTTCCCGGGGGCACGGGGCGGGAGGAGGCGGCGGCGGAGGCGGAGGGCGCTGAGGCGGCGCCGCGGCGGTACTCGGGGCTCGAGGCCACAACGTCGCGGCGGCGGTTGGCGGGCCCGGCGACGCGGCGGCCGCCGCCCGAGTGGAGCAGGGCGACGTGGACGGGCAAATCGTCGGCGTCGGTGGTCAGGAGGAGGGAGAGGCGGGTGCCGCCGGGCGGGGAGGCCGGCACGGTGATGGCGTACTGCGGGTTGATGTGGTAGGTCGGGCTCTCGGTGTTGCCGCCCGCGGTGCGGCGCGCCCAGGAACCCCTCAGCTCGGTCGTGTGCGCGAGCGGCTCGGCGGCGGGCGCGACGGCCAGCGGGGCGGTGGAGAAGAAGGAGAGGGTGAAGGAGTACTTGGGCAGCGGCAGGTCGACCTGCGTGACCACGACCGTGTATGCCGTGCCCGGAGTGGGCTCCTCGAGCCGCACTAGCGTGTTGGGGCTGTCGACGAAGATGCTGCGGTGCAGGGCCGCGCGGTCGGGGAGCGAGACCCGCGTGCCTGGCGGCGAGGTCGCGTAGATGGCGAGGGACATGAACCCGAGGGTCTTGGAGACCGAAGCGAGCGTGGGGATTCCGGGGTATGTACTACTACCACCACCACTGCCATTGAAGCTGCCGGCGCCGCCAGTGCCGCTGCTGCTCCCGGTGTCGGACCTGTACCCGTTGCGCAGAATGTCGAGCTCGCCGTCTTGCCAGTGGCGGCTTAGGAGGATCCAGACCGGGCCGGACGTCGGGGATTGCACCGAGTATTGGGGATTGTGTGCAAGTGCGTTGGCCACGGTCTTGGAGGGCATCTCCCAGGTGAAGTGGTGGTCCTGGCGATGAGTGAAGAGAGTCGGATTCCAGTTTAGATAGAGCGAGTCGAAATTCTTGACCACGTCTTCGAATGGCATCCAGAACGTGCCAGTGTTGCCGTCATCCGGCCCGGCCTTTGACTTGGAGGGGAGACTGGGAGACGAGGTTATGACATTCATGGATGCCGAGGAGCCAACTCCCTTCCACACAACACTATTGCGCCAGGGATTCTTGACTAGCATGCGTCGCACGCCCTCTTCCTCTGCCAAGTGCATGACGGCGTAGTCATGCTCGCTCACTAGGCCGAGCGTTTCCTCCTCCTCCGGGGACAGATACGAGGTGCCGAGCGTCACGACCACGTCGCCGTTGTCATAGGCCCGCCTCATCATATTCCATATCTGCTCAAGGTCGATCTCCTCGTGCTGGAAGAAATGCTGCTCGGGGATCCACCCTGTCAGAACGTAGAGATCGGTGCCGGAATTGCTGCCGGGGAAGTCGTAGCCGCCCCGGATCTTCAGGTAGGCTTTCTCCATCAGCGCCGGCCATATGAGCCTCGGGTTGCGCTGGTCGACCACGAATAATGCCCGCGACGATGTCGACGAGGAGGGCAACCTATCGTCTATCGTCACCCGCCGTGGGCATCCATTGAAGTGCATGCGGAAGACATATTTCCCGTTCGGAGAGATGGCAGGCTTGAACGATTTATGGTCGAAGGGATACATGAGTGAGGCGAGAAGCTTTGGTGGGTGTGTTAGCAGCAAGATCAGTAACCCCTCCCCTTTTGATTTCTTTTCTTTTCACAACGAGTTCCAACCTACCGAGTCCTTATTCGGGCAAAGGTGGCGCATTGCGGCACTCAAACTGGCGACAACAGAGCAGTCGGTGAGCATGTCCTGGACGAGATCACTGTCGGCACTCGCCGTCATCAGGTTGTCACAAGACTTCTCCGGGTCGGCAGCCTCGCCACTGGCTACGAGCTCCGAAGGGTGCTTCCAGCCAGTGAAGAGAACCTGCTGCGTAGGCGAGAAGGTGTACTCAAAAGAGTCCCTTGTCCAGGCAAGTTAGCAGACCACAGCAGGCAGGATGGCAGCAAAGCGAGCGACCCCATACATGTACATCTCCTCTCCTGTTTTGGCGAAGGCACTCGGCCCTGGGGGTGCGTCCCATGGAAGAAATACCTGGCCATGAATCTTGGACGACCGTAAGATAATGGTCTTCTCGGCTGTTGAGAGTGGGCGAGTAGACTTGGGCCCTCGTGGTTCGGGATTCACGGAAAGGGACTTGAGCTTCTCGGCCAAGTCTATCATGGTTCTGCACTTGCGACTGAGCCTTGTGCGGTCAGCCTGAGTCGGTGCCTTCTGTACGGCCTGCATATATAGCTCGGCTGCGGCGATGGCATGCCCGAGCGCCTCCTCGCCAGAGGCGCCCGCGGCCTTCTGCTCATGTTCCTGCAGATAAAAGTCAATTTCTGTTGGTCGAAATGATAATCACTGGCTCGGATATACTCGAGGTGCCACTTACCAAAGCTTTGGAGTCCATGATATCTTGTTCGCAAGTCTTGGTGTCCGGCCATGCATAATCCTGGCGGCAGATATGTGTATGCAGCGGCAGGAAGAAATTGCGAACACCTCTACTCTACGCTCGACAGTCATTTATTTCCGATTAAGGGCGACGTCAAGCTACCCAGTTTCCCAAGACAGTCTCACATGGCACCTCAGCGTTGAAGACTGCGGCTGCCACCATTGGAACGGCGACGGCGTGGGGGGAGAGAGATAGAGCCGCTTAGTCATCATGCATCCTGTAAGACATGTGTTGCTGTGATTGGTGCAAATCTCGTCACGTTCGTGGTCGCGCCTAGACCCGGATCCACACGGGTCAGGAGAGATGGCGGAAATCCGTTGGACAGAGATGCCCCTCTGAGAAACATTCTCCCACCACTTTGAGTGAAGTACGTCTGGTGTCTATTTCTCTGACTCCCTTGTCACTGTCTCCCTCATCAAATGACATAAGCCACCACCACGACCCGTCGTCTCAGCCAATTGCCCCTCCAAGCTCGCAATCTCCGCCTCCATCAGAGCTGGGTCGGCGCAAGTCTTCGCCTTGTCGAAGTCAATGAGGACAACCTGCCCATCCGGGCGTATGATGAAGTTGTACTTGTTACAGTCTCCATGCACAAACCCTAGTGCATGAAAGCGCCGCAAGGCCGCCTCGCAGATCTCCAGATCGGCTGGCTCGGCGTTCCGCCCGTCCGGAATTTTCTCCAGAAGGAATCCGATGACCCCTGCCTGCCTCGTGGATGTGCCCGAGGAATTTGGGAGCGATTCCCCGGCCCTCAAGGACCTGGTACATGCGGGTTTCGGCCTCCATGTATTGGATCTCCTAGTGGAAGCGCGCCATCTTAGCAATCATTCCTTCTGGTGCAGAATCCGCCTTCCATTTGCATTCCTGAGTCAACAGAGTAAGATACTCAGTGCGTTAGATGTCAAGATAGTCGATCATCAGCGGATGCCAGATCGTTTCCACACTGGGCAAATCGGCCGACGACAGGGTCGCTTCCAGTTGAAGGGACGAGGGATTGCGAGTGATACACGCTGACTTCCAAGTATCTTCTTGGTAGGGAAGAGGAGGGAGAATATTCTGGAAATCAAGGGGCATATCATCCAACGACTCGGCGTCGAGGGCCCCGGCCTTGATGGTGATGTACTTGACGCTTCGGTTGGCCAGGATGCGAAAGTAGCAGTCGCTTCTGCCACTCGTGGAGACTTCCATGGAAATCAGACGAGGCGGCTCCATAGTCGACGGCGTCTTCGATGTGAGGACCATCAATTTCGCTGCAATAAAGTCGAAAGAGAATTTGAAGAATTGAGTGACGGCGGTCAGTAAAGCAACTCAAGATGGAGTTTATCTGGACGTGGCCCGGCGATGCAAACACTCAAGCGCCAGCATCGCAACTGGGCGAGAAAAGCAAGACATGATGAAATTCAAGGCCTGTCCAGTGAAACCAGGATTTTGTTGAGTACAGTCTTCTACCCTAGGGTCATGCGTCAACGACACACCCTCAAATCTGATCCATTGGTTATCAGAGGACTATTCCAGGGTCCATCCGGCCAACACCCAGCATGATACGGGCTCAGCCACGCGCCAGCCTTTCTCGCGACCTTCCGGCAGGCTGTTTAATACTTTAATGCCCTGTAGGACATGGTTTTTGCTCATCCTCAGACTCCAGGCCAGAATTCCTCAGAAGCCAAGGTTTAAAGCAAATGGTTGGGCTCGGGTCTGTCTATAAGAAGCCAGCGCTCCTCAAGCTGCGCTCGTCGGAGAAAGTGAAGTATCACATCCGCGCTCAGGTCCAAGACTCGACTCCGAAATAATCCTAGTAGGTGTTCCTATTGAAAGGATATGGGCGATGGGACAGAGGATCGGGAGTGCCTCTTCGATGAAGATATACCAGGTCGGCACGATCTTGTTGTTCTCGCCCTTGTGGTAGCGGAGAAGAACTGGCATGGCCAGGCGGTTCCGGCCGCCGTTTCCGTCTGGATCGCGGAGGATCCAGAGGTCAATGTCCTCCCAGCAGAGGACCTTAAGCCGTGTGTCGCTGTCGCATTCGTCCACGCAGTCGCACACCCAACACTTATTCACGCGTGGCTTGATATACTTGTCCGTGCTACATTCTACGTCTATGTCAGCATCTAATTCCTCGGCATACTCCTTCACTTTTGCCGTTAGGTCTTTCGGCTTTGCGCAGATCAGCTCGTGCTTTCGACAGCCGGTCCACATGTAGAACATCCGAAGGCACGCATCGTCGATCCGGTCGAGCCCGATGTGGAACGCCGAGGTGTCACGCACCCAGAGGAAATGGAGGTGATACATGAAGAAGTCGGGGCCCATAATGGGCTTGATCTTCGGCTCGCGCCTCAGCGTCCACTTGCGCGTAATGTCGGAACGGATGACATTCCGAAGGTGATCCATGAGCGACCTCTCCGGCAGGCGAGCGTTATACTTCCTATACAAGCGGCCCAGCTTCCTCGTGTGCACACGGATGGCATTCTCGCTCTTAATCGGGTTTCCCTGCAGCTCTGCCTGTCACATAAGGTAGCGCATGAACGATTCGCCGAGGCCCTTGTTCTCGTAGCTGAGGGTTTTGATGAGGCCCTTCCAGTCTCGGTATCCCATCTTCGCCGCGAGACAATCCATCGGCGCCTGAGATCAACGAGGTCGGCCTTGTGGCGGTCCGAAAGCTTCGGTGGCACCTGGAGACGCAGGTTGCCCTGTTGCCAGACATCATGAAGTTCCTGGGCCTCTAGGGGCTCGGGTTCGGGGGTCGCTAGTGGCGGCGAGAGGGCTGCAAAACATGACCTAGACTCGAAAGGTGTACGCAGTAGGGCAGCCGATATATGGTGGATAAACCTCCACTTGTTTTCTTTACAACCTCCCCAACTGGCAACTTTTTAAGAACTCCCCAACGTAGGTGGCTGAGGTTGAATCTAGGTAGGTACTTATGGCCATAGTCAATACTGTGGCTACGGCATGGCACGGGAGAACGTGGGGTTATCTGATACAAGCAAAGGGTGTATTGCGGGGCATGCCCCGCTACCGCAGCTTAATACAGCACCGGCCTTTTATTTTGCCACGGCGGGCCACCCCCATGCTGCCGAGGTTGACCGGTTATCGTCATCATGGACGGTGCTAGCCCACACCTTGGGCCCCGGAGCTTCCTTTCATCCTTGCCTTCCATGGACTCCCCCGGATCTGTAATTCACATACATTTATAATTACTCAATTGTCCACCGCTCCAATCCTAGAGACGGCTCCAAGCAGCGGGCCTTTTTCTCTCCTACGCCGTGACTTAGAGCTTCCAGAGCTTTTACTAACGCATTCCCAATTGCACCTCGGTGACGTCTCACGACTTAGACCTCTTCAGCCCTTTCGATTGGTCGACATCTTCCAGATCCTTAGCTGCTTCCGTCATAAAAGACTCGGATTCGCTTCGGAGGCGTTGTAGGTGCTCGTCATGGCAAATCAATCCAAGCCAGCCCCAATTGGACCGTGGGGTCGTGCCACCGCCGGAGCTGCTGGTGCTGTGCTTGCCAATGCCTTGGTCTATCCCCTTGACCTGTACGTGTCCCGCTACAGCTGCTCCTCTGCCATCGGCATCCACCCTCAAACTCTCAGCTAACACGACCCTACCTGACAGGATCAAGACAAAGCTTCAAGTGCAGGTCAAGCACCAAGCCGTCACCCTCGCAGACGCACAAGCGGAGGCCGACGAACCCCATTACGACTCGACGTGGGATGCCGTCAGACAGATCGTCTCTGCGGAAGGCGTGTCAGGTCTTTATGCCGGCATAAACGGCTCCCTCATCGGAGTTGCCTCGACCAATTTCGCCTACTTCTATTGGTACTCGATTGTCCGCACCCTCTACTTCCGCTATAACAAGTCTGCAACTCATCCGTCTACGGCGATCGAGCTCTCCCTTGGCGCTTTCGCAGGTGCCCTGGCACAGCTGTTCACCATCCCCGTTGCCGTCGTAACCACCCGCCAACAGACACAGAGCAAGGGCGAAAGGAAGGGCCTCTTTGGTACCGCGAAGGAGGTGATAGACGGCGAGGATGGCGTGTCCGGGCTGTGGAGGGGGCTGAAGGCAAGCTTGGTGCTAGTCGTGAACCCAGCCATCACGTATGGTGCCTATGAGAGGCTGAAGGACGTTATCTTCCCGGGGAAGACTAGCTTGAGACCATGGGAAGCTTTCAGTATGTGTTCATCTCCCCCGTGTCCCCTGGGCGCTTAGAAGGTCCGTCAGAAACCTAACGTCAGCATCCAGTGCTCGGAGCCATGTCCAAGGCATTGGCAACCATTGTGACCCAGCCGCTCATCGTTGCCAAGGTGGGCCTGCAATCCAAGCCGCCCGCGAGCAGACACGGGAAGCCATTCAAGAGCTTCGTCGAGGTCATGCAGTTCATAATCGCGAATGAAGGCCTCCTGGGTCTGTTCAAGGGTATTGGCCCGCAGATCACCAAGGGCCTGATGGTACAAGGCATTCTCATGATGACGAAGGAACGGTAAGCTTGGCTCCCCCCTTTTCCCGCCCTCGGGTAGCTCCTCGGATACTAATCATCGCTGCAGGGTCGAGTTATTGTACGTCCTCTTCATCCGGTACCTACGGAGGCTCAGGTCCCAGCAGTTTGCCAAGGCTGCTGAATTCGCGGCATCAAGGGCAAAAGCATCCATTCCTATAACTGCGAAATAAACACATTGGGATGTTGCCTGCACATTGGGATGTTGCCTGCCTAGGTATACCAATGACGGGCATGTAGGGCTACCTAGTTAGGTCGTTGGCTGAAGTGTCCTTGTATATTCCGAAGTCAGACGTTGTCATGTATGTATTTCGGGGCATATGGAATTTAAAATTATGGGTTCATCGTAAATCGCGGCTCAGAGACAGATTGAAACATGAATTAAATATATAAAAGACGGCCAACTTGATCCAAGAGTAACGAGACACGCTGCGTGCTTACTAACGCGGGAGTTCGTCAGAGATCATCTCGTTGTGTGGCTGGAGAACGCACTAGCCACACTTGGCGACTGGTTAGGGCAAAATTTCCCTGGCGCACAAAATCACCTCAACCTCGCATCTGGAAGTCTCCGCTGCATCAACGACACTTGGACCTTCTCGATCTCAACCCAAACCTTCCGTCAAAATGGCCAGTAAGTGATATCCGCACAATTGAAGTCTCCCGATACGAGAAGAGGCGCTTACACTCGCGGCAGAGTCCAAGAACTCGTCCCAGCACAACCAGTCCAAGAAGGCACACCGGAACGGGTACGTGAAAAATCATCGACCGAGTCGAATCCGAGAAGCGAGCAAGTGAACGGGACACTGACAAGAGTTTTCCCACTGCAGTATTAAGAAGCCTAAGACCTCGAGGTACCCGTCACTCAAGGGAACCGACCCCAAGTTCCGCAGGAACCACAGGCATGCGCTTCACGGCACCATGAAGGCCCTGGTATGCGACCTCGAGACAATAACCCTCCGTTCTCTCCCCATCAGGTTGGCTGACAATCTTCGCAGAAGGAGCTGAAGGAGGGCAAGAGGGAGACGGCTTGATTTTCGATTTTGCGCACCGCGGTTCGGAAGGAGCAACGACGACATCATGCATGGCCTGAATGATGGTGGGATTCCGGGGCTGGAGCTGACTGTATGGTATTCAGCTGGCTTTCTCGAGGTTTTCTAGGCGTCGAAACACGGAATGCATTGCCTCGTGTGAGGGGCTCGCCGGAAGACATGCAGTGTGCGTGTGTGACTGACTGGAAGAGTCTCGACCTTGTATCATGGCCACCCGACCTGACCATGTCAACCCCGACCATGCCAATGGCCATTGCGATTCTAGCCCTCCCACTCCCACTCCCACTCCCTACCCAGAAAGCAAAACGGCATTTGTGTGTACAGCTTCGAGTCTACCCCATGCTCTGTTGCTGAAGGATAAATTCTTCGTGCCAAGATAAACCGCCCTTCTATTACCAAACACGCTGGACCTCCTTCTCCAGAGGCTTGGGTGCATGAAAGAGGGGCGACATTCCCGGTCATCATGACTCTATGATGTATTTGCTCCAGCAGTTGTTCTGAAGCCTTGCAGAGCCATGGTCTAGCTTTTCAGGCTCGTGTGTCATTTCCTAACCGACGCGAAGCAGAATTGCAACATGTGTACGGAACATGTTGGTCTATCTCTTGTGTCAATCAAGAACGTATTGGCATTGGATGCTGGCCAGGTTAAAACGGACTCATAGGTCTGATTCTCAACGCTCTTGGCTCAGTTTCGGGATAGCCATGTGTGTTTCGTAATGGGCTTATCAGTCAGTAATGGAGCCTCTTTCTTGTATTTCGCACTTCTTTCTACTTTAGCAATGATTTTCGAAGCTATTGCCAGCAGATCCTGCATGACGCCTTTTGGTGTTCTTACCTACTTACAGCCTGGAAACCAACGACTTGCCATCTTGCATTAATACCCCGCCAGGCTGTGACTCTCCATCTGTGCCAGTTCTGCTCAGGTCCATGCAGGGCATATTCTGAGGCTAATAGCGCCGTCTCAGACCCTTTCCCTACCATCGTGGTTGCAGTCCTCTTTAGCACACAGGCACCTCCGTCCCCTGTCAGTACCAGACCGCCAGTTGCAAGCTTCTTCTTTCTCCGCTATCAAGATACTGACGCATCGACTGTGTCTCTACCGACTCGCGCAAAGAACATGGGTTCACGTTATATTCCGCGCTGCAGCCCCGACTTGCGCTTCAGCGCCTCCAGAAGATACCCATTTGCAACCGGCGGCGCGAAATGGCCCATAATTGACTGGGACCAGCGGCGTTCCGTCGACGTGTATGTAGAGTTTGTTTTCAAGGCCGTCGATAAGTTTATCAACGACCTTCCTGCCAATGTCGTGCAGGCTGAACTCTCCAAAGACGGCGCACTCTTGTCCAGCTCTTCGGACCTCATCCGTGACCGCTCCTGGGTCCCTTTTTCTGCGCCACGTACCGACTTTCCCTGCAATGTGGCTACTGTACGCCGCTGCGACCTTACCGAAGTTGACCGGCTTGGGCTTCAGGTTGACTTGACGACCTACTATCTGGGGCCAGGAGAGACGAGGCAGGTTGTGTTCAAGTACTACTTTACTGAGAACAACGTTGCCAATTGGTGGCATGAGGCGAATTGCGTTATGCGTATGCCTAGACACCCTAACATTGTCCCCATTGACGCTCTTGTCGTCGACATGGTCGAGGGTGTTGACAGGGTGGTCGGCTTTACCACACGCTACATACCTGGCAGTACACTTTCAGAGAACAAGGACTGTGTTTTTAAACTTCAGTACCTGGAGCAACTTATTAATGTTAGTTGCAACTCTATACCTCGTCCCTTACATGCTGCCTACTAACAATTAAACGCTGCCTAACAGGCTGTCGACTACCTCAACCTCTGCCTTGGCATTGTTCACGGCGACATATGCCCGTGGACCCTTCTCATAGACCCTGAGACAGATGGTATCCAGCTTTTTGACTTTAACAGCGGTGCTAAGCTAGGCTGGGAGGGAGACTAGGACAACGGGTGCGAGTTTAAGTACGAAAAGGACTGCAACGACGTCAAGTTTGTGATATTTACACTCTACGAGATTATCACTCGCGAGTTCTGCTTCCGCCTAGAATTCTACCCTCACGAGTTGGATGCGTCGAAGATCATGAGGAAGCGAAAATGGGACAAGCACCGAAACGTCCAGCTCGACAGTCCTGTGGATGAATTTCGCCGGGTCCTTCGCAAATGGTTCAAGGAAAGGGCCAAGGTCGACAAAAATATCGATCATTTCATGAAGGCATCAGAGCCCCTAGACTGGCTATCATTGCGCGTGTCTCCAGACATGGCAACAGATCAACGCCTCCAAAGGCGCGGCATTTTGCGCTCTACGCTTGTTCAGTCTGGCAAGGACTTCCTGAAATGGGAGCGCCCGCCGACGCGAGCCCTGCCACTCCCCGACGGTCAGCGTCTGTTAGCTACCGGAGAGGTTGTTCACGATGACGAAAGCGGTAGCGCTTCTGCAAAATGATACCCATATCCACAATATATACGCCTCCTGAGCTGTAGCAATGGGATCCTCCTTACCAGCAATACACACATGCGACAGTACCAGCAGGGGTTGGCTCTTGGCATTTAGGGCAGAACGCCGCTTAGAAAGCGGCGGCCAGTGCCAGCCAAATTCGGCGGCGAATTTCCCTCCAACCTAAAGTCAATGAATATCAAAGCTTAATCGCCAGGCCAAAAGGCCGGGTTGTAGCAGAGAGGCGCGTGCTAACTTGCAAGATAGGCAAATTGGAACTATACAAGGTTAAACACTCCTAGAGATGTTACTATGATTGAAAGTCTAATTTAGACAAGCCTCTTGAATCTAGGCAGACAGTCAATCCTGAGAGCTGCACGCAATCATTTGACCAGTCTGAGTGAGACCAAGACGGGAGCCAGAGCCTGTGGCCACTAACCGTGTGCGCTATTGTCAGTATGTAGGGGCGGGACCTTCCAGGCGTCCACTCAGTCAGGGCCCGGGTAGGCCAGGTACCTGGGTACTTGGGGTCATAAGCTTCCCGTGCCTCCCATCTCCCAGTTCCAACTTTTTTGCTCTTCCCCAACTCGTCAAGCCTTCACATCCTTCACCTCGGCAAGACAAGAGAACAGCAACATTCTTTTGTCGCTGGTCGTGCCTGGAAGACCAAGGTCTTATTCCTTTCACCCTTACTGGATGCTAAGAAGCTGTTTTAATGAGTAGGTTTGCCCGAGGCCCATTCACATCCTGATCCTATTATCCCCACGCAGGCAGCTGCTTTTCTCTTTCTTTCTTTCTTGCCCCCCTCCTCGCCTTGCTTGGTCCATCACTCTCTAGTAGTTGGCGTGCACACTTGCGACACCCTCCTCTTTCCCCTTCTCCCCTCTCCCCTTGTCTGCATTTGATCTTATGCTGCCTACAATCTTGGCTCCTTGGTGACCTGACTCACTTGGGATTCCCCTGCTGTGGAGCTACTTGTCGGGCATCTGCCTAATCCCTTGCCTCGCGATCAGTTCTGCATCGGACAGCCTCCACTTATTAGCTCCTGTGCACGGCGTGCTGACTCTTTAACTTTTTCATGCTTCCAGAACATCACTAGACCCGCCCCTATTTTCGCGCTTTCCAACGACTCCTTTGAGGTCAGCAGGTTACTGCAGGAGCTTTCGACAAAACCCACTCGCCCTCTTTTCGTGTCGCGACTAGACTCAGCCAACGAGTCACTTAATCTTTAAACCTGCACCTTTGTTATTGGGATGCAGCTGTAGGAAACTTCTTGGCATTGACCTGAGCTCCTTGCAATTGCTCGAAACGCTGCTCTGCACTGCCCCACGCTGCCGATCGCCCCCAACGTCAGGTATTCCTCGAGGCCTTGTTTCACATTTTTGGATACAGGGGTCAAATTCCAAGCGCTCTAAATTTACATTCTCTATTGCCAACTCCATCCCTCGACAACTCCATTATGCTCAACATGTCAAACATCATGAGCAACCGCAATAGCACCCCCGAGGCCGGCCACGTCTCCCTGAGACCCCCCTCCTCTCGAGCTGTTGGGGCGGGACTTGGCCGTGCCTCGGCCGACGTCGGTGCTCTCACCGGCCAATCCTCGTCCCGCCCGATCAGGCCCTCCTCCGATTTCTACGGCCAGTCTCAGCAAGGCCAGGGCCAGGGCCCCGATATCGATCCTCAGGACAAGCTTGCTCAGCAATGGATTGCCGACATCGACCAGTACGAGACCACCCTTGAAGAGATGGCTGCCGCTACACTCGACCAGGATTTCAAGGATGAGCTGAGTGCTATCGAGCAATGGTTCCGCGTCCTTAGTGAGGCCGAGCGGACTGCAGCTCTGTATGCCCTGCTCCAGCAGACCACTCAGGTCCAAGTTCGCTTCTTCATCCAGGTTCTGCAGCAGATGGGCAAGAATCATCCCATGTCGGGGGTACTCTCGCCTGCCAACTTTGATAAAGGTTTGTCTGACATGTGTGGTTTCCTCGGTACTCAATCGACTCACAAAGCGTTTACAGATCCGATGACGAACCGCCTAAGCGATGCGATGAACAAGCTGAATGTCGATTCTACTCGACACTCCCTCGCCCGTCCCAGTGGCTCGGGAGCGAGCAAGAGACATTCAGGCCTCGATTCGTCAACCATCAATGCCATGTTCCCAGATGCTGCAGCCGCAATCGCGACCGAAAAGGCAAAGTTCACCCAGCACACTGGCAATCCCCCAACTTCCAACCGCAACAGCACGATCGACAACCGGAACTCGCTGGCAGCACCCGCAATCTCTGGTGCCAACGACGACAGTAATGGGCAGAACCCGCAGTCGCCATGGGGCCCCGGCGATTCATCACGGCCCAAGTCCTCTTCCGGCCAGCCTCCGATGGGCCAGTTTGTCCAGCCGCCCCCATCTGCCGGTCTCCGGTCGCCCAGGCCACAGATCTCGGGCAACTCGAACATTCAGAACACCACAATAATGGCAAGCGACAAATCCGTTTCGGACCTCCCCCTGCTGTCCCCCTACGCCACCACCAGTGGAAACTGGGCCTCGATGGTCAATACCCCAATGGTACCGAACTTCAACGCGAACCAGGGCAATAATCAGGCAGATATGGTTGCGAACGCCACAGCGATGAAACTGGCAGCGCTGTCGACGGTCAACAACCGCTTCGCTCTGGACGATGTGCGCAAGTACCGACGGGCTCGGTCGAATGACGCCCCCGGCCATAACCCCAATCAATTCTCGCCTGGTGCGCAGGGCGGCAACATGCCTGGCAACATTCCTGGGGCTAACGTTGTCATGATCAACGAGCACGGACAGGTCCTCAGCCGAGAACAGATGATAGCGATTCAGAATCAACAGGCGATGGGAGGCTTTGGAGGCCACCGCTCCCGGCCGAGCTCTCCCGGCCTCGCCATGCAGACTGGCTTTGGCCCAGCCATGACCTTCACATCACCGCAGAACAACGGTTTCCTGAGCGCCTATGACGGCTCTTCCCCGCTAATTAATAATGGACTGGCTCCAATGAATCTGGCCCAGCTCGGATTGGGAGTCCATCACGAGGGCTATCTGTCGGACCACTCGGATATGGTCCGCGGCCGGTCCCCGCGCGGCCGACGGGGCAGCTCCAAGCCCCCCGAGGACCCGACAGACCCAGCCCTTCTGCAGGACATTCCAAGTTGGCTGAGAAGTCTCCGCCTACACAAGTACACGGACAATCTCAAGGACATGAAGTGGACCGATCTCATCCAACTGGATGACAAGCAGCTCGAGGAGCGAGGAGTCAACGCTCTCGGTGCCAGAAGAAAGATGCTCAAGGTCTTTGAGCAGGTCAGGGGTAAGGCAACAACGCTGAGTCCGGGTGAGATTCCCGAGAAGAACAAAAGCTAACCCGTTCGTTTTCGACAGATGCCAAAGCAGAAGGCAAACTTGCTTAAAACGAGATGGAGGGCCCCATGCCACGAGGGTGAAGGCGAGGGCAGAAGGAGACGGGTTCGGATCCGCAGCGATGGTTGATTTTGTATTACCACCTTGGAACATAAACACGGCCTTTGGAGGTGGGAGGGTTTCTATGTAGACCGGGGGATTATCGAGGATTTTCTAGCGGTAATCCTTGCTACACAGCGTGTGCAGGCTTCCCAGCGAATTTTGGACGACGATAGCTATCGAGATCTACAGTTAAACAATGAAGCGTCAACATATATCTAGGCCGTGTTTTCGCAACAGGAATAATCTGCCGGAGTGGTTGGATACCGGTTGGATTACCACTTTGAAAACCAGTGTAGAACCTCCCATGCGCATGGAAGGGATGTAGACGAAATATTGTGAAATGAAGTGCGAACCTGCAGGTCACAAAGTTTTGTCGTTTGTGAAGATGGATATGTAACTGGAGTAGCCTCTCTCAGTTGTCTGCTTTACTAATCTGCAAACCCTTTATTTTGTTGCTGCAAACCTGACTTCAGAAAAACATATCAGTTTTCTTTTCCATGGGACTGCGAATTAAAAATCGAGAGATCAAACAAGTCTTACCTCATAATTTTGCAAACGGAAATTTAACGCTTCTCTTCACCTCAATTCCGCAACTTTCCAAGAAATGAGCCACCACATGGACCGCGGCACATTTCCGGAGCCTCACCCAAGTGGTCCATCCTCACTAACGTAGCTACCTTATTTATTGGCCTTCTCAGGCTGGCCGGCAGCCTCAATAGATCCAAACATGGCCGAACGAATGGATCTCGACCCACCGGCCGGCTCGCCGACTGCAGATGTGCGTACGCATGCAGGATTCGACGGATACAGCCACCATGGGCCAATGCAAGTGATAGCCCAGGCACACGGGAATGAGGGATACCAAGAAACTGGCCCGCGCGGCAGGATCCCGGACGACGAAGGCCAGAGCCGCGATGACCACGGCGATGGGGAAAGCGAGGTCTCGGACGTGGACTCGGACTACCTCGAGCTCAACGCCGAGACGGCCAAGCTCGACGCCAGCATCGAGGCCTTCCGGGCGGCCCAGCGCATGGGCAACGACGACGACGACTACACCGGCATCGGCATCGGCAGCGGCATCCGCACCCCGGCGGCTGGCGCTCCGGTGGCGGCGGCGGCAGCCAAGGCGAGCGGCAAACCGGTCCGGAAGGGGGGCAACAGGCGCGGCCCCCGCAAGGCGGCCAAGCCGTCGCCGGACATCCTGTACCGGCTCTCGCTGGCGACGGAGGCGTACCACGGGCGGCGGTACCAGGAGGCGCACGAGATGCTGGCCGAGATCATCCGCATCAACGCCGAGACGTTCGACGCCTGGACGCTGCTGTCGACCGTGTTCGAGGAGCAGGGGGACCGGCACGGCGCGCTCATGTGCCTCGTCGCGGCGGCACACCTGACCCCCAAGGTCGGGCGCATGTGGATCAACGCGGCGACGTACGCGCTCGACAGCCTCGACGCGCTCGGCGAGGGCAGCCGTGGCCGTGGCGAGGGCGGGGCCGGGGGCGAGGGTGAGGGTGATGACCAGGGCGATGACGGCAACGAGGGCGAGAGGAACGGCCTGCTGCAGACGGCGATGCAGTGCTACAGCGCGGCGGTGCGGGCCAACCCGGCGGACGTGGCGGCGCGCACGGGCAAGGCCGACGTGCTCATGACGCTGGGGCACGCCAGCCTGGCGGTGTCGCAGTACCAGCGGGCGCTGCGGCACCGGCCGCTCAACATCCGGACGGTACGCAACCTGGCCGACGTGGCGCTCGACGCGCGCGACCCGCGCCAGAGCAGCGCCGCGGCCATGGCGGCGTACCGGCGCGTCATCGACCACTGCCAGGCCGGCGCCACGACGTCGCTCGAGGAGGGCGACTTTGAGTGGTCCGACCTGCGCATCTACCTCGAGTTCTTCGCCATGCTGGAGCGCTGGGCCGACGCCGCGAGGGAGCTCAAGGAGGTCTCCCGCTGGCTGCTCGGCCGAAGGGAGGAGGCGCACCTCTGGGAGGGCGAGGGGGACGACGGCGGCGACCGGCTGCTGAGGGACGACAGGGAGTGGGACGTCCACGACAACAGGCGCATCTCCGTGCCCGGATACGAGCCCGCCCGGTTCCCGCTCGAGAGCTACGGTCTCGGCCTCCCCGTGGATCTGCGCGCGCGACTCTGCGTGTACCGGCTCAAGTTGGGTCAGGAGCATGAGGCGATGGTAAGCAAGCCTTTTTTTTGGCATCTTTGTCTGTTCCGGTCACTAATTTGGTGGCAACCAACCCCTTAGCTGCATCTCGAGCTGCTTGACCCCAAGGACGAGCAACCGCAAGACACACCGGCCTTGGAGAGGTTTAGAGATTTCCCCGACTGCCTGAAGGATGTCGGAGTCGCCCTGCTGGAGAGGGACCGGCCGGAGGAAGCTATGGGCTGCTTCGAGCTGTATCGGAGGATAGCCGCAGGGAGCGAGGATGTCCTCGTGGACAGCGACATGCTTGTCAGTCAGGGGCGCTGCTACCTCACTATGGGGGACAAGGCCGCGGCGGAGGAGTGCTTCATCGCCGCGATAGAGGAGGACGATGAGAACATTGATGCCCGGTTCGAGCTAGCCAAGATCTACGAGGGCGAGCAGGAGAAGGAAGGCCGCGAGGAGGCCTTCCTACTCGTCAACGAGGCCCTGAACCTGGAGGCCCAGCATGTCGAGGGCGCCGATGGAGCGCCGAAGAGGGCGCCCCGGAGACTGGCCCCGCACATGCCGGGGGAGCTCAGGAGGAGGGAGCGGATGATGAAGCCGCGCAAGGAGAGGAGGAGGATGAGGTACAGGCCCAGGCGGCTGGGCGACTCGGAGGAGAGGAGGAAATACGACCAGGAGCGGACGGCCGCCTTGAGCGAGAGGTATCGGCTATGCCTGAACCTGAAAGATCGACTGGGCAGCGGGGACACAGAGGCGATCAGCCCCTGGTTGGAGGCGGCAAAGGAGCTGGTCGACGACTTCAGGTCTTCAAAGGAGTTTTACCCTTGGGACATGTACGTCCGGTCCCAGGGGTTCGTGACCTACTTTGCAGACCAACAGGCCCCTCCACATGCCAACTCCAAGCTCATAGCAATGGCAGCCCGGCTCCAGCAGAGTAAGTTCTTCCACCTGGCAACCACTTACTGCCCCAAGGCAACCGGGAGCCCCGTTACTGACAGGGACCAACAGACCTCGCGCCCACAGAAGGGGAGGAACATTCCGTGGCACCCGTGATTATTCGCCACGAGCACCGCGGCATCCCGTTCAACGAGTGGCTCGACCTCTTCCTCGAGTATGCCATCAACCTCGCGTTCACACAACAGGCTCAGGAGTCGTACGAAATATGCACGTCGGCCAAGGACTCTGTGGTCTTCAAGTCGAAGGAGAATGCGTTTCTGATACACCTTACCCATGCGAGTGCGTACTTCCTAGACCCGCTCCCCCCAACCCATCATTTACTAACTCGGTCACAGCCTGCGCAGTGGTTTCCGGCGACGAGGAGCAGTGCGTGTCGGTGGCGCGGTTCTTCATGAGGGAGTACACGCACTGCACGGATTCGTACCGCATATTCGCCGCGCTGTGCCGGGTCTGCCAGGCCCCCGTGTCGTGGTACAGCTCCGGGCCGGCTCAGAAGTTCATCCTTCGACAGATTAGGCAAATGGACAGGGCTACGACTGCTTCGGGGCCCGACGGCGACGGCGACGGCACCGGGACCGGGACCGGCAACACCGACCTCGACGTGTGTCTCCTCACTATATATGGGCATATCATGTTTACCACGACCAGCTATACCTACGCACTGAGTAAGTGCCCCTCCTTCAATTCCCCTTCCATTACTGTCCTACCAAAGCAAAGATCAACTAACCCGGGCGCGGGAAAAAACAGGCTACTTCATGCGCGCCGCCTCCATCGACCCAGACAACCCAATGATCAACCTCAGCCTGGGTATAGCATACATCCACTACGCCCTCAAGCGCCAGGCGACGAACCGGCAGTACCTGCTGACGCAGGGCTTCGCCTTCCTGGCCCGGTACCACGGCCCGCGGTCACGTTCGGCGTCGGCGGCCGAGCGGCAGGAGGCGAACTTCAACATGGGCCGCGCGTACCACATCGTCGGGCTCGCGCCCCTCGCGGCCGAGTACTACGGCCGCGTGCTGGACGAGGCGCGGTCGGCGCGGGCGGCGGGAGGGGCCAGGGCCGGGACGCTGCTGGCGGGTGGCGGGGGGGAGGAGGAGGAGGAGATGCTCGTGCTGGAGGCGGCGTATAATCTCAAGACTATCTGCTTTGGTGCTGGGGACCTCGAGGGTGCTAGGGCGGTTACGGATGAGTGGCTTGTTTTGTGATACCCCATCTCTCTGTGCTTATTGTATGCGGTAGGTAGTCGTGGAGTTGCGGGGCTACGTCACAGCTTCGGGGGTCTGCTCTTTGGGCAGAAATAGAAGCAGAGAACCAAATTCCCCTAGCTTTCTGAGTAGGTGCGTGGCAAGCTGGGAGTAAGAGTGGGGAGATTGTGAGAAGTCAGGCTAATAAGAATTCCCCATATACCATCAACTCCAGTCCGTGATCACGCCCCCTCCTGAGGTAGCCCCTTTTTGGACGACAATTCTTTTTGTCCGAGAACTAAGATCCGATGGGATTTGTTCCGAGCCCCCAAACCCTGTGCTGCGAATCTCATTAAGGTATGTATGTATGTATGTATGTATGTATGTATGTATGTATGTATGTATGTATGTATGTATGTATGTATGTATGTATGTATGTATGTATGTATGTATGCACGTGGGGCGAGTAGGCAGTTGCTAGTGGGTTACGTTGGGCAATAATGCATGCCGGGCCGAGGTGGGCATGCCACGGGCTGGAATGGAAGTCCAAAAAATGATCACTCTGCAGAAGACATATGACTCTGCACTCCATTCCTTAGGACTGTGGGTTTCAGCACCGCGGACAGGGGCCTCAAGGGGTCCAACGTCGTGTGCTTCACCATATTGCAGAGGGACAAATGTGATACTTCTAATAAGGCGTCGCGAATTTTTGCAGCCAACGAGACCATGCGTTGTAAACCAAGAAAAGGAAAAGCATCCTTGAAGATGGCCCTACGACTAAGCCGTGCCAGCATCTGTGATGAGGGGACGGACGGACTGCAACGCCACCACTGCTGGCGGCGGCTGTGGCCATCGACGCACTGCCGTGTCTTACTTCCACAGCACGAGCGTGGAATCACGGCTTCGACCCACACGTAACACAGCACCGAGAATCACATCTCCGCATCCACGCTCTTGGCCTGGAGAGGGTGCCCCATGGCTGAGAATTGAGGCCTGGAGTGGTTGGTTTCGCTGGTCACCTGGGAGTATGCCAACACCCCAGGCCTCTTCTTGCTTCTCGTCTCAAGATGAGCAAGGCAGCGGGAGGTTGGCTGCCGTCGGCGGGGTCGTGAGAAGAGGTAGACAAGTGGTCATCAGCCACGTCGTTTCAGAGAAACGGAAAGGAGAATGGTTGGGAAGTTGGGAAATACCTTGAAAAATGAAGAAAAACAAACACGGCGGAAGCACCCTGTACCCGAGCGCACCAATATCAACAATTTGATCATGTTATGTGGACGCCACTATGCAAAGGCGGGATTCCAGCACTTGCTTCTCATACGCCAGCCCATTCCTTTTCCCTAGACCTCGTCTCGAGCTAACAAGTCGCAGTAAGCCACACGTCTCTTTGCGATGCTGCTGGCGCTGTGCTGTTAAAAAAATAAAAAAAAAATAAAAAGAAATCCATTCCTTGTATGGAGCCCTAGCCAATGTCTCTCTACGACTTTAACTAGGTAGTCGGAACAAACCACTAAGAAGTTTATAATACAAACGCAAGGGAGGGAAGGACGTTTGGGGAAGGGGAACAGGGAGTTCCCCCAGTAGAAAAACACGCAAATAATTCACGATCTGTACTATGTAAAAAAACAAAGAAGCGTGGAAAGTTGGCCGCCACAGGTTTCAAGTCGCGGCTACTTGCCGAGATTTAGACATATACCAGCCCTACAACAGGTTCTGATGGAAACGAATTGGTGATGATCAGCGTCAAACGGAACATGGCCGTCGATCAATCAGCGGATCGGAAACCGGCAGAGCCCCGGGGGTGGGGGGCACGCTTCTCCGAGGGCACGTTGCGGGGTCGAGGCCGTTAAGCTTAACCGCGCTGATCTCTCGGATGGCATCGGGGTCGAGGGGTGGATTGGCAGAGATCAATGCCTTTTCCAGGCCGTGACCTGGGCCAACCGCGCGCGAAACTGCCGTCGTGATGTATCGTGCAGGGAGGAAATTCCTCGCACAGGCAGGCTCAGGCTCTGCCCTGATCTGGCCCGAACGCACCGACCCAGAAAAGGGATGAGCTGAAGTCGTTCTTCGAATGCCACGAGAGGCGCAGATTAGCGTGTTTCAGGAGAAGCCTCCACACTTTTAGCTCCCAACCCAACCAGTTCTGGAGGGTTCTGTTCGGATGAACTCTTACTCTCGCCACTGTATGATATCTGACAAAAAAAGTTGAAACCCTGCAATTTCTAGAGATGACAACTCCCATTGCTGCTGTTGGGAAGATGAATCAAGCGGGCCGGGAGATGAACGGATTTCATCTACACTACCTAGTTGCTTACCAGATAACTCGATCAACCTGTGCCTATGCTTAGCCCTGTGTAACGTTCGCACGCCTGTCATTGGACGCCTCAAGCGGCTCGTGGTCAGCGGCCGCTGCTTCCCAGGAACAGAACAGGTCAATTTATACCCCCCTGTAATATGCAGGTACAAACTGCGAAGGAGGAAACACCTACCTAATTACGTGTAGAACAACATCCATGACGGATTACAGACCAGGAGTACGACCAAGAATCAGCTCGACTTCCAATGCTGCGGTTTACCGCCCAACTCCCGCCCCGGCGAGCCAACCATCTGGACTGGGCTGGCGCCGGGTCGCTTCCTGACAGGCCACTGCACCTGCATCTGCCATGTAGACAAAGAGCCACAAGCCACGTCGATTGTGACCGTGGAAACTGGAAAGTGGACATGCCCGCAGCCAAGGAAACAAAACCAACCATCCCAAGGAATCCCGACGTTCTGCACCCACCTGATTATGCCTATTTGGGGCCATCTAGAACCACTTAGTCTGTTTGATGCCAAAGCCAGGGGGGGCTCCATGGCCCACATGCAAGGGTAACTTAGCAGTACACGCCGCCGAGCGTGACCGCCGGTGCCATCACCCTTGAACCTGCATCTGCATATGCAGGCATCGCGACCACCACCCTAATGCGTACGAAAAATGGCCTGTCCACCATGGCGCCCAGAGGCTGGGCAGTGGGCACACGATTTAATAAAATCCCCTCTCCCTGCCACTGCCAGCAATTCTTCTCTCCCTTCCCTCCGTCCTGCTGGTTACTCACTCACCTGGGCTTCGTGTCATTCACTTCTTTTGAGCGTTGTCTCATCCACTACCTTCATTTGACCACTCTCCTTCACACCACTGAGCTGCTGAGACTGCCCAGAGCGTCCTGTCTTTTACCTTGACCCCTTTCCCATTCTTTCAAGCAACAAAATATCAACGAGGCCATTCTCACTATCGAGTCCGAGATACTCTAGTGATCGCCCATTGTCCTTCCTTCTTGCATATCCTGGCAACTTGCGACGTCGTATACGACCAACATCCCAGGCACAGCCCTACCAGCGACTTACAGAGAAACCGATACCCCACCCTCCTTTGAACCTAAACACACAGCCCGTTAAAGCCGCGATCATGCAGCTTGCCACCGTTTTGGCATCGCTCATTGGCGCTGCCGCTGCCATCGGGGACAAGCGCACGTTCGCTGTGCTGCGTCACCATGGAGATGGCCCGCTCATGACCGGTCGGGTCGATCCTATTATCAATCCCGGCACCGTTGGAAGCCACGTCCATACCGTCATGGGGGCAAGCAACTTCGGCATGAACTCGACAGGTGCGGACCTGCGCAAATCCAGGTGCACTACGGCCCTGATCAAGGGCGACCTGAGTGCCTACTGGTTCCCAAGACTCTACTTTGAGGACCCCAAGGACGGCCACTTTGAACCCGTCGAGATGTTCTACATGAACGTCTATTACTTGTAAGTTAGCACGATGAGATATCCCCCTTCAGCCGGTGTATATATATGTTGCTGACCTACGGTCTTTTCTTAGCTTTGAGGCCACCAATGACAAGATCGTCTCTTTCCCGGTTGGCCTGAGGATGGTGAGCGGAGACGCCATGACCAGAGATCCTCCAAACAGGGACGGAACCCAGAACCTCGACCCTTCCAAGGGCCCTGTCAATCCCCTCCAGTGGACGTGCCCCCGTAGCAACTTCAACCCCCCTAGCTGGCCTGCCGGCTCTGACGGTACCAAGGGCGGCATTCAGGACCCGAACAATCAGGGCTCCGGCGTGGGCTTCCCCTTCGCAAACTGTGACGGCTACGCGTCTCCTCTCCGAATGGACCTCCACTTCCCTTCTTGCTACAACCCCGCTGCCGGTCTCGAGAACTTCAAATCCAACATGGCCTTCCCGACGGATGCTGGTAATGGCAAGCAGGACTGCCCGAAGGGCTGGGTTCACGTCCCGCATATCTTCTATGAGGTCTATTGGAACACCCCCAAGTTCCAGGACCGGTGGACCCAGAACGCCGGGTCTCAACCCTTCATCCTTGCCAACGGCGACCGAACCGGCTACTCGGGACACGGCGATTTTATTTCCGGCTGGGATGAGACTGTTCTGCAGAAGATCATCGATACATGTGATGCCGGCTCAGCTGGCATGGACAAGTGCCCCACGATTATTGGCGGTCTCAATGACCAGGCCCCCTCGTGCAACATCAATTCTCCCGTCAACGAGGTCATCGATGGTGTCTTGGCGAAGCTGCCAGGTGACAACCCGGCGTCTGGCTGGGGTGTTGGCTCGGCTCCCAAGCCTCCCGCTTCCTCCAAGCCTCCCGCTTCTTCCAAGGCCCCCACTTCCTCCAAGCCCGCCTCCACCAAGCCCGCCTCCAACCCCCGACCCGCCAGTTCCTCTACCACCAGCGCCGCTGCTCAGAAGACCAGCCTCCCTGCCGGCAATGCCATAGTAGATCCCGTCCCAGCCAAGATTCCTACAGATCCTAGCTCGAAGAAGCCCACCAGTACCGCTCCTCCGGCCCCTCCCGCTCAGATCACTAAGGCGGCCAAACCAAGCAGTACCACCGTTGGCGGCAACGTCGAAACCGTGTGGGAGACTGTTACCGACTGGAAGACGGTGACCGTCTACGCTGGCTCTAAGCCCACCGCTGCTCCCGGTGCAGCGCTGCCCGATGTTGCAGGCTTCAAATACGCAGGCTGCTTCAAGGATGCATCGAACCGTGTCCTGGCCGGTGAGATCCGGCCCAACTTAGGAAGGGTCACGAACACCCTGTGCATCGACCATTGCAGGAGCAAGGGATGGGCCCTAGCCGGCACCGAGTACGGTGGCCAGTGCTACTGCGGCAACGAGCTCGTCGGCTCCCAATTGCAGGAGGAGTCCCTCTGCAACATGCCTTGCGAGGGCGACGAAGGGGAGACTTGTGGAGGCGGCTGGAGCCTGAGTGTTTACTCTGCAGACGGCTCGGCCAACACCAAGCGCCACCTCCACAACCACCTCGCCTACCACCGCCGTGCGCCCTCCGTCCGTCGCAGATGAATGCCCAATCGGCAACCCGCTTAGACCAACATAACCTTCGCTCCACTCTCAGGGATCTGTGAACGGCTCCCTGGCGACGTGGATATCTTGTTTTACTGCACGCCATTTCCGGCATTGGGCGTTGTCAGACGCAATAGACTTTTCAGGGCCTGGGGCTGTTTTCGCAAAGGAAGGCCGGAACAAAAGAGCATCATTCCCAGCAGAGGCGATGGTTCTGGTTGGTTGGATGGGAATACTCCGCTTCATGATGCTATGAAACTTCTCTTCTTGCGATTGTCCCTGTTGAGGGACTAGCCCATTTTTTTCGACATCAAAATACTTCGCTTCGAAATACTGTATCATTTAGGTACCACGTTTTTATCTTCACTTCATAGGACAGGGAGCAAGTGGCAAGGAGGTAGTCACCGAGATTTTGGTGGTTGCCGTTTGTTCATCTTGCCCTTTGGCCGTTTGCCCGACAGGAAAAGGGATTCTCTACTTTCTGATACCAGCTTCTCGAGATAGAAGAAGGAAATCATCTGGCTTGGTTCAGCGGAATACAAATATTCCAACTGCTGCTTCTATCGTCCCTTTGCGTAAACTCTGTGACAGTATAGACGTAGCCAGTTGACAACTGGGAAAGGTCAGTCTTCTCAGGTCAAAAACAACATCTAAGATAGAGTGCCTCGATAATATTTCTGGATTACCTTCTCCTTCCTGCCGTTCCAGTTGTAGCTACAACACTGAGGTGGTTACATACCCCTATTTGTGCGTGATCCGGACCTCTCGATATTTGCATATATGTCACATACACATCCAGCTACATCCAATAAATGCATAAACACCGGTTTTGTTACTTGCGCAAAATATCGTCCAAGCTTCTAAAGACATGATTGAGAAAAGATACCTCCCATAAGTTCAAGTTGGACTATATTCTTGCCACTGTCGACTCTGGACATTCGTCTTGAGACATGTCTCTGTACCACGAGGCATCCGCCGTTCTCTCCCAGCCGGCGTCGGAGGGCGGTGGCAGCCTCAAATCAAGAATATATGGGAAGAAGGATCTGAAATCTCCACCAGCCCAGTTATACGCTCTCGCGCTCGAGACATGTAAATGGAGTGGCCTGCTCAAGGAGGTCATCGAGGCATCCGGCATCCTACAACTCGAACGAAAAGTGAGTATTTTTTTCCGAGGCCTGTATAACCTCGCCCTCCGGATCTTGGTCTTGCCCTTTGTAGACAGACCTTTACTGACCCTCGCCGTAGCTCACCCCCGTACTATCTCTCCTCCTTGTTCATGATTTCTTGCTTTCCAAGGGTGGCATCGCGCTCCCCCAGTCCCACGGCCTGCGGGCGTCCATCGAGCGCCACAAGGCCAGGTTAAACTCTGAATTCACCCGCGCGCGCCTGCGCAGGAAGTTGGCCTCAGTCGAAGCCCTCCGCGCCCAAGTCGAGGCGGAGTCGCGGACCGGGCCCGTCCACCCCCGCTGGATCCGGATCAACACCCTCAAGACGACGCTCCGCGACCAGCTGGAGACGACCTTTGCGGGCTTCGAGGCCGTCTCCTCGGTGCGCGACATCCTCGCCGGCGCCGAGAGGGCCATCTGCCTCGACCCTAACGTCCCGGACCTGGTCGCCCTGTCCCCCGGGACAGACTTCACCAAGACCGACGCCTACAGGTCCGGCGCCATCATCCTGCAGGACAAGGCGTCCTGCTTCCCGGCCCTCCTGCTCGACCCGGCCTCCCTGGACGGCGGCGACGTCGTCGACTCGTGCGCCGCGCCTGGGAACAAGACGACACACCTGGCCGCCCTGGTGAGCGGTAGCAGCAGCAGCAGCAGCAGCTCCGGTGGCGACGGCGCCGCGGGGAACCCGCCGCGGCCGCGGAAGATATTCGCGTTCGAGAAGGACAAAGCCCGGGCGGCGACGCTGGAGAGGATGGTGCAGCTCGCCGGGGCCGACCACCTCGTCCGCGTCGGCGGGGGGCAGGACTTCCTCAAGGTGGACCCCAAATCGGACGCGTACAGGGGCGTCCGCGCCCTGCTCCTCGACCCCAGCTGCTCGGGCAGCGGCATCGTGGGGCGCGACGAGATGCCCGAGCTCCACCTGCCCGATCTCGCCGGCGGCGCCACCACCGCCAAGGGGCAGCAGGCGGGGAAGGGGAAGAAGAAGAAGAAGCCCAAGGCGGAAGAAGCAGCAGCAGCAGCAGCAGCAACGGACAACCGGAAGCGCAAGCGGACCGACGACTCAACCGCCAAGCCGGAAGCGGGCGTCCTGGTGGACGACGACGGCGAGCCCGTGGCGGTGTCCTCGGGCCCGGAGCTCCGGGCGCGCATCGACGCGCTCGCGGCGTTCCAGCTCGGGCTCGTGCTGCACGCGCTCTCGTTCCCGGCGGCCGAGCGGGTGGTGTACTCGACGTGCTCGGTGCACGCGCGCGAGAACGAGGAGGTGGTTCTGGCGGCGCTGCGGTCCGACGTCGCGAGGCGGCGCGGGTGGAGGGTCCGCCGCCGCGCCGAGCAGGTCCCCGGGATGCGCGATTGGCCCGTCAGGGGGGACGTCGGGGCCTGTGGCGGGGACGAGGCCGTTGCTGGGGCGTGCATACGGACGTATAAGGATGATGGGCGCGGGGTCATGGGGTTCTTTGTGGTTGCGTTTGTCCGCGATGTGTGAGGGGTTGGCCGATCAGAGTGTTGCCTGGCGGGCACGCCCTAAATCAGAGCTGCTGGTCTGAAGTCTACAGTGTTTGGGGTGGCTTAGACAGATGACAGCTCACATATCTTCGGCAAAAGGTCACATCACGAGGGAGCCGCCCCTTGAACCAGCAATGCTGGGGGCTGGGGTTTTACGGGTAATTTTTGCTACTCAGCACACCTCAGATGGCGACCGGATGGAGGCTGGCCAGGCATACGCTCCATCTCGACGGCGGCGAAGGGGACGGCGCAATACCCCGTTGGGTGTAGACGTACAATGGTGGCAGCCTGAACGTCTCGAAACTTTATTTGGAGATATGAAGCAGACGGCTGATAGCAATATCAGGAGCGCCCTACTCTGCAAAGTGGGAAGCCATAGCCTACCACATATGTCGATAGCATCACAGAAGTAGTCCTACATTACGGACACCCAAGTACACAGAGGATATGAATTCCATGTTCCAGAAGGCACAACCGGGCTTAGTGGGCACCCAGAATGGTGTGCTGCTAGCGATGTGTTTTGAATCCCATCAGGTCGACGTGAGGGAGAGAGGTATGGACTTACTGAGCATCTAAGAAAACAACTACGGGAACATCGAGTAGAAAACCATGCGCAGAGAAATAGCCGTCGGATTCCTCCATGGAACAACACTGACCATTGGCTCATAGCAACGTCGCATATCCCTTTTACCCCCAGGTACCGCCGCCGCCGCCCCTGCCGCCCCTGCGCTGCGCCGACAGCCGCCAGTCGTCCTCGCCAGCAAACTTGTTGTACAAGGGCTGTATCCGCTCCTGCTGCCGTCGCTTCGACATGGTGCCACCCGTCCCCGCCACCTTGAAGAAGGTCGGCGCTGCCTCGACAAGCCACTTTGGCTCGATGCTTGTGGTCCATCGCATATACTCGCGCGTCGTGAGCAAAAGTTCGTGATAAACCACCCACTCGGCCTGTTTTCCAAACAGCGCTGACGACGGATGCACATAGACTGGAGTGCCCTCGATGAGGGTCTTGTAGCACCCAGATCCACCATCAGCCTCCCTCCGTGCTGCATTGCGAAAGAAGCCAGCACATAAGGCTCGGCGCACCTGCTCTGTCTTACGGCCACACGAAACAACTGGGTGACGGTACCGCTCCATAATCTTGGCAAGCTGTTCCCGCACATCCTTGGCCCGTCTCATTGACCGCGCCTGAATGAAGTTTTCAAAGCACCAAGAGCTTGAGTAGCTATTCTGCTTCCACGAATTGTATATGTTCAGCAGCGTCAGGTGGTCGCCATGTGGGTCATGGAACTTGGCCTTCTTCTGATCAGCCTGTGCCTGTTTTTCCTTCGGCCGGTAGAAGACATTGACCAGACTCAGCATGGCTACAATAGAGAGTATCTCGTCTGAGCAGCCTAGCTCTCCTGCTGCAATTAGGACCTTGGCAAGCGATGGTTCCATGGGAAAGTCGGCCATTTTACGGCCTAGCCGTGTCAAGAGTCCCTCATCGTCAAGGGCACTCAGTGCATAGAGCTCTTCAAGAGCTGTCAGCATTGTGTTGATAGGTGGTGGGTCCATGAAGTCAAAGTGTAGAAGGTCGTTGATACCCATTGCCTTAAGCATCAGGATTGTCATACATAGGCTCTGGCGTTGAATATCAGGTATTGTTGATGGCAGCATCTCTGACTGGTATGCTGCTTCTGTGTATAGCCTGAAGCATTTGCCTGGTCCAGTTCGGCCAGCACGGCCAGCTCGCTGGTTGGCTTGTGCTTGCGAGATTGGCGTAATGATAAGCGAGTCCATGCCTAGCTTTGGATCATACATGTTCTGCTTGACAAAGCCTGAGTCCACAACGTAGTGGATGTAATCGATGGTGATAGATGTTTCGGCAATGTTGGTGGCAATGACAACCTTTCGGGTGCCTGGAGGTGCTGGCTCAAATATACGGCTCTACATTTCGGTAGGCAGTCCTGAATAAACAGGGAGGATAATCAGCTCTGGGACATTTGGCCCTAAAACCTTTATCCGTTCGTACAGGATCTCGCAGGCTGTATCGATTTCCTCCTGTCCTGTTAAAAACAAGAGGATATCGCCAGATGGCTCTGTCAGGTGAATCTGCATGACAGTAACAAGAGCAGCATCAAGATAGTCTGACTCAGGTTCTTGCGAGTACAGAATTTCGACAGGGAATGTGCGGCCTGGGATAGTGAAGATTGGGGAGTGGTTGAAGTAAGATGAGAACTTCTCAGCGTTGAGAGTAGCAGATGTGACAATCACTTTGAGATCTGACCGCCTCTTCAACGTTTTCTTGAGTAGCGCAAAGAGGACATCTGTGGCAATAGTCCGCTCATGTGCCTCATCAAGCATGATAACAGAGTATCTCTTGAGGTCTGGGTCTAGCAGGATCTCGCGCTGAAGCATGCCGTCTGTCATGTACTTGATCTTGGTAGCCAGGCTGGTGCAGTCCTCGAATCGAATCGAATAGCCAACTTCCTCGCCTAAGATGCAGCCAACCTCTTCAGCTACACGCTTAGCTACTGACATGGCAGCCACACGGCGAGGCTGTGTGCATCCAATGATGCCATTGTTTGTAAAGCCTGCCTCAGCCAGATACTGCGTCATCTGCGTTGTCTTGCCAGAGCCAGTCTCACCAACCACAATGAGAATCTGATGTTGTTGTACAGCCTCAATCAGCCGACTTCGGAAGGCAAAAACTGGGAGAGATTCTCGCTGCTGCTTAATCGTCATATCCGTCCGCTTTCCATATGACTGGTCTTTTGGTTGGACTGCGCGTTTCCACTCTGGAATGCTATCGGATTTTGCAATGTTGGCTTTGGCGCTTCTCAGGTCGCTGGCAAATTTGCGCTTGTCTGGATCTGCCATTGGATCATTCCACTGAGAAAAGAGGTCTATCTTTTCCTCCGTGTCAGCAGCTGCTTCAGCCTCTTGCTGTCGCAGCTCCTTTCTCTCTTTTGCCAGCACAGCACTGGACGTGGCAGCCCGATTCAACGACCCATCAGGAGCCTTGACAACGCGGATAGGCGACAGCTCCAGAGACTGCTTTGTTTGGCCAGCGAGGAACGGCGGCTCTTCCTCTCTGACCTCAATGTCGAGGTCTTCTTCCAGCTCCATCTCGCCATCGCCACCGAGCATGTAATCCTCTTCCAGGTTGGGGTAGTCTGAAGCCTTTGCAACCCCAGATGCGATGAGTTGGCGAATCTCCCACCTCTCAGGAGACGTCATTCTCTTCTTTTGTCGTTTTGCAGGATCGGGGTTTGGGGGTGCAGCATCGGTGTGTTCGCTCTTGCCTCCACCCAGAGGCTGCATGTTAGCACCGGAACCGAAACTCGGTGCAAGGTCCTGGCCTGTCGCCTGATCAACGTCCTTCATCGACAGCCCGACTCTTGTGCCATCCATGCTAATGACCTTGGCCTTGACAGGTTGTCCACGTTCGACCAAGTCCGACGGGTGATTGATCCGCCCGTCTACCAGCCGTGAAACATGAACGAGCCCATCCACTTTCCCCTTGACGCCGTGGAGGTTCACAAAAGCGCCAAAGTCCTTGATGCCCGTCACGTGGCCGTCATAAATCTTGTGCAGCACAGGAGCGTCGTCCACTTCTGTTGGTGGCCGGCGGGTGGCTCGTCATACTCGTCCCTGTTATAGTCCCTGCTCCTCTGCGTGTCGCGCTCTGGAGTACAGCTTCTCGAGCGTCGGTTCCTCAGTGTTGTGGGATTCCGACTTACACTGCGACTGCGGTCTCGTTTCCGCGCCTGATGTTTTCCCTTGCAGTTTTTCGGCTCCAGAGCTTCCAGCATAGCCAGGGTGTCGTCAATAGAATCCAGAACTGGCGCCTTATCCGGCAGTGCCAGACCGGAGAAGACTTGAGCTTTCTCGTCGACGGACCGCTGATTGTCAGGTTCGTCATGTTTGGCGGCCGTCTTTGCCTTCATGGTCGGATGCATCAATCGAACGAGCCGGTCGATGCTTTCGATCAGGCTGGGAGGGAAGGAATCGCCGCCCATTTCGGTCATCTTCCGTGACTCGTTGCAAATATTCTATCCCCCGTTGTTTGAACAGATAAGCAAGGCTAGATAGCACTTATCACACCATGAGCTTTGTCCCTGCCATCGTATCATCCGAAAGCACTTTATGGAAGCATGGGAGATATTGAGTATCACCATCTGCATTTTGGCAGATTTGGCCACAGCGGGCGTTCTTCGAAATCGACATATATTCCGTGACGAGAAAATACTTACCAGATGGATCACTAAGGAGAGTCGATCCAGTTGTGAAAGACACGATCGTTCTTATAACACACTTTCGGCGCTGCTCTGGGTTGAGCGCACGTCAGGCAGTCGGAGAAGTCGAACGCCAAGCCCTTTACGATGCATTGCGACGGGAAACTTGCCCTGGATTCACGTGATGAACACAATCGGCGTCACGTTTCGCACGTGGTTTGCCCGCACCAGATGCAATACATCGGCTCTGATGCAGAGACTGCTTGGGTGAGTGTCGGAGAGCATAAGATTGGCGCTACAGTTCGCTATTGCAGGGGCCATAAACTAATATTTGCCAAGACGATTTTCAGCCGGATCATGCCGAGTGAGTGCAGATGTATTGATTGGGATTGCGACGGCGAAGCCGTGTTCGACAGATGGCACCCGAGTGCTTTTCTCATAAAACCTCGTAACGGACCCATAACCAGGCATCAACGGCGCCTGCTGACACGCCGTTCAGGCTAGGGAGACAGGATTAATCTCGAAAGTCGATGAATCTCACTACCACAATCTCTTTCTCTGGCTCGAATAAGCACTGTTGACCGGTGACCGGTGGGGTTGTACAATATGAACGGACTGGTCGAGTCATTGTCGGACCAAATACACAATCTTTCGTTTCAGCATTGGTAGGCGACAGAAGCATCCCTGTGAAGGATGATAAACAGTCTCCATCTCACATGCGATTTCTTCCATTTCCTTCCATTTTTCTTGCCCCTACTCATCTCAGCACAACTAGTCTGTCGGCCCGGGGCGAGGACCACATGGCCGAACATATGTATCTTGACAGAACTGACTAATAGTAGTGCTGTTCCTGCCAAGGGAGTAAAAAAACTTTTCAGCCTTACGGGGGCGCTCGGCAGCCAAGAAACCCGGCGAGTTGCCTCGGCTCCTTGGATTCCAGACATTGCTGCATAATGCGGACGGGGCATGGGAGTCCCGATCTCCGACCTGTGTGGGCCATGCAAGATAATTTGCTCCGTCTCGCAATTCATATCATATTTTGTGTCTCTGTGTTCCGACGAGCCGGAATCGGGCTCGCGATCGCCCCAAACTGCGACGCATCATTGGCTGGAGCATGAATCATGACGCAAGCATAACGCGGAGCCGCAGGACGATCCGGGACCCACCGTGCATAAACCCCTGCACAACTCCGTCATATGAATGGCCTCGTTCATACATGGAAGGCCGAATACCCGGGCTCGTCGGACGGGGTTACCACGGAGTGGAGGGTGATAGAATAAGCCCGAATGGGTAGAGATTGTTGGCATGGCAGGGGAAGAGACTTGCGTATATAGGTGTGGAGGGCCCCTTTCTGTGAAACTTGCCTGCTCCCAGACGACTGCCCAGATCGAGTATCGAATAATCGAGTTCGCCTTAACTCGACACCAAAAGGGACAATGGCATCCTCACCCAACTCTTCATCTTCGACGATAGCACCACCGGTAGAGGGTCGTGACCTCGAGTCACAACAGACGAGCACTAATGTCCCGCACTACAAGCTGGTCTTCGACCCCGCCGGCGTCGACTCCCGCGTTCTGAACCATACCTACCGGGGCGAGGGCACCGCTGACTCGCCCTACATCGTCGACTTCCTCCCAGAAGACGCACACAACCCTATGCGCTACCCCAAATGGAAGAAATGGTCCATCGCCATCCTCCAAGCGATAGCTACCCTGGCTGTGGCCTTTGTCAGCACGGCGTACTCGGGCGGCATCGGGGAAGTCCTGGTCTACTTCAAGATCTCCCAGGAGGTCGCCATCCTCGGCATCTCGCTCTTCGTGGTTGGTTTCGCCATCGGGCCGCTGTTATGGGCTCCTCTAAGTGGTATGTTTGTCTGCCTGCCTGTTCCCCACGAGGCGATTTTTGCTTCCCGCATGTGCAAGTTAGCTGACGCGTTGTAACAGAGTTCTACGGCCGGCAAATACTCTTCATCGGCACCTACATGGCCCTCACGGCGTTCAACGCCGGGGCGGCCGGGGCGCAGAACATCGAGACGCTGGTGATCCTCCGCTTCTTCGCCGGTGCGTTCGGCGCCTCGCCGCTGACCAACGCCGGCGGCGTCATCGCCGACATGTTCCCGGCCGACGAGCGCGGCCTCGCCATGGCCGTCTTCGCCGCCGCGCCCATGCTGGGGCCCTGCATCGGCCCCATCGCCGGCGGGTTCCTGGGCGAGAGCAAGGGCTGGCGCTGGGTCGAGGGCCTGATGGCCATCTTCACGGGCGTCATCTGGATCGTCGCGTCCCTGCTGACGCCCGAGACGTACGCCCCGGTCCTTCTTCGGAAGCGCGCCAACAAGATGTCCAAGGTCACCGGGAAGGTGTACGTCTCCAAGCTCGACATGCACAACAAGAAGTCGATGGCGACGCAGTTCAAGATGGCGCTGTCGAGGCCGTGGGTCCTGCTGTTCCGCGAGCCCATCGTCTTCCTCACCTCCATTTACATGGCCATCGTGTACGGCACGCTGTATCTCATGTTCGCGGCCTTCCCAATCGTGTTCCAGCAGGGCCGCGGTTGGAGCCCTGGCATCGGCGGCCTGGCCTTCGTCGGGGTTGCTGTCGGAATGATTGTTGGAGTTTCGTATGCTGCGTATGACAATACCCGGTATCAAAAAGAGGCCGCGAAGCACAGCGGCAACGCTCCCCCCGAAGCCCGACTCCCGCCCGCTATCGTCGGTTCGGTGTTGCTACCTGTCGGTAAGTCGCTCAAGACCCTTCCCCCTCCCTCTCCTCCACCTCTCAGCCAGTACAATGTTAACATCCAATCAAGGCCTCTTCTGGTTCGCCTGGACAAACGGGCCCAGCGTCCACTGGGTGGTCCCCATCATCGCGTCGGGCTTCTTCGCGGCCGGCCTCGTGCTGGTCTTCCTGTCGCTGATGAACTACCTGATCGACAGCTACGTCATCTACGCTGCGTCGGTGCTGGCGGCCAACGCGGTGATCCGGTCACTCTTCGGCGCCGTCTTCCCGCTCTTCACAACCTACATGTACAACGACCTGGGCATCCACTGGGCCAGCTCCATCCCGGCCTTCCTCTCGCTCGCCTGCATGCCCTTCCCCTACCTCTTCTGGCGCTACGGCGCCGCCATCCGCGCCAGGTGCAAGTTCGCCGCCGAGGCGGCCGCCGTGCTGGAGAGGATGCGCAGCCGCGCCCCGGAGCCCGAGAAGCGCCGCGGCGACGCGGATGGCCCGGTGCCCCCCGTCGCGGGCGATGATGATGAGGAGCTCACCGACGTAGGTGACGTGTCGGGGAATGGGAATGTGGCCGAGAAGGATGGCAAGATTGAGGGTGAGAGGTCATGAATATGCAAAAAGGAGGCAAACTAATGTGCGTCACTCGACGCGTCGAGCGGTGCATTGGGACAATGATTCCCACTCCTTTTGATCTGAATGCATTGGGCGGAAGCGGGCGTTGGGGCTGATGCATTTTGGCTTTGTAGAGAGATGGCTTCGGTGATATCCATATAGAGACTATATCTAGAGTAGATTTTAATTGAGGAACTCCAATCTGAGCATGTTGCCGCAATTTGGTGGTTTGAGAAATAACTCGAGCTCGCCCGATATCTCGCGAACCTATCCGATTACTCATCTCACTGTCATACTCGTGGCCGGATGAAGTTATTAATAATAAATCCGCTGGGGATGGCGCAATTTTGGCTGTCATTCTCTCAAGCACACCCCTCTGTCGATAGAAATCGGACCAATCTCATCGCCCGTTCGCAGCATCTGCTCATTGAGTGCATAAAACACCCTAGCTCCCTTCACCAAGGAAAGGAAAGTTCGAGGATAGGTCCATTTCACTCTCTCCGCTGTCTAGAGTGCTATTTCAGTCATAATACGCATTATCGAGATTTTCAACCATGAAGGCATATCTTTATGACAACGCCCCGGTAAGACCCGGCAACCCTTTTAGGTGTGCGTTCCTCACCAGTTACTTACATATATGAACAGGGCGATCAGCGCCTGCCCCATGATTCGGGGAAGACAGTGGACGTCGAGGGTCTGAACAAGCTCGGCGTTCTCTACTACCGCTTCCCGGATGTCGAAGGGGTGAACAAGCTGGCCAGTGAGCGAGGTTACAGGAACCGGGATGAGATCACCGTGTCGCCCGAGAAGATGGGGGCCGTCTACGAAGACAAGGTCAAGAGTTTCTTCCACGAGCACCTCCACGAGGACGAGGAGATCAGGTACATCCGCGATGGCTACGGCTATTTCGATGTGCGAAACAAGGGCGACCAGTGGATTCGCATTCACCTGCAAAAGGCAAGCCTCCTCTGATCACCCCTTGACCACCCTTGAGCCCCTTGCAAGCGCACACAAATGCTGACAACTGAGCCAGGATGATCTTCTCATCCTGCCCGCGGGCATCTACCACCGGTTCACCACGGACGAGACTAATGTAGGTCTTGCTGATATGCCCTCTATCCAGCCGATATGGTCATGTTTGCTAACGGGGCGTGTTCCTCAAACAGTATATCCAAGCCATGCGCCTCTTCAAGGACGAGCCCAAATGGACCCCCCTGAACCGGTCTGAGGATCTCGACGCGAACGAGCACCGGCAGACCTACGTGTCGCAGTACCTAAATTAGTCAAGTCAGTCAGCATGGCTTTATGCGGTGTTCTTTTGTCAGTCGCTGCGTATTCCCTTTCTTCCAGACACTCTTCGTCGCTAGGGGCCAGCTGCGCCTGTATGTTCGCCAAGCGTAAATGATGGGATTCCATGTTACTTTATCTACAGGGCTGTAGTCGGTTAGACGTGTTACTAGTTGCTCCTCAAAGATGCAAGCTCGCGCCCCCGTCACCTACCCGTTCAGTGACCATTGCTTTGGGCGCAACTCTCAGCACATCGACGAACACGGCGGGGATTGAAACTCTGTTGTAGATAGCCACTCAGTTTCGACAGCTATTTTCGAGATGATACAAGTCTGGCCTGGCTGGGTATGGTATGACTATTGGGGTAAAGAGTTGGCGAGAGATTGATCCACAGGATTAATTATGGCATGTCTCCCAAGCTGCCATTGCTGCAAAGATCTGTGCGCCAGACAATCATCCCGTCTCAGATAGGAGAGGTGCCTCGTCGTCATGACTCTCTAGGCCGGCCTTCCGTATGAGCTGGTAAGAAGCTGAAACCAAAAGAATTTGAAGAACAATATTCGTCAAGATCACAATCAGGACCGCCATCTTACCACCATAAACTGAGCGCAACACATGACAGAGCCATACCCTAGATGCTATCTACAGCTCCGAAGCCTACACCCTCGCGGTCCGTCGAGACAGTAGACATGTATGTACGTCTAATAGTTGCTCGGCTTCGACCATGTTGGTCAACTAGGAACCAAACGCGACGGGGAGTTGTTCGATGCCCAATATCCCCAACCAAAGCCCAACTCCCAACGCCGTCATAAAATGCGTAATATGCATGGTTTTCTGTCCCTTTCTTTGTTCTTACCGTCACCCGACCTCCAGTTAAGGCCCTCCCATCAACCATTCAGAAGACGCCCTCCCCAACAACCTACATAGCAGAAAAGTAAAGACACCAGAGGGGGGCGAACAAGCATGCATGGCCCCCAAATTTCACCTCACCTCCGGGGGCGCGACCCCAGCGCCGGCGACGGCGATCTCGTTATTTATCCCGTCGGCCGTCACCTCCCTCTGCTGGCGGCGCTCGAACAGGCGGCGCCACCAGGCCGGGGGGTCGAGGGGCCTGGAGCCGTTGTGCAGGGGCGGATAGACGTCGGTGAAGAAGTACCAGACGTGGCCGATGAGGACGCCCATGATCTCGTCCTTGGGCACGGTGCCGTGCAGGATCAGGCTGAAGCCCATCAGCACCCAGGGGAGGTAGGGTGCCGTGAAGACGATGAGGCCCAGGAAGCTGAGGCGCGTGTCCGGGTTGCGCCGCGACCAGATGTAGACGAGCGTCGAGGACAGCGGGTGGCCCAGGAAGGGCATCGACACGAGCGGCGAGAGCATGATCAGGCTCGCCATGGCGTACATGAGCAGCCAGGAGAAGTGCGCCGGCGACCGGCCCGACGACTCTTCGAGCAGCCGGGAATAGCGCTGGAGGAAGTAGACGTGGAAGAGGAGGTCCAGGGAGAAGGGGCCGAAGTAGAGGAAGGTCGTCAGGAGTCGCCAGTACTGAGGGGAGGGGTGGGTGTGTCAGATAAATGTCTCAAGCCCATTTACTGTATGACGGCGCGGAGAAGAGGTCCACTCACCTGGGCCTTCTCGAAGACTGACCGGTAGCTGTAGAATAGCTGGAACGGTGTGACGAGTTGGCACTGAACCAAGCCGCTAGTGAGTACTGTCGCCGTCGTCCACCACCTCGTGCAGATGGGCATTTCCCAGAACCAGGTCTCCAGAGGAAATCGGTCGCCATCGTTCATCATTTGATCCATGGTTGCTTTAGGACCGGTCGGCCCGCGGAGAGCCTCGGAAGGCGGGGGTTGAGGCTTGGCCGGGCGTAAGATAGCGATGCAATAGTCAATTCGGATTTAGTTTTGCTGGATTGGATCGTGTTCTGCGACAAATAGTGGAAGGGTGGAGAGCAAGTTGTAAGTCGATGATATTGCCGCCGATATAAGTAGCCGTTCGGCTGAGGTGGCCTTTCCTATGAGGAATGTGGATTCCCTTTCAAGCCACTTCACAATGACGCCAGCTGTGCCTATCGACAAATCCACACCCCTTTGCACTGGGTATGTGCCTATCGACGAACTTCATTATATGTCAATCTGCAGCATGAACATTTATCAAACAAGAAATATGCTTCTATCGAGTTGTGGCGCCAATTCAAAGCACGCCGATCGCGTCGAAGGACAAAGGAGAGCGCGTGCAACAATTAAGAAATCCCCTGCCACCCGAATTATCAACCTCCTTGCTTTGAGGCAATCCACTCGCAGAATCGCTCCTTTCAACCAATCTCTACTGGGCAAACCTCCGACAAGCTCGACATCATTGTATTGCAACAGTCTCTAATACCACTCCTTCCGGACCTTCGCATCTTTTCGCTTCATAAACACCGAGCTTTGCACGCGCGCGACACCACACACCCCCGCCATCCTCGAGCTCGCAGGTTTCACGTTTGACAAAGGAGACAAGCAATGACGGGCCGGGGAGGCAAAACGATCACGAAGAAGGGCGTCGCAAAAGCCAGGAAATCCATAGGCACAGCGAAGAAGACAAAAGCAGGCGCTGTACAACGTTAGTTTTCGCTCCCCAACCCCATCTCTTTTTCGTCCAATTGGCGCGCAACCTTATACATACATATATACATATATATATACCTATCCATGCTAACGACCCGGGTACTGCAGCGGGCGATCCCGTCCCCCAAGGGAAGAAGCGCAGGTACAGGCCCGGGACCGTCGCCTTGAGGGAGATCCGGAAGTACCAGACCAGCACCGACCTCCTATTACTGAAGCTTCCATTTGCACGCCTGGTACGTTTCGGTTCGAGCCGTCGCAGGAGGGGCCGCCCGGGTGGGGCCCGGGGGGGGACAAGATTGAACAGAGAAAGTTGGAGATGCTAACGCAACGGGTGGCGACTACAGGTCCGCGAGATCGCGCTCTCAGTCAGGCCGCGGGATGAGGGTATGAGGTGGCAGTCACAAGCGATCCAGGCGTTGCAAGAAGCGGCCGAGGCCTTCCTGGTCCACCTCTTCGAGGACACCAACCTGTGCGCCATCCACGCCAAGAGAGTCACCATCATGCAGAAGGATCTTCAATTAGCTCGGCGGATACGAGGAGTGTGGGGAGGAGTTGGCTGGGTCTGAAGGAGGGAGGAGGTCCGGTTTGTCCGTCATGACTTGTTTTCTCATGGCGGAGTCTGCAGGGTTATAGCTGGGTGCTCCCGATGCTTTCGTCGGGCTGGTCTATGCAGGCATGCAACGGCGTGCGGCGTTTGGTGTTCGGATAAGGGGGAGACTCGGTTGATATTGCATTGTATTTGCTTTGCTATTGTAACCATTACAGGGCGGTATTTGACGAACCTGCTCGCTTGTTGAAGATGCCTGTTTGAGTCTACATATAGGCAAAGCCACTGACGCTTGGTTGGGTTGAGGATTCCCCTGGAATCGAGTCCGCCAAGCCTCCAAAAAAAATCGCTGTGAATGCGCTCTATCTGTATTCGTCGTACTGTCCAAGGTTCATACCTCCCTCTGTCAAACCAAACAGTCTCCACCACTCAGATATAGGGAGACGCTGTATGCCCAAAAGTAAAAGAGAGAGGAGGAAAGGCTGCTAACTTCCAACCTTCCTATTAGGCATGATCCAAAACATGCAAACCGCCGACCACGTGGAAAAAAGAAAAAGGGGGGGATAAAAAGGGGTTCATCATCCATCATCCTCGTCGCCCTCATCACCATCGCCTTCGAGTACATGCCCGTCAGCCCCGGCGTTCTACCCCAGCTCACCCCTATCCCGCTTCAGGGCGTCGAGTTTCGTTTCGACCTGCTGTATGGTTGATTGCCATGCAGAATCATCCTGCTTTAGGGGGTCGAGTTCCGTTTCGAGCTGCTGTATGGTTGATTTCTGTGCAGAATTATCCTGCTCCAATATGTACCCTGCCGCCATCTCTTGCACCTTGGCCATGGTATCCGCAGAAGTCCAGACCATCCTGTCCACCAATATCTTCTTCAGTTCGTTGGTCGCCCGTTCTACTGCTGCTATGTAATCATATTGGCAGGCAGGAGTTTGCGGTATAGTTGCTGCTAGTAGCTCTAGCTGTCTTGGAATCGCGTAGCCGTAGCGTACCGGTATTCCTTGAATATGCATACCAAAAGTACAACCGTATTCCGCGGGGAAAGCTCCGAGATTCCACTGCTAGTAGCTCTGCTGGTTCAATTTCGTGGCAATTTGGCCAGAAGAGGCCTCGCCTTGGCCGTACTGCTGACGTGCTAAGGGAGTGGCCGAAGATGACGCCGAGATGGACGGTGCGCTTTCGCTGGTATTTAGTAGACTATCCCCCCCCCCGACTGTAACAGGCCATCTATTATTGTCTGGTTTACGGTCGGACCGTCCCTGTCCAAGGCGCGATTCTGCAGCATTGACGAAGGGTCAGCCAACCTTGGAAGGCTAGGGTATGACAAGAGCAAGGAAATAATCTCATATTTACCTAATACGCCGAGGTATAGAAGCCACCATCTAGATACTCCTCTTGCTCCTGTCTGGTTTCCATTTGGGACCTGTTGGCAAGGCCAACCTGCGTTCCGGGAGCTTGTCGTCGCCAATTCGCATAAACTTGGATCGATCTCTCGAGGGCTTGTCCCGTTATCTGTGGCCGATAGACGTCGTTAGAAGCAGTAAAACCCATTCAAGACTTTGAAGACTTGCCTCTTCTTTCCGTCTAGATAGGTCCCTTGTCGGCGAGGCCGGGCGTGGTGCCCGTGGGATTGGTTCGTTGAATCTCGTAGTCTGGCTGTGGCTGCGACACTCGGGAAATATCAACTCGAACGGAGACTTGGTCTATTCGGAGACAACCGGCAGCTTGAAAGTGGGAACATCGGGTAAGTTTATATAACATTACTTGCAGGCATATCACCCAACTGCTCCTGCACGTCCACACAGAGCCCGATGAATATGGAAAGAAGTCTGCGGGGTCGCTATTACCCTGTTGGGAGGGTTGGGGGAGTACCTGTGATTAGGTAGGTAGGTCTTTTGAACCTAATTTGGCACTCAGTTCTTCGTTTGCCGTCATTCAAATGTGCCGAGACTTAGATCAACACTTAGAAGCTGCCTAAAGACTGAGCCGATCACAGCCTGCTTGATGTCCCTGACCACTGCCCTGCCAGAGTTCTGGCCTGGGACGATGGGTCGAAGAAAGTAGGCCATGTTTTGGGTTGCAACTCCCATCCCATGGCCAACATTCCCCTCCTCTTATAATTCCATGTGACAGGAGGGAGGGACTACCTAGGTACCTACCTACCATCGCCTGAATACCTAAATGACATGACCTCTCCCTTATCCTTTATACCCAAGTCATCGAGTGAAGCAACGCGGCAGATTTGATGCCGTCGAGTAGCTCATTGACAACCTACTTCAACTGAGCCTTAGGAGTTTGACTACCTAGGTATCTACTAGGACCCAAAGACCTACCCAGGTAAGTACCCAAGAAAGGAGTAAAAGGGGCAACCAAACAATGCATAGCCCACGTGACCTGCAACTCCATGCAACATCTCCTAACGGTGAGACTGAGACCCCTTGCCCCACACCCTGAATGCGGCGCATCACTCCAAGGAAGGAACTAGCATGGTGTGATACCACTTCTCCCATAAGGTTGTGAAGTTAACCCCCTATCTAGAAGGACAACCGCTGATGACTTTGGACTCACTTAAGTCCCTTAGTAGGGATAGGAGCGAGGTTATACCGAAGGCCCCAAACTAGGTAGAGATCTTTACAAGACCCTTCAACTCCTCCGCTTCACTCTCAACCTCTCGGACCTTCCCCTGCATCCGGATAACCCTTCTTCCGTACCCTCAGCACGATCTTATGCCTCATCCCGAGGCCAAATATATCAGCCAGCGCCGCCAGGAACTCCTCGCACCTGCCCAGCGGCTCCCCAAACTTGCCCTGCCCCTCCAGACACTGGGCCAGAAGTCACAGGGCCGTGACCCGGTCCGGGGGGTCACCGTCCTCGCCTGTGAGCTGGCTGTACCGGGTCTTATCGACGAGCATGTAGAAAATGTCCCCCGCCTCGGCGAACCCGCCCAGCCGGGCGGTAGAGGATGGTCAGCAGGGTGTAGGGCTGCTCCTCGCCGAGCACCTTCTTCCGCTGGACACTTGAAAACGAACGTCACGTATCTGTGGCTCTGCGCGAGGTACTCCTCTCGGCGGGGATGGGCGTCCTCAGATCTACTCAGTCTATAGATGATGAACCTCTGCTGACTGGGCAGCGCCGGGTATCGAAATGCTGCTTCCAGCTTAGCCAGTTCGCACTTCCTGCTGGCTAGATGGGTTTTAACGGTTCCCACTATGACAAAATACGGTTTAGGATTTAGGGGGATATATATCGTCACCGCCTAAAAAAAAGGGGTTAGTATGTTGTATGCAAGTAACCAGACTCGGAAGATACGGCATTTGTGTGTTGTTGACAATTTGGAAGTGAAGTTGCGTCGACGTCGAAGATCGCACCTCGAGAGACTGGGCGTTCTCGTCCGTATCATGCTGATAAAGCAGGAAATCGATGGCCGTGAACAAGGTCCGAAGAACTTCTGTCAGGAGCTTCAAGACCTGATATGAAACATCAGGTGCACTGAGGGACGCCTGAAAGCACCCCCTTTTCAATCAGTGAAAATGCAATTTTGCATCAGCATTCCATACGCCCTCAGCCATTCGCCTCTACACTAGTCGATGGACATTAACGGACAGCGCTGTTGGTGCAGTGTTGCAGCCAACAAGTGATGGCGTACATGTGTTATTGAGGTAGAAATGGTGTTGGGTGGAACCGGCTATTCGTGGTATCTTGTTGTCACTCTAGTGTTCACGGATTCGATAGATAGAATGCGCACTTCGCAGATGGATGCGATGACCTCCCCACGTTCGCTGTAGACCCACGACTGCACCATGGCGGTCCTCCGGCTGCCCCGTGGGTGACATCTAGGCTCCAGTCTCGGACGTTAGCCCCCCTCATGTTTGGCAGGACGGTGTCAAACAAGTTCTTGACCCTCGCTGGGCTTCCCTTCTTCCATGACGACTGCCCGTCGTCGTCAGCCATCACAAATTCACACATGCACGTCCTGGCGAGTTTTCAGCTAAGATTCCATCCCTGTTTGTTCAAGATTGATTCCATTTGATATGGACAAGATTGCAGGGCCGCCCGAGATCGACCCAAAAACGGGGTGCTAGATCTCTGCCGCCACCTCCGTGGTCGCAGGCAGCCGGAGGCTTATCTGCTCATGATATATACATATGTATATAGGATGCTCGTCACACCCTCCCTCTCACACAAAGTACAAAACCATCGTCTGTGGGTTTATTTCCCAATTATCTCCTCCTCTTTTCTAGTCCTTGATAGCCGGGTTTGTTCGTTTTCGAAATATCATTGAACCCACCGCATGCGAGCCCGGCTCGGATCGTCCATGGCCAGGCCAGTCCAGTCCCGGTCTCTTTTTGGTGGTGTTCTTTTTGGTTTTCCTACCCATGAATCCCATCAAAAGGTAATACCTCGCCCCAGTTGCCCGTCAGTTTTAGAATTGACGCCACCTCCCTTGAAACCCCGCCCCTGCCCCGAAAAAAAAAGGGGGGGGTCAAAATCCGTCTTCCAGGTCCAAGTTGATCCATACCAGATACAATGCGAAAATGACAGTAGTGAGGCCCGACGCTGATCGGACCCAATAGATTCTAATAAATATGAACATGTGAATGATGAGGGAAAAAACAGCAGGGACGCCGGATGAGTCCCCACACGCCGCCCCAGCCTTGGTGCCGAGGGTTTCCATCAAGTCTATGATTCGAGATCTCGCAGCCTTATGCTTTATAATGGAAGAAGTAAAAAGACGGTCGAATATAATTTATTCGCCGTGGAATCAGGGAACTCCTGAAGAGGAAGACTGTTGCTCGCTAAATTGGGGGGCAAAAAAGTCGACGTCGATCAAGGGAATATTTGTAAATGTTTGTAAACGTTGTTGCGGTTGCAAGGCAGAGTGTGTCGCCTGGCACCAGTTGGCTCGCGGATCAGATGCGCGGGCCGGTGATATGTACAGACGGGAACAGGGCATACTGTCCCGGGGGTGGTGGCGTGCTCAGACTGGTTGTCCTTGCGCGCCGCCGGGTGAGCAGTTGATCCTTGCGCTTTGCGCCTGGCCTGGAGTCGCCTTCTGTCGCCAACCTGACGAGGTTGGGGTCGCTGCCATGGGTCAGATCGCGCCGGATCATGGGTTGCTCGGGAGCATCGTCCATCTCGGGGAGGATGGGCATCGTGCCTTGGCTCTTCGCCCTCACGTGGAAATAATCTGATTCTTCAAAGGGAGGCGGCTCCACAGTCTCGATCTTTGGAATATACGTGTCCATGTCTAGCGAAGAAGTACTCATGGTGAGCCTGGTAAAGTCCGTCGAGGCAGACGTCGTAGAAACGTGCCTGTCCGAGCCTAAAGGGTCGGTATCGTTACTCATGGTCGTCGAGGCGCTGATGCGGGAGTGAAGGAGTAACGTGGACGTGTCCATGGTCAGAGTAGGTTCTTCAGATGGTATGCGGAACAAGGCCTCGTGATGGTCTTGCGGCTCGTCCGACTCGCTAGCCAGCATCTGCTGTTGATAATCGTTGGGGATGAGGAGCGAAGGCGACAGGTTGAAGCCATGAGACTCTTTGAAGCTGGAGGCATCCGACGGCTCCCGCACATGAAGATAGCGTTGCGTGTGCGTGTGCGAAATATCAGTTCTGGGGAGCGAGAAGTTCGATGCCTTCGGCGTGGCTTGCACTGTTGGGGTTAGGGCCTCCTGAGCAGTCGTCATTGATACCTGGCTTGCAGGGCTGAGAGCGGGCACATCGAATCGGCCCGGTGTCAGCATCGAGGGCGAGGCTCCGCAATGGCAGCCGTTGTAGGCATCGCCTTCCACAGGAGTGACACTCTCGTCCTCCCTGGTCGTGTCGAGAGACGGTCGTTCCCAGGCGTAATCGCAATCCGCCTCGGCTTCGTGGTCATAGCAGTAATCGATATCCTCCTCCCAGCTTTCACGCGACATTGGTTCCGACCCGTTTCCTTCCAATAACGCAGCCTTCAATGCCCTCTGCGCTGCAAACAAGTCGAAGCGCCCGAGAGTCTCGGAAGCTCCACTCGACGGTCGCTTGGTCTCCGGGCTCTGCGAAAGAGAGAGCTGGCGCAGTAGAGGAACGGATTGGCTCCCTCTCAGCGATGAGGCGTTGCTGGCAAGACTGGCCCGTGATCGCCGAGCGATGATGGTGTTCTCCTCCTCCTCGGGAACGCCGGGAAGTGGCGCTTCGTAGGAGAAGCTTGAAGGGTTGGGCAAGGGCCAATTCGAATCATCTGGTGGAGTTGCAACGCGTGGAGAATAGTCTTCCTGGAGAGAATCCAGGTTTGACCTGGGGAAATAGCCATGCGAGGTAGCTGGGGGGCTAGTCGTATCTGGGGAGGAGAAGCCGAAGGGCCGAGGGTGGCGGAAACCTCCACTCGTCTGAGGTCGTTCAAAGTCGGGGCTGGCATGAGGATCAAAGCCGTCGTTGCGGGTGGACATTCGACTTGAAATCCGCGGTGGAGGCACTGGCGGTGCGGGTGGATATTCAGTCTCGACCGGAGACCTCGGTGGTCGTGGCGGGGGTACGCGTATCTGTTCTTGAGATTTCGTGTGCTTTATTAGTCGCCGGGGAGATGCTTGCTTCTTCACGAGAGAAGGGGGCCTGTTCATGCGGATCCGGGCGGGCGGCTCAGCGCGGGTGGAGAAATCGGCTTCCTCGTCGAGATAGTTGAGGGGCAGCGCCTCGGATGAGAAGTCGGCAAAGTGCAAATCATCAGCGTGGATTCCTCTCAGCGTCGCAGCGGGGGCCTGTGAGGCCCGTAGTTGGGAGAGCTCGGAAGCCAACGCCACCCGATTCGTACGCCGCAGGTCTGGCAAGTGATTGCGTTGGGTGTGTGTCACATGCTGAAAATTGTACGGGCCTGATATCTGTAGTTTCCTCTGGGCAGCCGAGTCGTCTGTGGACTCGGACCTCGTCGCCCTCCGCCGACCGAACAAGCCCGGGGTGGGGGGCTCCCTGGACGGAGCGGACGTCGGTGGCAGCGCAGCTTCATTGGCAACTTCGGCCGAGTACAGCGAGCTCCCGGACGAGCTCTGGGCGCTGCTCTCTCGGCGCAGCTTGCCACGCCGGTTGAAAAGCGTCTTACCGAAGATCTGCACACTCTCGGGCCGGTCCCGCGAGGGCATGCTGCTAGCCGTCGACCTTCCCGAAGACTTCCTCGACAGGCTGATGCCCTCCAATGCGTTCTCCCACGAAGGACGGTCCCCGGATGCAAGCGACCGCAGGGAGGAGGAGCCAGACGAGGTGGTCTGGTGACTCTGGTGCTTGTCCAGGACCGACGACCTCCTCATCTGTTTGTTCAGCGCCCGTATGCTCTCAGGCGAAGGCGGGCCATCGACTGCTGGTTCGAATAGGTCGGTGATGTTGGTGCGCAGCTGGCTCTTTGCTGGCGCGGATTGGGAAGGCGATAGGGGGTTAGTAGTGGGTTTCGAGGATTTGGCCGTAGATTTAGATTTGGATTTGGACTTTTTCGGTCCTCCAATGACCCGTGCACTGTGGTTGACCGCGTACACGGTTGGGGGAGGAAGCGCCCACATATTCATGGTTACGGAATCGCGCGATGTGGGCGCCGGGAAAGCGTGTCGATAGGTCCAGTCCTGGATCCCGCGTCCAGACTTTTTTTACTGGGGCCTCCTTTCCACTTTTTGTGGATCGGCCGTGTCTTCGGCGTGAGACTCGCAGCTTGGTGTCTGAGCTGGGGGCCGAGCCGCGCGAACGGTTCACCGATGGTGGGCCGCTGGTCAGTCGATCCCAAAGTCAGAAATGGTTGTGCGAACCGGGACGGTAACGGGTCAGACGGATGGCGGGACAAAGGCGGCGCGTCGGATGGGAAGACACTGCGATCGGAAATGGAGAGAGAACTAGGAAACCTCGAGACCGTGGGGGAAGTGAAGGGTCTGGGGTCAATATATTGCGACCGCTTGGGTTGTCCTTTGGGTCGCTTGAGATTCCCAGGCAGTTGGCAGGGGGGCCTTGCGACGTGGTACACGGCCTACACCATATTAGTCGTAGGGAGGTAGCGTAGACCGTTCCTCCGTTGGGACTCTCCAACGGAGTACACACCCAGGAGCGAGAGGGGCCGACTAGCGCCCAGTGGGGTAGGTAGATGCTACGCCAGAACATGGGAAGGAGAAGAGATAGCTGCACCCCAGACCCTTGCCTAGTTCGTCTAGCGTGTGCGTGGCGCACGAAGAAGGTGCAATGTTGGTTTGGCCCTCAATGCGCACGGGAAGTAGGTGTGCTGTGGGTTATCTACCTTGGTAGGAGTACATACATACATACTGTACCTACATAGATGATATAGGTAGGATGGGCGGTTGTGGATACGTTGAGGCCTGACTCCTGACGGGAGAGGAGGGAGTGAGAGACAAACCGTTGCGCCGTTGCCCGTTGGGAGCATCGGAATGCTGGTTGGTGTCTACACATACCTGCGAAGTATGCAAGGTGTGGACATGAGTCGGGCTGCCCCAGAATCCAGAATCGTGGTACTACGCAGGATTAGCGGGGAAGGAGACGACTCAGACGAGGGCCATGATGGCGGCCAGGCGGATTGAACCAGAAGAGTCCCGAGAGGATTGAAGACTGCCTGACGGCTAATATATTGCGGGTGAATGAGGCGGGTACAAGCGAAAGACGAGGACCCGGAGACAGAGCTGCGTGTCCAGGGAGACAAAAGAGGGATGGACCAGGAATGAGATCCCAGGTGTTTGCTGCCAGCAAGTTTGAAGTTTAGCTACCCTTTGTAAATTATTCCCTCTTCCCTCGTCTCCCTTGCGGGGGAGGCTCTACACTTTTTTCTTCTTTGGCTTGATTCGGGTGTCAGATATCTTCAACAGCCCAGAGCCTCCCTGTCTCAGACAGTCGCGTGGTGTGGCAGAAGGAATGCCAAAGGCGTGGCCTTATTCGTACAGGGGTCTCTGCAAGCAACCATGCAATCTGTTCTCAATTGTTCATACTGTACGGATCCGTAAGTACACACTGTGAAGAACTCAAGCAGCGGGCTCTGTAAAATCCCGATCAGCACGGGCGTAATCCCGCTTAAAACTGTCGACAGACGGTCGAAGTATTGACGCTAGACACAGCCTTGACGGCGTCGAACTTCCACGTAACATTTTTTTTTCTCGAACCAAGCAGGTGGTATGGATTCTAGAGGTCTGCAGTTACCCGTCGATACCTTGGAACTCAGCCACGACGTCATGAGTACTACTATGTCGACCATTTCTGATTTCGCTAGAAGATCCGTCGAGATGGGAGGTGCAACCTCAGTTACGAATAAATGCAATGGAAAGACCTCAAATGTTACACTGTCGACTGCTCATGAGATGGGCTCTTGGGATAGGAGTACTGTAGCAGTGTACTGTCTGTGCATCTGGATAACAAAATGCTGATTCAGAGTTACCTACCTATATATAACCCCTGTAAGCGTTTGGATCTCACGGTCAGCGTCCGACGAACTCCCTCCATGGTCCTCCCTGCTTGAGATCCTCGGCACCTACATAGTACACTGTGTGTGGTACAGCGGTTTGGCGCCTTCAAGTGAGTTCTCGGCAGTGCTGCTCATCAACTGGAGTGTCCGTCGGTTGAAATCTTCTAATTCCTGGAGCTACTGCATATAGCCAACGATGCTGCATTTCAAGAGATGTCCAAGTTGGTGTACTATGTACACCCAGAAACTCTCGCCATCTTCCGTAGACCACCCAGAGCCGAAGGCTTGAAGCCAGGTGGAATCCCCTGGACTACATACCTACTTACACAGTAGTATACTATGTATAGTAGGCGGATCGGTGGGGGTTCCTAGCGCCCTGTTAGCTAGAGGTACGTATCATACATGCCGCGATTGTTATGTATTCACGCAAGGTATAAGCATTTGGGGCGTTGACAGCTCGGTGGGCGAAACTGAAGGAATCTCCCACTTCAATTAGCTTGTTTCACCCTGCTCGTACGAAGAAGTGAGATAAGGAGAGGTAGTCGTGTAGATCTTCTTCCATCGTTGTTTGTGCAACTGTTTGGTGCTCTCTGCGGCCCACCGACTTGTGATGGGGTATTAGTGTAGGTATTGTGCTCATCAAAAGTGCACCGTTGCAACTCTTGAGGCATGGAAGTTTCCCGTCTCTCGCATCAATCAACCAATCATGTATCATCTGGCATAGTGCATGGCGGGGCAGCAAATCCCATATGGCTGGGAACCTGTGGAACGAAGGGACGGCGGGCCACGACATCCCTGCACAACCCCGTTTTCAGGGTCTCCAAACTCCCAAACCATCGTCCCTTTTGTTCTTTCTTTTTTTTTTGGTGTTTCCTCCCTCTTGCTTGGGTCTCGGTTGGAATCTCGACATAATATCCCTGCTGCGAGGAGCTTGACTCACTTTTGAGTAGCTGGCGTGATGCCGTGATATCATGGCTCACAAGATGCCAGATGGTACCTACCTACGCATTAGGTGTGCGCGATAATCATCCCAGTGATTCCACCACCTTCCTTTCCCCGCCCCCTTTTTTTGGCCCTTGCCCTTGTCGCTTTTTCCCTTCGCTTTTTTCTCGCCCTCATCCCAGGAAACTTATAATTAACATGCGAGGATTTTGAATTCAGAACCTCAACGTCGCATTGGAAGCCGTAGGTTGCAGGACGCAAATGCCTGTCAAGCAGCCGTCAAGTTGTTTCCCCAGCCACACGCATGCTCTCTCGGCGCGGCACGGCACCGCGACCGTGGCCTCCTTCTCCACGATGCAACAACACCACTGTCTCAGCGTGGAGCCTCGTTGAATATTCTGGGTCCATTGGTATCGTCCATGGGTCCATCCTTGAATGTCTCGTCTCAAAGGTCTTGAATCGGAAGACATCATATCCCAATACGTAATTATAGACTGGCTGCGTCTTCCATGCCTTCCATATCGCAACGCTACGGGGTAGCTGCATGCCATGGGAACCTTGTCATCCATCTGGCCCACACGTTCGTACACCGCACAGACGCCAGTACGACTGGCGATTTGCTCTAGCACAGAAGCGGACCACTGGTCCATGGCTCGACCCGCTCGCGGCCATGCAGAAAGAAGAAACACATCGCATGCTCAATTCGCCTTTGGTCATGTCTACAGTGGACACGTATTGCGGATAGATATAGTTCTAGGGACGGGAGACAAAATCCCGGGGGAATCAGTCTTCCACTTGCCATTACCAGGTCCAAAGACGGCAGGTAAATTGGATGAAATAGGTGGGGAGGATGGAGCGAGAAGGAAACAGCGTCGCTGATCATTGATAGTCGATGAAGGTGAGATTCATCCCTCTCCGCTTTGCCGTGCCTTCTGCGTGGTAGTGTAAACAGCTTGCACCAGACATCCAGGAACAAGGGACCCGACGGGGGCTGTGATTGGGTCGCGGAATGCTGACCGTGTCTGCCGCGGGCCCTGTTTCCACCGTTCCTTCAACGTAACCCTCCTCGGGTGCCCGCCGCAGCTGGCCGTCAATGCAGAATATGCGAGGCACAGACATCGACAGGGTCCCTAGGAGGTCGGAAGCCGAGCTTGTAGCCTCTCGCGATAATCGATCTGAGGACTGAAAGGGATTTCCGCTCCCGCAAGAGGATGATCTGCATGTTCTGATCTGTCTTTTTGGGCAAAGCGCGCATGTACTGCGCGGGAAGAAGGTTACCTACTCTGCCCAGAACCAGCGGCCGAAATGCAGGAGGGCCTTCCCTCGCTCACTTCCCAGGGAACCAATCTCCCCCAGGAATGCGTGGGGATTTTTCTGCCTCCTGCCAGGATGAACCCAGCCGCACCCCCTTCGACTGTTACTTCCCTGGAACAAGAACTGGATGACGCGTGAAAAGGAGGACAGTTTCTTATCCCCTAGGTACCTATTATTCGAATGCGTTCCGATCCGTATATTGAATATTTCAACCAATGAGGGCCCTTGTCAGTGGCTGATGGCTCGCATTAGCGCGCACTAAGAAAATGCGACTGGCTCACTGGCTCCGAGCAATTAATGGAATTCGATATGCCTAGGATTCGTCCGCATTGTTATGCGTACATGCAATAAGATGCAATTGATGGAGCAACATGCCAGAAATGGAAACTCAACGAGGCAACATGTTCCCATTGGGATGGTGGGGCTGGCAGGATTCTGCGAGAGACAGGCGTCGCGAAGGTGTGATGCAAACTATGTAGGTAGGCCGTAGTGCTGCGCGCTATGCTGTGGGTTGAAGCAGCCCCTGAGGACGTGCATCTGGCAGTTGGGACTTTGGGCAATCTGCATTCTGCACGCTCTTTCCGTCGTTGGTGTAACAAACGGCTGACAGCTTGGGAGACCAGCTGTGTGGTCAACAATCAACCGGCTATATGCCATTGCGACGCCGACGAGGAGCATGTATCCAGGTTGATTATGCCTTTCTATAGGGCACTCGATGCTCACCGCCGACTTGACAGCTCCCCGGCTTCCATGGTTACCCCAGATTGGAGAGAGAGCGAGCTAAACACAGGTTTCATGATTTCGCCGATCACCTCAACCACCCAGCCCGACCCGGAAGGTCGAGGCCGAATAAAATTTTCCTCGGTCCCGTCTGCTCGATCCCGTCCACTGTCGTGTCCGCTTAGAGAACCGAGGTGCAGGCTGTGCAGCGGACTCCTTGCGAGCGCGTCCCAGAGAACGCACTACCCAAGTTCACGTATGTAGGACTCAGGAGTTCCCATCCCTTCGTCCCGACTGCGCACACTACGTTGTACGCATGTAGCTTGTATGCGCCAACTGTGAGCTACTCACGCACTTGGGTGTACTGTGTGCTATTTCTACGACAAGCGTTCCCACTCTACGAAGCGACGACACGTGCGTGTGCGTGCGACGATAATCTATCCCCACAAGCTAGCGATTCTCGCTACCTTCTCAGTGGGATTTACCGGGACCTCTTGCGCCGTGCGAATCGTTGGGATCCCCGCTGCCCTGTCGGAGGGTGATATTCACAAGGTTTTCGGGGCACCCAACAAGCGGTAAAAAGGGGAGGGGAAAAGAAAGGAAAATTGCACGTAGGTACCCGCTGGACACTGGATGCAGGTTTATCACCAGCGGACGCAGTAGTGTAGAGGACCGCTGCCCTGGCGGCAGTCTGTGAGCCGAGACTTGCGGTGTGACGGCGGAGTGGATATTCTGAAACCTCCAGCTGTCAAGTCTGGGAGAGCCCGTCTCTGTGGCCCGGTGGATGGACGGTGGACCCAGGCAAAAGGCCTTCGTGGTTGTGGAGTTTCGCACCAGGAGAATGAGAACTCGCGCATACGGGTACGCACGTCGTTCGCGCGCTGTCTCTCACGGGCTCTCCCACATCCGGGAAAAAACAGAAATTTGCGTACGGCCCCGTCCATGGAACTATTTTGACGGTCGGATGGGATAGCCCGCGTCAAAGTGGCAAAACACGTCCCCGGCGCTACCCCGGAAATCAGGTCAGTCTCGCTTCCGGCCTTTTGACGTCAACAGCTTCCAACTGTCCTGCAATATCTCGGGTGTTATCAATCTACGATCCAATCTTCTTCCCCTACCGTGCACGGCTCGGCAGAGCTCATCCAGACCAGGAAAGAAAAAGTCGGGGGATGATGAAATACGCAGTAATCACGCTTAATCACACCGGAGTAATGTCCGGCCACTGAGGCAACTTGAGCTCACGTCCCAGAGAACGCGTCGCGCGAAATTTGAGAAAAGGACAGATTACTATGCTATAATTCCTAGTGTATACACTACCGTATTACCTACGCAGTAAGAAACCACAAAGCCGCCATGACATCGGGTTCCACCCACCGACGTCGGCCCCGAATTTTATCGTGTGCCTAGACCTCTCCGCGCGTGTGCGCAATCGGGGAGATTCCCGGGCCAGGCAGGCGGTGTCGGTTTCCCTCATCCTGCCCAGAATACGAACGCTAATGAAGTAGTGCTCATTACCGTGCTTACGGACTGGATGTCGTGACTAGCTCTCTCCCTCCCCTCTCTCTCTGCTTGTTCTCCTCTGCTCCTTCCAGGAAGCCCTGGTTTTCATACAGCGTGGGGGGACGAACGACGGCGGCGGCGACGACGACATGTCTCGCTCGAATGATGTCTCTCGCGTTTCTTTTCTTCTCTCGGCAGCCGGGGTTCCCCCCAACGCGATGTACAGTACATATGTATGTACAATACAATAGTTGCAGATACTTGGGAATCAAGGAACCTTTTCGTTTCTTTTTCTTGTTTCTTCTTGTTTTTGCTCTTCCCTCCTGAGGAAAATTTCCTTGCCGCACAAACGAAACACACCCCCAAGAAGATCCCGCCTAGTCGGTTCGCCCGCACAGACAGCTAGAGGTTGGGAAGGGGGGGCGGCCGGTGGCTTCCGTGAGGTTGGGGGGTGGTGGCGCGGGATGCGGACTTTAATGGGGGGCGGTGACTTTTGAAGTTGCTTTTTCTTCTTGTTTTTGGCCGTTAATCGTCGCCCCGATCCGACGATTGCACATGGGTGCAAAACCTACCCTTGCCTCGGGGTGAGGAGGTTTGGGGAGGGGCCGACACTTTAGCAGGTGTGCGGTGGTGGTTTTGACTTGTTTGCTTTCGTGCCCTGTCTGGTATGGATGGGGCATGGATTTGCTGCACGCTCCTGTCCTGTCAAGCCAGCCGGTTTCCCAATTGACTACGAGAGGGAGGGAGGGAGGAGGGGGCTTGACTTTCCTCCCTTCCCCCGCCGGCGATCGTCCCGCGGTCTGCGTATCACGGGCGTCGGTCCCGAGGGGGGAGAAACGCATATAGGATCTGCACAGGGCCAAACAGGCGGTTGGTGTTTGGTCTCCCTTCCCCCTCACTCGCAAGACCCCTAGAACAAAACCTCCTACATACCCCGCTTGGCCGAGGGAAACGCCGGTGGTGTGTGGACAGGCGCGATAAGCCCGTGGCAAGTAGCTTTCTCTGCTATCAGCTGAAGCCGAGGTGGCTTGCTCGGTGTTTTACCTGTTGTGTTCCGCACCAGGCGTGGAGGGGTGCGTTCAGGAGTGTGTCACACTGAGAATGTCCTGTGAGAGGATCCTGGAATGGATCCTGGAATTAGATGCTATACTAGGTATGTTGGGCACATGCATATACAAACGCGGGAAAACGAGAGTCTAGGCAGCTAGAGGTTGTGGAGTGAGGTATGTCGCCTCGGGGTTATGAGAGACTCTATGACGCTTTGGAGGGATAGCAATATTTGCTTGAAGCGAATCAGAGCCCAGACAGAACGTGACGAAAGTATCACTGGTAATCTCTTGGACTGAAAGAATGGAAGACGAGTAATTATATTGATGCCGTGTATGGATAGGAGGCCCTGCCCCCTTTTCCCATGCTTGATCTGACTACCGCTCCCTTCCTTCCATGGGATCAACCCCTATCAACCTCATTAACCGGCAGCCGGATCGACAGCTGTGAGGAGCTAAAAGAATTTCATGAACGAAAAGAAAAGGGCCCATCGAGGATGGGACCGACGGGCCTGGCCCGGAGGGATCGGGGGAGAAGGTGTTCAGAACACACTTCCTCCTCTCCCTCTCACGCCCCCATCACACCGCATTACTGACCGTCTTCGCAATCCGCGTCTCGACCCTGACGCCGCTCTTCTCAACCGGTCCCACGACGCCGGAACCGTCCTCAGCAGACCAAACCCGCGTATGCACCCTCGCCCCTTCGGCTCCGCACGCCCAAGCCGGCCCGGCCGAGCCGTCCGTCTCGGGCCTGTGTTCGCTGGGACCAGAGAGCGGGCGGAGCAGAGTGCCGGGGGAGGAGGGTTCAGCGGCGGCGTCCCCTGTCCGCTTGCGGAAGAAGGCCGGGATGTGGAGCGGGGGGAGCCTGATCGGGGCGGAGAGGGCGGTCCGGAAGATGAATGGGTTGCGCGGCGGGGTGCGCAGCTCGTGGACGTGGTCGTCGATGCCGTGGGCTGTTGCGGGTGTTGCTGCTGCTCGTGGGGGAGATGGGGTGTCGACGTCCGGCCATGGGCTGGAGATGGTGGGAGCGGCGTCGGATGACCTGCGCGTGGTTGTGCTTGGGCTGGCGACGGAGATGTGGTGGGCTGTTGGGAGGACGGGGCCCTTGAGAGACCGGCTGGATGGGCGGTTAGCGTATCCTGTCAAACTTCGGTAGGGGCGAGCTTCTTGCCTTGAACTTGTCCAGAGACTGCTCTTGAGAACCTTCTCGATACTTCGACGACAATGAAACAAGCTTGATCTGCCGGCACGGTCGGGATCGTACTCCTCGTTCAGGTTCGGGAACAACGTCCCTAGTCCCAATGCGAGGAGATACTGCCGGTAGGTGTTGATTGCCTCCTTCGTCAGACCGAAGAACCAGAAGATGGGGACAACAGTGATGATGGCCACGTAGTTCCTGTTCAGTTCAATGAATCCGATCGTATCTGAAGTTGAGAAGGAGATGAAGTTGAAGGGATACGGGTTGTTGCCGTAGTGGATCTGCTTGAAGTCGTACGGTTTGAGTGGAAGATTCAGGGCCAAGAGGTTGTAATAGAGGAAGAGCAGCTGGATCGGGACGAAGGGGATCAAGATGGACAAGGCCATGAGGTACAGCTTTCTCCTCACTCGATGGTGGCGCTGTACCATGATGCTGTTGTTGGTGTTCATGGCAACGTGGGTCGACTTTGCAACCTCTCGGAACCGCTTCCACGTAAGTACTGGTGTCGGCGGGCGTTAGCCGCCATTTCTCACAACTTGTTAAAGACCCGCTTGTAAACTCACCAGCATAGACGGCGGCGCCAACGGCGTAGATAGGGGAAGGGAGGTCGAAAAAGACCAAGAACGGCCAGCTCGTATCATAGGCGCTGGTACAACCGATAAGGGTTGACACATTGTACCTCTGCGCCAGAACGAGGTATGTAACGATGATCTGGACCAGGGCGGCGGGGAGCAACACCAGACCTTCAACGAGGTTGCGGCGTTTCTTCTCCTTGGAGGTCAGGCTGGTTGCCCTCATGAGTCCGACCCTGTTCGCGAGGTTGCGCATGATGGAGAAGACGCTGGCGCTGTAGACAGTCTCCAGGGCGAATATGGTGTAGACCTGGAGGTCGCACCAACCGTAGCCAGCAAACCAGTTCTGGACGTTGTTATCGCGCCATAACAAGGCGTTGACGACGTAGTAGAAGTTGAGGATCATGGTGACGATGCAGAAGGCTGCAGCAGAGAACTCTCCATTCCTCCAGAGCAGTCTCATGGGAACCCAGCATGCAATAGGGGCCAAGATTCCCAGGCAAACTCGGAAGAAGAGGTTGGCCTCCAGTGATGGGTTGCTGTAAGGAGGGCCAGGCCCGATCCGTTCGTCGGGGGTCGTTGTGAAGCCCGACATTGAGGGTGGGATAACTCGACTCAACGGCTGGCTCAGTGACTGAGTGTTGATTAGAGCAGGACGTCGTCCTCTCGCAACTTGAAGCCTGCTCCGGATGAGGTTATCGAATTGGGAATCGAGGGGTGATTGAGATGGGAACTCTTGCGCACACGTGCAGAGAAGGGTCAGGGCACGAATAATCTAGAGGAGGCGATGGGAGAGGATGACCCAGTTGTCTTGTTATTTAAGTTGTGAAGGGCTCTCAACGGTGACGAGGGATACGGAAGAGTCAACCCAGTGGTTGGAGCAGGACCAGCAGTCTGCTCCATGACTTATTCAGTAGACTTGAGTGAATAGACAAAAGAGAATACTGGACGAGACAGCAGGTTTTCGACAGGTCAATAAACAATAAGACGAAGGGTCTGGATAGAGTTTATGAAGTGGGAATTGGTGGTGAGCGATCAAAGGGAGCGCTTATTGAGGCCTCTATTCAGACCAGAATCGGGAAAGGTCGATTGGCACGAGGGAGTTGCCAACAGACGACGTCACATATTCAAACTCCCACAAACTGAACAAATCCAGGAATCATCGCTCGAAGCTGTTTCTCAGCAGTGTTCTGAGGAACATGAGATATGAGCCTTCAGATATCCTGCCGGTGGAATTCCAATTTCCACGGATTTAGGAGGACTCATCATGGCTTGCAAGTTGTCCAACAAGAAGATATCACAAGCTGAAAGCTCTCGGCGGGCCACTTCGACCGGAGGTCCATTGATCGTCAAAATATAGCCGCACATGATGGCAAACGAAACGTGACTGTGTGATGTGTAAGCGGAGGTGAACCGTCCTTATTGATGTTATTCAGACCTCGACAATAAGGGGCGAGGAGACTCACTCAGGAGAGAAACGAAGCCCCACCCGCTGCGCCACATTCCCCAAAGTGTGGCTGGAAAGCAATTTAGTACGCCGCTCGGTCGCGTCCAAGCACCTGCAAAGGCGCGACATCACAGAAGCTCCTCATCCATCACCGCAACTCTTCCCTCCACCCCACCCCCAAACAAGCCAAACTCCAAGCAGAAAAGAAACCATGTCCTCCTTCCTCCGCACCGTCTCCCGCACCTCCGCTGTCGCCCGGCCCGGCGCCGCCCGCGCGTTCAGCAGCACTCCCGCCCGGCCCTTTGCGCGCATCACCATCGTCGGCCACCTCGCCGACACGCCGGAGGTGGTGCCGACGAGCACGGGCCGCGAGATTGTGCGCTACGCCGTCGCCAGCAACAGCGGGCCGCGCGACAACCGCACCACCAGCTGGTTCCGCGTCACGAGCTTCGAGGCCGAGGGCCCCAGGCGGGACTTCTTGCAGAGCGTGCCCAAGGGGTGCGTACTTTAGCTTTTTTCTCTCTCTCTTTCGATCTTGGGCCAGCTTGCTGTGTGGACTTGCCCCTGCTCTTTACGAGAAGATTAAGCAGTGGGGTTGGCTGCGGCTGTTTGATGGAGATGACCCCCGGTTCCCTGTTGTGGCTCTTGATGCTGACTCGGATTGTGCTCCGCCCACAGGTCGATGGTTTACGTGGAGGGCGATGCCACCATAAGCACCTATGAGGACGCCGAGGGCCAGAAGAAGACATCCCTGAACATTGTGCAGCGTGAGTAGGAGCCGATCGAACCACCCTTCTCCCGGGCTAACTATTGTCGATAGGGAGCATCGAGGTCCTGAAGCGGCCCCTTACGGCCGACTCGGGTGCGGAAACCGGAGCGGCTAGAGGCGGACAGTAAAGGGTTGTTGAGCTACTGTTGACGCTGCACCGAGCATCGTCGAACGCAGTTGTGGAGTCGAAACCTCTGACTTGTTTTGCTCGGTTACATGGGAACTCGCCGCTCAATGGCCCCTCTCCTTTGTCTTGTGTGATTCGGCGGGTGGGTGACTGGAGTGGTTGTACGGATCTCAAGTGTTTTCGGCTCCTATTTGTAATGCCATCCATACCCTATCGCAGATATTCCCAATGTAAGATTATTTTAGAGTGCCACACCTGCTCTGGCTCGACACCAAGCGCTCCTAGACGAGGTTACAGGAATCCATACAGCCGAAGCCTGCAGCAACACCGCCTTCTTCGCTCTGGTCGCCCTTGGTACGCAGAAGATACCCAGCATCCTCATTATGAAGAATCTCCCCGGTTTCCTGGTTCCAGACGCAAGTCCCGTATCTGCCCAGCTCACAGATCACGCCTCCCTGCTCCAGCTTGCCATTTCGTAGGATGATGTTTGTTACGGGAGGCGGCGTGATCAACTCCATCAAGATATACGAACTCCAGTGCGACTCCGGGATCGACTTGAGGTACGGCGGTATGGAACCGCGGTAGAAGTTATTCCCCCCGCCCTCTCGCTGCGGCTTCAGAACATACTTCTTGCAGTGCTCTGGATCGGTTGCCAGTTTGCGGGCAGCCAGACCGGCCTCGGAATCATCCATGGGGTAGATGTTTGTGAATGTCTGCCAGACGCTTCCGAACTGAGGCGAATCCTCCGGGATGAATCTGCTCAGTTCTGAAGGCGCGGATGCCGGTTTAGGCGTTGCAAGCACCTGCTGGACTTTCTTCGCTCCGGCGAGCTGAGTTAGCACTGTCGGACACTTGATGGCGGCCGACCGCTCAATATGATAACGGGCGTCCCAATCCGACGGCTGGGGGTAGTCTCCGGGCCCGTAACCGGCTCGGAGATAAACAACGGCAACTTCAAACACCTCTTCTGGGTTACTTGGGAGGCGGTAGAGGAGCTGGCGCTTGTCGGAGTTGGCGATGGTAGTTCTCTCTAGGATCTCGGCAAAAGGGAGGCGGAAGACTGGCGTTCTTCGGGAAGAGCTCTGCAGCTCATACTCGAGATGACGCTGGTCGAAGACATTCCTCTCTTCCCCCTGCACCAGGAAGATGACACAGGTCTTGAGGCCAATCTGCGATCCTCCATATGCCTCAAACGCGGCGCGAATGCCAGCAGCAAGACCCTCCGTACTCCCATTTTCTGGGAGATTATATCCGGCATGAGCGCCGGGGTTTCTCAGTAGAGGATACTCAGTGGCGGCGAGGAATCTGCCACGCATCAGGACTGCGTCTCAGCTGACAGTTTGGGGGCCTTACCTGTGGAGTGCAGAGGTTTTGGTTGACAGGCCACCAAACGAGGAAGCAATGGTGTTAAACTCGACTTGCTTTATCTGGGGAAGGGAGCCTGTCCCGGACTCATTCTGGTTTTCTTGATGAACCATATAGTCAGACCTAAAGAGGCCGAGAGATAGAGGCTGTGATATGTCAGCCCGCCCCCTGTGTATATATATATATACCCTCACACACCGCCATACATACTTGGACATAGCCCTCCTTCTTGACCCTCAGATGAACATCCCAAAGACGGGAAATAAAATCATCCCCACCAGCAACCCTGTCCCATTTCTCAGCATCAGGGGTAGCATCAGGGGTAACCTCAGGAAACCGCAGAAACTAATGGCCAGGATAACAGAGAGTCTGGCAGTAAAGAGTATGCCAGTTGAGCAACAGAGAGGCCAGCAAACAGACTTACTCCTTGACAATCTGGCCAATATATTCCTCATTATGGCTGATTCTAGCGTAGAGTTCATTGTAGGCTTTCTGAACCTCCTTGGCCTGTTCAAAGCAGACTTTTGGAAAGGGGCTTGGAAAGAGGGTGACAGGGGCACTTGATGCCAGAATGCCTTGGGGATCTGCCTCGGCAGGGGTAACTGAGGGAGGTGGTCGAACTGCAAGGCCGTTTCCAATAGTCCAGTCTTTGGCTACCTGGACCAACCTGCCACTCTCTGCCTCCTCGAGAGCTGGAGGGTACGAGTCCTTTGTCAGGGGAGCCATCCTGCCTGTAAATCACCAGGATTACTTGAAGTGGTCGGGGACTTTGGGGCAAAGAGACCACTGGAAGTTCGGAATCCTGCGTCTTTTGATGAGGCTGGGCCCAAACAGTTGTTGAATGCAGCTTACAAAGCAGATGAGCTTGGCTGTTTCTCGAAGCAAGTGGATGTGGTCGAGACACATCTAAAATCGTCTGCGACTTCGGTTTCCACCCCGCCATCCTCTGAGCGGGGCATTCTGGTGCCGCCCTAGCTCCTAGCTACACCCTACTATAGTCGGGTGGTACCCTTCTGCAACCTCCCCCCAAGTATGGATATGGTATGCCTGCCTTTCCCAAGACTTCATTAACTTATACAAGGTGTACCTAGGATCCAATTGACAGGACATCATGGATATCTACAATCCTATCTACCTACCTAGGTACCTACATAGGTAGGCTACCAGGTACTTATCAGGGAACATGGCTTTCACAGCAGGAGTGGGGGTCACGTTAGGTAGGTAGACAACTATTGGATTAGTCGCCAGACCCTCCAGTACCTATCTCCACTTAAACACGTGAACACGCTCCTCAACTATCTAGGTACCTAGGTACCCTGGACATCCTTGGTGTTCCATAGGTTGGGTAAGGTACCTATCTTCCATTCCTGTTGGACGCGGGTTGCCAATATATCGACCAACAGCAAGGCCCATTCTAAAACAAGCCACTCCCACAGCTGCGTTTGCAAGAGAGGAAGGTGGTTTTCGACAGTCCTGATAACAACGGATTCCAGTTCGACGCCGCATGCCTTCAAAGCTGCCTTTGAGCTTTGGCAGCAGAGGGCGGCGTCCTCGACAACTTCAGGTTCCATTTTCCTGCACATGAGCGGGAGGTGAGCGCGTTAAGTACCTACTCTTTTTCACCACCGACTCTCAACCCACCTTCACAAAACACCGCAGACCATTGCATCTTGTCAAAGGTAGTCAAGTCTGAGGGATCGGCGCTTACTTGCCTACCTAAAGGACGTTTCAACTTTCAAAGTCCTTTGCAGGTACTTGGGTCACCCTTGTTTGTCAGTGCTGCAGTCAAGCTTGAAGGTTCGAAAGGCTTCGAATCCATCAATCCTATCCTCACATCTCCCAATGTTGTATGTTGCATTTCCTAGACCCTGGCTGCCGTTGACTGTTCCTCCTGGCACCCTCTGTACAACTTTTCACCCTCCTTGCGCTTTATTTCCTTCCTTACCGTTGACCTCCAAAGTCAACCTCCAGACTCTAGACACCTCTCGTCTTCCTCCATCTCCCCCTCCCCCTCCATTCTTCTCATAGAAACCCTGGGAGCATAAGATAAGCCCAAGGGTAAGATCTGACTTCTGCAGCACACATCACATCTACACTGCACAGCCTTCCTTCTAGCCCATGTTCCTGCTCAGATCTGATTTTACGATCTATCATCTCTCAGCTTCAAACACAGTCAAAGAGCTTCGCTCACGTTCCTCCCAGCGTCTTTCATTCCTCCCCATACTTCTATTCTCTCCGTCGTCTGTTTTAACAACGCCAAACAATGCACTGACCTGTCCCTTAGACTGCCTCGATAGTCTCTCCTGCAAACATGGACTTGGTCCAGGATAATGATCCCTTCATATGGGATGCAGACCGGCTGCGAAAAGAGCTCTGCACGGCAGATCGAACATGGGATGCGCCGCCAAACCTCAAGTTTCCTCACCCTGATCGGCTGGCCGATAAGCTACTTGACCTGGAGATTGATGGCGAGTCACTGCTCATTTATCGAGACATGATGGGCTCCCTAGCATCTCTCATGGTAGACCTTGGTATCAACAAAGTGCCACAGCAGCTGTCCTTCTGCGCAGTCGTGCAGCTATTGCAAGCACGCAGCCCAGCATATCGACGCTGGAAGAAGAACCAGAATGGAGCTCCAGATATCCCAGACTCAGATGTGGACATGGACGACCATCTGCCGATGCCCCCCATCTCTGAGACCTCTCCAGCCCTTCGGTCAGCAGAGGCCACAGCAGAGAGCTCCGCCACAGCTTTACGGTCCGAGGACCCCGGAGGGATCGACCAGGCAACCGCTACTTTCCCATCTGCTTCAGAAGAGCCACCAATGAAGAAACAGAAGAGGATTGTTCCAACTACTATCAGCACCTCCCCTCGCCACAGTTCTATGCCAAACTTCATACCAACTGAGGCCGATCGCTTCACCCATGCAGACCCACTCTCCTCCCATCTTCAGAACTCTCTTCAGGATGGTGCCTCCGACTTTGCATACCTCGGAGCAGCCAAGCTAACATCCCAGGACATGTTTGGCCCTGACATGTCAAGCGACCAAGACTCAGCTGACCAATTCACATGGGTCAAGTCTGGCCGTCTCCCCCCTGGACGGCAGTTGCAAGTCAATCGGGCCATGAAGAAATACCTGAGACTGGCGGACTCTACGGCGGACACCCCTAGCACTCCCTCGGAGAAGGATAAGGTCCTTCCTCTATTTGGCGAATCTGACGATGAGTACGACTCCGATACATACCGGGAGATGGAGATGGAGGAAGAAGAGCGAATCAAGGCTGCAGCCTTGGAGCGGAAGATGTTGAGCAAGGATGAGGTGGATGGTGTTATCAGCGACGCCATACAAGCTCTGGCAGACCTCTGGGCAGAGACTAAGAAACCAGTGTGGGATCGGAAGGCATTGGGGCTCTGGAACCGGCACAAACATGCAGGTATACGAAGGTCTGAAGTTGACAAGGCCTTGAGCCGCCGGAAGAGACTGGACGCCCGAATCGCTCGGATCTGCAAAGAGATGGGCCAGGACAAGTGGCGGAATAGGGACGAGCTTCAACGGCAGACAGCCTCCTTGGAGCTCAGCGTGTTTGACAGGGAATACGAGTGCTGGCTTATGAAGATGCTCAACAATCCTACCCCGCCACCGAAACCCAACAGGCTCTCAAGGCCGACTCTGCCGCCAAAAAAGCCAGCCGCAACCAATGAGGGCGACGAGGAGATCCTGACGAGCGATTCCGATAGTGGATTCGATGACTTCATTGTCGATGATGAGCGCATGGATATTGAGCCTGATCTAGGCGATGCATCGATGGAGGATTCACGGATGGAGCTAGACCCTAGACTGGAAAGCTCCCCTGGCCCAAGTTCTCCTGGCCCAAGTTCTCCCGGCCCAAGTTCTCCTGGCCCAAGGACTCCTGGCCCATCTCTGCTTGATCACCAAACCCCGGCCAGCGAAGCGGTCGACTACGATCTCACGCAGATCGAAGATCAGCAACCAACACCGGACCCCGAGACGCCTAGCCGACATCCTCCCGGGACGAAAAACACACCAATAGACCTCGCCCCTTCGCCTGCCGACACCACATTCCAGGCCCCGGACCGGATCCCCGGCCTTGACGACCCGGCTGCGCTTGTGAAAGTCGGCTCAGCATACTGGGAAAGGGTCAACGATCCCGAACGCCTGGTGGTTACCGTCTTACATACCTGGGATTTATCTGAACGCACAAGTCTGTTGACCTGCGTCGAGGAAAGCGGATCAGATGAGCTATGGCAGAAACTCATCATGCGAGCCACGGAAAAGGGGGAACTTAGCCCTGTCCAAGACAAAATGACCGAAGAGGACAGCATCGACAAGGTTGCCTTCATGCTGGCCAGACTGTTTGAGGTCTACGCCAGTTGCTCCTCGGCTAGATCACGAGAGACGGCCCGGTTGAGGCGGCCCACCATTGGGCGAATCCATTCCCACTCATCATTGTTCGACAAGTTTTGCCAACTGCTACGGGGGGTTGAGCCTGCTCCTTCTGCGCCGGCCATCCCGATCAAGATCAAGGTCAAGCGCCCAAGAAACGCCGCACAAGACAACGATGAGCCTGATGTTGGAGTCGGAGATGACGAAGAGGAGGATATCCAAACAGCCTCGTCTGATTCGGAAGACGACCTGCCGCTCTCCCCGGCTAACAAACGGCGACAGCGCAAGGTTGTCCGTGATAGGGCGGCCGAGGATATCCAAGAAATCAATGCCCGGCAGAAAAAAGAGTACGAGGAACGCAGACGCTTGCTGCGGGAGAGGCTGGCCGTTTCGGGGTCAGTATCTGCAGACATGAGCCAGTTTATCATCAACGACGCGAAGCAGGATGACCAGGGTTTCATTTACGTGCATCAGCATATTGCTGGTAGGGTCAAGCCACATCAGGTTGAGGGGATTCGGTTCATGTGGAACCAGGTCGTCGTGCTCCGACAGGGCTGCCTCCTGGCACATACCATGGGCCTCGGAAAGACGATGCAAGTGATCACACTGCTTGTCGCCATCGCTGAGGCCTCGCGCTCCCAGGATAAATCCATCTCCTCCCAGGTTCCCGGCAATCTCAAAAAGTCGAAGACCCTGGTGTTGTGCCCCGCCGGACTGGTCGACAATTGGGTGGACGAGCTCCTCATCTGGTCACCCCAGGATACTGCGCATGTATCACTGCTTGGAAGCCTCTCCAAGATCAATGCGTCTCTGGATGCGGAACAACGCAAGGCTAGAGTCCGCCGGTGGGCAGAGGACGGTGGTGTTCTAGTCATAGGCTACACCATGTTTGTCGCCATGTGCAAGGACGACGAGATGCGTGACCTCTTGTGGCAGAAGCCACACATCGTCATCGCAGATGAAGCGCATCATCTGAAGAAGCAGCAGTCGCAGGCCCACAAGGCCACTGCAAACTTCAGGACGGCCAACCGCATAGCGATGACTGGCACTCCATTGGCGAACAACGTCGGGGACTACTACGCCATGATCAACTGGGTTGCGCCCAACTACCTGGGGTCACCCAAGGATTTCACAAAGGACTACGAAAAACCGATCAAACAAGGTCTCTATTCCGACAGCAGTGCCAGCGATAAGAGAATTGCCTTGAAGAAGCTCCACATGCTGAAGCAGACAGTCGCGCCCAAGGTCCACAGGATGGGAATAGCCGCTCTAAAGGACGACCTACCCACAAAGAAGGAATTTGTCATCTACCTTCGTCTGACGGATGTCCAGATGGCGGCGTATCGGGCTTATGCCGACCACGTGCTCAACGACGACAAGGTCACAAGTCAAATGGCCGGGCCGAAGATATGGGCCTTCGTGGCTATCCTGTCGAGTCTCCTAGCCCACCCTTATGTCTTCCGGGAAAAGCTCCAGAAACGGAAGGATGAGTTGGCTGTCGCACAAGGGAGCCGCGCGGGGCCGTCCAAGAGTGGCTCGGCTGCTGCAAAGGGGAGCTGCTTAGGGCTGTTCAACAAGAGTGGCTTGGCTGGTGCAAGAAGCGGCCGCGCAGAAGCGGCCACGTCTACCGATGATGAGTCCAATGAGTCACGCGTGGAATTTCCAGAGACCCTGTTGAGCGATGTCTTGGCGACGGTTTCCACCCGGAACATAGAGGACTTTGATTTGTCTTGGAAAATCATGCTCCTCACGCGCATCCTAGACGAGTCTAAACGGGCGGGCGACAAGGTCTTGGTGTTCTCACAGCTGCTCACAACACTCGACTTTATTGAGGAGGTCTGCCGCCGTCAAAAGCGAAACTTCTCGCGGCTGGATGGGAACACGCCTGCTTCCGAACGGCAGAGCAGTGTTAAGCGCTTCAACACGGACAAAGGGTCTGACGTATATCTGATCACGACGAAGGCTGGGGGAGTTGGCCTGAACATTTACGGAGCTAATCGAGTCGTCCTCTTTGACTTCAAGTTTGTGCCTACCGATGAGCAGCAGGCTGTCGGCCGCGCATACAGGATCGGTCAGAAGAAGCCAGTCTACGTCTACTGGCTGATCGCCGGCGGAACGTTCGAGACGGTAGTCCAAAACCGATCCGTCTTCAAGTCCCAGCTCGCATCGCGAATTGTCGACAAGAAGAACCCCATCGCCTGGTCCAAGCGGAATGGCGACTACTTTAAAGACCCCACGATCCCCCCCAAGGCTAAGAACCTTGCAGAGTATCTGGGAAAGGACACGGTGCTTGATGCTCTGCTCAACTCGGCGGACTTGGAAGATGGCATCAGGTCTATCATCATGACCGAGACCTTCGAGGAGGAAGATCCGGATGACAATATACTCACCAGTGAGGATAGGAAGGAGATCTCTGACTTCATTGCGATGAACCAGCGGCGCCTTCGGGAGCCGGAACAGACTGGCCGTGAGTCGTCCCTGCAGCGCCCCGCGGCGTCTGCAACTCCTGAGACACTTGAGACAACTAAGACACCAGATCGGCTGACCAGGTGGATGATCAAAATCAAAGTCCCCGAGCACATGAGGCAGATCCCCGTACAGCCAACAACTCCCCTGACGGCGGCTAACCTTTCTAGCCTCTCTAACCACCGTAACCTCCCTCCCACCACCCCCCCCCTCCTTAGCCCTATCGTCCCTAACTCGTCTCCTCCGGCAGGACCGGCGACGGGAAGCGGGCTTGCTCGAGTGCCTGCCGAGTGGGCTCGACGTCCTACTCATGGGACCCCTCCACAGCCGGCGCAAGTGCCAGCAGCTTCCCCGCAGACACCCCTCCCGCTTCGGTTTCCGATCGGTGCGCGCCCGAATGAGCCGTCCTCGACATCGTCATTGCCGGCACCAGCCAAAACTCCTCTGCAGGAGGGGGCTGTTGTTCCAGAGGTACCAGCCCAACTACTTCGGGCCATATCCCCCCCGCGTATCGTGTCTCAGCGGGCATCAAATCCGAGGCCCCTCGGGGCAATGGAACCAGTGGCAGGAGCAGGCACCCAGATACGGGGCCCGGTCATCAGCCCACCGCAACAGCCACAATTGCCGGCGGGACCTCATAGCAACGTGGGCCAGCTCAATATAACTTCGAAGAAAGCAGATTTCCTGCGCATGCTGAGCGTGGCTTATGACGCATTGCCGCTGTACCGGCGTAAATTCCTGGCGCCGCCGCACACGGTCGTTGCCCAGGTCCAGGAGACTCTGGACAGCCAGCCTCAACCTATGAAAGGTGTAGTTCTGCTGGACCACTGGGTGTCGCTGCTGAAAGCTGTCCAGCATCTGAACGTTGCGAAATCGTTGATTGTTGGTGTCATTCGGCCTCCAAAGCTGGCCATGATGACCCGCATCGAGCTGGAACAGCTTATAGCGCAGTCCACGACCATGTCGGAGCTTGAGTTCAATGCTATGCTGTGGAACCGCGAGGGCCCAGATGTAGGCGCTTCTACTCCGACCCACCCAGTTGCGCAAGACAAAGAGAGGCTAGGGCTCGACTGACTCGACCTTAATACACAGCATCTTCACAACAACAGTATGCGGAAATCCACCTCACTAGGCCTGTCGACGACCGGCGATGCGGCCGACGATGCGATCGACGATGCGATCGGCGAAGCGAAGGTGAAAGCCACCGACATGCATGTCATCATGCGAGAGATTCAACGGAGCAAGGACTGCGACGGCACTGCGGATCGACCGCCTCGTCTTCCGAATTGGGCGCAGAGGGAACTGACCAAAGAGAGATCTAAGAAACGCGATGGTTCAGCAACCCCCTCAATCCCGCAAACCCCTTCCCGCCTACGTCCGGGAGACTCGATCGATTCACCTCAGGTCATCGACTAATAATATCCATCCCTACAGAAGCTTCAAATTGAGTTTCGCACACGGGCTAACGAACAGGCTACTTTGCTTCCTGTCTTTCGGCCTTTTCTTTTTTCTTTTTTACTTTTTCTTTCTTCCTTTCATCTTTGGCTTGTTGGCATGGACACTTGGGAGATACCCCCTAACTGCCCTTCGGGACTGGAGTTATGGCATATGGTGGATCCATTTGGCTTTCAAAGACCGGCGCCGGGGAATGGAAAGATTTTTTCTGACTCTCGCACATAATACCCGTGGGCGTATTGCATTCATAGCTGCTGGGAATGGGATGACGGGCGGGTTGAGTGCCTGTGTCTGTACCTTAAATACCTACTCTCGAGGGATGGATACAGACATATCTTTTGGGCGACTGCGGCGTCAATGCGTGCGTGAAATGAATGACAATTCTGAGCTTTTGTCACGTGCCCCGACGTCACGGAGTGTGGCTCATCAGCTCACCTCACTGGGGACCGGGTGTTCGGCTTCCCGGTCGGCTCCCAGTCTACTATGGTAGTTGAACTGCTATGTAGTAGCACGCAGTACCTTAACTTGCTCACACAGGTAATATGGAGACGGGACCTGTCATTGAGATATATGTCAATGATACCATACTTTTGCTCGGCCCCACGGACCAGGATGCATAGGTAGGTATGTACGCAGTAGGTTTTGGCTACCCAGAGTTCTGATATCCCTTGGAAGTAGGCACCTAGGTAGGTTTGGAAGGTTTGACTCTTGTAGAGCTAAACAACGATTGCATTATGCTAGGTACTTGAATAAACATCGCGTGGTCCGGAGATATTTCGGTACCGCATACGGAGTCAGTTAACGATTTTGTACGAAGTACCTGCGGGGTTTGATGAAGGCTCGTTCACAGTACTAGACGTCTCGACCGATAGTAGCCAATCAGGATAAAGGTAATTGTCCCCAGAATCCGATCTAGATTCTAGGCGTCGCAACGGCAGCAAAAGGCCTTTTTTCCCTTAAATACCCAGGTACAGTCACTCAACTCTGTCCTCTTACCCATTAGCAACAACCTAACTCTCCCAAAAAATCGCAAACTCACCCGTCTTAAGAACATCCTCTTGGGGTTTCTCCGTATAGTCTTTCCGCTGCTTCCTTCGGCCAGAAGTTTTGCTCCGGATTGGCGCAGCAATTAACGGTGCGACTTTTGTCCATCCCTGTTTCTCTCTCCTTTTTGCCCCTCCCCCCCTCGACCCTTGCTTCATTCTAACAGATATCCTCAGCGTCCTTCATCTTAAGTTGCCTTGCACATTTATCTACTCGATCTTCTCGGACTATCGCCATGGATTCGGTTCTCCGCCAGTCCAAGGCCATGTGCCCCTTCATGAAGAAGGCGTCTGTTGCCACCCTCCGCGCCATGTCGACGGCCACCCGTCCCCAGGCCTCCCCCTGCGGCGGGACCATCTCCAAGCTGCAGGTGCTGGCCCACCGCTGCCCTGTCATGGGGAAAGCCCTGGCTGTCCAGTCCGCCCGCTTTGGCCGTGCTGGCATTCCGGGAGCTCACCCCATCGCCAGGGCCTCGACCTTCTCTGGCGACTCGGGCAGGGCCCAGAAGGCGAAGCTGCACACCGGCCGCTCGTCCCAGGCCCAGCCTATCGATGCGCAGTCGCTGTTCAAGTCGCGTGCCAAGAGTGAGAAACTCCCAGATCCGCTCAATTGCTATCCAGCGTTGCTAACGAGCTGTTCGTCAGCCGAACTTCCCCCGGGCATCTCGGTCGGCCGCCAGTCTGCCGCCACCCCGGCTCAAAGCAAGGACGCCGCCGGTGGAGAGCGTCATGTTGGCAAGTTCAGCTATGAGAACTTCTACGACGTCGAACTTGAGAAGAAACACAAGGACAAGTCGTACCGCTACTTCAACAACATCAATCGCCTTGCGAAGGAGTTTCCCCGCGCCCATATGTCCAGCAAGGAGGACCGCGTCACCGTCTGGTGCGCCAACGACTACCTTGGCATGGGCCGCAACCCCAACGTGCTGAAGGCGATGCACGAGACGCTCGACGAGTACGGAGCCGGCGCGGGTGGCACGCGGAACATCTCGGGCCATAACAGGCATGCGGTGGAGCTCGAGGGAACCATCGCCAAACTCCACGCGAAGGAATCCGCATTGGTCTTCAGCTCTTGCTACGTGGCTAACGATGCGACTCTCGCTACACTGGGCAGCAAGTTGCCCGATTGCGTGATCCTGTCCGACAGTTTGAATCACGCATCCATGATCCAGGGCATCCGTCACTCTGGGGCCAGGAAGTTAATCTTCAAACACAACGACGTTCAGGACCTGGAGGCCAAGCTGGCGTCCTTGCCTCTCCATGTCCCCAAGATTATCGCATTCGAATCCGTCTACAGCATGTGCGGCTCGATCGGGCCGATCGAGGCCATCTGTGATCTCGCGGAGAAGTACGGCGCGCTTACCTTCCTCGACGAAGTTCATGCCGTCGGGATGTACGGACCACACGGCGCCGGCGTGGCAGAGCATCTCGACTTTGAGGCCCACGCCCAGGGCAGACCGCGCGGGACGATCCAGGACCGCATTGATATCATTACCGGAACCCTCGGCAAGGCATACGGCTGTGTCGGCGGCTACATCGCCGGCAGCGCCAAGTTCATCGACACGGTCCGCTCCCTTGCTCCCGGTTTCATCTTCACAACGTCACTCCCGCCGGCCGTCATGGCCGGCGCGAAGGCCGCCATCGAATACCAGATGGAATACGACGGCGACCGTCGCCTCCAGCAGCTACACACCCGGGCCGTCAAGGAGGCGCTGAACGAGCGGGACATCCCCGTGATCCCGAACCCGAGCCACATCATCCCCATCCTGGTGGGCAACCCCGAGCTCGCCAAGACGGCGAGCGACATGCTGCTGCGGGACCACCAAATCTACGTGCAGAGCATCAACTACCCGACGGTGCCCGTCGGCCAGGAGCGGCTGCGCATCACCCCGACCCCGGGCCATACCAAGGAGTACCGCGACCAGCTCGTCGGGGCCGTCGAGTCGATCTGGGGCGAGCTCGGCATCAAGCGCACCAGCGAGTGGGCCGCCGAGGGCGGCTTCATCGGCGTGGGCGAGCCGCGCGGCCACGAGGAGCAGCCCCTCTGGACCGACGAGAACCTCGGCATCGCCCAGGCCGCCCGCGAGATCCGCGCCGCCGAGCCCGAGCCGCTATGCCGCAGCCGCTTCACCGAGAGGCTCCTGGAGCGCGAGATGAAGGGCGCCAGTATCGCCGTGGGCGCCGCCGCCGCTTGATCGTCTTGTCGCCAGACCTCTGAAAAGTCGTCCCTACTTGTTTTTTGGGATGCTGCTGGATTTGTTTTTAACCGTTGCCTGTGAATCGTTGCAGGGGAGCTCATCTGACCCGGTGGACACGTTCTTTGGAGCGGAGCAACGACAGCGCTCGCGGCCTCCGGTATATTGGTGGATATCCGGATATGGTGACCGCCCGATCATGTTTCAATTCGCTCGCCTGCTGTTGTGGATGGCTATCCTGGCCCTATGCTTGGCCAGTCATCTAGGAAATAGCTTTGGATGATGAAAAATATATAGAGACATGGCATCGCCACTGGGCGATTTATTGCCAGATAACTTGTTGTCTCCTATTTGCTAAGTAGGTGTGAGTGTGGGCGTAGCTGACTGATTTCACCGACGAGATGGAACAGCCCTCGGATACCGGAATCACATTTAAGGGTAACCTCGTGGAAGCGTTGCGTTGTGGCTTGAACGTGAGTTCCCAACAGAGGTTGGCTCCTTGCCAAGCACCGGCACTCCCAGTCGCCGGCAGGTGTCCAATGAGACATGCAGGATGACCTGTCATGTAGGTTCCGAATACCTTTTAGACCTTTGGGACGGCTGGCATACATGACTTGGACTACAGAGCCTGGCTAACAGAGGGGGTTAATCAGGGAATATTCAGGGGGGGATGCACTCGGCTGAGTTGAGAATCCAGGCCAGGGCTCAATCTTGATGCCGAATATCTGCTCTCTGGGTAAATTCGGCCAAGAGGAACTTTCTTCAATGGACTCTCAGAGCCGCTGAATGGTTCTCCTATTTATCCGCGCCTGGGCGCACTTACTCCCACATATTTAGGAATGGCTATACTACCTACCCCACAGCCCAGGCCTTGGCTTTGCTTGAAAGAAAGCTTGAACAGGGGCGTTGCAGCGAAGCCCCCTGGCCCTGGATGGCCTCTTTCTGGGACCATGATATAAATGCCGGGCTGGGAGCTCGAGTTCTTCTCATGACACCAACAAGTACCGGCTTCGTGGTCGACTGGTCTGTCAGACGACAACCCCAACTTACGCCGGTTTGGAGCTTGCAAGTTGGGGTCGACCTGTAATTAATATGCCGGATAACAGGCAATATGATGCTCTCCTGTGGTTCCCCCAAAGGAGGAGTAAAAGGTGTCAGATCCCGGTGAGAGTGGGCTGTATTAAGAACGTAGCTCGTTAAAGATGATAAGGGAGTGCCCGTCGTCTTCCAGGTACGCACCCGCCTTCCGATATCCGAGAAGGAAAGAGCCCTTTTTCGTATCAAAATCGACCAGGTCATCCATTGCCATGAGGTTCACCGACGCCCTCTTCGCCGCGGCCGCTACTAGCGGCGCAACCGCAGCCGCAACCGGACCCGAGGCTCAGGGGCTCGGGGCGCGGCAGGCGGCCAACACCATCACGGTCGACCTGACCAAGACATACCAGACCATGGACGGGTTCGGGTTCAGCACGGCGTTCCAGCGCGGCAACCTGATCACCAACCTGTCGAACAAGAAGGTGCAGCGGGAGCTGCTCGACCTGCTCTTCAACCGCACGACGGGGGCCGGGTTCAGCATCATCCGCACGGGCATCGGGTCCAGCCCGGACAGCTCGTCGGACCACATGAACACGTTCGCGCCCAAGAACCCCGGCGGGCCGACGGCGGCGCCGCAATACCAGTGGGACGGCAAGGACAGCGGGCAGCTGTTTGTGTGCCAGGAGGCGGTCAAGACGTACGGCGTGCGGGCCATCTACGCGGACGCGTGGAGCGCCCCGGGCTACATGAAGACCAACAACAACGAGAACAACGGCGGCACGCTGTGCGGGATGCCGGGGGCGGCGACGTGCCAGAGCGGCGACTGGCGGCAGGCGTACGCCAGCTACCTGGCCGCCTACGTGCGCTTCTACCGCGAGGCGGGCGTCAACGTGACGCACCTGGGCTTCCTCAACGAGCCCGAGTTCGCCGCCTCGTACGCCTCCATGTCGGCCAACGGGAACCAGGCCGCCGACTTCATCAAGGTGTTGCACGCCACGCTCGTGGCCGAGAACCTGACCGACACGACGGGCATCGCCTGCTGCGACAGCGAGGGGTGGGGGAACCAGGTCAATATGATGAACTCGATCAGGTCGGCCGGCGCCGAGGACCTGATGAAGGCGGTCACGTCGCACACGTACACGGGCGGGTCGTCGGGCGCCATGAACACCAAGGTGCCGGTCTGGCTGTCGGAGCAGTGCGACCTGCAGGGCGCGTGGACGACGGCGTGGTACTCGAGCGGCGGCGCCGGCGACGGCCTGACCTGGGCCAACAACATCTACTCGGCCGTCGTCAACACGGGCGTCTCGGGCTACCTGTACTGGGAGGGCGTGCAGTGGCCGAACCCAAACACGAACGAGAAGATCATCAAGGTTGACAACGCCACAAACACCTACGAGGTCGCGAACCGCCTCTGGGCCTTCGCCAACTGGTCGCGCTACGTCCGCCCCGGCGCCGTCCGCGTCGGTAGCTCTGGCGGCGGCGGCGGGAGCGTCAAGACGGCGGCGTTCAAGAACCTCGACGGGTCAATCGCCGTCGTGGCCATTAACACGGGCGCCAGCGCGTCGCCCGTCTCCGTCAAGGTCGCGGGCGCCGGCGAGGCGCGCGCATGGGTGTCGGATAACACCCACAAGTGCGAGGAGACGACTGTCACGGTCGGCAGCGACGGCGCCGTGGCTGGGTCGTTGCCGGCCAGGTCGATCGTCACGTTCGTCATCACCCCTGCTGCTGCTGCTGCGCCGGCGGCTGAGGGTGGTGGCGATGCATGATTGGGGGTTTCTTGTCTGGGGGCGCTTGATGGATGGGAAAAGTGTCTGCCCCTTTTTCGGCATTTTTCTTTCACTCCCTTCCCCTCCTTTTTCCTTTCTTTTTGGTATGTTTCCGAAGATACCACCCACCCGAGCGAGCAGTATACCCTGTGGGTTGGGATTTTGGGATGCTTCAGTTGATCGGGGATGGACTTGTAAGTCAATTGCAACATATGAATGTACAGTATACAATACGTGAGCTTGAACGGCACCATGAAACACAGGGTTTGGTATTTTGATTTGGCATCCAACCTCGAGAACAGCTTGACCTGCTGTGCAGGGGGCACCACAGTCTGCTCACGAGTGTGTTTTAAGATGGTGATCTCTACATATGAGAGTATCCATGCTTTTATCTAACCTCCTGGTTTTTGTAGAACCTAACCCCTGGCCTGATCCAAACGCCAGAGCAGACGCTCCATTTGCAAGTTGAAGAACAAACAGTATGATTGGGACATATCGTCCTACCAGGAACCTCATTTCTTCTCGTCAAGATATCCGTCCTTGAATGCTGTTTCGCACGTCAGCAACCAGTCGTCAATCCAGAAAAGAAGCACGCAGCAGGTCGGTTCAGAGACTTACCTCCCGGAATCAGGGCCGCAGCGTACATGACCAGTGAGATGGGCCTGAGATCCTCGTCGGTCGACACCTCCAGGTACCTCTCCCAGAAGTCAATCACGCCCTCCACACTGGCCGCGAGCTCCACATCCTCGCCGGCCCCGTAGCACTGCACCCCTAAGCAGGTACCGAACTCTCGGAATGCCAGCCGCCGGCTCGCCTCCCTAGTCGCGACGCCGCCGGGCCCCAGCACAGCCGCCGCGCGGGCCAGGCTGTCGGCGCCGAGCCGGGCGGCCCAGTCCTCGCCGCGGAAGAAGTGGCACATCCACAGGCCCATGCCCAGGTCGAGCGGGTCCTTGCTGGCCGCCAGCCTGCCCTCCCGCCCCATCAGCGCCCTGTAGTCCTCAATCTCCCTCCTCAGCGGCGGCTCCCCGGCCTGCCCGAAACGCTCCACCGCCGTCCGCTGCAGCAGCCGATAGACGACGAACCCCGTCGCGGCGTCGAGGTGGCCCTCGGACGGGACGAGCACCTCGCGCATGTCCGCCGACACCTTCCAGACCATGCGGCTCGGCGGCTGCTGCTGCTTGCCCTGTTCCCTGCCGCCGCCGCCGACAACGAAACGCGGGTGCACCGCCTCGGCGAGCTGCACCGCGAGCCGGCTATACTCGGCGCCCTCGTCCCCGCCGACCGCGACGGCGAGGCGGTCCAGCGCGAACATCCACAGCGTCAGGTAGTGGTGGTACTGGCCGTCTCCGTCGGGGCCCTCGGCGTCCCTCTTCCCGATCCTCAACCCCCCGCGCAGGAGGCCCCCGGCGCCCCCCGGCTCTGCGCCCGGCAGCGGGGCGGAGCCGTCGCGGGTGCGGCCCAGGGTGTGGTGCACGGCGGCGGCGAGGCGGCGGGCCAGGACGAGGTAGGTGGGCGAGCCGGTCTCGCGGTGGAGCGTCACCAGGTTGACGAGGCCGAAGGCGTCCGTCCACAGGTACCGCCCCTTGTGGCCGCCCGCGCCGGGGGTCGTCGGCGGAGACCACGTCGACGCCGTGGACGCGGTGAGGTTCGTTAGGGGCCCGTAGACGAGCGAGGTCGCTTCGATGAACCGGAGGAGCCTTGTGCTTGTTGCGGGGATGGCCATTGTGTCCTGCCTACCTACGTGTGTGTGTGATCGGGGTTGTTGGGGAAGATTGAATACCAAGTAGTACAAGATCAGTATGCTTTGGTTTTCAGCTATGGTATTACGGGAGACTTGCAGATAACTGTGAACCTTCACTTGTTGAGGCCCGTGGGGATATCTCGTGCTATTGTCCTGATAGCTAGTTGAGAGACGTCACTATTACGCCGTAGCAACACACACACCTCACGCATCTACGTAATAACCGGGGCGCTATGGGGATAACTCCCCTCTAGACCTTGGGAGATCTGCAATATCTCTCTGCAGGTCGCCGAAGGCGTTTATTTGGACAAATCACATTTTGCATAGGTTAGATCATGGAAAATAGTTGATTCGTAAGTACTATTGAGGGCAACTTCTAAACTCCAATGGAATTACCTAGGCTTATCCCCGAGACTTTTCTTTAAAGAAGCAACTATCTGGACATGCTCCAGCACCCAATAAATACCCCTTCATGACTATCGTATCTCATAAAACAAGGCGTTTTTGACGCCTCTCCTGTCTCCTTGGCTGGCTAACAGAGCCTTACCCGTCGTAGATGTCTTCATCCATAGAATCCGGCGCCAGCTCGTCCCGCGCGTCCTCCTCGTCCTCGTCCAGCGACATGTCCTCGTCACCCATGTCGCTGTCGTAGTGGTTCGGCAGCACCGTGATGCGGCCATCGACGACCTCGACCCGTGCCCTCTCGCCGTCGCGGATGTTGTTGCGGAGGATGAGCACGGCGAGCTTGTTGAGCACCTCCTTCTCGATGAGGCGCGCCAGCGGCCGCGCGCCGTATGCCGGCGAGTAGCCTGCGTTGCCGAGCTTGTCCTTCGCCTCGTCTGACACCTCGATGAGCACGTTGCGGTTGTTGTCCGCCAGGCGCTTCTGGATTTCGATGATGCGCAGGTCGACAATCTTGCGGATTTCCTTCCGCGTGAGGCGGTTGAAGATGACAACCGACGAGATTCGGTTGAGGAACTCAGGCAGGAAGTAGTTTCGCAGCGCGTTCATGACGAGTTCCTTGGTGGTCGGATCGATCTTGCCATTTTTGCTCGTCGACCGCGCAAGATATTCGGCTCCGAGGTTGGACGTCATCACGACGATGCAGTTCTTCGCATCGATGACCCGTCCTTGGCCGTCGGTCACACGGCCGTCGTCCATGAGCTGCAGGAGGACTGTGAGGACTTCCTTCGCGGCCTTCTCCACTTCGTCGAAGAGAAGGATGGAGAACGGCCGTCGGCGTAGCGCCTCGGTAAGTTGGCCGCCAGCATCGTGACCGACGTAGCCTGGAGGAGCACCAATCATGCGGCTCAACGAGTGTCTCTCTTGGTATTCAGACATGTCGAACCGGATCATGGCCTTCGGGTCATCGAACAGGAACTCCGCCAGAGCCTTGGTAAGGAGCGTCTTGCCCGTGCCGGATGGGCCACAGAAGAGGAAGCTCGGGGGTTGGTTCGGATTGCTCAGACCAGATCTCTGCAGCCTAATCGCGTTCGAGACCGACTGGACGGCTTCTCTCTGACCCACGACGATCTTCGCCAGGGCGTGCTCCATGTGCAGCAACTTCTCCTTCTCCGACGTCTTCAGTCGAGTGATCGGGATGCCGGTCCACCGCGAGACGATTTCGTTGATCTGATCCGGCCCGACCACATCGGTGATCATGGAACCACCCGAGTCGGGTCCGGTGGAATTGAGCGAGGCGTCGGCAGCGGCCTTTTCTTGCTCCAACCTCTTGATGGTGGCCTCTTGTTCGGGGATCGCATAGTACTGAAGATCGGCAGCCCGGGCGTGGTCGCCCATCCTGCTAGCATCCTCGGCCTTCACCTTGAGGTGCTCTAGCTTCAGCTTGGCTTCCTGAATGTCCCGGCCCCGCTTCCTCTCACTGTCGTACTTCTCGCGAAGAGGCCGGAGCTCTTCCTCGACGTTCTCGGCATCTTGTTTAGCCTGGGCAAGGCGGGCCTTGGAAGCGTCGTCCTTCTCACGGGACAAGGCGTGAATCTCGATCTTGAGCTGCCGGAGTCTCCGCTCTAGGGAGTCAATAACTTCCGGCTGGGATTCCCGAGCAACTCTCACGGCTGCTGCCGCCTCGTCGACGAGATCGACGGCCGAGTCGGGTAGTCTCCGAGAAGTGAGATATCGGGCGGCAAGGTTTGCGGCAGCGACGATGGCGCTGTCCGCAATGGTGACTCCGTGATGGACTTCGTACTTCTCCTTCAGTCCTCGGAGGATGGAGACGGTTTCCGGGATCGTTGGCTCTTTCACGAGGACTTGCTGGAAACGTCTCTCAAACGCAGCGTCCTTCTCGATGTATTTGCGGTACTCGTTGAGGGTAGTCGCACCGATACAGTGCAGCTGTCCGCGGGCAAGCATGGGCTTGAGCAGGTTCGCAGCGTCCATACCACCTTCGCCGGAGGAGCCGGCACCCATGAGAAGATGGATCTCGTCGACGAAGAGGAGGATCGTGTCCTTGGACTCATGGATCTCCTTCAAGACTCCCTTCATTCTCTCTTCGAACTCTCCTCGGTACTTGCTACCGGCAACCAAGGCGCCGACGTCGAGAGAGAGGAGCTTGCAGGCTGCCAGGTGGTCTGGGACATCGGCGTTGACGATCCGCAGCGCGAGACCTTCGATAACCGTTGTCTTACCGACACCTGGGTCGCCGATCAACACCGGATTGTTCTTGGTTCGTCGTGACAAGATCCTAATCACGCGGCGGATCTCCTCCTCTCGGCCGATAACCGGGTCAATCTTGCCTTCCCTGGCCATGTCCGTCATGTCGATGGTGAACTTGGCAAGATTCTCGTTCTCCTCCTCCGTGTCAGCTGTTCGTGAGTCGACGCGCTTCGTGCCCCGGACGGCCTGCACTGCTTCCTGCACGAGCTTGGGTTTGGGGATGTTGGAGTCCCTCAGGGCAATTTGGATATTGGGGTCATCCGAAAGCGCCGTGATGAGATGGTCGACGGCAATGTAGGTATCTTTCTGCACCTTCTGCAATTCCATGGCCTTCCGGAGGATTGCATTGAAGGACGGCGCCATGGACACCTGCTCCGGTGGGGGGTCCTGGCTAGGCAACCGTACGAGCGACTTCTTCAAGGCGCGGTCGAAGAGCTGCGGGTCGCCACGAGCTCGCTCAATGACTTGTCTGAATAGGCTGCTGTTTGTTCCCGGCGGGGCATTCTGTTGATCTTTGCTCAGGTCTGGGAGAGGATCGAGGAGGGCAACCGCGAGGTGAACAGGCAGCAGCTGGGCATGGGCGTATTGTTCGGCCAAGGCCATGGCGTCCTCCAACGCCTTCTTAGCCCGGTCCGTGAATTCCATTTTTGAATTCATCTTGGATCGGTATTTGCGGGTTTTTGGTCGATATGCCTCTTGTTGTGTTGTGGATGGTTTAAAAGGAGAAATAGAAGCACAGCCGTGTTTCGAAGCTCAGCTGAGGTACTGCTTCTGAGAGCCTGGATGGGGAATTATGTAGGCTTTTGTTTCACTTTCAAAGTGGACGTTAAGAGGGAGAAGATTCCACCCTCAAGCGGATCAGAAGCCCCAATTTATCAGTGACGAGTGTTTGGGAGATGTGAGGGTGGAATGATGTTCTCGTGTTGTCAGGACAGCCCGGGAAGCAGCTAGGGAGTTCTGGTGATATCATGCCACAGCTAGAAAGCGCTGGAATCATCGTCATGTCGGGCTGGGCCCCTTAAAACTTCGAGTCTGATTGGTCCAAAATCAAGCTTTGGGCCCCGCGTTGAGCGGGGCACTCGTGGCAGGGTAAACTCTCCAGTCACGTGCAACAAGCCAATTGAACCCCGCATCATGTGACTAAAAGCATGGCCACATGTGATTGGACAACATGTACCGTAATTCTCGACCAATGAGACAGAGGCTTCGGACACCTGAGCGGGAAATTTTATGCTAGGGGCTTCGAGCTCTCAATCACGTTTTCGAAGGCGCGCTCCGTCGTTTGACTCTCCGGCCGCCTCAATCCACGATGAATGCCCGACCATTCTTTTCAGTGAGCCGGCTGGCCACTGGAATATCGCGCATAAGCATACGCCGGGGACACACGAAGCCGCCGCCGCCGCGGCGAAACAAGAGCAAAGGCGACGACAAGGCCGCCTTCGACCCGGGACACGGCGAGCAAATATGGATCTTCAACCACATGCAGAGGAACCACGTTGTGTATTCACACCAGCCCATACTGAGTGTAGGTGTCGCCAATTGGGGGCCGGACCATTTGCCGTGCCAATGCCCGCTGCGAATCCCTTTGCTAACACCTCGTCATGCCCCCAGAACAACAAGGCGATGAGGCAGATCCCGTTCAACGGTAAGAAGCTCAAGCCGGTCAGCCTTCGGAAGGACTACTGGCGGCCGATGGCTATGGTTCAGTTCCCGTCGGGGCTCGGCGTGGTCGGCCGGTCCGTGTTCCAGAAGCTGCGCGAGTTCAGGAAGCTGCACGAGCTGGCCTGGGACAACGACGAGTACCTCAAGCTGTCCAAGCACGACCGTGGAGTGGCCCTGAACGACCAGAAGGCCAACACCGTCGCCGACATGGCCACGGTCCTGGGGGGCGCCGGAAAGGGGAACAAGATATGGGAGGCGGAGCCGACGGCCGGACAGGGGCGCCGCGAGGGGGAGGGGGAGGGGGAGGAGTCGAAGCAAGCGCAGGGGACGCAGGGGAAGCTTCACAGTGCCACGGTCTTCTGGGCGAACGCGCAAGACCAGGGCTACGCGGCGTCGTGGCCGAGCAATGTCACACATCAAGTCGGTCTGCCACCACAAACACGCGGAAGCGCGGCGGAAGCACCTCAGGAAGATGGGGTGGACGAGCCGGTTTCACAAGGGACGGACGCTGTGGTTGCATAGCAGCTGCTCCGGTCTCACGAAATGCGTTGAAGCGTTTAGGCCATGCTTGGGACAACTAGGCTGGGGCAATGTCTGGCTAATGAGATGTTGGCCCGGTCAGGTCTAGACCGAACCCCAGAGGTATATCCTCTTGTATTTTGCTAGTACACCGGTTGTATCATATGTGGTGTTTAGGATATAGGCGTGCTATACATTGATGACTCCTTAGACCTTGAGAGCAAATGACTTGAGATACTCGTAATGCGGGATATTGTCATCGACGCATTCCCGGATGACCTTCTGTGCCTCCTCGCCAAACTTCTGGCGCCATTCCTCGTCCTCCTCCTCGACGGTGATACTCTTCTGCTGGAAATATTAGTACATATTGCACGGGTTGCCGGGAAGAAGGGTTGATATCATACCACTGCGTGAGACCGCGGCTTCAAATACGTGCTGCTGATGACGTCGTTGTGGAAGCCATTCCACTTCTCAAAGGTCTGGACTGCATATTGCTGGTTCTCCTCGTCCTCCCATCGGAGCATGTCAGGGGTGTAGTCGATGCCAACCTGCTTGCAGTAGGCCTCGATGACCTCGGCCGGCTTGTCAAGCAAGTCGTCCGCGTCGATCACCGTGATGGGGACATTGCGCCCGATGATGCCCTCGTCCTTGAGGTAGTCGAAGAGGCGGCGAAGCTCGTCATAGCCGGCCTCGCTGGGCATGAAGTGATAGAACTTGGTCACTTCGTCCAGGGGCGGAATGGTGCATTTGAAGTACGATGGGATTGACCGGCGGGGGTGTCGAATGAGGAAGGTGAAGTGGAACTTCTGGAGCAGTTCGGTTGGGACGACGGTCGGATTGACCGGCTTGTCAGCCCCGTTGGTCCCGTTGGTCCCGTTGATACCGTTGGCTCCGTTCACACCATTCACGCCGTTTACGCCATTCGCCGCATGCACACCATTCACCCCGCCGGTTCCGTTGACTTCCAGTGTTCCGGGCTTGGCCGAGCCCTTGGCGTCCACCTGCAACAGCGAAGGAGCAGGCTTGGCCGGGGCCCCGTTTTCAGGAAACAGGTAGTAAGCTATGTCCTTGATAAAGACTCGCTTGCCCTGCGCCAGTGTAAGCAAGTTGTGGTCCCCCCACCAGACGAGCTGGTCAAAGTCCCAACCGGTCGGAAGGATTCCCCTTCAAAATTCGATGGAAAATGCGTTTGCAGAAAACGGAATGGCGAGGAAAACCCGAACGATGCACGTATCCGTCAAGAAGCATGAACCCCGAGGGGCCTGTCTAACCCCGTCCTCCCTCCGCAGCCAATGGCGGTTTCTAATGAATGACCCGTGGGTGGAAATCCTGGCGCACTTGCGCTCCTCTCAAGCCAAATAACCCGCAAAAGGGGAAGCCCAATCATATTCTGAGAAGCGGCGGTGCAACTTCTCGACGAGATTTCGGTAACCGGTCTTAAGAGACTAGGGGCGAGGAAGAAGTCCGAACCTCGTTAGAATGCGCATCGATCTGGTCCATGACATCCTTGTAGGTGGTCTTGGAATAGCCCGTGGCTTCCCTCAAGGCCGCGTCGTCCTCGAAGCGCGAGCTGAGCCGCTCGGGGCCATAGTAGAAGGGGTCACCGAATGGTTCGTGGACACATGACAGGGTGTCGCGCCGGGTCATGAAAACCTTTGAAATTCCCCAAGGATCAGGTAAGTAAGCTGCTTTGTTGAATGCCCCTGGGCAAGGGGCGTGGGTGACAATAGCCTACCCTTTCGAAGGCGGTGCTGCAAGCACGAGGATGCGAAGCGGCAAATACGGGAGGTAGCATGTTGTCGGTTTATATCTCGTGGTGTGGGTAATGTGGGTAAGAGTAAAGATCACGCAAAAGTCACAGATCAGTTCGTGATCTCGGCTTGGACCCTGAAGGACGGGTAGAGCAATAAGTACTGTTGATCTTATCCCTTGGCTGAACGGCTGACGAGATTCCCTGGGCCGCGTTTCCCACGTTGCCCACTTATATGCCCACTTCGCCCTGGCAGACCTTGCGGCGTAGTGCACAGTCGATTGCCTTGTTGCCTTGGCCCTGGCATAGTGGGTAGAATCGGTACGTCACATCGACGACTTGTTCGACAGAAACTTTGCGGCGCCCTCAGCATATCCTATGAGACTGAAGCCGAAAGTTGGTAGGTGGGGTTGTCGTTAAAAATGGTGGGGTATCATTTGTGGGTGAGGTTGGACGTCATTGGCGAATCTGACAGGTTCGCCCAGCCAGGAACCCAGGAGGGTGGGCCTAGCTAATGCACAATGACGAAACAGGCCTTGTTACCGTGGTCCGACCAATCCCGTCGTGGGGTCGCCTGTCGTGTCAGCTTTGAGACACAAACGCTGTTGGTAGGTTGAGAGCGAGTCTATTACCCAACTGTTGAGGCGAACAGGTGTGCGGGCAGCGTGGGGTGAGCACCGAGTTCCGTTCGTTGTTCAACTTTTACCCTGACGCGCCTCAGATGGACCGGGTTTTCGTGTGACACTGCATATTCGGGGCAACCCCCCGCGCCGGATCTGCGGTAGAATCACCATGTACCACCGCTCGGGACCCCCACCGGACCGATACTGGCACGGGCTGGACCAGTCTTCATCACGGTTCTAGCCCACCGGCCTTGGAGATCGAGTATTGGGTGCCGGCATGATTAGACGTCCAAGGAGGTCACGCGATGTAATGCCCTGTTAGGGATTGGTTCTGCTTGAGACGCTTGCAAGGGCTTAGAGATGTCGTCAGTTTCAGCGAACGAGAAGCCGCCCATGATAAGCAACATTGTGCGACTGATGCACTGCAGAGGCCTAGAACAAGCTTTTTTTGACGAATGATGCAGAGCTTGTCCGGTGCATGGTCTCGGCGCCGGCGTGAACACTCCGGTCACCACTGAATTTCGTGGAGGTGATTTTCGGAAGATGCCCAAGTATTGGAAATCATGACGTTGAAAAAAAGTAGGTGGGAAGAGGAAACAGGCATGACAAGCACTCAGGCTTGCAATCGATGAACAATCCATCAATATTGAGAAACATCTCATCTTGTACGGCTCCAAATCAGATCTCCGGCCTCGCACCTTCACCCCATGCTCGTCGCCTCCCAACATAAGCCAGGTAACCCCTAATTTGTGCATCTGCAGCTTGATAGGCAATGCGGGCCACGTACCTCATCTCATCATCCTCCCAGGCTCGATGAACGTAGAGCGTGGGGTGCCGGGTGGCAATGGCCGAGACGAGAGCTGGCGAAACGAGGTCATACCCAATCCTAGACATCAGATGACGTTTGACTGAGGAAAGGAGCCATGTCGTGCTTGAGAGGTTTAGCTGGGATGTAAGCACGAGTGAAGCGATCGTCAAAAACATTCTTATGTGTCCAAAGGACAACTCGACCCCCTGGCAAACCCTCCAATTGAGTCCATTCTAAGCTTGCGAAAGCAAAAATCTTCCGCAACGGGTAACATACATGACGGGCGGGGCAAGTCATCCCGCGGGACATCGATAATCACACCTTTGAGAGATGCTGCTCATGCGCCGTTTCCTGTACAAACTTGAGGAATATCCCAGCTGTTTTGGCCGACAATGCGGGCCAATTTCAGATATGCCTATCGCATCTTCTTGTTTTCGGTATTGGCTGGCCTCGCGGCTTCGCCCTTATTGTTCGGCCTTGCAAGTCCGGGCAGGAGTTTCCAGACAATCCAGGCAAACCCTATGATAATAGCAGCAGCAGTGCCACGATTGACCCATTTAGACTTGTCGAGGTCCAGGACTGGGACGGTGACCCTATTGATCAGTTGCTCCCCAGTGCTCGGGCGAGGGTCAACATGCCAGAAAGCGGTACTGGGTTCAAAGAAGCCATCGTACCCCAAACTGGCTTGATCGAACGGATTAGTGGCAAACTGTGTGCCTTCCACCGCTTCACAGGCCCAGAATACGGCTGGATACGGAATGTCGATGTCTTGGTAGCCGCCCTGAGAGGGCGCAAGGTAGCGGAGGTGTAGCGGAACCTCCACCGACCACTGCTTGGGTTTCTCCGCAGTAGGAGGCGACAATTCGAGGAGGATTGCCGACCCCCACAGTTTCATGGCGTATTCGGGGGCCTCCAAGTCAACTGGTTGAGATACATAGCGAAGCGCGGTTAGGTTCTTCGAAGCCAGAAGGAGATCATCCGCCAGCTGATACTTGTCCGGGAAGATGCTCCGAGGCAAGGTCAAGTATGCGTACGGTGAGCAAGTCGAATCCTTCGAGGGTTGCTCAGTGGATTCGAGCGTTATCTGCAAGGTTGGGTGCATGCCCGTCGGACTGAGGAACTTGGCAGAAAAGGACCCTTCGGCATGTCTATGCCGTGACGGGAAGGAAAACAGGGTCGGCGAGGGGGCCGAGTCCTGGCCAAGGACAGTAAGGAGACCGGATAAGCCAAGCTCCTGAGGCTCTAGGTTCGGGGGTTTGTCTTCGGCTAATATGCCAACCTCTGTTCTGTACTGCTGCGTTGGAACGCGAAGGGTTTGGGCTTGGTAGGGCCAACGGGCCGTGATCTTCAAGTCCCCAACGATAGCATCGTAGGAGATGTCCAGTGACGATGCTTTGCTGAGACGCTCAACTTGAGCAGCACAAGATTCATCCGCCGCTGAGCAGGCCGTCTTCACGGCATAGCGAGCAAACTTAGAGACGCTTTCTAGCGGCTGGAAGTACTGGAAGGTGGTTGAACGCGAAGAGCGTTCATGAGGGAGGGTTGTGAAGGACTCCTTGGTGAGATGTCAGCCTGCCTGATCTGGACAGCAAACAGTCAGACGATTGCCAACAAACCTCTGGTGATGAGCAGTCCACATCGCCAAAAGCCGTACTAAGTGCCTCGCAAAGCGTCTGGCTGTGAATTTCGAGTCAGTGTACCATCGCAGCAAATGCAAGACTATCTCCCTATATCGGAGACCGTAGGTATCTAGGTATAAAGACTCACGTGTCTTTTCCCGTGCTAGACAGCGGAGAGTAGAATAGGTGGAATCCGGGCGGCAGCGTCGAAAACAACGGGCTCACTGATTCGGACAGACGTGAACTGGCCCATCTGATATGCAGTTTGCGTGTGTCCCTTAATAGAGTCTGCAATTCGCTGGGCAAGTCGTCTAGTGCAAGGGTAAGCCGGTCCTCTCTTGCTGCCTTGATAACAGGTCCGCTAAGACTATCAGCGGAGATCTGGAGAAGAGCCGGGTCGACGGCATCACCCGGCCTGTGGATGAATGTGGTCCGCTGTCGCATGGCGGCAAGTCTTAGTTGAAGCTTTAACTTAACTTAAGAGACTCAGCCTTCTTCTATGGGTGGGCGAAGCGGGAAGGCCACTTGTGCTTGTGCCAATTGGGACGGAATGACGGAGGCCTGTCACTCAACCTTCGAAATTCGAACACCGAGCGGATCAGCCGCTAAACCCGATTTGGATACCGAATTGTCAACGTGATGGGACTCTTGACTTTTCAGGGCCTGGCCGAACGTGTTCCATCGTTCTCCATCGTCTCGTCTATCACGAACTCATTAAACTTGTTGAATTCCGAGTTCTAATGGGCTACTTCAGTGGGGGGTTATCGACATCGCAACTTCCACCGTCACCCTTATAACTAGCCTGGCCCTGGTCTCACTTTCCTCTGGAGCTCCGGCGCTATGGCAGACCCGCAGACGCCGCATTTCATTCCAATCCGGACGCGGAGACCGGCCGATATGAATAGCATAAGCAGCGCGGACTCGGCTGTAAGTCGTCTGTTTTAAGTCTTTGCATCTCTTTGCTCGCAGCCGATGGTCGAGGCGACGATTGGATCCTCTTGCTTACATGCCATCGATAATTCAGTATGGCTCGGCTTCTAGCGAGGCTTGCACACCGTCTGCGACTCATGATATAAGCCGTGTCAAGTATCATGTCAAACATTTAGAATCTTTCGTTGAGACCCTTCAAGAGGTACGTCCAAAACGCTTGAACACGTCCGCCAATGGGTGACCCCGTTGAGCTTATCATGTTTCGATGTAGTCGGCCAGCAGAGCCTTTCCGAACCGTGGCCGGTCATCTCAGCGATACACGAAGGTCCAAGCACTGCTACTCCATTGGAAAAGCGATGACCTATTCGTGCTGCCGGAGTTGGAAGATCTGGAGAAATGTCTGCGAGAAGAGTTCAACTTCGAGACCGATGTCTTCTCCATCCCTTCCGACAACTCACATCTCGAGCTGATGCTCAAGGTTGGTGACATGATCAAGAAGCATGAGTCAGAGCAGACCCTGTTTGTTGTCTACTATGGCGGCCACGCGAGGATAGACGAGTCTAGGCAAAGCACCTGGTGCGCGTAAGCTTTATCCTCCCCCTTATGCATTCCCATATACTTAACGGCCTATAGAACGCGCCATTCCGGATCGCCATGGCTACAGTAGGTCTCTGTCTCCATGCTCTCGGCGCTGTCCATTAACCAATTCTCCCAGATGGTCCGCTATTCAGACTCTCCTGGAAAGGTCAATATCAGATGCCTTGATTCTTCTGGACTGCTGTGCTGGAGCTGCAAGCGCAACATTCCCTAATGGGAAGAGCATCACCGAGACAATATCTGCCTCCAGCTGGGATGCAATAGCACCAGATCCCGGCCGCTATTCTTTCACCAACGCGCTCATCGAGGTGCTCTCGGAGTGGAGGCACCGGACCTTCTCGGCGGCAATGCTTCACGCCGAGATATTGGCACGCTTGAAGCACCCCAGGCCGATCATGATCAATGGCAAACATTTCGAGGCCAGGTCAACACCCGTCCACTTTATGATGACGTCCAACCACAAGGCCCCGAGCATTGAGTTCAGTCGGGTCATTCCTGAAAGCGTACTCCCCCCGTCTCCCCCTTGCGAATCACCTGCGCCGTGTCTAGAGCCACCCGTTATTCAAGGTGGGGGCATTGCCGAGGAGGAAAAGGAAGAAGTGGCCGGACCCACGATCGACGAACCTCATGTCATGATTTCGTTGGCATTGGAGGATGACCAGAGGTTAGACCTGGATGCGTGGGAGCAGTGGCTAGCGAATTTCCCTGCGCTCGCGAAACACGTCAAAATCCAGGGCGTCTTCCGAAGCCATTCCACTCTGCTCCTACTCTCCCTACCGGTCATGGTTTGGGATCTCTTACCGGAAGATCCTGCCTGCTCGTTTGTTGCCTTTATCCGCTCGAACAATCTCATCCGGCAACAATCTCCCGCCTTGGACGCCACAAGCGTTGGAGCCGCAGTTACCAACTACGGCGGTATTGAATATGGCGATGACGGAATTGAATCGGGGTCAGAGTCGGAGACCGAGACAGAGAGAGACGACGCTGATTCCCTTTTCTCTGGGACCACTTTCTCTCCGAATGAAGAGGGCAGCATTCTCGGACGGGAGACTCCTTCACTACTCCGACGTCGTCAAAGCCAGTCAACGATCAGCTCCATCTTTTTGCAGGACGACCTGAGATCTCAGCCTGCGCCTGTTGCGAGGCCGAGTCTGGCACGAATGCAGTCCGCCTCTCTCGCATCCTTCAACAGGCTTACGGGACATGCATCAAGCCCTACAAGTCTGGCAGATGCTGTAGGTCTTGGCTCTGAGACCCATCGCCTGGGAAAGGGAAGAGTACGATCAATGATTCAAAACCAGATCGCATCCCCCATGAGAGACGTCTTCAGTTCCGAGCAGGATGTCGAAGCAGGGTCAATGTTTACGGAACGGGTTTCGCAGTGTCTAGATGATTATTTCCAGAAGGAGCCACAACCGGATGCGTCTGTGACGCATTTCCTCGCTTCAAATCTCGGCGTCGAGCCTGCAGACGTTGATGTAAGTGTGGCTGGCTGACGTGCCCCTACGAACAGTTAACTAACTCAGACAGCTGTGGTTCCATCACCGCCGCCAGCAGCAACTCCTGGCAAGTAATCTACAGAACCTCCGGATTCGCGACCGTCCAGCGGAAGCGAGGGATGGGGCGCGGATGATTCTACCGGGACATCTCCACGAACTTTTTGATATCTTCCCGACGAAACGAGTCCTAGTCGTCGACCTTCGCTCTCCAGCACATTTCGAGAAGTCTCACATTCACGAAGCTATAAACCTCCGCACGCCCGTGAGCTTCGTGCAGAATGCCACGCTCGAGATGATCCAGGATACCCTCACGGACGACCAGAACCGCAGAAACTTTGCCAAATGGGCACAATCGCGCTGCGTCGTCTTCTACGACAGGCTAGTCGAGTTTAGCTGGGAATGCCCGCTGGCTGACGCTCTGTACGACAAGTTCCGGGCCGAGGGATGGCTCGGCAAATGCTTCATTCTTAAGGGGCATTATCACGAGTTCTCCTCTTCATTCGATAAGTACATCAGCGGGAACAAGATGACTCGGGAGGCGAAGCAGTATGTGGATAGCCTCCGACAACAACCGTCTCCATCTCCAGTAAGTCATCCTTTATTTTCCCGCCCTGGCCAAACCCGGTGGTCAAAAGCACCGTTGCTAACAGCGAACCAGGGACAGACACAGGAAACCGAAGATCGCTATGGAGAATGGCTCAAACAACTGGAGAACGAAGACCGACTCCCCACAGAGCTCATCCCGACCAAGAAAGCGGAGCGCATACTCGCCGTCAACGAGCACCAGAAGGAGCTCGAGGCGGAGCTCGAGATGCGCTTCCCGGCCCTCTACCGCACAGCCGAGGACCTGCGCGCGGCGCCCCCCGCGTACGGCGCCCCCGGCAGCGGCGGGGCGGCATGGAACCGCAGCGGCGGCGGCGACGACTTCGACCGCAAGGCGCCCCTCGTCGAGCCCCTCTCGAGGGGCCTGGAGAAGATGCAGGAGGCGAACCTCACGCCTCCCCCGCTGTCTCGGGCGCCTCCCCACGCGGCAGCGCCGTCGTCCGATTACAAGTCCGAGCGGGCATATCGCCACAGCCACCACCACCACCACCACCACAGCCAGCAGCAGGACGGCAAGGTCGGCGGCGAGCAATGGCCAGTGGTGCCGGCGGCGGCGGTGGACGACTGCGATTACGACTACGACTACGACGAGATCGAGAAGGACGAGGCCCTGAGGAACGACCCGGCCTTTCAGCGCGCGGGGGCCAAGCTGCGCGAGGGTGGCGGCGGCGGCGTTGGGGACCTCGCTGGCGACGACGCCCATAGGAGGGAGAAGGGGTGGGCGGCGCCGCAGGGCCAGGCACAGTCGTTCTGGAAGCGGCTGCGGCCGAGTGCGAAGTGAATAATAGAGCGTTGCATTTTTTTTCCCTACTTTTTCTTTCCGTTTCTATATAGCTTGGCTGGGTTGAACGTGTTTGGAGTTTGTACTCGATACTAAGGGGTCCTGTTTGGTCACATGCATTCTGTGGGAGGCAGGCGCGGCGTCACGGTTGGGTTGTTTTGGTTTGGAAAGACTGGCCTGGTTACGCATTCTTGCCCCCTTTATCCCTCTTGGAATCTCATCGTGTACGGTAAACAAACAGGACATGGATATAGAAATATTTAGTATATCATATACGTTTTTGCTACACGGACTCGATCTCATAACTTGCCTCGGTCGATTCAAAAACCCGAGACTAGCCGGACTAACGAATGCCTGCCATCCGTGCCCATGTCTTCAATGAACTGGTGGGACTTTGAAACGGACGCTAGACTAGCATAGAGGTAGTGTAGATTTCCAAGTCAATCTTGCCCAGCGAGGCGCTTGGCTCCGTTCGTATAAGGCGCACGCATGGGCCACAGGAGAAAAAGAAACGAAAAAAAGTGATAGGGGCAGCAGACACAAGATGCGATTGGGCGCCAACGTTTTGAAACCCCCTGTCTGTGATGTGATGTCTCTCTCAGAGCGAACAAGTTTTAATTTTTTTTTTTTTGCTTCTTTGCCCTCTCTTGAGTGGCTTTGGCGCCTTGACAACGGGCCGGGATCTGTTTCAACAGAAGGAACAGCAGCCTTCTGTGGAGAGAGAGAGAGAGAGGAAGAAGGGACGGAAAGCCCAGAGCAGGAATGCCGCAGGGCCGCTACCGCCAGTAGCGTGGTTCTCCCTGTTTCCCCCTCTTCTGCACTACTGCGGACACTGACTCTCACCGAGAACATGGAATGGTTGATCCCCGTCCGTGTTCACTAGCTGGGTCCATGGCGCGCTGCACAAGGCCAAGTTGGGGAGGGATGTTGCTGGTTTATCACGTCGCGGATGGGTACAGGAGTGAGACATCGTCTTTTGCACAGCCTCAGAAGTCCGGGCTTTCGGGGATGTACTACGCAGTAGTAGTATCCCGTAGGGAACTTAGTGTGCCATAGTGGACGTATGACATGGTAGTTGAGTTGCATTCTCGGGCTTTGACAGGTGCACTAATACAACCTCACGCAGTGGGGGTTCGACTGGGATGCAGTTGGTCGACACTGGTTTGGCAGAGAGATTACACATGTGCCCTTCGCAGTCGCCCGTCACTGTTCTCCAGGGACTAGGTGAGTTCTGGAAGTTCTGGGGCATGGGTTGGCGGTCGAAAAAGAAAAGAAGTTACGTTGCAACGCATAACCAGATCTCAACGCTTCCTCCCCTCTCACACGCACCGTTTTCTTTCCTTTCCTTTTTCTACCCCTTCTCCTCTCATCACAATGAGAGCCAGACTAGGTAACTTTCAAGCTAGCTTGATGTAAGCCGGCAGGCAAATCGTAAAGAATCTGATCATCTCCATAGAACACCAAACAAATCCGGCACTCTTCGCACCAGAAATGGCGCCATCCATCCTCCTCAACGGCACTCCTCCGATAACGTCCAGCGTGGAGCCGGGGTCTCGGGGAACCACCCTTTCCGGCCCCTGCCCGCCCCCCTTGTCAACACCTCCCTTCCCCCCCGGTCACGGTCTTGGCGGTCCGTGAAAATCTCTCGCAAAGCAGGGAATCCAAAAAAAGAATCCCCAAACCCACCCCAGCCAGGATGTGATTCATGGCTCCCATCCCATGGCAGACGTGACAGGTGGAGGGAGAAGCCGTCGCCCTTCTCCACCCCCCCTGCCACCCAAGAAGTGGACATCTAATAATCCCAGGCAGAACTCCCCTTATCACAAGCCAAATAAGCCGGGACAGGAAGCGTTGCCGGATGGGGGTTTATGGATGGTTCCCCGGGGGGAGGGGCCGAGGATGAGGGAAGATCTTGACGATCTGGGCTCGGACTCGCCCACATCAACCGACTGACGATGGCGATGACGACCATCCCCCTATTCATCTTGTTAGAATCGTAGGCGTCGGGCCCCGTTGTATTCTTTCCCTTCGTTTCGTCACATCACCAGGAGAGGGGAACTAATATTGCGGGCCCAGTGGAGCATCCGCGTAAATGACCTCTGTGTCATGACTTGGGGGTCGGCGGGTGAGAGACAAGGGATCCAGGGCCATGTGGGATTTGTTTGATACCCGTTGAGAAAATCGAACGCTACCTCCCCTGATCCTGGGCGGACCCATGTGTGCCTGCTGCCTGGTAACTAGTGTTGCTGTGCCAGAGCAGAAGAGGAAGCTGTTATTGATTAGTGCCAGCGGCAGTCGATGGGAAAACTGTTGATAAAAGATCTTGGAGCTAAGAAACCCCACTAGCAGAAAGATGGAAGGCGGCGGATGCTGTTTTGAGGGCTGTCAATACTGGTCAGAGATCTGGGCATTACTTGTAGCCAACGTCATTCGGAAGACGCCTTTGGTGTGGGGAGTTGGGCAAATAAACTATCACGCCGTACTGTTGGAAAGAAGGTGCATCAGCTGCAGGTACCTCCTGTCACCTTCGGCGCTACCCTTCCTCCTCCCCTCTTTGGCGGACATGACATGACAGGTAACAATCTGCACACGAGGCGGATCGAGCATCCGTGGTCGATCTGCGAGGGGTTGCGTCTTTTCGGATGCGACATTGACAAATCCACCCTTGGTGGGCTTTTGCCCCCTCAGGGTTCTGACGGGAGTTGCATGAGAAGGCTTCGCCTGTCTGATTATCGTCCCGAAATGCGTCGGCTCTTTCCACTTCCCCTTTTCCCAACCGACGGCCCCCGGGGAACGAGACTTGGCAAAGCAATGACATGTCTGATTGTTGCTACTCTCTTGTTGTACTTACCTGCAGTTAGTAACTCCTCCATAGTCGTCGAGGCATTATCCCACGTTTGAGGCGGCAGCGAATAAGTTGGCAACTCATTTATACTTCACCTAAACTTGCTTACTCCCTGCCTATTCCACTATCTCAGGAGTAAAATCCAGAAGATGGCTCTTAGACTATAGAACAGTAGTCGATCATCAGACCAGGCTGATATACGACAGGATGCCCCTGTATATCGGTTCTGCTGACGAGTTGCTGTGGTATACACCGTTGTTTACCCGAGAGCCTTAATCGCTCACGAGACACTTGGGAGTGGTGCCCCCGTCTCTACCCCTGCCATGGTTCGCGGTCAAGATCTGACGGGGCGCGCCCAGAAATCGGAGCTGACTGGGTGGACGATGGCTGCGCTTGTGCGAGATTTGACAGTCCATCTTGACTTCCCCATCGCACGGTAACGGGGGCCTAAGGCGGCGCCCTTTGAATCCCGTACGCCTCACTTGGCGATAAGCACGACGTCCCTAGTGGGCTCGAACACCCTCATCACGGCCGTACGTTGCGGCAGTTGGCAGGTTGGCAGGTGACTTGCATGCTGTTCATGTATATTAATCGACCGACCAACTGATCGGTGGGCGCCTCCTGAGCGGTGTAAGCCCGCCGGCAACCTCCTCATTCTCCCAGCGTAACCCGGGTGTTGGCGGGAGGACGGTGAGGACGTACTTCAGCCTCCCCAGGCGAGGATTCGTCGGAAGAAAACTCTGTAGCTCGGCGTAGCAGAAATGGGGTTGGACGAAGAGGCGTGAACCTCTTCAGCTGAAACTCTGACATTCTCCGCATACAACGTCGCGGTGGGACACGGAAAGAGACCACCAGGAAAAATGCGATTTTTATACGGGGGTTGCCGACCCGGTGAACAAGACAAGCCTGGGGTACGACGGGCGGAAAGGTCGCCGCATGTTTGTACAACGTGCAGCCGCCGTACCCAAAAAGTGGTGAGCATGTAGCGAGCCGCTTCGACAGCCGCGAAAACTGGTTGGATGATATACGCCCAACTGGGGGACAAGATCACGAGGGAGGGGCGTGTCGCTATACACGAGTCGAAAATAGGAAGAGCCCTTCGTTCCACTGGTCAAGAATGATTCCCTGGGCTGTTGTTCCTGCAAGATTGGCGATGTATGTACTGTTAGCGTGCCAAACTCGCTGGACCTACCTGTCTGTCCGATGATGCGTTCAGCTTGTACTTCCGCACCTTTGGGGGGGAGCATCTGTGACAGATCCCGTGTTCTCCTTGTCTGTGGGTTGTTGGTAAGGCTCACCCTCTCTCTTCTGGCTTGTCCTGCATACCTAGTGTTGTTTGTAACGTTTGCCAGGACAGTCCGTATACATGCCCACGAGGCTCAAGTCAAGACATGGTGTCACTCCCTCGCCTGAATCGGAGTAATAGGTTGAACCCTCCGCTGCTCGACTGCACCCAACTGGAATGCTATCCTCCGCATTTGACTCGGACACCGGGAAATCGGTTTAGCCGCCGTTATCCCGGAGATGGGGAAGGTGGACAAAGTGAAACGACCCGACCGAACGGGTTGTCTTGGCGGCAGGCGCCGGTCCACTTTTGACCTCCCACCCCCTCCCTTGTGCCAAGGGACCGGGGTCCTGACAGTGACAGGTCAGCCCTTACCGATTCAAGGAATTGTCGCGAATGGTCCCTGCGCAATTTGACAAGGGGGGTGCCACAACAATCTGCAAAATGGTACCTTGGCGTACTCGGGTACTACTTTCACGGATACGTACCCATGATATGGAGGCATGGACGGCAAGACGACGACGACCCTCACTTTTAATGTGGAAATTGGCTCTGTGCGTATTTTTGGATTGCTAGGTAGGTACCTAGGTAGGTAAAATTAAGTTTGCCTGCACCTGCACGAGGGGACAAATGGGGCCGCAGTATTTTACCAACACGGCCAAGACAGATGGGTAGCGACAGCCTTGGGCTCGGGTTGCTGACATGAAGACAGCCTCCCTTGCATGGGCACGAATATGTACGTCACTGGAAGTGGAAACGGCTAGCGGGGGGTTGCCAAGCTGATCAACCCATTTCCCACATCATTCCCGCCGATATTTACACTACTTGGCGACACAACATACCACTTTCGACCTACTACCTACGTATGACTTGGCCTCGATACCTACCTACCTACCTCGTTAAGGTCCGAGCCAGCGGTGTGTGAGCCCAAGGTCCCCCTATTCCAGTGTCCGTTTTCAGGAGATAATCGTATACACGCCGTACACCACATAGGACCCTACATAGGTAGGCCACCACATTGTACATCGTACATCGTACATCATAAAGCACAGCACGTGCATCTACTTGTTTGTTGGCTCAGGGCTGTCATGCAGCGTGCATCGGTTTGGGACTGTGTTGACGACCGTGCTGCCTCCCAAAACCAGGGTCAGGGCTTTTGAGTGCCGTCGATGCATCCAAGCTGCCGTATGCAATACGAACTCGAATTAAAGGTCGACCTTACAGTGTGCTGCCTTCCTCGGCAGCCCGTGTGGCTTAATGTTAATGTTTGATTGCACATTGACCAGCTCACTGCCCATTGTTCCCCTACTCCGTATCGGGTGTTCCGTACATGCTACGAAACTGGCGTGTAGACAGCGCTGAGTCACTTGCTCAATGTACACGAATGTTGTCCCAGGGGCGAAATCGAAATCCCGCATCGGCGCACCGTCCCGGCCGCTTGCAGTTGTCCGTGCAGTCCGTGGGTACTCTGACATGGGAATATGAATTTTCGGGTGCCCCAGTTCGGCGGAACCGTGAGTGATTGGCCTTCTTTACTACTATTTACGTAGCTACGTACTGTAAATGGCCCACCTCTTCCACCGTCAAGCCCATTTTCCACACCGTTTGACATGGAAGTTCAGGACTGGATGGCACCTGAATAGCAGCGGGGCAGGGTGACCTGACGCCAGTTTGAAAGCTAAACTTGCCTATCTAGGCAGGCGTTCATTAGCTCTGGAGCAAACTGTCCTGGCTGACGCCTGCACCAGGCGATTAGCGTCGTTGAGCGATGTGGTCTTGAACTCTACCAGCGGCCATGATCTAGGCCTTGACTATCTTCTTCACTTGTATCCATTGATTCATGGATTGCCGTAATCCCAGGTTGCTCAATTGTTGAGCATCGAGCGCCCGTGCGCCCAATACTTCTTTTCGTGGTCTAGGTTGTCTGTTAGGGTGGCCGTTGGTGGCTCCGATTAGATCGCCATTGTTCCTGACGTATGTACTGTACCGTATGTATCTCCTCCTACCATGCTACATAGGTACCTCCATTTGTCGGGGGGCGGTGCAGATTAAGGCAACTGGGAACTTGGGTGATAGATGCTGAAAAGCCAATCGCAAGCAAAGGAATGTTGCTTGAACCACAACCAAGATCCCCCTTCTCCATTTCAGATCTGCCCGCCGCCCGCACATCAACGCAATGCCGTGGCAGATTTGGCGAGCCAATTGCAACGGGCCTTGGCCCCTTGCATCACCACGCTAACTACCTGACGGACAGATAGATGCACCTCGGAAAGGCAGCGTTGCACGCCGTTAAGAGGTAAGAAAAACAAGCCCGACTCATCTATCAATGGTTCCGGGGCCGATTACAAAATAAAGAAATCGGAACGGAATATCCTGTGTCGAGCATCGATCTGAACGCTCTGTCTTCTTCTTTTGGGGACCCCGTCGTCGGCCAGACTGACGGCGATATCTGGGGTTTTAAAGCTTCCTTCGTCAAACTATCACACCGTGCTGACGCACGGCGAGAATTGGCGCTACCTTGCCGGCGGTCTGCCGCCGGCAGGCATCGGGACAGCCCCGAGGTTGGGTATTCGTCAACCTTTGATCAGCAAGGAATTTAGGATTAAGAAGGTCTACCGTCGGCCGAGGCTGCGATAACTCTTCGCGGTCCGTTTCATTCTTGGGCCCAGTTGTTCTGGACGTCCCACCGGCTTTTACTATCTCGTTGCAGATCGCTGCGGAAATCGGGTTGTCAAGCCAGATGACTCGGCATAACGCCTCGGCCACACCTTGAAATGGATGAAGAAACGCCGAGAGCATTAGATCAGTTAGAAGGATAGGTACCCCTCCAATGACATCTCCTGGGAAATAGCGCAGGCTTTGGTTTTCCCATCCGCCAGCCAGGTCCTGTGCGTGGCCGATAGGTATTGTACATACAGCACATACCTTAGTTGGAGACAAACCTCTGCACCCCCGGCTTGTCACAGGAGACCATCGGGGTGGCTTGGGTGAGGCCCGACAGGAGTCAGCCCGGTCGTACTTACCCTACATCATCGATGGAGGGAAGTCATGTCAGTAGCACTGGCCTTGTGCTGGCCCCATTGCCCAGGGTTCGGACGGGGACCAACTTTCCGACCTGATGCCTCATGCCCTTTACCACCTAATAGTTATGGCTTAACGGGCGCTTGCATTCTCAGGCTACGATTCATTGACAATGGCTTACGATCCAGCTTGTCCGCCGAAACAAGATCCAACCTCCTTCCCTGATCCTTTACCATTTCTGGTCTCTGCCTGCATATGTAGGTGGTTACCTACAGCAGTATAACATCATCTGCAATTTCCATGAAGTATGCCAGGAGGTGGGTCCGTGTAAGTAACGTGCTTGCCACGGTGCTGTCAGATCGTGACCTCAATCCATCCTTTGCAATTTCTTCATCTGGCTTGCGCCCCAAGTCCCTTGACGGGGGTTTGTGGGACGGTGGGGTGGTGGGCCGATGAGACCTGGGAAGACCCCTGTTGGTTTCCCCCAGCGTCAACTCTCCCGACCAGGTCATCGTCCCGTGTCACTCATTGCAGAGGGCAGCTAAACAGAAACAGGAGCTGTTCCTGTTTCCACCCATATGGAGTGCAGGTATGGAGATTAGCTGTCAGCCCTGGCCTCGGCCCTGTCAAAGCCCCTTGCTATGTATCCGTACCCAGTCTCCACCGCACATCACTTGTTAATAATCCACACACCCCGCCGTTACCCGCCTATGCCACCTATACCTACCTACGCAGTACTGCGGAGTGGTAAGGTTAGGTAGGTAGGTAGGTAGGTAGGTAGGTTATGTGTAGTTCCTATGTGATGAAGAGGAGTGTGCGTGTGTGTGCCTACGCCGCGTGCTACGGTCCTGACATTCCAGTCTATCCAGTTCTTCCACCGCGAACCTGACATCTTTGGTCTGTTTAATTGTCTCCTTCCTAACCCTGTCCTGGAGACTGCACTTGTTGCGTCTTGATTCAGTACCCCTCTCCCCACCTAGCAGAGTATGCCTGCCATGTGGGCAGAAGGGGAGCAGATATCAGTCCCAGGGTCCCCCCTACCCCATCGTCCGGATACATGTGGTGTACACTCACTACCTTAGGTTAGGTAGGTAGTTAGGTAGGTACTACATTACCTGCCTACAACCTACACCTCTACATTCTGCCATCCCTGGTTCCCTGTTCGCAAGCGCATGCTCCTTCCAGTTTAGCTTTGCCCATCAAAACCGTCTCCAAATCCCAAAGATGCCCTGCCCAAGATCTAATATACGCACTTGAGCCTCCAACTCCAACTTCCGTACCGTCTTCCACTTCCTTGCCTGTCACATCCTTACAAAAATTGTTACCTATACTACGTTGTTTTTGCCCTGGAGAGCCCTTCTCGCCACTTCAGATCTGTTGGTTTGAATCAAACTCGCCGTCACCGCCGTCACCGCCGTTCCTTGTCGTTCGCTCCGTTATATGATCCTGCCAGAACTCCCTCATGGACTAGGTGCCTAGACAAGACGTCTACCAATCGAGGGCCTCTAGCACATACATAAGACAGCCATTGTCTTCCTTGTCCTACGAACACCACCAGGCCTCACCCTATCCCGGTCATCATCGCTTCTCGCCTTTTCGGCCCATCTCCCCTTCGCTGGGTTCCAAAAAAAAACCAAAAAAAACGTCCGAGATCACGCCCAGCTGTCATTCACCGCGCCTCTGACCCCTGATCTACTCACAAACTCTGTGAGGAGTGACTTATAAAGTCTTCCTCGCCACCGTCGATCGGATCGTGCTTAGGCAGAATCACCGACAATCGTGCCACCATGTCTCTACCCGGACTCGGACCAAGGGACCACTTCCGGATAGGGGAGTCATTTAGATGGCATGCAGGAGGTCAAGCAGACTCGACCTGGAAGACTCAAGATGCCGGTGACAGACTCTCTTTACCATCCATCCGCCAGGTAAACGACTGACTGCTCACTGCACCACGAATTCTCGGTGCAAGAACTAACCGGGTTCATAGATGATTCCGGAGACAGAAATTGGCACCATGGGCCTGGTCGCAGCTTCAAGAGCGTCGTCATCAACTGCATCGCCAATCTCTGGCCATTCTGGGGCAGTGACTACCCCCGAGTATACTTATTCATCCTATTCAAACAAGCGGCGGCGCGTGTCGTGGGGCGAAGAAGACGACGAGAGGGCAAGCCAGGTCCCAAGACTTTATTCCCATTCCTTGAAAGATTCGCCAGGGCTCTACCCCTATCCCTCGCTAGCTTCCGCAAGGCAGCCTCCTAGTACTGTATCTCCCACGACAATCCCGAGACCGGCAACAGAGTCTTGGGCTGGTCCTTCGCGAATGGTGCAAACCGGCGTTCTTCCGCCCATCGGGGAACGTCGACGGACGCTACCCAATTTTGCCTCGTTGCCCACACACCAGCAGTCGGTTGAAGACTACCCTTCAGAACGCCCACGGATGGCTGCGTTCTCGAGCAATAGCCAGATGGCTGCGATGGAGGCTGATACTCGTCCTTCTCAATCTGGAGACTCCTATGGATCATACCATCCGGCCCGGGCTCAATCCCACTCTCTTCGCCCACCTCTTTATGATCAGAATAGTCGCAGTCCCGTGCTACGTTACCCAGGGTCCGCGCGTGTGAATGAACGCGGTGGAACAGTTCCGATCAAGGACGGCAAGCGCCCCAAGAGACGAGGCAACCTACCTAAGGAGGCAACGGATAGCCTTCGAGCCTGGTTCATTACTCATCTGAAACATCCCTATCCGACTGAGGAGGAGAAGCAGCAGCTCTTGGGGCAGACTGGCCTAGAGATGAGTAAGTTGGGCCACCTAGACGTGAGCTATCTATCTATGGAAGATAATGCCGCTAACAGGTTGTCTGCCAGACCAAATCTCCAACTGGTTCATCAATGTTCGACGCAGGCAATGGCGTTTAGCCGTACGAAACAGCCAGGCCGATGTCCTGTCACCCAGCCGAACTTCGAATGGCCGGTCTCCCGATGCCTCGGGGAGGACCGATCGCGATAATGGCGAGAGACTCAGTGACGACGAAGGGAGCACATGCAGCGATGATTCGAGACCGACGAATGCCGAGAGATCGCCAACATACGAGACGTGAACACCTGAGAGAATTTGCCTACCCGGCTGGCCACTTTTAACCACTCCTCTCAAATAACTCTCTCAACTGGTCAGCGCAACCAGACCCCGATAAATATCGACGCGCGCCGAGAAGGACTGCGTTATCATCGACATATCCGGCATATGTATCAATATGTAAAGGCGCGAGAAATCTAAAGGAAGGAAAAGTAAAGGTAAAGAAAAGGACAGGAACGGCAAGGAAGGCGAGGCCATATGATGCATTATGATTGCAATGAGTTGTAATTTCGTACTTGTATTGATATCGATTTTGAGCTTCAATTCCCTGGACAGTTCTGAGCGGACTGGGCTTCGACGCCAACTATAGCGGCATGTTGAGTGGCGGTGTTCCCTGGGTAAGAACAATGGCATGGTGAAGAAGATCCCCTTCTCCCTCCCCCTCCGCTGCCTTCCCCGGGCTGGGCGAGCTCCCAGTCGATCTCGCTTGGCACGCCGATACACGTACCCCGACTCATGAAGTCTGTCTGCCCTCGCGCCATGGAAAGTATTTGCAAGTGGAATCATTCACAACTAGAAGTAACAAGGTTGTACTCGACTGCCCAACCGGAAGTTATCAGATGGGAGAATTGAGAAATGGGTGGCAAAAAGGGGCAGCAGGCGAGTCGCCCCGAAGGCGAGTGAGGAACAGTTGAAGAAGCGATACACCACCGAATTACCCCATTACCCCATGGCTGCGACTGTAGATCCCCCCATCTTCTCCGTTGATCTTTTGGACTTGTTGGGACGTTCTGTGGACGTTGTCACCAGACGGGCTGCGCGCAGATCTATGAATAGACAGATCTGCAAGATCTGCGGTCGATTTTGGGATTGGAAGGCTTCGACGCAGAACCGTGCAGGGACCGGGAAAAAAAAGGGGGGCTACAACCCGACGGGAAAATTGAATGCAGCAATGACACGTCGAACCACCTCGCTTGCAACTACCAAGTCTGGTCGTTGGCCGATGACCTATACATCAAGGAGGATTAGGAGATGACCACACAGTCTCTCAGAGCTCCGGTGTCGCTACAGAGCCTAAACTAGACCGGCGAGGTCCCTCAGGAGCCCGGCTCTACCTCTGACCATCTGCAGGAGTTTGAGGACTCTGATGATGAGAAGGCGACACACAAGCCATTCATGTCACATCGTTGGCGGGAGACTGGGACCTCCGTTGGGCGAGAGAAAACTATCTACAACTATGTCGAGCGGAACCATGTAGGCCAGCCCACAGCCACATCGGGAAACTGGCCACATGGGAAGGTGTCGACAAAGATGGCTGACGGCAACAGAGCCCAACCAGGAGAATACACAGCAACTGGAGAAGTTATTAGAGCACTAGCTAATTCAAGCTGCTGACGAGCACGCAAGCATTAAAAGCGCATAGTTGCAACTTCCTACGGATCCGTACTGTTACTGCCTAAGCAATTCCGTAGAACCATGGTCACTACCTACAGAAAACAAAAGAAACAGCAGCTATATAATATTGAACTGAAACAGTTAGAATGGTAAAAATATAAACTTCACAAAGCTGGAAAGGAGACAGGGAAAGAAAAAGAAAAAAAAAGAGAGTAAGAGGAGAAATAATCAAAAAATTGACTCCGGTACGGGGAATCGAACCCCGAGCCCCGCGGTGAAAACGCGATATGTTGACCGTTACACTATACCGGATAGCACGTTCTTATAGGTTCTCGTTTTCCGCACATATAAAGATAGCTGTGGGCCAAGAATGATATCTCTCTGCAACGATCTGTTCAAGCGTTAAGGCGTCTGAATAATTTCCTGCCAGCTCCACTTGCAAGAAATATGCAATAGCGTAATGACACCTACTGCTAGCACAGACCCCTGCCGCGTGCCAGAATGGTCAATTCAAACGTGGAAGAACCTACGTTCTAAGTAATGCAGATGATCGGGAGGCAATCGGTGATGGAACTTATAAGAGCAGCTATCATTCAGATGTGTTATCGGGCCAGTTAACGGAATGTGGTTATTTGGAGCTGCGAAATCTATCGTCCACAAAATGCAACGGAGGAACAATAGAACAGCAGTACCCGCCCCCCGACCTTCAGTGGGGATGAGGCGATGCTGGTGTCTCGCATGGAATGGTTCGACGCGGCGGCTTCCTTGCTTCGTCATGCAACAAATGCAGAATCACTGATGTTCTAGAGAAGGATGGCCTGCCTTAGACCGCTGAGCGCTGTAACTACCTAGTATCCGATATATTTTCACTTCCTTATCATTTCCTTCCCTTGTATCGACAGAATGTACTCTTACATTGTGGCCTTCGTTGCCTTTCTCGTACTCTTCTACAACCCAATCTCAGAGCTCCTCTCACCGGCAACACCGCAGATTCGGCGAACCCCCCGGCCGCAAATCAACTTCGACCTACTGGCACCAGAACAGGACACAGCCAATGGGACGAGCATACAGTGCCCCGAGGACTCCTATTCCGTCCACATCTTCTCGAGGGAGCCTCTAGTCCTGTACATCGAGGGATTCCTACGGCCAGAGGAGCGGGCTCACCTCCTTGAAATCAGGTCAGTTGGCGCACGTCCCCCCCCCCCTCCCCCCCCAAATCCCATGATCATCAACCATTCCCATCCGGCTAACACCCAAACAGCGAGCCCATCTTCGAGCCCTCGACCGTGACCCACGACGCGGGCTCGACGGCGCACCGCGACGCCGGCGTCCGCGACTCGGAGGTGGCGCTGGTGCCGCGCACGGCGGGCGTGCGGTGCGTCGAGGCGCGCGCGCGCGCGCTGCAGGGGTGGCGCGACGAGGTCTGGGTCGAGCGCCTGCGCGTCCAGCGCTACCGGCCCGGCGGCCACTACGGGCACCACTTCGACTGGAGCTCCGGGCGCGGCGGGTGGGGGCGCGTCAGCAGCTTCATGGCGTGGGTGGACGACGGCGACGGCGCGCTGGCCGGCGGCGGTACCGAGTTCCCCGCCCTGAGGGGCAGTGGCGATCCGAGGTGGTGCCGGTTCGTCGAGTGCCCTGCTAATAGCACCAGGGAGGGGGATGGAGGGGATGACCAGGGGGGGACGGTGTTTAAACCGTTGGTCGGCAATGCCGTCTACTGGGAGAATTTCCGCGCCGATGGCACGGGGAGTGGCTACGAGGAGACGTGGCACGCCGGGCTGCCCGTCGTTGAGGGGGTAAAGGTTGGGCTGAACATTTGGAGTTGGGGCAGGATCGAGTGAACAGGCAAGGCGTGGTAGACCCGGCAACAACCGTAACTTGCATATTCACAGCCGCGCTTCAGCTTGATTGAAGACTGAGGACGGGACGTGTGCATGCCTCATTAGCATGCACGATCGGGACGCATCTCGATCGGGATGTAATGCCGGCCCATTTTCATTGTTTCCTGGTGGACCGGATCCGGTTGTGGACGATAGCCAAGGGCCTAAGCGTGGCTAGCTACTAAGCTTACGCACACTTCGTCTGAACCAACAGGCACGGCAAAGAGTCACTGGTCACGCGGCGTTACACCAGCATCGCTAACGATCTAGCCGGCGTCTTCTGATGGAATGGTGCGGATCAGATAACAAGCCACAGAATTGAGGCTCGCCGATGACTCACATTTAACTGTGACGGAGGCGCCTGCTTGGCTGGAGATGTCGGTAGTCGGAGCAAAAACCGTCCGTTCGCCTATGCGACCCGCACTGGCCCAAGCCCACAAGGCTCAGCACACGGAACACGGGGGATGCGTAAAGGGCTTTTAAAGCAAACAAGCCCCGTGGCTTACGTACACTCTCATATGAAGAGAGAGAGGACGTGTAAAGATTGAAATGCCTTGAATGGGGATCGCTGCCCCAGGTTCGATGCTGAGTCTCGCCACCTCCATCCTCGATTTTGCCGCCAGCGGCATTGGAAGTCATAAGCGTCCGGTCCGGGCAGACCACGGCCATGCCGAGACCTGAATCAGCCTTGTTGGACGAATCGTCCGGCGCTCCACAGCCCTCGGAGCTGCTCGCATGTTCAACCTGCCGAAGCCGAAAACTGAAATGTGACCGGTTGAGGCCCGCTTGCACTCGGTGTGCCAAGGCGAAGAGCGAGTGTACCTATCCGGCATCGCGGAGGAAGCCCGCCGCCAAGCGAAAGAATGCCAGGGAGCTCGAGTCGCGATTGGGTAAGGGGGAAGAAGTCTCGTTTCTTTTGACGGCATCATTTACTAAAGAAATCCCAGCCAAATTAGAGGGCATGCTGAAAGGCGTCAGCACCGTTGGAAGTGTTGGCAGCACCAGCAAAACTGCTGAAAATGTTATCGATGTTGACAGCCAGGGAGGCAGCTCGTCCTCTGCCGCACAGGAAATGGAGACCATGTGGTTTGGAGGGGAGTTTGACCTCGACGAGTCCTTCGTGACAAACCTCCTGAATGGTGACGTGCCCCCCGTCGGCCCTCCTCCGCAGCAAACTCCTCCTTCCATCTCGGCCGACGACAGCCCGGGCGGCTTCGAATCTTTCCCTACCGGTGAGATGGTAGGGCTGGGCCAGTTCGAGACTCTTCCTCCGTTCGCACTGATCGAAGAATTGTGAGCCGCATTCCGTTTGCCCACCCGCTCAAAGCCCAACCCATATTAACATCGATGTAGGCATAACATATTCTTCCAGAAGCAGCACAGCTTCATCCCAATCATCCACCAGGGTAGGTATATTCGCGCCTTCCACTCGGCTCCGCATATGAGGCCTCCGATGTGCCTTCAATACGCCATCTGGGCGATGGCGGCAAATGGCCACGAGGAGTATGGGAGCTATTCCGATATCTTCTATCAGCGCACACGGCGCTATTTGCAGGACGATGAATTAAAGGTATGGCCTGATCCTGATCACAGGTGCAGCGATTCAGACACCCTCACTACAACTTTCTGAATAGGGGTTTGGAGAACACTCCCTGACCGTTGCCCATGCGCAAGCATGGGCGCTGACTGCGACACTGGAGGCCCGTTGCATGTTCTTCACGAGGGCAGGGCTGAGCTCGGCAAGATGCGTGAAGCTGATCCACATGATGGGCCTTCACCGACTTGATGATGTCCCAGACGAGCAAAAACTTGTGGCACCGCTCCTTCCTCCCTCACAAAGCTGGGTCGAGCTTGAAGAGAGACGACGTTGCTTTTGGGGCGGATTCTGCATCGACAGCCACGCCAGTATCAGCACGGGATGGCCAACCCTGATTAACATCGACGAGGTATGCTATTGAAACTTGGTGGCGGAGAGGGGAGTCAGGTGCTGAAGCCTTGTACTTTAGGTCACCACGCTGCTGCCGAGCTCCGAGGAAGCTTTCAATGTGGGCCGGGAAGAGAAATCACCGACCCTACAAGAAGCCTTGAAAGGGGCGGATTACTCTACCTTCGCTGGCGCCTCAGTCATATGCCACATCTTCAACAAGATCATGAAGCACATCCACCGGCCGACGCCAAATGACAGGGCCGACGATGTCAACAACGGCACGTTCTGGAAGCGACACCGAGAACTCGACAATGACCTGTCCAGCATCTTCATGTTCCTCCCCGAACGCTTCAGGCTGCCGAAGAACCTTCGGGACCCAGTAGCTGTCCATACCAACCTCAATCTCCACGCCGCCGTCATCTGCCTCCACAACGCTGCCTGTGACAAGGTAGACACGTTCAAGCTACCGGCCCATCTGAAGAAGATGAGCCAAGACCGGTCACTGACGGCCGCCCAGGAGATCACTAACATCACGAAGCTGACCTCGCACATCATGACGAGCTATGTAAGTCCAGCCCAGTCGGCCAGCGCAGCTCCTTGACAGAACCTATGGGCGCCGTTCCTGTCCCAGAGCTAATGCGGCCAACAGAAAAGCCCGCTAGTATCGCTCTCGCTGTACTGCGCAGCATCGACATACATCTACCAAGAGAAAGACACACGGGGCAGCTGCGACATGGGGAATCTCGAGTTCCTCGTCAACTGCATGCTGGCCATCAGCAGGGAGCACGTCATCACTCGGGCCTTCCTGCAGCAGGCCCTTCTAGACATCGAGATCAACGGCATCACCACGTCGCTCAAGATCCCCCCCCGCGACAAGATGCCCAACAACACCTCCTTCAACAGCATTCCCCTCCTCGCCCGCAGCTCCGTCTCCCGCCGGCCGGGCGTCCCGCCTCCGCCCCCCTGCAGTCTCCGCGGGCCGCCCCTCCAACACAACGGGCGCAACCGCTGGCCCTTCCCCTCCTGGTCCACCACCAGCAGCTCATCAGCCGACAGGGAGGAAGGAACCAGCCCCGACAGCGCCCAAGCCACCCCGACCACAACCGCAACCACCACCGCCCCGCCAACCAAGCGCAGGCGCAGATCTCCCGGCCCGACGGCGCCGCCCGCCCCCTCCCTGACGACAAAAGCACCAACGAACACAACCACCACCACCACAACGCACGGCCCATCCGTCTGGGGTGCACCCACCTCCACCGCCGCCTCCTTCGCGACGCTGGCGCACCGCGGCAGTGCCGCCCGCACCGGGTCATCGTCGTCGTCGTCGACCGCGCTCCCCCGGACCGCACCCCCGGGTTGCGGTGTCCTGCCTCCGATGCCGGCGGCGCCGGGAGGCGGGAACGTGGCGCAACACCAGCCGCAGGAGCAGGAGCAGCAGATGCCCGATCTTAGCATGTTCCCTGATATCGGGGGGCAGTGGAGTCTTGATGATCTCGGCTTTGATGATGGGGCTGGGGGCGAGGCGTGGGCTTTTCTTGTTGATGAGGGTGGTGGTGGTGGCGGCGGCGGCGGAACGTGGGGTGGGGAGGCGGGAGCTGGGTAGGGCCAAGGGGGTTGGTCTTCATTGTCTTTATTATACGGGGGCAGCTGTGTACAACATCGTGCCATGATACCATGGAAAGGATATATAGCCCGAGGGGGTTCGGGCTGGCAAAAAGAACCGTCTTGGAAGGATGGTTGGTGGGTTTACGGCGTTGGTGTACAGACGAGATGAACACAACTCAATCTTAATCTAATCTCCACCCGATCAAAACGGATGAAGCCGAACTCCTCAAGTCTTATCTATACCTGTCCGTCTGATGCTCTTTTCTCGTGACAAAAACTCCCTTACATATATTATTATCATGACATTCGCGGATAGTCATCTCAGCGAGGGCCAAGCACTAACCACGCGATATCACAGCACAATTGACCCAACCCCCCCCACCCCCTCCCGTTACTCAACAAAGCCCCCCAGACCAGGTACCAGAGCTTAAAAGGCAAAGACCTGGTCCTCGAGCTTGCTGACAGGCCGGGCCTTCTTGTATCCCAGGGCCTCCGTCGTCTTCTTCAGTCCGCTGATCATGGGCGGTGGGCCGCAGAGCAAGATCTTGACATCAGGGGCGGGTTTCGGGAGCCATTTCTGCGGGGGTTCTCGTTAGCCAGAGCACTACAATTTTAAGAACAACCAAATAGATCAGCAAAAAAGGAGCCTCACCGTGATCATGTCAGCCGTGACGTAGCCGACGCCGCCGGTCCACCCGGCGGGCGGCTTGTCGAGGACGTAGTGGACGCGGAAGCCCTTGTCCTCGGCGGCGAGGGCGTCGAGGTCCTCCTTGAGCAGGATGTCCTGCGGTGTTACGTTCGCGAAGATGAGGTCGACCTCAGTGCGGTCGCCCGCGGCGCGGCCGCGGATGATGGCGCGCACGACCTGCAGCATGGGCGTGATGCCGGTGCCGCCGGCGACCATGCCGAAGTGGCGGACCATGTTGGGCGTGTAGACGAAGGCGCCCTTGGGGCCGCGGACGCGGATCGTGTGCCCCACCGCCAGGCCGGCCATTACGCGGCTGATGTTGCCCGTCGGGTACGACTTGATCAGGAGGTCGAAGTAGCCCGGCTGGTGGTCGCCGCTGATGGGCGTGTACGACCGCACGATCTCCTTGCTGCTGCCGTCCGGCTGCGCGATGTTGGCGCCGATCGAGATGTGCTGCCCGATCGGGAGGCCGAGGATCGAGGTCGGCGCTGGGAGGCTGAAGCGGTAGCTGGGTTTGGGGAGAGGAGAGGTCAGCTTCAGGGGGGTCCGGAAGTCCATTCGCTCGGATCTCCGCGGAGATGCACGCTCTTTCACTTACATGGCGACATTGTGAGAGATGACCGTCTTCTCCTTTAGCTCAAACTCTTGGAAGACATCCGGCTTCAGGACCTTCTTCGGCTCTGTACGCCCCCCAATTTGTCAGAAACCCGCAAAACGTTGAGTAAGTTGAAAGGCGGCGCGGGTCAGCTCACGGAGGTTATAGAACTTCAACGCGCCCAGAACGACCGCGAGAAGGGCAGCATATGGTGTCCACTCCATCTTCACGATCACCATCCCAAAGATAAGCAGGCCCGCGGGTATGTAAATCCCGTGGATGTACTGGGATGCAAACAGCGACTCGGCCGCCATTCTGGTCACCTCTATCTCAACAGCTCCCAATGCTTGGGAAACGGGCTCTTTCGTCGGATTGGAAGGCGGCAAACGGTTCTCGAAAGGCCAGAGGAGCTTCTGGCACCTAGATTTCGACGCTGGCGAGTTGCCGTTGGGCTCTCAATTTCAATTGACGGAGGTGTGCGAATTCGATGAGTGGGCCAACATTTTTTGCTGCTCGACCCATTTCGGCCTCCGATGGGCCGGCAATTGCTCTAGCTCCAATTTCGGGGGGCGCGGGCGGTGAATGGCAAACCTTGGGTCCGTAAAATTCCATATGCCCCAGGGCCCCTTGCCCCGGAAAATAAGTATTCCCGAACATTCCGAGGTTCGGGGTCGGGTCGGGATGGCAATGAAGATTGGGGGAGGGAGCCCGACGGGAGAGGGGAGATGCACCTGTTGGATTAGGTACTTCGTAATTTATTTTGGTACTGGATTCTCTGCCCGTGTATGTTCTTGCCATCCCCCTTACCCCACTTTCAAATCCAAGGCTACCGAGGCAGAAAGGAAGAGGTAGCGATTTCGCAATGGGAGATGCCGGCGCCGAAGAGCCTCCATTTCCCTTGACGGAGGTGGACAAGTGGGTACTGTCGCAAACCGACGAGGAGTACAGGTACCACGATTGGGAAGAGCTACGGCAAATCATTGGTAAGCTTTTTCAATCGTGCCTTCAACTAGCTAGGTAACTAGCTACCCATCGCCGCAGAGCCAACCAAGGCCAGGATGGGGGACCTTCGCCTGCACCTTATCCTGAGTGCCAGCTCTCCTTGGAAGCTTATTAGATCCTGTAAATATTGACAGTCACCAGAGACGAACAACCTCTCGGTCCTCAAAAGGAAGCCATCCGATTTGCGTCGATACATGAAATGGACTGCAGAGACCAAAGCTCAGTATGGGAGCATGACCAAGTATCTCATGGTCCATCGCTTGCCCAAGAGCTGGGGAGCCACACCTTTCCAACCAGCATCTGTCATCCCCTTCCAGGATCCGTCAGACTATCGCGTCCTCGTCAATGACTGGCCATATGGCTTTACCCAAGGAATCAGCCACATAGTAGTCTGGTCACGAACTATCATCCCAACCGACCCAGAGTCGGGCGACATGACCCCAGAGAGCAGGAAAACCGTCGAGAGTTTCGTGGAGAGCTATTTCGTCAAGAGCATCGGGCCCGGAGGTGAACATCGAGTGATGTGGTTCAAGAACTGGGTTGCTTTGCAGAGCGTCAGGAATCTGGAGCACATCCATGTGTTGGTGAAGGACGTCGATCCTGCTCTCCTGGCGGAGTGGACGAAAGAAGAGGAGTACCATAGACGATAGGTGGACTCGAGGTATGGCAAGGCCCCGGATATGGAGTGACGACGGGACACAACTGTCAGGCCCCTTGCCAGGCAGTTGTGGCGGCCAGGATGAACGCCTAAGCCGCTCTTCTCTGCTTCCGATTACCTGCCGGTTCGTCGGTGCCCATGCCGTTCAATTGACCCATTTGCCTTGCGGCTCCCATCAAGCCGTATCCCTTGTAGGCTCCGTAGGCGGGCACTACAGCCCACAGCAGCCAGAACCAATTCCCGAAAAAGATGACCACAACGTTTGTCGCCCAAGTCACCCAGATGATATCAAACATGTATTCCGTCAGGCCGGGTGCTGCGAGATCCTCACCCGAAGATTTGAGGGCATTGGTCGATGGGTCGTAGGTTGGCCGGCCGGTCCTCTCCAGAGTAAGCTCGCATAGGAAGCTGGGGATCGACAGCATAAACCATAGGTAGAGAGAGCGTGTGTGGAAAAAGTAGCGGGAAAGAAGAAAGATGCCATTGACCAACAGCGAGCCGATATGAAGCTTATTCAGTGATGCCGTGTTGGATCTAGCACGATCCTTTCTTGCCTTCTGAGCCATTTTGAGGATGTGAGGATGTGAGGATGCGACGTAACCAGGTTTTTTTGAGCAATTAGATTATAAGTTGCGCGGATCAATGATGGTGTCAAAATTCGGAGGAGCAGGTTCTCCTGCCATCCCAAGTTATCGCAGCCCAGGCCCGGGCGCCGCGTCGTTACAAATTCCTTAGTTACCTAAGCAGACAGCCTCACAGGGGTATCTGATTTCGCCGTTTTCTCTAGCGTCCAATTGGCCCCCTTCTTGACACGGGGATTTTAGCAATTTAACGAACCTAGTGTATCCCTAGGAGTAGAGTTGAGGAATTCTTCTAACCTCTTACGCGTCTTCACACGAAGTTACGAACCTTGACGAGCAACCGTCGTTTGAACCCGGACACCTTCCTTCCTAAGGCTGCGATTTCCTTGCCGACGCCTCTATCCGATAGACCTCTCTCCCTTGGGCTCTGAGCGTCCCGTCTGCGAGAATTGCCGACCAGCCGTCATACCTTCAAGGCGCTGCATCCTTAATTGGACCTCGTCTTTCTCTCCATCAGTCGCTCGTTTCCATCCGTCTCGAAGCATCGCAAGGATGTCGGACAAGAAGAATGAAGACTTTGTAGTGCGGATGCCCGAGGGCGGTGCCTTCGAAAGCGAAAAGGACCCCTTCCTGACCAGGACCAATTCCCACCGAGCTCGTCAAGATGCGGGCCTGACTGCCGTCTACTCCAAGCTCGACAACAGCCCGGGAATCTCTATTCTTGCCTACTGCCTGTCGTCGATCAGCATGACTGTTGTCAACAAATACGTTGTCTCGGGATCGGCATGGAATCTCAACTTCTTCTACCTTGCAGTTCAGGTACGAATCTGAGGGCACGCGACCACTTTGCGCGCATATCTAACGTTGACCGGCAGTCTATCGTCTGTATAGTGGCGATCATATTTTGCAAGCAAATAGGCGTGATCAAGAACCTCGCTCCTTTCGACACAACAAAGGCAAAGAAATGTGCGTACACCGATATCCTATATCCGATTCCTGATTTCCGATTCTTGGTTCCTCCCTTCAAGCTACATTTCGTGTTGCTGACTGCGGCTAGGGTTCCCTGTCTCCCTGCTTCTCGTGGGCATGATCTACACCAGCACCAAGGCCCTCCAATTCCTATCCGTCCCGGTTTACACCATCTTTAAGAACTTGACCATCATCGTCATCGCTTACGGAGAGGTGCTTTGGTTCGGCGGCAGTGTCTTGCCGATGGCCCTTCTCTCCTTCGGACTGATGGTGCTCAGCTCGGTCATTGCGGCCTGGGCTGATATCCAAGCCGCGATTAACGGAGTCGGCTATGCGCCCGATGCCTCCGACACCCTCTCGACCTTGAATGCCGGATACGCGTGGATGGGCATGAATGTCTTCTGCACGGCCGCGTATGTCCTCGGTATGCGCAAGGTCATTAAGAAGATGAACTTCAAGGACTGGGATAGTAAGTTTCGGGAGACGCCGTCGAGGTTTGCGCCGGGAGCTGACACGTGTCATAGCCATGTTCTACAACAACCTTCTCACCATCCCTGTTCTCATTATCTGCTCCCTCATTGCTGAGGACTGGTCCAGCGAGAATCTGAGCAAGAATTTCCCGCTGGAAACTCGCAATGCCCTGCTCATCGGCATGATCTACTCGGGCCTTGCCGCCATCTTCATCTCCTACTGTTCGGCGTGGTGCATCCGAGTAACGTCGTCGACCACCTACTCCATGGTTGGAGCCTTGAACAAGCTTCCCATTGCCGTCAGCGGCCTTATCTTCTTCGACGCGCCCATCACGTTTGGCAGCGTCTCAGCCATCATCGTCGGCTTCTTCAGCGGTCTTGTTTTCGCCTGGTCCAAGATCCCGGCGAAGAAGAATCTCTTGCCCACCTCTCAGCCCGTGATGAGCGCGAGCTCTCAGAGCAACAGGGATGCCAACTCGTGAACGAGAGAGCGTGCTTGAGCCGGACCTTTGCGTCGTGGCGGCGTGTCGTCTCAGTTCCGAGATGCCTGCATTGATCCCGGCACCCAACTAATTCCCATAGAGAGCTGGCGCAGGTCGGTGTCATTGCTTGCGGTTTGCGTTCAACGAGTGGCAACCTTGACGGGGCCGTGCTCTCGAAGAAGAGCGCAGCCTCTTGGATCCCCTTTCGTTTGTATTCGTGTAATGCATGTCGGACTTTGCTTGACCTACACTGTTTTAAAGGCTCAGATCTGTTATTTGCTCCTACTTATTTTTCAACCTTAACTTCTTCGTCTTCTTCTGGGTTTGCCATAGACTCTTTGCACGGGGGCAGACAGGGATTCTACAGCGTATACTCTGCACACTTCAACAGAGAAGCGCACGCATAACTGGCGTTTTGGGCGGGGGAAGAGCCGGTGACAGCCTCACTCGAGGAGATGTCGGGTTTGCTCGAGACAGTGGTGGTCCACTGTGGCTGGCGGCAAAAAAAAATGGCGAATGAACTACATGCACTACATCTCTCATGTAATGGCCACCTACCTACTTAGCGTAGGAAACCTACCTATCTAAGCAGTCAACCTCTGGATCCGGTCGTGATGCTTGGCTCATTGTGCGTGTCGCGTATACGAGTCAGCGGTTGGCCAGTGTGCGTGGTTCAGTCTCATGCCCAGGATGAAAGCGGTCTCCCGGCAGTGTCTCCAGCCCGCATTTGTGACTTTGCTTCCATGTGAGAGCCCCATGATTCAGTGAGAACGCGCCTATTACCAATAAACCATCAAGAACCCCCACCAATGGTCGCTTCTACTGTTAGTGTATGTGTAACGCCCCTCGCCCCCGCCCCGGCTGTTCATTAACCTCCTTCTAGTGCCCATAGCTTAACTCGGGCTGGCAATTGAAACCCGCCGCAATTCTCGAGCAGCCCCGCATTGGCGCACGAGAGAGACAGTGAGCTCTCCCCAGGCTGGTAAGCCAAAACGTCACAACATGACATGACTTATAGGGCAGCCCAGGATGTATATTACTTGCCGCTGCTTCTTCTGTACAGGACAGGCCGACGACAACAATAAAGCAACCTGAAGCCGGAGGGGAAAAAGAAAGAGAGAAGGGGGGAAAGGGGAACAACCCGAGAAGGATTGAGGGCCGCGCAGCACGCGACACACGGCACCCGCACCCACAGTCGCCATGGACTCGCGAAGTACGCAGGATGCCGGCTCAGTTGCAGGGTCCGACACATGTGCGAAACCCAGACTGCAGCTTCCGCCGAGCTGCGACCCGCCCCAACCTGGGGCGCCAACGAAGCAGCTCGTCTGGATCGTGAGTGTGCCGAGCGTGTATCATCCATTATTACTGTTTATATTTCTGGGCTAACCCACAACCCCCCCAGGTCTTTGGCGGCACCGGACACATGGGGCGGTCGGTGGTCAAGAGCGCGCTGAGCCACGGCGACCTGGTGACGACGGTGGGCCGGGTGTTTGAGTCGACGCCCGAGTCGATGGTGCAGCAGAACGACAACTGCCTGGGCATGCTCTGCGACATGCGGGCGAAGGAGTCGGTGGCGCACGTGATCCAGAAGACGCTGGAGCGGTTCGGGCGTATCGACTGCATCGCGAACTGCTCGGGCTACGGCGTCATCGGGTCGTGCGAGGACCAGGACGACTACGAGGTGCGCAACCAGTTCGAGACGAACTTCATGGGCACCCTGCACATCATCCAGTGCACCCTGCCCTACTTCCGCCAGCAGAACGCGGGCCGGTACCTCGTCTTCAGCTCCACGTCGGGCGCGCTGGGGGTCCCGGGCCTGGGCCCCTACTGCGCGACCAAGTACGCGGTAGAGGGCCTGATCGAGGCGATGCTGTACGAGATCGACTCGTTCAACGTCAAGGCGACGCTGGTCGAGCCGGGCCTGGTGCGGCGCGACGAGCCCGACTCCAAGACCAACCCGCTGCCGACGTGGGGCCACTTCTTGATCAAGCCGGCGTCGGAGGCGTACGCGCACGCGACGTCGCCGGCCCTGCACGCCAAGCGCATGGTGCAGTGGCTGGGCGAGAGGCAGCCGACGAGCGCGGTCAAGTGCGCCGAGCTCATCTGGCAGCTGGGCCACTGCTCGTACCCGCCGCTGCGCCTGCTGCTCGGCAGCTACGCCATCGAGAGCATCCGCGACCGCCTGAGGTCCGTCACGGAGGAGCTCGAGGACTGGAAGCACCTGCACTTCCCGGCCCCCGACGTGCCCGGCGCCGACAAGGGGGACGACGACAACAACGGCAGCGGCAAGGGCGGCGGCGGCGGGGACGGCAAGGGGGACGATGGCGGCAAGGGCGGTGGCGTGGACGGGGAGGAGAGGGAGATCAAGCTGGAGGGGGACGACGAGAGGGATGCTGGGGACGAGAGGGAGGAGAGGGAGGATGAGGAAATGGCCGATGCCGCGAGTCCCAGCCCGGCAGATACGGGGGCGAATTAGGTGTCGTTGGCAGTCATTATTATGTGCTACTCTTTTTTTTTTATATATATCTCACTTAACATGTAAGAGGCACGGATAAGATCATGGGTTTTTGTATGATACTTGTCTCTTCGACTCGCAGGCAGTCTGGATGCCTTCTTTTATAGCTTAAGCTGCTATTCCATACCGTTTTATTACGAGAGATTTGCATTAGGACCTCCTTGTTCGTCCTGATTGTGGCAGAGAGCAGGGGATTCTTGTTGACAGATCTGGATGGGCGGCTCATGGTTGGGTTGGCAACTAGAAACGGCTGCAGTCTATTATAAACCAGTCTATAAAATGATTCCATATCACCCCCATTCCATTTCATGTCCTCCTTTACGTGTGGCACCCACTGACTCCGATAGGAAGGCAGCATCCATGGAAGGAAGGAAGAATGCCCTTCCCACAGACTCGCCGAGCTCTTCCCTCTCTTGGTAATTGAACACACAAAACCCGCGGTCCATGGGGAATTAAGTATAGGTAAGGTAGGTAGGCATATGGCCCATATAAAGGAAAAATGTACCCTACGAGTATATCCCATTCTGTTTATTCTCTTGAGACATCACGGCCAAAGAGCTTCGACTTGAACCAGTCGTTCAACACGAGGAGGCGATTCCGCGCTGTTGTTATGGATTAGCATCTTTGTCAGGAGGCTGGCCCGGGGGGGGGTGGGGGGGGGGGAGGGGGCACGGAAACTCACAGCTAAAGCACATGGACAGATACGCGCTCCTCCAGAACAGGTAGGTCAGTCTCCCGCCGGCGGCGACATTGCCGTTGAACCAGCTGACGTCGGCAACGGCCTTCTCGCTGCCGATGTAGGCCAGGCTGCCCTGGTGGCTGTAGTGGAAGGGCTTGATGTTCTTGATGCGGCGCAGCTGGCGCTGGTATTCCTCGAGGCGGCGCGAGGCCTCGGCGGCGTCGCCGGGCTGCAGGTTGAGCGACGAGCTCAGGTCGCTAATCTTGTCCTCGAGCGCCTGGGTCTGCGCCATGTTGTTGAACAGCCGCGCCAGGAAGCTGCCCTCCTGGCCCGCCACCTGCGCCGTCGGTGCGTACCCGGCCACGGCGCAGTCGCCCACCGCCCAGATGTCGCGCGTGCCCTGCACTACCAGGTACTCGTTCACCGCCAGTCCGCGCCGCGAGTCCTTCTGCGCGGGGATCCGGGACATGAGGTCCTTGACCACGGGACGCACCGCGTTGCCCGTCGCCCACACGAGCAGGCCGTAGGGGAAGATGATGGTCTGCTTCTCGCCGTCCGGGCCCGTGACCTGCGCCTCGACCGTCTTGTCCGTCACATTCTTGACCATGGTCTTGGTCCGGACGTCGATCTTCTCCTCCTTGAAGGTGCTCTCGGTGTAGTCGATCAGCTGCTTGGAGAAGCTGGGCAAGACGTTGGGCAGGGCCTCGATCAGGGTGACGCGGAACCGGTCGCTGATGTCCGGGACCAGCTTCCGGATGTCCTCCTCGAAGAAGTCCTGCAGCTCGCCGGCAAACTCGACGCCCGTCGGCCCGCCGCCCACGACGACCATGTGCAGCAGCCGGTCGACCTCCTCGGGGGTCTGGTCCTTGAAGGCCGCCGTCTCGACGCAGTCCATGATCTTCTTGCGGATCTGCTGCGCGTCGCCAATCTCCTTGAGGAAGCACGAGTGCTCGCGCACGCCGGGGATGCCAAAGGTGGCGTTCTCGGCCCCAACGCCGATCACGAGCATGTCGTACGGCACCTCCGTCTCCGTCATGTCGCCCTGCACCTCGGAATTGTCCGCGATGCGCACCACCTTGCGCTCCGGGTCGATCGAGCTGGCCTCGGCCTCGTAGAACTTGACCGCCGCCTTCTTGTGCCGCAGGATCGTCCGTATGGGCTCCATGATGGACCGGTGCTCGACCGTGCCGGTCGTGCAGGAGGGGAGGAGCGGCGTGAAGAGGAAGTAGTTGCGCGGCGAGATGACCACGACGTTGTAGTTCTCCGTGTCGAGCTTCTTGAGCAGCGAAACAGAGCCCCATCCGGTCCCTGTGATTTGCGGCCGAACCCGGTCAGTTGTCACACATCCATTGACGCTCGTCTGTTGAGTTCTCCAGGATGCGAAAACTTACCTAGTATGACCAGTGTCTTCTTGGTTGGATCTGCGTCGGCCTGGGGTTCAGGGTGCCTGTCCTGGTAGATGCCATAGCCAACGTAGCCAATGCCACCCAGGAGCGAGAGGTAAGTTAATCTCCAGGTCCATCTAAATACCCTGAACCTCCTGGGCCTCTTTGGCGCCGCCGCGTCGGCATATTGTCTTCTGAACTGGCGGGTGACCGTCGCTGTCCTGGTGTTGTTGACCTTCGCCCGGGTGGCGGCTCGCGCAGGCACGGCGGCTTGACGGGATGACGTCGTGAGCAACCTAGATGGGGGGTTCCTAGGAACCTTCGCGACAGTCAATTGACGCGGCGCGAGAGCCCTGAGGGCGCGGGATGCCGAAGCCATGACTCCCGATCGAACGATTGAACGATATAAGAGGGGACGACTCGAAAGGAGAGACTGCGAGGTGAAAGACTCTGAAAAGAGTCATATAAAGGTGAATCACAGCAGATTGCGCCTCGCTCTTTTTTTTTTTTTTCCTTGGTCCCGCCCCTAGCTAGCGATCTAGGTTAAAGCGGCCGAGCGGAGGGCTTGTCTATGCTCTGACTAGCTAGGTATTTCGCGCGATTTTGTCTCTCCATTTTTCTGCTGACCCATCATATCTTTTCATAAAAAATAGTTTTATTTCATTTTGTATTTGCGCAGTATTTCTTTCCCTTTCCTTTCCTCCCTCTAGACTACCGGTATCGGCGGTGAAGAGTCTAAGTAAGGTGAATGAGGTGGGAATAAAACAGATAAATAGCCATGTCAGAAGCCTCCAGTCCCATTCAGCAACCTTCCCAGTGCCAATCCGGGGCTTTACGGAACTACTGTTTATACTTGTAGCCTTTCTCTTCAAGGACCTATCCGGATGTTCCTCGAAGCTATGATCCATCATCTATTTCTGATTGACTGCCTGCCTGGTTCCCCTCATGAACAAGGTTCACATGCTTTCGGCATGTTCTATGGGAGAAAGTGCATCTTCCCGAGACTCCTGACATGTGTTGTCAATTCACGGGCAGATCCAGGACACTGTCAAGCTGGCTACGTGGTACCCTCGTGAGTGCACGCCCGGAGCCGTATCTCGGCCGGAGGTCCGACTCGCTCCGGTTACCGCAGAGCTCGGCTCCCTGTCCGAACGTAGTGCTTCAAACCCGGCGGGTCTGGCGGCCCTGGCGCCGTTGCTATGTGGACCTGGCCAAGCCAAGTTATGAAGCTCGCCGGTCTAGTGTACTAGCTGCTTTCCAACTCCCGGTTTTCCTGATTTTCCGAATCGCCTCGTCCCGTTCTCGGCTCGCGGACCATGCAATAGAGCGTGCACTTCTCCCCTTCGTCGTCGCAGTCGAGCTTCGTCACAAATTCGAAGCCCATGCGCTCGTAGATCCGGATGTTTGGCACGTCTCTGCTCGCCTCGAGGTAGCAGCACATGCCCTCCGCGTCCGCCTCGTCTGTGACGGCTTTCACGAGCCTCTTGCCAATTCCCTGGCCTTGGCACTTTGGCAGGACGACCATGATGTTTAGGAAATAGTACCCGCGAGGGTCCTTCCAGGCGATTGAGTGTGCTTTGGCTTGAGCATCTTTCCAGATGTAGTAGCGCTAGACGTGGTTTCTCCGTTAGCGACCTTGGTGGTTAGGGCATTCTTGACAGAGAATGTCTGGCGTAGCAAGTGCAATTGACATTTGATGCAGCGCGGGAGGAATCGGCAAGATCGTCCCGAGTCCTGCTCACCCATCGTCCCGGCCTCGAACCAATGTGGGCTTGATGTTCTGAAGAAACCGGGCAAGAAGTCGAGAATAGGCAAGGATCAGCAGTTCCAGCACCGTGTCAACCTACCTTTACGTTGAGGCCGCCTCTGCCATGCCAAAGATTCATGCCCACCTGGCTAAACCACAGGCGCCAGCTCTCCAGCCAGCCGCTCCACGACTGAGGCCGGTCTGCCCGCTCAGGCGGAAGCCACATGGCGATGCCCAGGACCTCGTCACTGCCTCCCTCCTTGGCGACGTAGAAGAGGCCGTTACGTATGCCCCAGCGGCACCGTATCCCTAGCGAGACAGCATTGCGCGTGGGGTCAAACTATGCGAGAAGACAGACGCGTCAGTGGGACATGAAACAATGCGGTGCTGAAAGGGGTGAAGCTTGTCATGCATCACGTGCGGGAGGATACTGGGCGGGGGCCAAGATAACGAGGCAGTTGAAACTAGGTGGGGGGTTCCTAGGTAGGTAGCCAGAAAATAAGGGGAATGGAGGCAGCACTGGCGCCAGGAGAATCTTCTGAGAATGTACTGCAATTTGCGACTCCGGAAAGGACGAAAGGAGACGTCAGCGTCGGAAGGAAAGAAATGGCAACCTTTGACTTGTCGAACATCCAGTTGTTGTACGGGTCGTCGGCAAATGCTTCTCTTGGAAGCTGTTAGCGATCTACGCGAGAGGAATGTGCGATCAAGAGACTCGTAGACTCGTCCTGGTTCGGTGGCCGGGCAGCATCCACTTACTGGATTGCAGCGACAGAGCCGGGAATATCTGCCTCAGTCATGCGGGAGATATGGACCGGCATTATGTTTCCAAGACTAGGTGGTGATCTCTTATCGCGGCTAAACTGAGCTTGCTTGCTGTGCTTGTTCTCTCCGGTTGGTGTCGTCAACAGTTTGGTCGGAGGTTTATTCGTTTGTGTAAGTCGGCGGGAGTTGCCGCTAGTGGATGCCTCGTGGTAAGTGTACACCACTACATACGGAATACACTACACTAGAATTCAATTGTACTAACCTGTGCTATGTGCCGAAGTGCCCAGGCCTGGGACCATCATTTGATGCGACTTTGTGGGGTTAAAAGGCCCTCTCCGGTGGCTGCTCTCAACCCAAGCCTTCTTGTTAGGGATATTGTGTACTCGCCAGGGCAGAGTCGGAGGGCTAGGCTGCCCTTCTCGGTACGGATATGTACCTATCCGTAAGTTCGGAGTATCTCGAACCTTTCCGAATCTCGGGCGCTGTCCGTGCACGGGACCGGCGATGCCGAGGAGGCTCTCTCTATGATGGGATCAGCATCACCTTTGCTTCGAGGAGGAGCATCGATCGAACTTCCCATAGATCTTGTTCGTCCCATTTGCGCGCCACCGAGTAAGCAGACTCTTATTCTCTATTAATGGTCCTGTCCACGCGTTCTGGTCATCTTCCGCTCGAAGTGTGTAGTCGGATGCCTGTGTTGCCTCTTCTTCACACATGATGATTTGGACAGGCTTTATTCGAGCATATCAATGGCCCGGCTGCACATACACTACATACCGAGGTAGCTAGCATTTTGGCACCGATTACTCCGGCCTGAAGATCCCAATGAGATCCAACTACTGAACCCAGAAATCAATCGGCTTCATCCTAGTGGCAGAGCTCGAAATCAGGCATGCAACAGCAACAATAACCTTGAACTGTGCCGGATTCCGGATGCATCAACCCTTGCACAGTACTACTTCGCAAGGAAATGTATGCCTTGGCGAAGAAGCTTGAGTTCGAGGATAAGTCCGGACCATGATGAATAATTAAATGAATAATTCTGCGAAGGGAGGAGTGCGCAGCTCCAAAGTTCCAAAGTCGGTGGCCGTGCGTCCAATAAGTGAGACCCCAAGTTCCCCGTCCCTGTCGGTTAGTGCGCTGAAACGTTGCGGGACCTTGCTGAGACTCCAACACCCCTCACAGTTCTGCACCTGCAACCTCTCACATCTCACTCCTTGGCCCCATCTCCTCCATGGCTATGCTACTGCGCAGTAGTTTTGAGATCCCCCCTGGCCCATCTTGCGTCGATGAGGCAGCCCTCGACGATCTAGTCCGCAATGCCTACCAAAGCTGCGAATTCACTGGTCTTGGCTATTGGCTGGCTCACTGGCCCCCCCTTCCTTCATCCGGTCAGTGGGCTCGCGCGAACACTGGAGATCTCGGCAAGGCTTGACTGAATCTGTGTCGCGTGGCTCCCTTCCGCAATATGACACACACAGAGAGAGTGAAGCTGTGACCCCTATCCCTGGATACCCGAGGCTGCCCCTACTAGCCTTCCCTTGCTCCCGCAGACTGCCCTTCCTGAAGCACTCGTGGATGCAACCCGGGGCATCATCTGTTATGCTTCGACGCCCCGCGCGCCAAGTTGATCTGCCCAGGGCTATTACAGTTCCACATCCACCTCTTTTCCCCTTCCTGCCTGTTCTACTCCTTCTCTCTTTCATTATCTTCCTCAAGGCAGGCCTTTCCTTTGATCACTTTTTTTCTCGCCCCTGTATATGTTCAAGTACGGGTACACTTTCTTCTGTATGTTCTTTAGCATACCGTGTAATTCGATTCTCAGTCTGTCTCTCCTGCATGCTTCTTGGCCTTAAATTACTAAACGACGTACCACACCGACGGAGTCATCCTGGAAGGAAGCATCCCATTGACGGGTGCTTTGAACCGACCACAGTCTGGCGACTCTTCAGGAACGAAGGTGATGCTGAGGGGAGAGGGAATGGCGCCGCTTGTAACCCGGCAGCGTGAGGACGAGCTGAAACCGGGCGAAAGCCGGCTCCTCATAACAGCGAGGAAAGCCTCCGACGATGGAAGTAACGGTCCGGGTCCGAGTTTCCTCAACGGCAAAGACAAGTCGAATAGCAAAAACAGTGATGATGGTCCCGGTAAAGGACCGGGGCCGGGACAGGGAAAGGGGACAGGAAACGGCGGGGATAATCAAAAGGGAGATGATGGCAAAGGACAAGGTGGCGGCGGATTAGGCGGCCTCGGTGGAGGGCGAGGGTCAGGGAAGGGAGACGACAGCAACGGGGATGACCAAAGTGGGAAGAAGAAAGGCAACAACAAGGACATAAGCGACGATAAGAGCAACAATGGCAACAATGGCAACAATGGCAATGGTGGCAACGGTGGCAACGGTGGTAACGGTGGCAGCAATGGCAACAATGGCAGCAATGGCAGCAGTGGCAGCAATGGCAGCAATGGTAACAATGGCAGTAAGGGCAGTAAGGGCAGTAACAACATACCACCATTTCCACCACCGCCACCGCCGCCACCACCGCCCCCAAAAATCACGACCATTCCGCCGCCGCCTCCAGCCGACGTTACCACTTCGTCGCCACCTCCAGCAGACGCGGCATCTCCGCCCCCGCCTCCAGAAGAAACAACAGCGTCGCCATTGCTACCTGATTCAGTGGAGGCTGCGGCGAGCATTGCGGATCCTAGCACGGTAGTCCTTGTGTCTACTGTGACATCAGTACCATCAGCCGGCGTAAGCATACTCATATTACCTTTTGATAAGACAATGAATGAATATGTTGCTAACCCCTCCCCTTCAGGATCCCGGTACACTAACATCCTTCATTCCTCTGACGACTACGGACCTCCCGGATCCGATCTCAACCCAGCCGCGAAAAGGGGTTAATGACCAACAATCCGACCTTCCTTTTGATTTCATCACTTCCACGCTATCAACACCGTCGGCCACCAAGGCCACTGCCCTAGCAGACTCGGCTCAAACTTCGGCGGCAGCAGCAGCAAATAATAGTGGAGGCAATAGTAATAATAACACCAAAGCCGGGGCCAGCGACGGAGGTAGCAATGATCGCCTTGATCGGACAACGGAGCATGTTCTCATATCTGCCGCGTCCATTGGTAAGCCTTCAAACCCCGGAAAACGTAATCGGATCGAGAGACTCACAAGACCGTATAGGCACTTTCATCTTGACTTGTTTCGTCGTCTGGTTTGTCTGGCACATGATGAAAAAGTCTAAGGCCAAGAAGGAGGGCAAGAGCAGCGGCAGTGGCAGCAGTGGCAGCAGAAGCAGTGGCCCTAGTAAACGCCGTTGGCCGGGCCTAACCTTTCCAAGTCGCCTTACTGCCAAACTCCCCTTCCTCAGGAATCGAGGGGAGTGGCAGGATCTGGATGGTTCTCAAGTTGCCGACATTCCACCCCCAGATTTCAAAGGGGCCGGCATGGCGAGTGGCCAGCGGGCGAACGAATACTACGGCCAGGAGAAGGCGTACCGGCAGCCATCGATGGACCAGGCACTACGGCTTCCCAGCATGCACCTAAATGGGCCAACCATTCTGGATACCCAGTTCGTCAACAGCGTCCCTATGGCTGACTCGAACAGCCCATCGCAATCCCACCAAGCTGCCCCATCTTTCAGCTCTACCGACGCGGCCCAATTCGGTGGTGGGCCACTATTGGTGAGGGACCCGAATGGGACAGTGCGGTCCTATATGCCCGTTGTCGTCTACGACCAGCCCGAGCTCTCACGGCAGCCATCCGAGGCATTCGATCCGGCACGACGGCAGACGAACCGCGCTTCTGAACTCTCGTCCTTGTCGTCCGGATTTGGCGACGGCGACATGATTGTCCCAGCCCAGATGATCAAACCTCCGCCACCAGCCAGTACGAACCTGCGTCAATCGACCAACCTAGTCGGCCGGCTGTCGTGGGCATCCCAGAGCCGGCGAGACACGGTGTATACGCAGTCAAGCGAGGACCAACCACCGCGATTCCGGACTGTCGACTCATGGGTGAACCAACAAACCGGCCGCATCAAGCGGGTTCAGCAGAGAGAGCGGGACCAGCAGGATGCCCCTCCGGTGCCCACGCTTCCTGGCCAGCCAGGCGTCCCGGGCATTCATAACCCGCCAGCGGAAGTGTCCTTCAATATGATGATGCCGGATGACGAGGTGCCGAGGCGGGTAGAGGACACGATGGCGATGAGGTCATAATATTCCACGCTCATACATCGCAGTGGGCGAGGGCCGCCTCGAGCTACGTTCCATTTGGCCGTGCCCTCCCTCTCCCTCCCCGCTCCCGTTCCGCTCCCGTTCTAGGTGCGGTCCAGGGGTAGGGGGTAGGGGGCGTGGGGGGATACGGAGACAATCCCGTACTCTTTTTCTTGAAATTTTCCATATCTGTACATACATCTCTCTAACTGTCTATACCCCTTGAACTTGCTATCCCCTCCAAGCCTGGCGCTTGGGACGGTAACTCGGGAGACGTTTCATGATCTTCCGTTTTCTGGTCTCGTTTCACCGGACCCTCATAAACTTTGGTGGTTCCCTTAACTGGGTCTATCGCAACCTAGATAGAGTAGTTGTTGGCAAAACAAACGCGACAATAAAAAAACAAATACTTTTTTCTATTCAAACCTTGCCGCGTTGAACAAGGATACTTATATTTAGGCTCTCTTCGCTGAACAAACTCGGGATTCCCCGAAGTTCAGAACATAAAAAGCCTAATCCAAAATGGGACTAGTTCCAACTGCCCCGCCAAACTCCTTGGCCCCTCCCACTTTTCTTTTCCTCATTTTCGCATCCTCCTTCTCTAGATCGTGTCGAGGTTCTTCTTCCCAGTTCATTTCAATCCGTATTCTCCAGACGAATCTGCGTTGATCAAATTCCTCCAATCCGCCAAAATGATTATCTTTAAGGTAGGCGCTCCTTCCCAGCCGACGGAACCTCCGCCACCCTCCCCTAGCAGGGGTTGAAATCCTTGGGGGTTTATGGCTAACCCCTCCTTCCATCGCATAGGACGTCTTCAACGGCGACGAGATCCTTTCGGACTCCTACGACCTTGAGGAGTCTCACGGCGGTCTCTTCTGGGAGGCTAACTGCTCCATGATCACCGTGGGCGCCGTTCAAGTCGGTTAGTTGCGAAGTGGAACGACCGCCTGCAATCGCGGCGCAGAAGTGGGGTGGAGAAAGATGGGCTCTAACCGCAGAAATTTGAACCTAGACACTGGCGCCAATGCCTCTGCTGAGGAGGCCGATGAGGAGGCCGAGGACACTGACCGCAAGGTCATCGACATTGTCGAGTCTTTCCGCCTCGACGAGACCTTCTACGACAAGAAGAGCCTGAAGACATACCTCAACGGTGCGTGCCCCACCCTGCCCGCCCACTTTCTTTTTCTTCCTGCATGCATGCGCTGACCAGTTGACATTGGCTCGTTCTCAGGGTACCTCAAGAGCCTCAAGAAGCATCTCTCGGAAGCCGGCAAGTCCGACGAGGAGGTCAAGACCTTCCTCAAGTCCGCGCTGGATTTCTACACGAACAACGTCCTCAACAAGATGGACGACTGGCAGTTCTTCAAGGGCGAGACTGACTACGAGAGCACGGGAACGTGAGTTAGCCCTTGAAGGGAGAGTCGCCCCTTGACCACAGTGCGAAAGCTAATCACGTATTAAAAAACAGGCTCGTCCTCCTCAACTACCGCGAGGACGGCGTCACCCCTTACGTCCTTGTCCTCAAGGCCGGCCTCAAGGAGGAGAAGGTTTGAGTGCCCACTTGGCAGATAGAAAACACACTTGGGAGTTGGATCAGCAAAAAGCAAAAAAGGAACACTCGTGCTTGTTGTCGTCCGCACTCGCTGTCTCTCAGATCTATTGATAGAAACCCGAAGGACCACTATTCGAGCGCTAGTTGGCCTTGCGAGCAAACATGTTTGAGCGATATGACAGCATCGCCAGCTAGAACTCCTCCATCTTCCCATGTTCCTCCTCTTCTGCCCCTGGAATGAAAATGTCTACTTGTAGCACCCCCATCGAAGACAAAACCACGTAATATATGCAACCCCAAATCGCAACCCGATAATGCCCCATGTAGTAAATGGAAATTCGCCAACGGAAGGGCAAGCCTTGAAACCCACCCTGCCCATACCCTCCCCAGAAGACCCTCCCTAGAATCGCGGCTTCGTACCCATGGGCACAGGTGGCGGCAGCGCATCACCCTCGCCCCCTCCTCCATTGCCGCTGCCACTTCCACCCTGCCTCCCCAGACCCAGACCCGCCAGCTCCGGCTTCTTCTTGGGCGGGGGCGGAGGCGGAGCGGGCTTCTTGGTGGTCGCGTTGGCGGCAGAGAGCATGCCCACGACCCTCTCGCCGTGCCGCTGGCGGAACGACTCGGCGGCCGACGCGGCGGCGCGCGCGTCCGAGGCGGACACCGAGGGGGGCTGCTGGTGCTGCGTGGCGGACGCGGCAGAGGCGATCGTCCGCAGCGACTGCCTCTGCGCGGGCGTCGTCCCGGCGCCGATGCCGAGGCCCGGCACGGAGACGCCCGCCGCCGAGAGGCGGCTGAGTGAACCCTGGTTGAGATACCCGTCGCCTGCTGGCGTGGGTTTGCGTGGCGGGGGAGGGGCGAGCGGGGAGGGGGAGGGGGAAGGGGTCGTGCGGGTTGCTTGCGAGGAGGGCGAGGGGGTCGTGCGTGGTGGGAGCCTTGGGGGGAGGCTGGGCGGGCCGGGTCGGGCACCTGTTGTTGGGCCGGGACTCCGAGTTGTTGGGCCGGGGCTCCTTGTTCCTGCGCCGTCTCGCCGGACCGGAGGGGGTGGTAGGTGGGCTGTTGACAGGCCGGTGGTGTCGACGCAGTATGGCTTCGGTGGTGGGGGTGGCTCGTCGGGGTCGGCCTCTTCGTACGGCGGTGCTGGCTGGTGGGTGTAGCTCTGTCGGGCGGGCTGGGATGGGGATGGTCGGGGGGGAGGCGAGGCTATGCCTCCGCTCACTGCGGCGTGCCGAGGGGGGGGGCCGAATGAGGACGGATCCCGTAGTGAGGATAACGGCGCTGGAACATGATCGGGCTTGTTATCGTTCTGGGGGGGGGGGCTCTGGTTAGGAAGGTTCTAGCGAACGGAATGGGGGGTCTCCCTATGGGGGCGTACTTTTTCTCCTCTGCCGACAAGCCCTTTCTTAGCGTGGGATAACCGTTAGCATGCGTAAAGAGTCGTCGTCACTGGGCCTGCCCTGGTCTGGGAATATGAACCTACCACCTGGTTTTTGAGGCTCTCCCCTTTCTTCTCCGGGTGCCACCCGCGTTTGATGATGTCTTTATAGTCAGACATAATACGGACTTAGCCCAGCGACATGTGGGGTATGTGTAATTAAGGAGCACAGGTCAGTTTCAACGCAAGCTGAAGGCACGATATAGCAAGATGTGTTCCTAACTCAGGTTGCGTAACTGTGTTAGTGGCTCGGTGACGTTAGAACAGGGGAGCCGCCCACCTGGCGCCTTGCGATTCAGGCACCAAAAACTACCCCACCATGGCCGGGCTCGTTACACAGCATCTTGCCCGACGCGGAAAGATCCACGACGCGTCTCCTCGAAGAGTTATAACCGGCGAACTACTACCTACCACTCGTACAACAATGCGACGATGGCCACGACTACCAATTCCGATACGGCCCTCTTAACGGAGCATTTTGGCTATCCTCCAGTTGTAAGTCTAGATTTTACCCCGTACCATAGCATATCTACATTTCACATTCTGGCCCGCCCAAGCAGCTGACCCGCGTCCCCGATTAGAGCCTCCTCGACGACATCATCAACAGCGTCAACATCCTCGCCGAGCGGGCTCTCAACAGCGTCGAGCAGGGCCTCCTTTCGCAGCCGCCAGCCAATCTAGGCTTCAAGCCGCAAGCTCAGCCGGCCCCGAAATCCCGGTCCCGCAATAACAACAAGGACGACAGGGACGAAAATGCAGACCCCGCCGCCAACCAGACCCCCGAGGACGCGGCCCGCCACGAGATCGAGAACGGCACCCATCAGCTGGAGACGCTCCTGTGCGCCAGCATCGACCGCAACTTTGACAAATTCGAGCTCTGGGTCATGCAGAACGTCCTCTGCATCCGCCGCAACGAGGACCGCGACTGGATCCGCCTGAGCCACTACAACGGCCTGGACTTTGACGCCGTGGCCCGCCGCCGCGGCCAGGGCCAGGGGCCCACCAAGGACTCCGACTCCCCCTCCGTCGACAACGTCCGCCGCCTGCGCCGGCGCCTGCAGGCCAGCCAGAAGCTGAACGGCCTCCTGCACGCCGAGCGCGCGCGCAACGACGAGCTGCTGCGCGAGCTGCGGTCGCTGGTCGGCACCACCACCACCGGAAAGGCCGACGTCGACGCCGACGCCCCGGCGGCGCCGCACCCGCACCCGCCCCCGCTGGCGTTCCTGCGCGACCAGGGCGCCCTGACCGAGGGCGACGCCGAGACGCCCCTCGCGACCACGGCGGCGTTCACGCTATCGCAGCTGCAGGCGCTGCGGGCGCTGTCGACGGCGCTGAGGAACGTGCTCCCGGACCTGTCCGGCGGTGGGGAGGAGGAGGACGGTGGCGGCGGGGAGGGGGGTTCCGGGGGCGACAGGAACAAGAGCTGGCGGAGGCAGCGGCTCGAGTACGTCGAGACGGCGACGAAGAGGCACCTGGAGAACGTGCGGGGGCTGGAGCTGGGGCGGGGCGGCGAGGTCATCGATGGGGAGTGGCAGGGCGAGGGGCGGAGCGTCGGCAGGGGGGAGGTCGAGGGGCTGGAGAAGGTTGTTGCTATCCTTGGGCCTGGCCCGGGGCACGAGGCCGGGAAGGGGGATGAGATGGATGAGTCATGACACGGGGGGCACACATAACGGAGAGAGAGGTGCCTGTCGTTGGACGCTACTGGTATACGAGTACTTGCGGGGAGTTTGAGGCGTCTTATATGTGGGTGGTTCGTAATGTATTGAATGGCACATGAACTTTGTTGTGATCAATTAACCCCTGAAGGGATTTGGCTATGTATGTACACGAGAAGAAGAAAAGGGCCAAGGTGGGATGCGTTCAAGCCGAGTTAGCCGCCTGGAAGGAGGCGAGATGACACTCCCTTAGCAGGCCGTACTGCTCGGCCCGGTGCCAGAACCTGTGCTTCCAGAACCTCCCGCCGTCGTCGGCCACGTCGGCCTGCTCGAGCTGGTCCCTGAACTTCCACGCCACGTCGACGATGGCCGACGCCGCCTCCATCCGCTGCGCGCGCACCAGGGCGACGAGCAGCTCGTACAGCGTCGAGAGGGTGATGCGCGACCCGGACCGGTCGAGGCGCTCGAACAGCCGCAGCGCGCGGTCGACGTCGCCGACCTGGCAGTAGCCCTTGATGACGCGCTCCCAGAAGACGCGGTCGATGTCCCGGTTCTCCTGCAGGCGGCGGCTCGCGATCAGCGTGGTGACGGCCTGCGGGTCCGGGGGGTCGCGCGAGAAGTAGTGCTCGGCGAGCATGGTGTAGATGTGCGACGTCAGCTCCAGGCCCTTGCCCCAGATGTGGGCCAGCACGGCCTTGACCGACTCGCCGGCCCGGTCGCCCTGCTGCAGGAGCACATGCACCATCTTTGCGTACGTGATCATGTTGGCCTCCACGCCGGCCGCCTCGACGTCGCGCAGCATCGACGTCACCATCTCGACCTGCCTCTCGGGGCTCTGGTCGCCCATGTCGCCCAGCGCGCCCTCGATGAGGATCGTGAAGGTCGCCACGTCGGCCTCGACGCCCTGGTTCTTCATCATGGTGAAGATGTTGGCCACCTCGTCCGACAGGCCCTGCCTGACCATCGGCCGGAGCAGCGTGTTGAACGTGAAGATGTCCGGCTGGATCCCCTGCCTGGCAGCCCACGCCAGGAGGCTCTTGGCCACGGCGACCCTGTCCAGCCGCAGCAGACCGGCCAGGGCGGCGTTGACGGGCTCGATGCTCGGGCGGACGGCGGAGGAGGAGTCCTTCCCCGACGCGGCCCTTTCGTTCCACAGCCTGGCCATCTCGTCGAGGGCCGCCAGTCCCGCCTCGGGCTCACCGAGCTCGATCAGCCCGGCGATCCTGGCCGTCCATATTGGAGTGTCGAGGGCGATCCCGGCCGCGATCAGCTGCTGCCAGACGGCTTTCAGCCCCGCCGGATTCCGGGCCCTCTTACACCCGTCGATCATAGAGTTCCAGGTCTTGAGGGTCGGTACGACCCCGATCTGGACCATGCAGTTCCACACGTCGATGGCTCGCTTGGGCTGTCGCATGCCCATGTAGGCCATGATGAAGTAGTTGAACAACTCCGCGCTGTTGCGGAGACGCCCGGCCCGCTCTGGCGTTGGGGTTGTGGCCTCGCCCCAGAACCCCTTCCACGTCCTGTCCACGGCCTCCAGGCTCCTCGTCTTCAGGGCCTGGCCGAGCTGCCGGTGTATCCCATCCATCGTCTGCGCCCGCGCAGCATGATTGGCCCTGATCTTCTGATCGACGCCTTGCAATTTGGACTGTCCCGCCAGCTGGGGCAGGACGGTCGACCAGCGTGAAGTGACGTACTGTGATAGGTCGGGGTAGTCTTCAAACATTGGGCCGAGCTGGTCCTTCCGGGGAGGCCGTTTCGAGAGTATCATACCCACGGCGTCGACGAAGGGGGCCGTTTCCTGCCTCATCACGCGATCCGTCCTGTTGTAAGGGTCCGAAAACAGTACAAACGTTGCGATGGCGGCATACGTGGCTGTCTGCAGCTGGTTCGGCGCGTACTGCGGAAACAGGGCGGCGATCGACAAGTGCGACTTGCCCTTCTTGCTGTTCCATGAGATCGTCTTCATGTCCAACGAAGGGAGTCTCGGTTCTTGGGCTGCCTTGGCTGCATCGCCGGCTCGCAGGGCGACGATGCGTGGCACGTTGAAGATCTTCCAGTTCCCGATCAGGTCTTGGAGGAGGGTCACCCTCCTTGCCATGGCATTTTCGTAGCTCTCAATAGTTGTATAATCTCCCGGCGCCGTGCTTATTCGGCAAATGTGTTGAAGAAGCCGGGTGGTCATTGTAGCCCAAGCCTTGGGGTCGAGGAGCCCCAGCTCGAGTTGGATCTGGCTGATTCGCGTGACCGATGGGAGGTCTCCGGACTCGAAATCGTTCGGCTTCTCGCTAGCTACCCGAGTCATGAGCCTCTTGCTGACCCGGTCCCTAATCCTGTTCGGCTGGCTGATGGTTGGGTAGATGCGGGATTCGAAGAAGCGGAAACAGGTCGACGTCGGGATGTTCGACTGGGCCAGCATTTCTTCCAGTTTCGCGACGTCCTTGTAGAGTTCCAAGTTCGCAGGAGGCGTGGTAGAAGTCGGGCGGTCCGTTTCTTTCGCCTGTGCATCGAGCACTTTCCTGAATACTGCCAATGGACCGGAGCTCTCCACCTCGTCGATGCCCCGTCTAGCCCTCTGCCGCTCGACCCATGGGGGCTGATGTCGAGCCGGTGCCGGGTTTTTCGACCTTGGCCGTGAAGCTTTGCGGGTGCTATCTGTAGTTTCCGTCCCTCCGGCAGCCTGGGCGGCCGTCCCGAGGTCCCTCGACGCCTGCCATCGTGGTCGAGGAGTCCCCGAGCCTTGGATGAGAAGCTTCGAACGGCAGGCCGAACAGACGACTCCGCGGTGTCTCATGGGCCCTAGATCAGTGCTCGCGACACGTTGGAATCAATCGGACGGCGGCCGGGGAGGAGGGCAATTTCGCAGCTGAGACAGCAGTTCTGTAAACATCAATGGGGAGCTCACTTATTATTAGGATGGACGCGCAAAAATTGGCGCTGTCGTGATCCTAGCGTCTTGCCGGCCGGGGGACGAATAGTGGAGACACCGAGCATAGGTAGGGGTAACGGACCAACACCGGCACCGACGTCGACGTCATGGCTCTAAGGCAGCTTCCCCAGGACGACAATTCTATATCGGAAGCAGCGGTTTCCTCGGTCTTGTTGCCTCACATATTCAATCGCATTGGCATCACTTCTAAACACCAATTGCTTATGCAAAGTAATTTTGGCATGACGGCAAGACACCCGGGAAGTACCAAGAGATCGACATGACGACCCTTCAACCTCGAGCTCCGTACACGGACGAAGAGCTTCGGAAGCTCTATCCGGACGGCTTAGACCTCCAATTGGTTCAGATTCTCCTCCGCCATGGAGAGCGCACGCCAGTTTCTGCGCGGTTCCAGAATCAAGGACTGCCGGCTTTCTGGCCGTATTGTTCCTCGGTGCGCCAGATGAAGTCGGCAGTTCTCGAGGATGCCGAGAAGAAGGCGGCCGGCGAATTTTCCCAATTCAGCATCCTGGAATGGAAGCGACGGCTCGAGACCTTTGGCCAGAATGACGAGCCCATGGTTGCGACCGGGCCTGGGGGCCAATTGGACGATGTCTGCGATATGGGCGCCTTGACCGATGTTGGCCGTGTCTCGACCTATCAGCTTGGTCTACGGTTGAGAAAGCTATACGTGGACCGTCTACACTTCCTCCCGCCCACCATATCGTCAACCAATTCCTTCTATCTCCGGTCCACGCCCATACCCCGTGCCCTTGAATCTCTGCACCAAACCTTCTCGGCGCTCTATCCACCCTCGGCGCGCGAGCCAGGACCCGATGGCATTTTCCCGGCCCCTACCATCCTGACCCGGGCCCCCGGGGACGAGACTTTGTACCCCAATGACAGCAACTGCCGTCGATTTGCTGCGCTGTCCCGTGCCTTCGCCCAGCGCGCTGCCGATCGGTGGAATCTGTCGCCCGAGATGGAACAGCTAAACCAGGTCTTCGGCAAGTTGATGCCACCAGGCAGTCCCAGGGTGGCGGTCGATTCCCGGCCTCGGCTCTCCGGCATCATGGACACCGTCAACGCGACGCTAGCCCACGGCCCAGCGACGAGACTTCCCGAGGAGTTCTACGACACGAAATGCCGCAAGATCATCGAGAAGATCGCCGTCGACGAGTGGTTCAGCGGCTACAAGGAGTCGCGGGAGTACCGCACGCTCGGGGTCGGCAGCCTGATGGGCGATATCGTCGCGAGGATGGTCGGCAGCGTCGAGCGGAGCGGCGCGGACGGGGAGCACGAGACGATGAGGAAGTCCGGGCAGGGCAATGCACACATCAAGCTCGGCCTCAGCGGCTGCCACGACACCACCCTTGCCGGCATCCTGGCGAGCTTGGGCGCCTTCGAGCCCGGAAATTGGCCGCCGTTCACGAGCCACATCGCCGTCGAGATGTTCCGGAAATCGACTCCGCCGCGTGATGGTACTCGAAGCCGGTTGGCAGGCTTACTCCCGAAGGCTGCCGCTCAAAGCCAACCTGATGACATTGGGCGCAGGCCCACTGAGGAGTTGACCCCCGCCGAGATACAGAAACTGGATGGCTACTACGTGCGACTGCGATACAATGATGAGCCAGTGACAATCCCCGGTTGCAAGGCGCCAGGCAATCATCTTGAGGGAGACGAGAGTTTCTGCACATTAGTAAGTTGTTAGAGAGCCGGCCACTTGTCTCTGCTAACGGCTCTCCAGTCTGCCTTTAAAGCCATCGTCGACAAGTACACGCCAAAGAACTGGAAGCAGGAGTGTCAGATGAATGCCAACTTTCCTGCGGTTCCTATCGGACAATTGGAGCCCGCGGGATATTAGCCTGGGCCCTGGAACACCTTCCGCCAATAACCCCTGTCCTTTCAGCTAGAGAATTTTTGAGGTGACGGACCTACATCGTCGTATTTAACAGAGACACGGGAGATAATCACGGGCACTTAGAAGCTTCTCTTCGATCCAAGGCAAGTACCTAGATAGTAATGGCCGAGAGCTGGAATATATATAGTGAATAGCAAGTACAGCCATTTAAAACTACTGTCGACTACAATATGAAGAACCTGATGGAGATTGCTTTACAAAATGGCATGTTGGGGTCTGGGTTCGACTTTCTCCCCCAGTGATCTTCAATCGCAGTCCCCAAATGGGGTCTTCTCCCTCTAGCCGCTTATCCACGACTAGCAACTCCACAACCGACTACGGTCTAGAGCGCCCCAGCTCCCCCGCCTCCCAGTATGCCGCGTTGAGGCCGGAGGTTGGATGAGGGAACTAGTGTCAAGAGAAGATGGCGACATCGATAAACGCATCCCGAGATTACGATGGAGACTGGGAATCGCTCGCCATCCACGCTTATCCTCAGCCCTTTTCGCGAATTGGGAATGCTAGAGACCTTCCCCGAGTCGAGATCCCGGCCGGACCATACCTATGCATTGGTATCACACCCCATCCCACCAACCAGCGTAGCAAGCCAGCCCAGGCCACAACCCAAACATACGCCGTCGTAGCCATCAAGCCAGCCTCCTCAAGCAGGTCATGCCATAGTCGAGCAGCGCCCCAGCACCAACACTCCAAGAAACCAGGAGCAATTTTCATTTGCATTAGACAACAACAACAACCGCCTCAGCCCGCACCCCCCCCTCCCTCTCCCTCGCCTTCCCGCCCCCACCCGCGGCCCTGGCGCGCCGCTTCCTCGCGCGCCGCACCTGGATCTCGACGGCCGCCATCTCGGCGGCCACCGAGGCGAGCCGGGGCACGACGGCCTCGACGGCCTCGACGGACCGAGCCTGGGCCCGCCGCAGCGGCGCCGGAACGGCTAGGAGGCCGAACCAGTGGAGGGGGTCTGTCGGTTTGGGCGTGGGTGCGGGTGAGGGGGGGTCGTCGGCTTGGCTGTCATCCTGGTCCTTTTCCTGGTCTTTTACTTGGTCCTGGTCCTGGTCCGCGTCCGCAGCCGGGACGGGGACGACTTCGAACCTCGGGAAGGAATCCGCGGGGCAGACGGAGCTGGCGTCGTCTTGGTTGGTAGTACTGGTGGTGGTGGTGGTGGTGGTGGCAGCGGTGGTGATGACGAGGGTCCTCAGGCTGCGGGCGCGGCCGTCGTAGAAATCCCGGCCGTACCTGACGCCGCGCTCGGCGGCGAAGTTGGCGCGGGCGATGTCCTGGTACACGCCGGCCTGCAGGTCGGCGAGCGCGGCGCGCAGCCGGGTGTACTCATCCACCAGGCCGAGGTAGCGCTCCAACAGGGTGTCAATCGTGTCGTCGGCGGCGGCAGCGGCGGCGTCCATGGCTTTTATTAAGGGTGAGCTCCTTTTTCGTATTCTTGCTGGCTGGATCTCGGGTTTGGGGATTGGAAGCCCCCTCCAATTTCGATTGAGGTTCGGCGGCTCCGAATGATCGTCCTCATTGCATGCATGGGCTGCAGAACAGGGGTGAAGTGAAGGCGTTTCTGGGATCCACTGCTTAACAATTATACTTTAAATTCCACCAGAAATTGAGGATGAACTAGGTAACTACGATATGTTGAGGAAAATTCCCCGAGCTTATTCCCCCAAAATTCCAGCCCATCTGCTCAACCTGTCTTGAATTTCATGGATTCTTATTATAAGTTAACTGCTTGGTAGCAGTAGGTAGGTTTTCGTCCTATTTACATATCTACTGGTAGTCAAAGAGGCAACCACAGAAACTGCTTCGAGGATCATGATGAGTCTACTCAGTGGCCGCCCCGTGTCCGGGCATGCATGTCCTACGCGTATACCACAGTACTCTGCACGTGGAGGTAGCTTTGCCCAACGGATCAACAATTGAGCATCCAAAAGTGGGGTTTTAGTGAGGCCTTCGACGACTCCCGTTCTGGGAAAGGTGCCCAGTTTCAGACTTCGTTTCGGGGTCCTAGACATTAGACATAATGCCTGGTTGCAATTTTTTGAGTCCACGTCTAGCGGGCGGGTTACCAGATAAAGTACCGTATGCACCCCGGAAGGTGGCAGCAACAAGCAGCGGTACATCGTCGATTTTGCTGACTCGATGATGTGACCATGTTTGCCAACTACGACTTGCGGGATGGATGTGGCATGAGTCCCTTCATATACTATGTAGGTATCTAGATTATCTCGTTGACAGGTTTTCTATGTTTGTCATGCTTTATTCTTGCATCCCTGACTATTATGCTGGCGTGCTATAGTTGGAAGCTTCCATCCTTCCCCGCCCCTCCACGCATCTTTTTTCCGGCTGGGCCTGTTCGGATTCGGAACTTCAAGTAGCCAGCTCTACGCATATCGTCATGCGGAGCGTCATTCTCGGCTCGGTTCTGGCGCTGATGGCGATAGTGCCCTTTCCTTGGAACCAACCTACTGACAGATTCCCTATCTATGGTTGCCTCTTCGGACATGGCGGGAGCCCTGTACGCCTATCTTGCCCTAACATCAAGGTTAGGGAGGTGACTACCTAGCATACATACGAGTACTACGTAGTACGCTATTTACAGATGCGTGGGTGCAGATGCAAGAATAACCACCTACGTGTAACCTGGAGAAGCTTTCGACGAAGCTCGTAGTGGGTACCGGTCTAGGTAGTCAGCGTGTCAGACTGGTCCAACTGTGACTGTAGCCCTTTTTAATCACCGCTGTAGATCCCTGCTGCTGCGTCGAATCAGCAGCCCCATTCACCCTCCTGTGCTCCAGATGAGAGACGTCTTCCCCCCAGCTCTCAATCCCGAACTCCCAACTCAACTCAACTCCCGGCTTGCTGCTCCTCCACTCATCAGCCCTGGCTCGTGAGCTCAGAAGTCGGAAGTCCTACACTAGAACGTTTTGGTAGGTCGTGTTAGTGCCCGTGCTCCTCTGCTCTGCGCCCGCTGCCATCCGCCAATTTTACAAGGCTGAACCAGCACGACGGGCATCACCCCTTTTTATTCTATCTCATTTCGTTTTATTTATTTTCTTGACTTTCAATTCACTGAGTGCTTCCGCCGTTGACCATTATTCTTACCCAGCGACCAAACCCTTGACTCCGCCCTTCGTCCTCGACCCCAATCCTTAGTCGACTCCACTACCGACTCGGCCCCCCTGCGCGCGAGAGATAATAATATCTCCCCCCGATTTTATCACCGGTGCAACACCTGGGACAACGTGCGATAAGCAGGGGCAAAAGCAGTGCCAACGAGCAACGCCGCCCGCCCGCAAATCTCGTGCCGCATATCTTCTGCCGCATCGCCGTTGCAACTCGACACGCCCTGCTCCTCCCTGAGGAGCACCTCACATCTTCGCCATGGTCGTCGCAACAATCAAGTTAGTTTAACCCATCCTCTCACCCCCAGTTTATCTGCCCGTTCCTAGCCTGTTCGGCCATTCTTGTTGCCTGCTGTGCCCGATTTGTCGGTCTTCTGCTGCTACTGCTCTCTCTTCATCCCAGCCCTTCATTCACGGGCGCAGTGCGTGAGCACTACTGCAATGCGTCAATGCGACATACCCAGCCACCACCCATCTCGATATTGTGTCGTTTTCGATCCTGCTGCTGACCTTCTCTTCACCTCTACAGGTGCGTCGTCGTCGGTGACGGTGCTGTCGGCAAGACATGTCTGCTCATCAGCTACACGACCAACAAGTTCCCCTCCGAATACGTGCCTACTGTCTTCGACAATTATGCTGTCACGGTAATGTAGGTTCTTCCTGCAGCCAGCCCGCCTCCCCCGACCGCACTTTACAACCCATACATACATACATTTAGCAATGGCAATGGCCATGGCTTGTGACACGGCCAGCTCTGAACTCCCACCCCTCGGCTTCTCTGCGTGTCTTGAGAAGAATGCCTTTGGCATACCCGAGTGCGAAGCTGATGGTCGTATTTGCAGGATCGGTGACGAGCCCTACACGCTTGGATTGTTCGATACCGCGGGACAGGAAGATTATGACAGACTGCGGCCTTTATCGTATCCACAGACAGATGTATTCCTCGTCTGCTTCTCCGTCACGTCACCGGCATCGTTCGAGAACGTCCGCGAGAAATGGTTCCCCGAGGTCCATCACCACTGTCCCGGCGTGCCCTGCCTGATTGTTGGCACGCAGGTGGACTTGAGGGATGACCCTAGCGTACGGGAAAAGCTGTCCAAGCAGAAGATGCAGCCTGTCCGGAAGGAGGATGGCGAACGGATGGCCAAGGAACTCGGCGCCGTCAAATATGTCGAGTGCAGTGCTCTGACACAATACAAGCTCAAGGACGTGTTTGATGAGGTACGGGAACCCCCTGCTCTCCTTCCACTAGTCCCATAGTCCCCAGCTTTGATGGGACAAGTTGGAGGTTTGGGGCCGATCAACTGACACGTTCCTAGGCCATTGTCGCCGCATTAGAGCCACCGGCACCCAAGAAGAAGTCGCACAAGTGCCTCATTCTCTGACCCAAGTTGTCAGCACGCTCGTTCCCGCCGCCCTGCCTGATTACGCTTTGCACGGAAGGCTATGGGGCAGGGATATTCTAGACGGCTTACACAGCCGGTCCCTCGTGGATCGGCTCATTCTTAGTTGGAAGCGGGGAGGTGCCAGTTGGTGGGGGATGTGGCCCGAGGGGAGGGCGAACGACGGGGGAGTAACCGGCTTCGAAGGCTCCTCCTAACATGTGGGAGAGAGCGAACCCGTGAGGAGGATTGGGAAATTTCTCACTTGCCTGGGGCATGCATTTTGACATGGAAAGGAGTCCACAGTCGAAATTTGCTCTCTGGACTGCAAGGAGCTCCTCAATTCAGTTTTCACAGAGAGAGAGAGAGACCGGCGAAGAGATCTTGCAATATTCGCCTGGCCTCAGATCAACCCATTTCTACAATCCTTCTTTCTCAAACCGGGGCGGGACATTCATAAATGCAGGCAGGAAATTTCAATAGGACAGTTCGGCGATTAGGAGTGCAATTGAAGCAAAGCTTGCCGTTTTTCTTAGTTCTGGACCTTCCCCTTTGAAGAAGAATTCCGAGACTCCTCGAGACGACGTCTCACGTCACCTTCGGCTCTTTCTTTCTGCTCTATCACAGGCTTAATTAACTCCCAGGCTCCCCTATTTGACACCACCAGAATTCCCCTTTCACGGCCAGCAGGACCCGTGATTTACCGACAGGATAAGAGCATCAGCTAACTAAGTGCGAGGAAATTAGGGTGTGATAGCCTCCTCGATCCCAGGCAGGGCTGCATGTTGAGGAGACGTTTGGCTACTCGCTGTCAGCCTTGGCTGATGCAGGCAATCAATGCGAGGCCGCCACAGTTGGACACGCGTTGTCGTCATTTGGTCGTCAGGTACTAGAGGCGATCAGCATGACTGCATGTGTCCTGCAGGTCTCAGGCCGCCTGCCGGGCCACCGCATCCTTCACCAAGCCCGGCCCCGAATTCCCTGGTCCATTGCCTTTCTTCTTGCCATCTCTGTTTCCGTTCTCCTCTCTCCCCCACGGCCGTCTTACTTGGTAACCCTCTGTCTGAAATCCCCGGGCCCGGTACGTTATGGCGGGATATTTGCCTTGGCTGGACAAATGGTCCTCGGGCCGGGACCCATCTTGCAAGCAGGCAACGATGTTTACAAACACGAGAGACGACAGCGCGCGCGAGAGAGAGAGAGATAACCCTCGGCGGCGTGCCGATCACCCTATGACCAGGCCCCGGGCCCGGATTCCTTCCGGATACCGCCCATTCGCCTATCTTGGTGCCTCGAAGAAAAAGGATAGGCTTGATTAACCCCCCGGTCGTGCTACCACCTCGGTTTCGGGTAGGCGCGTCGACGAATCCTCCCCGCTCCTTCTTTTCCCCTTTTCTTTTCGGCATCTCTATCCCCTGTTCGCTTCCCCCGGTTGTTTGCGGTGTCTCTTGCTTCCCCCTTTGGGTTATCCTGTCTCACCGTGATGAGAAGGGGAGGCCTTACTAGACGGCTATTGCTGCGCACACCGTCTTTTGCCATCTGTTTGGCACCCCCGGTTCACGCGGGTGCGAGCATCCTCACCGCAATGATGGATCGAAGGAGAAGGAGCTGTCGGTGGCTGGGGGTGGGGGAGGGGGAGGGGGGGCTCACCAAGCTACAGATGGAATGGGAAGTTGGCCAGCATCGTGATGTGTTTGGGGGGGGCATCGACGCTTGTCACTGCCCGCCGATATCGACACTACTGGAGACCTTTCTTATGGAGTTGGGTCATCCTCGTATCTCCCAAGCATGGCAAGTGCCTCGCTACCCCCCGGTAGACTCTTTAGTATTGCGATTTTGGGAGGACCTCCCCGATAGTTTGCAAGTTATTGTCCACCCAAGCGGTGTCCTCCCGAGACTATCCCTCTCCCGCCCTGTCAACTCGGGTTGCAAAGCAAGGCCCTGCGCAGTGGGCTAGGCCCCTGAGACTAGGCTTCATGATTACTGACTCTCGTGCACTCTGAGCGATGAGCAGACAATAATCGATAAGGGCCTCAGCTTTCAAGCACATAAATATAGAGTAAGCTTTGCGAGTGTTGTACATGCATAACCAACGATAGCTTCTCTCCCTCGATTTGCTTGAGTGAAGCTCACCCTCCTTGCAGCATATATCGACGCTTAGCATCTCACCAATCATCCTACGCATCCCGCTAAACATCCTACTTCTTGCCACAGTAACCGGTTTTACCTCAAGCATGGATCGTGTTTGGAGCTACCTAGCAACAAAGGTCTGTCATCGCCAACTCTCCTCAACCAGAGGCGTCTTCTGGTACCAACGGGAACGAACCGTTTATTCCGTCTACTGCTGGGTTCACTAGCTCTAGGTGGTTTTCCTTTTCAGTGTATATGTAACGTCAACTAAGAGTGCTTGCAATCGAACACGCAAACCCGCAAGGCTCACTCAACCTGGCAGTAGTTTGACCGAGGACGTCAATATCAGCACAAAAGCGGCAAGGCACCGCGTGAGGCAAAGGACGACGACACGCCGTACAGCTCTGGGGCGAAGCTATTCTAGTCCGCTCCGTCATGCCGCTCCAGCACGGTTGCACCAAGCAGGGCTTTTCCGAATGCTCTCTCCAAAGTGATCATGGAAGAAGGCCCAGGAGGCCGGTTTCGACGACTATGAAAGCAGTGGGGCCGAAGAACCGTAAACAGACGAGGCAGGTCGTCGTCGCCGGGGAATCTGCCCCAAGGCTGGACATCTTCTGGCGCCGCAGCTTCGTTTCTATTTATTTGACACAGGGCTGCAGGTTGGACACACCGGGTCCCTCAGTCTGGATAGCCAACAAGCACCCGGCCCGGACCTCGAGGCCTACATCCCTATTTCACGGGTGGTTGAGAAGCTGTAAATGATAGCCGGGCAGACACGGAGCACGGGGTGCCCATATGGGCTCGGCCGCGAGTATTGTAAACGGCGGGCCTCCGGTACCGTGAGACGCGCATGATAGGGGATGGGAAACAACATACGTGGGGAGAGGGTGCATTTTACGGTGATATTTAAATCCTCCGACCCGGTCCCGTCTGTACTAGTGTAGTACGTACCTGCGCAGTTGGAAGTTTATCGGCTTCTCCCGAACGCATGAGACGGGGCGGAAGAAACAAAGGAGGGTAAACGAGACGGGACCGAGGACCGGAGCCTCCAAGAACTGTACTTTACCCACGTGGTCCGTACTGGACGTGGCGGAGCGTGAATTGTTGTTTCTGTTTCTGCGCCAGACTTTTCGAAACGCGGTTTCGAGAACTGCTGCGCCGAGCGGGTTTGCAATATCAAGTTGCATCCTTGGCTGTCGTTTGCGTCGGCCACCTTGAAGACTTGGGGGTGGCTTTTGGGGAACCTTGTTCCTGCAGCACGGTTGCCCCCCTCCTTGGCGTGGAGCCCCTATCTGCTAAGAATAGGTCCCTATCAAAAGCCTTTCTGTCTATTTTCCCCCTTTCTTTTCGACGCCCCCCTATGCCCCCCCCCCTCCCTTGCCGGGTGGCATATGTTTTAAGTGTCGAGGGCGGTTGCTTGGTCAAGGCAGGGCTAAATCAGACCAGATTTTGATGAGGAGAAGGGGGTGAAGTTGTGAACAGGGGCAGGTGGGTCACACGCTGCAGGGACCCCCCAGGGGTACAGGTGCCACAGCCCACAGGTGGCAGGACCTATCCTGGGAATTGAGATGGTCCAGAAGCCCGGGATCGCCCCAGGAACGTCGGGCTCGACTCTTGTCTGCACAAACGGGATGGATACATACCTAGGCAGGTACCAACTCTGCAGTTATTCCTATCCTGACTTCCCAAGCAAAAACCTCATCTTTTGGCTAAACTCTTTTTCCTTTTTCTTCTTGGGAGCCTTCTTGGCTAGCCTCACTTAGCCGGGTATTTCTTGACAGGTGGGAAAGAGTCAGATCCTCGGGCGGCATATGGATACAGATGCACAGTAGGTACACTATAGATGGCGCTCATATCGACAAATTGACTGATCCTCGACCATGCACAGTCACCGTTGATTATCCCGTCGACGGTAGACATTCTCCGCGTCTTTGCCTACGCTTATTATTCCGTACAAATTTGTGTACATACATACGCACAGTCGAAGTGGCTGGGGAATAGATATTCTGTAATTAGCTAAAGTAATAAGTAGCGAACCTGCGCTACTGATGATATTCAATGGCGGCAAGATGCCAAGCATTGTTGGATCATAAAAATGGATGCATTCTCCGCCACACTTTTGGTCGCGATGATACTCGCGAAAACCACCCGCCAACCGATGCTAGGTACCTACTTCGTTCCATCAGAGGGATATCGCACCTGTATTTTGATGCCCTGAAGACGGTCTCTTGTCTCGCAAAGTAGGAAGTTACAAGAGTTACTCTACACGTAGGTACAGGTATCGCAACTGTGAGTGAGCTCGAGCCCAATTGGGATGGATGGGTCGTTGGAATGCAGGGGGGTCACTTCTGAAAATTGCCGATAGACAGCACAGGTCGCGTAAGTCTCTCCCCCTAGGTTTCTCTGCCTGAGAATACCTGGACCCCTATCGGCTAGGAGCTCTCCCCTAGCACGACCCAAGTACAGCTACCTCTCCTTCCCTCTCTCTGCCCTCCTTGAGATCCCTGGCAGTTCTCATTAAACTTAGCGCAGCCAATTCGAGCTCGTTCCCTTTTGGGCAATCTACAACCTCCAACCCCCGTGCACTCCAGCCCTCCACATCCCTGTCCCTTCTTCCCCTTCTCTCCCCGTCCTTCTCATCACGAGCCCACACTCTTTTCCCCTTCTTTTGCTCCCTCTTCAAAGCTATTTTCACTCCTTCAGCTTCCCCTCCGCCCCTCGAGCCATTCTCTCTTCCCTTCGTGCGTCCTTCTCTATCGCCAACAATCCTTCGATCTGCTCCTTCTTCGGCCTAACCGCCTGGCTTTCAAGCCTCTTTCCCTTACAACACACTCGTTCCCAGTACTTTGTTCTAATTCTCTTTCAACGCCACCGGCCAGTCCCAGTCTTAGTCCCCTCGACTGCTTCCCTCGGCCTTGATTCCGTACCCGAACACCTAGAATCTTATCCTTCTCGACCTTCACTTGAGTGGCCCACTCGACCTAGCTTAATATCTACGAGACATCTTTGTTGTTCGCCAACCTACTAGCAAGCAAGCATCTTCGAGGCATCCTGAGAGATCGAACCTCTTCGACCTCCAATTCCAACCGCGCTGTCATCTTCAACCTCGCATTGCTTACCAGCATATTTTTTTTCTTCGACAAGCCGGTCATACAAGCTTGGAAATTTTCGTCAAATATCGGCCAGTTTTGAGATCTGGATGTGTTACTCGAGCCAGTGCAGGATATAGGAAGTCTCTAGGACTGAGTTATCTAGAGATTGACCATCATCAATCTCCCGACACGTCTATCCAACCCTCCCTCCGTGCCTTTTGCAGGGCACGTATAATCCTTCAACACGGCTGTATTATCGCACATCGCCAGGGACAGCCTCGTCCCGCCGCATCTTCTCGGGATGCAGGATATATCTGGTCCCCAGTCCGGGCCCAGCGCCCCAACTGGTCGCTTCGGCCATGCTTCCAAGCCTTCGAACAGCGATACTGGCTTCTCCCATGGTGCCTTTAATTCCAACGTCACAGGCTTTGCTGACAGGCATCCTCGGCGCGGGAACATTCCCACCATTAACACCCAGCCAATCTCCCAGCAAGCCCCTACGAATGGCGCCGATATGACGACCCCCGGCACCGCATTTGATATGCAGTTCACGCCACTGCTCCCCTCGCAGTTGCTTCTCGGCAGTCCCTTCCAACCCGGTTCTCCGGGAGCCTTCGCCAGCCCTCATTTCCAGACCCTGCAAGGCTACCAGCAAGTCCAGCAAGCGAATGGCCAGCACCAGCAGCACCACCAGCAGCATCTTCAGCAGCACCAGCACCACCATCAGCAGAACGGTCTATCCAGCCCGAGCCAGCAAAACATGCCTTCGCAGGTCTATCCGTCTGTCGTCTCGCCGTCCGCCTATGGGGCACCCCAGTTCTACTCGCCCCAGTCGCCGACCAACTCGTACACGAACATGGGCGGCCAGATCCAGTTGCCCATGCAACCAAACTCGCCCGTCTCCATGGGCCCTGGCATGGTCACTGGCACAAGCCGCACCGTGTACTTGGGGAATATCCCTCCGGACACCACCGCCGAGGAAATCTTGGGACATGTCCGCAGCGGACAGATCGAATCCGTGAGACTTCTCCCAGACAAGAACTGCGCCTTCATTTCGTTCTTGGATGCGAGCTCCGCCACTCATTTCCACTCTGATGCCATCTTGAAAAAGCTCTGCGTCAAGGGCCAGGACATCAAGATTGGCTGGGGCAAGCCCTCCCCGGTTCCGACCTCCGTGGCACTCGCGGTCCAGCAGTCGGGCGCTTCCAGGAACGTCTACCTTGGCAACCTCCCCGAGGATATCACCGACGACGAGCTTCGCGAGGATCTAGGCAAGTTTGGCGCCATCGACACGGTCAAGATTGTCCGGGAGAAGAACATTGCTTTCGTTCATTTCTTGTCCATCGCAAATGCCATCAAGGCCGTCTCTCAGCTTCCCCAGGAGCCCAAGTGGCAGTCTCCTCGTCGCGTCTACTACGGAAAGGACCGATGTGCCTACGTCTCTAAGACTCAGCAGCAGAACGCGGCCCAGTATCTGGGCATTGCTCCCGGATACGCGCACATGCTCACTGGAGCTGACCGAGACTTCATTTCCAGCGCCTTGGCTCAGCAATCCGTGGCTGCTGCCGCTGTCGCAACAACCGCTGGCGGAATCAACAACCTGGGCAACAGGACGATCTACCTCGGAAACATCCACCCGGAGACGACCATTGAGGAGATCTGCAACGTTGTCCGAGGTGGTCTCTTGCATCACATCCGATACATTCCCGACAAGCATATCTGCTTTGTTACCTTCATCGATCCCACAGCGGCTGCGTCTTTCTATGCGCTGAGCAACCTTCAGGGCTTGATGATCCACAACCGTCGGCTGAAGATCGGTTGGGGTAAGCATTCCGGTGCTCTCCCGCCAGCCATTGCTCTAGCCGTGAGCGGGGGGGCTTCGAGGAACGTGTACATCGGTAATCTGGACGAGACCTGGACCGAGGAGAGGCTGAGGCAGGATTTCTCCGAGTTTGGCGAGATTGAGCTGGTCAACACGCTCCGTGAGAAGAGCTGCGCCTTCGTCAACTTCACCAACATTGCCAACGCCATCAAGGCCATCGAGGCTGTCCGAAGCAAGGACGAGTACAAGAAGTTCAAGGTGAATTTCGGCAAGGATCGATGCGGCAACCCCCCTCGTCAGTTGCAGCAGTCTCAGTCTCCCCGCAACGAGAGCGTACCTTCGCCCCCTCCTCAGGCGTCGAGCCAGGGCGGTGGTTCCCCGACCAACGCCGCGGCTCCAGCTGCTCCTCCCATGTTCAACACGGCGAGCAACCCCCTGACGATGTACCTGAACCACGTGTCGCAGCAGGCCCAGCAACAGCAGCATCAGCAGCACCACGCTCTGGCAGCCCAACAAGCTGCGCTGTTCGGAACGGCAGCCTCGTCTCCGAACGAGATGACTCTGGAAGTTCCACAGGGACCAGTCATCTCCGGCCACCAGCAGTCAGCTAGCATCTCCAACGGATACATTACGAACCCTTCTTCCGGCGCCACCACTATTGGCGGTCTCCTTGCCCCCGGTAACCCGCGTGGCCAGCACAACCGAGCCGTCAGCCTGCCAGTCTTGGCCCCCGGTTTCGAGAACGGTGGCACAAGTCCAAACAGCGCCCAGGGCAGCATCGTAGGTGGTGAGGGAGAGCGCCGCGGGCACCAGTACCAGGCCAGCTTTGGCGGGATGGGTGCTGGTTTCGGCCTTGCCATCCAAGGCGGTCTGAACGGTTGGGTTGAAGAGGAGGTTGCCAACTAGACCAATGGAGAACAAAGGACTAGCTCGCAACAAAAACGAATAGTGCGCGGACGAAGACAAGGCGGGGAAGATTGACTAGACCTTTGTAATCTGTTGCGTGATTTGCTTGCCATTTTTTTCTCTCCCGCGACCCGTTCATTTTCTTCTTCAAATTCATCCTTCGTCTTTCTTTACTTGTCCTTAATAACACCATCCCCCTCCTCTTCATTTTCAGTTGTACCATCTTCTCATCGTTCTTGTTTTGGAAATCCCGTTCTTTCTTCCCCCTTGGAACACCTCGTCACACCGCATTCGAGATATAGTGACGAGGCAAGTTGAAGTGAAAGTTTGGAAAATACAGCCAGGAAGAAAAGCCTGGCTCTGTGCCATCGGCAATGGCCAGTTGAAGTTGGAGAGGGAGGGGTCTTGTGGCTCAGAGATGAGATGGCCTTGTCCAAACCGAGCGAGGGGCCAAACCGGGAGGGGATACGCCGGATACCGCTTTTCTCCAGCAGGCGAGAAAAGGCGGGCGGGTTGTATGGGGGGAGGAGGCGAAGCCATAAAGAGAATCCGACGACGATATATCGCCCTGGGTGGGTGGGGAGGTCGGTTCTCAGTATCTGGGGTGCATGTTTACAGGGAAATCATTCGGGCGCAAGGGAACATAGTTGAAATACCTATATAAACAGGGGCAAAACTCTGTCGTTGCATATATACCTCGGCGTGCGCCCCCTTTTCCTTGCAAGTGAATAAATCAGCCCTATGGGATGTGTCCAGCGGTCGTTCTCGCTGTGCTTGCTTCGACCTTCCAGGCCAGATCCTCGTCTGGACCTGGATCAGGCCATTAGAACATGGGAAATCATCGAAACATCGAAACAATCTCGGAGAGGAGGCAGAGGGCTCCTTGGAAGGCTAGTTTTACTATTCGAGCGAGTGTATAGTATAGGGTATATATATCTCGGTATATCCATCTCCCACGCCTTCCTGAAAATAAACAGCTAAATCCCCCGACAATCCAGCATCAGCATGTTGTACAATGCATTATAAGTCTCATGCAATATCGTTAACACACCAACATCCATCCAACTCCCTTCCCATCTACACGGAAACGGTACCATCACAAAAGACTCGGCGCATCCGACCCGGGACTCGGCTCCCCGCCATCATGGTCATCACCACCCCCTCTCGAGAAGGTCCTCCTCCGGCCTCCCCCCCCACCGCCGCCCCCATCATCATCATCACCAGGCTCCGACCCCGAGCCCACGTCTATGTGGTCGTGATCGTGATCGGAGTCTCCCCGCGCGCCGGCGCCGGCGCCATCGGACGGGGCCGGGCCGGGGCGGCGCGACTCGTCGGCGCCGTTGAGGACGTACCAGACGTCCTTCTTGGTGAGGAGGCCCTGGAGGGCGCCGCGGTCGGAGAAGAGCACGTAGCGGAGGCCCAGCTTCTGGAAGTAGGACACGGCGCGGTGCAGGCTGGAGCGGCTAGGCAGGGTGATGGGGGTCTGGTCCATCCAGGGGCGCAGGTCGAGGGTGGAGCGCGGGTCGGCGAGGGGCTGGTGGGAGAAGAAGGCCTCGGTCTCGGGCGGCAGGCGGCGCGGGGCCTGCGTGCTCGTGTGCAGGTTGTAGGCCAGCTCGGCCCGGCTGATGTAGCCGAGCAGGACGGCGTCGCGCGGGTCCGACACGACGGGGAAGCCGCGGTACGGGTGGTCCTCGAGCACGGCCGAGAGGCTGCCGATGGTGTGGCCCGTCGCCGTGAGCACGACCAGGTCCTCAATGCGGGTCATGACTTGCGCGGCGGGGATGTGGGGGATCACCGTCTCCTCCGAGTTGTCCAGGAAGGGGTACTCGTTGAAGTGGATCCACGACTCGTAGATGCCCCGCCTGGAGAAGGCGTCGCCGACCCACTTGCTGATCATGACGGCGATCATGATGGGTAGGAGGTAGTCCAGGGCGCCCGTCAGCTCGAACATGATGACCACGATGGAGACGGTCATGCGGGTCACCCCCGCAACGGCCGCGGCCGCGCCGATGATGGCGTAGGTCCCCGGGGTGACGCAGGGTATGTCGGGCTCGCAGGACTGGAAGGGGAGGAAGGTGCGGTTGTTGTCGACCCACGTCTCCATGATGATCCCGACGGCCCGCCCGGAAAGGGCCCCGATGGCCATGGACGGGAGGATGATGCCCGCGGGGATCAGGAGCCCGAAGGTTACGGCGGCAAGGAAGAAGCCGAGGACGGCCGCAAAGATGAGTAGAATGACGGCGCCTGCTATGGCCACGCCGGAGGTGCAAAGCCGGAACTGATCCTGCAGGTCTTCCGAGCACTCGGCGAAGAGCGAGTATACCAACTCCGAGGACTGGGCCCGCATATAGCGGTCGGGATAGTTGATCAGCGCCGTGATCAATGCGACGACGACGACCTGCGTCACGGGGCCTGGTAGCCACGATGTCGACTTCTTCCACTGCGCGACCTTCATGTTCGCCTTGATGAAGAGGCCCCCATACACGCCCCCTAGGATTCCGAGCAGGACAAATGGGATGAGCTCAAACCCGTGCCACCCCGAGCTGTACTTTACTTGGTACAGCACAAGCTTGCCAGATCTGTATGGGTCGAGGACCTGTAACAGGAACCCGGCTGTCATGGCACAGACGAAGCTCTGCCACATTGTCTTGTCGGGGAAGTAATACGACAATTGCTACGAGTCGTTAGCGTCTGATGGTCTCTGCATGGAGCACTATAAGAAACTCACCTCGAGACTGAACAATACACCACCGATCGGCGAGCCGAAGGCAACTGAAATGCCTGCGGCTGCCGCCGCGGAGAGTATCTCTCGTTTTCGGGCTGCGAAAGGTTAGAATGTCTTGCCCCATGAGTTGGGTAGAGGTCTCTTTTACTCGCCTTCATTGCTCCTGATGCTAGGGAAGAACTTGATGAACAAATTCGCACAGCAGCAGGCCACATGGACTAGAGGGCCCTCCTTACCCAACCACATGCCCGAGGCAACGGCGAGACACTGGCAGGGGGAGTTAGCTGGCTACTAAGATCGGAAGATTCAAGACAAGTCCACTCACCAGACCAAGAGACTTCGTAACCAATGTCCACGCACCCAGAAACCTCCGGATAACGAAACCTCCCAAGACTGTCTTGATCTCGGGTATGCCGCTATGCCTGGCGTATATCGCATACTCCTTGACCAGAATACTCGCGCAGAGCGCAAACGTGACCTTTGCATAGCGTTAGCAAGTCATGTCACCAACGACAATGGGTGTTCTCGACGTACCGAAAACAGCGAGAAGAAAAAGTACTCCATAAACCACTTCCCCCCCGCCGACTTCAGGCCCATAGCCGTACCCCAGGACCGCCACCTGACACACTGGGAGAAGTCATCATAGCCGAGGCAGCAAAAGCCCTTGTTCAGGTAGAAGGCCCCCCCATCGGCGTTTGTGCAATATCCAGCCTTCATATCCCCGAGCCAATTAGTGGTCACGTCGATCCCCGCCGCCACGGCGCCGACGGAGAGGCCGGTCAACACCAGGATGACCCACACCTGGCTGGCATCCAGGAGCTGCCGGACGTATCCCAGGATGCCCGTCGCGCCCGAGTAGAGCATCCGCAGCCGCTGCCTCTCTTTGGTGTATTCGAAGATCCAGTCGATGGCTGTCAGGTCCTCGTACCCGACGCGCCTCCCCGGGCCCTCAGCGTACCAGTCGAGCGGGACGCCGTCCTTGAAGCCCGCGTTGAGATTCCCGCCTCGTCCCAGCCCGGCGTCGTCGGACCACATTCTGTCTGACGGCGGCGTGTCCGGCCGCGGCGAGTCCGCGTCGGGACTCCTCCGGCCTGTCAGGGCCGTGAACAGCCGGGAGGGCTGGGACAGGATGCTCTGCTTCAGCTTGCGCTTGAACGAGAAGGGCCGGTCGAGGTTGTCGCGCAAGGGGTCGTCGCCGAGGATGTCGCTGTCGTCCTCGGCGCCATGGTGTGTGTCGGCGGGGGGCGCAAGGATGTCGGCTTCGTCGGCTTCGTGGTAGGCTTCGGCGGCGTGGTCGTGGTCGTTTGTTGGGTGCCACGATGATGAGGCTTTGGGGCTGAAAGACCCAGCGTTCATAGCTGTAGGCATTTTGAGGGCTGGCGATATGTAGGCTCCATCGGCTTCTCTAGGGCATCGTAGAGGTTGCAAGGGTAGCGATTGTTCAGACTTTTGGGATCGGATGGGTAGAGTCTAAATCGCGAATGCTGGGCGGGTCGAAGATGGAGGTTGGTGTTACGGTACAATTGAGCCTGCCTAGTCGCTGGGATATCTTCTGTGCATCAGCTCTTTCCTGTCCGAAGATAAGAGCCTTTTACAAGGATGTTGCAGAGCTTTGGCAGCTACCTCATAATGCAGAGCAAATAGAGACCCTCGTGTCCATCAATGCCTATGGGCGATGCTTTCAAGCTGCTACAGGACTACATGCAGACCATCGGCGGCTTAAAGCGGGAGCCCGGTCCTCTCTTGGGCTTTGGTATGGTCCCGTTTAGCTGGTAGGGGAGGGAGCTATAATGCTGGCAGCAGGATACAGTAATTTTTAGAGGAAGTGGGCTGTCGGGAAATGCCAGAGGGGTCAAAAGTTGTACCTCTTCGCGAACTTGCTCTCCTTTGTCGGCGGAGGTTAGCCAAGGATCGCCGTTTGTAAGGTTACGTAATCTGGCTAGGTAAGGTCCGTGCGTCTAATTTTTCCGAAGGGCCCACTTTTCCTACTCCCGCCGAGCTTTTTTCTACTACAGCCGAGTTTCTTTCTACTCCCGCCGAGCTTTTTCCTACTCAATTCAGATCAGTCACCTGACCTAAAGTGCCGATCTGGTGGAACATCAGGGGCGCTAAGCTGACATCACCTTTTTAAATTCAAGGGAGTGAGTGTAAAGTGCAATTAGACTCTGGATGAGAACAAGAATGATCCAACCTGAAGTAGATTACACTAGAGATATTGGTCCACCAGGCACATCGGTGAACTCGACTCTAAATGGCCTCATCGAACATGAGTGCCGCACCTTCAGATGAGCAGCAGCGCTCGATAGAGAAGATCCAAACTTTGCTGAAGTCCAAGGATGATACCTCAAGATTTGTCGGACTTGCACTTCTTAAATCTGTGCTGGACAATTCGCAAGACGTCCGAGATGACGAGCAGTCTATCCTCTCTCTCTGGGAGAGCATATCCCCAAAGTTCTTAGACCGGCTCATGCGTACCGGATCGGGTCAGACGGCTCAGAATGCGAAAGACATGTTGGATCTGGCTGTGTCCGTTCTCCATATATTCGCTAATCTGCTCCCAGACCATGCGAAGGGAGACCCCAGGTTTGTCGGTAAAATCCCGCCGCTCGTTTCGTGTCTGGTTCGCAGGTAAGGCTTCATCTCGAAAGTTACGTTTCGTCGACTGACAATACGTGAAGCTCGGGGTCTACCGAAGAACTCATACTGCAAACTCTCCTTATTCTGGTCAGCCAACAAGACGGGGCTGTAGCTCTGACTCGAGTTGATGACCTGAGCCCTTTGACTGAGATTGCCCCGTCGCATCCCCTGGTGCTCCAGATCTTCTCCTTAGCATGGCTTCAGGCAATGACGGCGGGATCCGACAATGGCAGCGACCTAGTGTCCAAGGTTGACATAACTGTCGACAGCCTTGTGTCATCGTTTAAAGGAACCGATGCAGTAACGCTACTGGCATGTCTGGCAGATCTGCTACCAAAACTAGGACCCGAGGTTGGTCCCCTGATTCCTGTCTAAAAGACCACGAGCTCACACTATCAACAGGTTCTCCCTCCAAACCCAACGTGGATAAAGCCCCTGGTGGACTTCATCCGAACTCTCGTGACTAGCCGACCAACTGCTGCCGCGCGTGCGGCATACACAAACCTCGCGGCATCTCTCCTCCAGGTGTACCCCATCCAAGCCGCCCCCTTACTTTTCTCCGGCGATGGCGACGTCCAAGTCGACAAGCCGTTCTCCTACCTCCTCATCAACCTCCTCCTAGTGGATATCCGCTCCTCCTTCCCCACCCTCCTCGAGGAGCTCAACAGCCCCTCCTACCCATCGACCTCAACCCGCCTCGCGTCCGCCTTCGACATCATCTCCAACTTCATCGGCTTCCTCCTGCGCTCCCTGGACGACTCCCCATCGCCATCCACCCCCGCACCCCTCACCATCCCGCCAGACCGCCTCCTCTCCCTCCGCAAGTCCATCTCCGAGACCATGTCCCTGACAATCGAGTATCTCCGTGACAGGTGGGACGCCTCCGTCGCCGGCGCGCAGGGGCTGCACCCGTCCGCGCGCGCCGGCGATACCAGCACCGCCCGGCCAGCGCTGGCGTGGGACTCCAAGACAGGCGCCCTCTCGGCAGGCGGGGGCGGCGACGCCCTCGTCCTCGCCGCCCTGCGCGCCCTCGCCATCTGGCTGCGCGAGGACGACGGCGAGACCCTTCGCCGCGAGGCCGCGGGCCTGTCCGACATGTTTGTCGACCTGTACCGGGAGAGCACCACCACCACCACCACCGGGGGAGCCCCGGACTTCCGGAGGCCGATCCTCGTCGCGCTGGAGGGCGTCACGGCGTCGGGGGAGGAGGGCGCCGAGGCGCTGCTCGACAACGGCGGGTGGGGGGTCCTGAGCGGGGACCTTCTCTCGGCACTGCAGGCGACGACGACAGGGGCGGGCGAGGGCGACGCGGCCAGGGGCGTCGAGATCGTGCGCGTGCTGCTGCCGCTCGCTGAGGCGGAGCGACCGGGCACGCGCGAGGAGTGGATGGATGTTGTAACGCGGGTGGCGGCGTGGCGGGTCTCCGATGATGACGAGGGGAACAAAAAGCGGTCGCTCGTCGTCGAGGAGTTCTGGGTGGCCGTGCTGCAGCTTGCGACGGCGCTGCTGGTCAACGCGCACCCGGCGACGCTGAGGAGGTATGGGCACTCGATAAGCGCGATCGTGGGGATTGGGAGACAGCTGGCCGAGAGGGGGTTGCGGGATGGGGCGCTGCGGGAGGAGCTGGATGATGTTGTGGAGACGTTGGGGCGGTTGGGTTAATTCCTGTCAGGAGTGGATGGTATATTGAGCCTCGGTGGTCATTTTCATTGACGGTGGTATGATGTTTGCATCGTTCTTGCTGTTGGATATCCCCGCCATTGTTCTCCTCTGCCTTCCCCAGGTCTTAAATCTATTCCTGGCTCTGAAGTTAGACTGCGCCCAAAATAATACCCTTTCCCTCTCTCTCTCACTCTCTTCCTTCCTCTCTTATTTTCGTATAATACCGTCAACAGCGCTGCCTGGGCAGCAGAAAGCCAATCAACATTATTCCGGTTCTTCTACCTTGCACAAGTGCCAGGTAAAACTCGAAGCCTCCGTGCTTTGATCTCGTTCCTGGAGGCTCGACCTCGGTGGATAGACTACGACTCGTCCGAGATAAACTGTCTTCTAGCGCTTCTGCACGCCATGCTCCCACCTCATTCAATGCTAATCTCCCCATTGTAATGAACGCCACGCAGCAAAATAGTAGAGCCTTGCTACCCAAGCGTTTTAACAAGGCAAGTTGCTTCCATACAACAACTAGGGTTTGCTGCGCGGGCCTGGACAGTTTGCTATTCAAGCCTGGGGTCTATACGCTGCAGGTGGTATCAGGCTGGGGGGTTGCTGGTAGGTGGGTTTTATATAGGTGACAGGCCACAGCAATACTGATGGCGATGGCAACGGCAATAGCCAGGCAGTGGTGAGGGCAACGGCAGTGGTGATAGCAATAAAAATGACAATAGCAACAGATAGCAACAACAAGAGCAACAAAAATAGCGATAAACAGCACCTGCTAAAAATCTCCCTGCCTGCCTCCTCCCAACTGACGCCCCATAGACCCAGGCTCGAGTAGGAAACTGCCCAGGCCAGCGCAGCAAGCCTCACGAGAAATTCGTAAAGTGGAAGAATCGAGGAGGGGGATTTATTTGGGCATCAGGGGTGGGTTGGCTGCTCCTGGGCGTGCGGTGTTGGAGATGATGTGAATGTAAACAATGGTCAGGGGGTCAATAAAGAGGTTTGTGTGGGCGTGATAAAAATTTTAAATTTTAAAATTTTGCGGTCTTAGCGAAGCGAAAAAAGGAAATCCGGCGAGGCTGGCGAGAGGTTGTGAGCTCGATATCGCTAAGCAAGGATGAGGTCGTTGTTGTGACGTATTTGGCAAGGGGGTTGTGGTGGTTATGGTGGTGATGGTCGTGTGGAGGTAGAGGTGTCGACCGTGGACAGTGACGGTGGATATTTAGTGGAGGCAGTGGTGGCGACGGCGGTGGTGAGAATGATATGGATGCTGGTAATGGGAGGTATGGGTAGGCTGGCAAGAGGTTGTAGGTAGAATAGGTTCACTTTTATATGTGCTTGGAAAAGGGAGGGTGGGAGCGGAGGGCTAGCCGGGAAGACATGGTGATGGAGTCAGGCCTACAGTACGATAGTTACGTAGATGGTATCATATGACAAGGTAGGTAGCATGGATAAGATGAATGTTTGGGTATGGCACGCAGTCAGTCTACGGGGTCAAGTTTGTTTGGTATGGGCCAGGGGCAGGGGGAAAGGTGAATGAAATATCACATTTTTCAACAAGGCCATATAGGTCCAAATACCGAGTGACCTTACCAATTGGCCCAACCAATATGGCATAATAGCCTAGTTGGAAAGGCTGTGGACGCGAGATTATGACGGACTTATCCTGAGACTCGCGGATCCTATCCCAAACGACCTTGGGCGCTCAGGGACAGCTTGAGGCCTAACCCGCCGGGGCGCCCGCTTCCCAAGCTCGGGGATCCAGTCCGTTCTTTTTTTACATCTCTTCCTAGTATTGTAGCTATACCGTAGAATGATATATATTTTTCTTGAAGCTCCTGGAGTGCTCTGCGGGCTGGAATTGTTGAGTTGTTGTCCTTCCTTTCTTGTGAAATTCTCCTGTTTTCCCATGCCTTCATGGCCCTTTATCTGACCTGACATGATTTCAAGAGGTTGCGAGTTCAAGCTCACTTGGTCAATTTCCCCCTTACCTCCTTTTTTCTTCGTTCACCTCTCTCTTGCCTTCTCACATTCACTGACTCGGCACCCAGCACCGAGCACCCAGCACCACACCTAGGACCACCATGCCACTTGTTTTACTCTGATACCTTGGATAATGTTGCGGAGCGACTTATTGATAGGCACCCTCTTGTTTATTGCCCCTATAGTCTTTCTTCTCTTTAGGTATTAGATGGCACATCTAAGCCTGGTGTGCATTAACCAGATACAATACTCCACTTCCCAGCCCCGGTTTCTGGTTTACGGGGCATCATTTCATGACACAAGTCTTATTTTGTCATGGCACTCAAGATGGTACGGCAAACCGGTTCTTTTGCATAAAACCCCCAAAAGCCCATCGGCATAAACAACATACATACATATCTTGCCCCTCTCCCCCTTAATACTCGAAATCATCATCCACCGCCGGCCCCTTATTCTTAGTCACGCTCTCCTGCTTCCGATACATCTCCGCCACCTGCCTACTCGACGTTGCCTCCTCGGGCTTCTTATCGTCGCGCACCTTGATGAAGCGCGGGAACCGCAGGCTGATCCCCTTGCCTGCGCCGGTTGGGTCGACGCCCTCCCCGCAGCCGGCCTTGTACCGGGGGCTGAGCGTCAGGTCGGCCGTCTTGACCTCCCACACGAACCGCGGCTCGAGCCACACGTCGGGCTGGTGCTGCCCGCCGCCGCTGTGCGAGTAGAAGGGCTTGGGCCGGTCGATGACGATCTGCGACAGCGCCGCGTGCAGCTCCTCCAGCACCGCCTCGCTGAACCCCGTGCCGATGTTGCACACCGTCTCGTAGCTGTCGCTGGACGGGTTGTAGCACGCCAGCAGGAACGCGCCGTAGACCGACGTCCGCTTGCCCTTGCCGTGGTAGGCACCCAGAACGACAAGATCTAGAGAATCGCCTATGCCGGAGAGGTAGTCTTTCTTGATCTGATCGCAGCGGGTTAGTATTTCCCGTCGTCTTGCTCTCCACTTTGGGGGAGAGAAAAAAGGAAGAATCCGCCTACCTTGAGCCAATTCCTACTCCTCTTGCTCGGCTCGTACCCGCTCTCCGTGCCATCCAACATCTTCACCATCAGCCCCTCGCACGAGGCCTTGACGCTCTCGTCAAGGAAGGTCTGAATGTCCTCGAGCTCCTGGCCGTCCATGCTGGTCGCGAAGGCGAACTCGCCCTCGACGGGGACGAACGACTTCCTGAGCAGCTCACGGCGCTCGCGGAGGGGCTTCTTGACGACGGGCTCCCCGTTGAGGTACAGGAGGTCGAACGCGAACACGCACACCTTGACCTTGACGTCCTCGACCTTGACGTCTTTCTTCTTCCGCGTCATGAGCTGCTGGAAGGGCAGCACCTTCTTCTCCACCATGTCCCACGCCACCGTCTCGCAGTCCAGCACGAAGCTCTTGGTGGTTTCCTTGTCCACCCACGTGTGGAGCTTGGACAGGATGTCGGGGTACTTCTTGGAGAGATCTTCGGAATTCCTCGAGAATATGGAAGCGACGCCGTTGGCCGCCTCTTTTGTCGCGCCGGGCATCGCCTGGCTGAGCTCTTCATCTGTATCCTTGGCCACGTAGTGGATCTGCGCCCTCTCACCATCGTACTTGTACTCGCAAGTGAAGGTCTGGCCCTCGAAGCGGTCGAGCACTTCGGTGATGGCCTTGGTCGGCTTGGCCAGCATGGGCTTCAGCGGCACACCGGGCTGGAGCTTGCAATGTTCCTGCAAGTTCATGATGCCATGCTCGACCATGGCCGGAATGATCACGTCGTAGCTCGGCAACTCGCTATACACAAAATCAGTACAAGCCCGGTTGTCGTGACGGGCGGCTGAGGACTGGTAACGAACCTATACACCTCCTTCAAAATGGACTCTGCCTTCTCCATCTCACTCGTACTCGGCACCTTGCCATCCCTCTCTGCCTCGTGACAGATCATAGCCTGAGAGAGCGACACAAGGACCGTCCTCTCGGCCAGCCCCAACCTCAGCTTGCCCTCCAGGAAGCGGATGAGGTACTTCGCCTCGCTCGGCCCACCCTTGTCCTTGGTGATGTCCACCTTGCCGCCCGCGGCGTCGGCAGCGGACAGCAGCTTCTTGATCCCGTCTACCTTGCGGCCCTGGGCACCGTTCCCGGCGACCGTGGCGATGCCCATCAGGCCCTTGTGGACGCCCCGGATGGTCAGGGGCTTCGGCTTGAACATGGTCGGCTGCGTCGACCTGGACTTGACAGCCACCAGGCCGAGGTCCCCGATCTCCTTCTGGTCCTGCTTGATCACGGCCAGGCTTCGGCCGGTCGACTCGCCGATCGCCTTCATGATCAGAGACTCGCCAATGCCCAGCTCAATGCCGGCGTAGTCGGGCGCAAGCTTGTTGATCATGAGCAACACGGTCGACAGGAGGTCGTCCGGGGTGAGCCTCAGCACCTGGCGCAAGAACAGGGAGCAATGCTCCATGATCACCAGCCTCTTGGTGGTCAGCTCGATAAGAGAGAAGGTCTGGCACAGCGCCGCGTAAGGAACAGGCTCGCCAGGTTTCCAGTCGGGGAATGGGTCCTTGGCCTTCGTCTTCAGCACCGCCTGGACCGTCTTGCGCGCCTTGGCCACGATCTCGGGCTTCTCGTCCTCGTCGTCTTCCTCCTCAGCCTCCTCCTCCTCCGCCGCAGAGGCCGACTCCGACGCGGTTTCCTCGTCCTTCTCCTCCTTGGGCGCGACCGGCTCCGGACTCCTCGATTTCTTCTTCGATCTCGGGGAGGAGGACCCGGCCCTGGGCTTCGCGGCCTTCTTGGGTTCGGGCTTTACAACGGCCGGTCTATCCTCCATGACCTCCTCGTCGTCCTCCTCATCCTCCTCGATGACCTTCCGCGCCTTCCTAGGCCGCTTGGTAACCGGCCCGTCCTCGTCCTCTACCTCCTCCTTGCCGGGCGTTTCTTTTCCGCCCACCGCCCTGGAAGCCTTCTTCGTTGCGGCCGTGGTCGCCCTGGGCCGCTTCTTGCTGTCTGCACGCAAAAAGGGATCAGTCCAACCCGTCTTGTTTTATTCTCTTTCTCTCCTAAGAAAAAGAGAAATCCGCAACCCCCCCAACTCACCTCCACCGCGGCCAGGACTGGCATTCTCCTCCGCGCCGCCGCCGTTGGCCTTCCTCACCGGCGACTCTGCCTCCTCGCCATCGGAACTCGCCGCGGCCTTCTTCTCGGTGCTCGGCTTCGTCGCGAACGAGAGCTTCGTCTGTTGCTGCAGCGGCGCGGGCGCGGGCGCGGGCTTGGAGCCGTTCGGTCGGCTGAAGAACTTCCTGCAGAGCCACACAACGAGTTCTAGGTCAGCCTCCCCCACTAGTCATGCTGTCGGAGATCAAAGGTAACGGGGAACGGGGGAAGAGGAAGAAGGAGGAAAAGGGATAGGGCAGGCGTGTGTCATGTGAAAACACACCCCAAGGTTGTCTGCGAGGGCCGGACGTACCCCAGCGTGGCCTGCTTCGGCGCCATTCTGACTAGGAGCGATCGGCAGGACGCGCTCGATGCGATGGACCGGAAGAGGCACCTGGTAGCCACAATTGCTGGCGATTGCGGAACGTAGAGGAGGGGTTTCTTCTTATTTTCCTTTATCGCTGTGCTGTTTTTTATCAATTGGGGTGGATGGATGGATGCCTGCGGTTCTTGGGTCCCAGGCAGGTGGTTCTTCGGGATACGCGAAAGACGCGATTTACTTTACTGGTACGCGTCGGGAGGCACACGGTCATGTGCATGTGCGCTAGGCTGCCGCTGCCCACCTCTAGTAACAGTGGAACGGTCCTGCGATTGGACAAATCCAACTTTCTCAGGCAGGGACCTCCCGTCCTACCTCATCATTTGGCAGGATAGATAAAAGTTCAACAAATCGCGACTTTGGATAACACAAAAAAAAGGGAAGGTAGATATTCAGGTCACAACTTCCAGGGCACTCTCAAATCCACCATTTTCCCAATCCTCTAGTTGTTTGCAAAGCATTTTAATTGTACAGATACAGAGCGAGATGAAACGAGACCGCGTAGTTAGGGAAGGAGCCCTACTGAAGGGTGGATTACCAGGAAGACGTATCTGCAAAAGGGGGATGGATGGACATTGGAAAGAGTTGCCCGAGATCAGAACTGGTTGATTCCGGTCTAGTTGAAGTAGAAGAGCTCGTCGGGTGTCCGGCCCCGGATGAACTGCGGCTCCGTACCGCGGACGTAGATGTCCTCGAACAGGATCTTCTGTGTCGGCTCGGGCGGCGCCATGGCCTCCGCGGCGGCAACCTCCTCGTTGACGTGGCTGCGGGCCTCCTTGTCGATGCCCTTCAGCTCCTCCTCCGTCGCCACCGTCCAGTCGAGGATGTGCTGCTTCAGCCCAGCGATGGGGTCGTTGGTCGATCGCATGCGCTGGATCTCCTCGCGGGTCCTGTACGTTGTGCCGGGGTCCGACATGCTGTGGCCTCCGTAGCGGTACGTGACGTACTCGAGGACCATCGGTCCGTGGCCCTGCTCGGTCCACTCCTTTCCATACTTGACGGCGGCCTTGACTGCGAGGACGTCCATGCCGTTGACCTTCAGACCGGGGATGTATTGACCACGCTTGTAGTAGTCGGTCAAAGCCGACGAACGGGCAGCTGAGGTACCCATACCATACTTGTTGTCTATGGCGCGAATTAGCGCCCACGCAACCACACTAGAAGCGCACGAACGCAGCAGTCACTTACTCTCACAGCCGAAGAGGGCGGGCAGCTTCCACAGCTTCGCCATGTTGAAGGCCTCGAAGACCTGGCCCTGGTTGCTCGCACCGTCACCGTACAGGATAACGGTAGCTTTCTTGCCGCCCGTGTACTTCTGGGCGAAGGCAAGGCCGGCGCCGACGGGTACCTGAGCACCGACGATGCCGTTGCCGCCGTAGAAGCCCTTGGTGAACATGTGCATGGAGCCACCCTTGCCGTAGGCGATGCCCTCCCGGCGACCAAGAAGCTCGCCGATGATGGAGCGGACGCTGGCGCCTCGCATGTAGGCGTAGCCGTGGCATCGGTAGGCGGTGATCAGGTCGTCCTCCTTCGTAATTGCGTGCTCAATGCCGACGGCGACGGCTTCCTGGCCGGTAGAAAGATGGCAGAAGCCCCTGATCTTCTTCTCCTTGTATAGCCTGTCGGCGGCCATCTCCATTTGTCTGCAGACCAGGGTTAGTCAGTCTGGACACCTAACACCGCAAAAGCTGGGATTGGATTCGTGGGAAGTACCGGATGACCACCATATCGTGATACATCTGCTTCAGCTGCTTCTTCGTCACCTCCATCGCGTACGGTGGAGGGTCCAGCTCGTATGTCTCGAAGCTCTCGTCGCTGAGGGTGACTTGAAATGGCTCATCGTCGGACTGCGGTATAACTCTTTATCAGCTGCACTGTTCCGAATTGCATCCACCGAATGCTCAACCTTGAGAATTGAACCCCGAGGAGCAGACCACAGGCGACAGGGCTTACCTTGGGGACGGTGCTCAGGTCAACCTGCGCCGAAGCCGCATTGGTGGTGACGGACCTCCTCGCAGCAACAAGTGGGACGGGTGCGCGAGCCGCGCGGACGGGCACCGCCCTCGAGAGCCGGAGAGCTCGCGAGAACATGTTGTTGAAATGAAAGCAGGCGAGAAACGGAGGTATTGGAGAAGGGGATGGATATGGTGAACGATCGGATCAAGAGCTGCGAGAAAACCTGCTCAAAGCTGCAGACAGGGCGACGAAGACGGGGATAATCAATGGACCTCCGAAAATGATTTTTGGCGTTGAGGTGAGCTTTGCTTGTTGAACTGTGCTAGCCCAGAAGCAGGTTAGCGCGCCGACGGACGCTTGGTCCCGACTCGAGGGTTCGGGTTAGGTAAGCCTGCGTCCTGCAACCTGTTCGTCTCAAGTCTCAACACTCGAGGAACCGTCTCATCTCAAATGCAGAGAAAGCGCGGTGACCGACACCCTTTTTGCACTCTATTATACTAAATGTATCTTATTTATTCGTCCCTGTCATCGATTGGGAGACGAACTGGTACCCTTATACAACCGTAGCTCCGAACCCGAACCTATCTAAACTAATAGGTGTGAAACCCCCTGACCCTGAGAACCGAGCCCAGCTCCCCTCTATGCTTGACTTCCCAATCTCCCAGCCATGCTTCGACGCCGTAACATATGCATGTGTATAGCCGACAATCCCTATTTTTGATAGCCCAGAAATGACCTTTCTGTTCGTATCCGTGTGTTAAAGTGGGCAGAAGATGTAATAACCGCTGGCACTGCACGTTGAGTGCACACAGCCACCATACTCACTCAATACCAGGCATGCGCAATGTGGTGGCCCAAGTCACCCCTTCCATCCTAGAAAAGCAGAAACTCGCGGGTGCGGCCGGAGAGAGTTGCGCAAATCCTTCAACCGATATGCAACATCTAGCTGTCATGGAAGAAGGTGGTGTGCCTCTGCTGAAGAGGGGCTGTTGATGGGCCAGCATCTGGCATTTCGACGTCGTGCCCACCGTCGACCCTCCGGGATAAACCTGGCAGAAGGGGCTGTGACGAGTTGAAATCCAGGGATATGGCGCTGAGTGGCCGGGCGGGTGCATCCCTAGGGCGTTGTGGGAATGACGCTGGCCGTTCATACATGGCTTCTTCTGGGGGGGAGAAGGACCAGACCTAGCGCCAGTGTGTTAGCTTTTGATGAAAATCATGAGAACGGGTCGTGACAAGTGACGGAGGAATGAGAAAAGAAATCCAGGGGAGAGTACTACGACGCACCTCCATGATCGTTCGGTTGTTCCTCAATGCCATGGCCACGCATTTCTCGTCCTCGAATGCGACACGCCACACCGCCTCTCCTTGAGCCACAAGTTCGCGTACAAGGTGGCCAGTCTTGAGGTCCCAGACCTTGACTCGACCATCACTGCCACCGCTGACCACCCGGGTATCGTCGAACTGTAGGCTTGTGACACTGTTATCGTGTGCTGCGAGTCGGTGTATCGGGCAGAACTTTTCCAACGACCAAACCCTCACGGAACCATCGGAACCGCCGGTGACGAGTGTGCCTCCTCGCATCTGCAGCTGCCCGACAAGAGAGGTGTGACCCTGAAGGACGGCTTGGCATTCTCTATTTTTTGGGGGAGAGACTCTCGTTAGGTCAATATTCAAAAGGGGGAGTGTTCAGGGAGCGACGTACCCAGTGGACGCGTCCCAGATCCTGACACTGGTGTCTAGGCTGCCGGTTGCTACCCTGTAACCGTCGAATGCGATGGCATAGATCTGGCTGTAGTGGCCTTGAAGTGTGTGGAGACACCGCCCTTCGGAAATACTCCAGACCCTGGCGGTCGTGTCGTAGCTGCCGGAGACGACAATGTCTCCCTTGATCTCGAGGCAACGAACACTAGCTTGATGCCCCACAAGGACGTTCCGGCAGAGTCCTGTGCGGATGTCCCAAACTCTGAGAGTGGTGTCCCTTGATCCCGATATCGCCGTGTTGGCATCCGACATCTTTAGGCAACGTACCGTGGACGTGTGGCCGCGGAGAGTATGGAGGCATGCACTGTAGGGCGAGAGGTTAGCTTGATCTAAGCATACTATGGGATGCAAGGCGCTCTCCGATGCTTACCCAGTGGTCAAGTCCCAGACGCGGACGTCCCGATCACATCCGCCGCTGACCAGTATGTCGTCCCAGGGAACCATAGCCCAGACACCCATTACGTGGCCTTGCAGCGTCCTGAGCGCGTTTCCTTCAGTATCGAATACGTGGATCTTGGCATTATCCAGGGCCACGATGATGTATTTCGAGGTAAGATGAAGGCTGGTGACAACGCCGCCGTCCTGCGTGATATTTCGGGTGATCTTCCGGCCACCGGTCCGCCATGCTGCATCAACCAAGTACCTCTGCTTGAAATGAGACTTGTACGACTTCAATTTCGGCCTTGAGCTCGGGCTTCCGGATGCTGATGATCCATCGAGGCTGAGGGAGCCTGACATAGGCAGTGCCTGTGGCGGGCGGGCACCAGGGAACCTAGAAACCCCGAATTCGTTTCCAGCCTGCCCAAGAGCATAGCCGGGCGCGGGCGCGGGATGGTGATTTATAGATGACTGTACTTCCGACAGCCTGCGCTGGTAATCGTGCTTCACACACAGGTTCTTCCACGTCATATCGTCGCTCAGAAGGTCTCGCCACCTCCGCGAGACCTGGGAAGCCCGAGCCAAAACCTTGGGGTCGTCAATGAAGGAGAGGATCTGGTCTACTGTTAGTCGAGGGGGAAAATGGAATTAGGGGTCGGATATATGAGAGGGGGGAACGTACTCGGAGACACAGTTCGTCGGGTAGGCTGGTGAAAGGATCCTTTTTTAATAGAGGGCTAACAAACTGATGCACGAAACTCAATTGCTGACTGGTGCATAGATTGAGAAGGTCTGCCAGCAGCCGTGTCCTCTCCGGGCCACTGCACTTTACGAAGTGCTGTCGCAGGTTGGCGAGAAAGAAGTCCTCGTTGTCGGCGGCCTGACTCCAATCCGGCTGCTTATGGGATGGGCCGGGAGACGCGGCGGGAGTGGGGGGAGGGGGAGGCGATCCTGTCAACTGCTGGTCGAAGTCTGCGGCAGGTGTGCTCATGCTTGGAGTTGGGGGGCCTCTCGGAGGTCGCTGCTGGGGTAGTTTCGTATTATGGGTATTCAATGTCAGGTCCTCGCAGCTAAATGCGCTCCCTCTCCGCTCAGAGAAACTGAGCGGCCGGTGATAACCAGCCATAACTGACGCACCGCGGCAACTTTGATGAATCGCGATGGCAGAGAAGAGATACGGGGTATAGATAGGGAGAGAGAGGTAACCGTGTCGTGTCTCTGTGGTTGGCGGCGGGCGGCGGGTTGTCTGATAACAGGCCGGAAACGTAGTGAGGCTCGGAGGTCCCGGAGTGCAGGAAGATCTAGATGCCGTTGGAATTCGTTTGTTCAGCTGAATGTCGAGAGGACCGAGGTAATACGGGTGGGTAGGTTGGCGCTAGTTTTATGGTAATGCGTTCTCTGAGGGAGGTGAGGCAATACGTCGATCGGCGGCTAATCCGTCGCCCAATTCTGCTATTGAGGTTGTTGTCTGAATAATTCGATGTATGGTCGCAACAGATTCTGAGCGGTTGAAAGAAAGCGCAACTTGGTTCGAGGACAAGATGTTGGCATGGGTGTGGGACGAGGGCGAAGTGCAAGAGGACGTAGGCGGAGGAGGCGAGGCGCGGAGAAGGGGAAGGAACGAGAGGAGGGACTTCCGGCGACTACCTAAGTAGGTAGGGAGACATGGATGGAGTGGAGGGAGAAGGTCGACCACCACGATGTCTGGAAGGCATTCACTCTCGGGAGGTGCGATCAAGAGTCCAGGCCGGCGCTTGCTCTTGGCAGATGGTCGACGTTGAGGAGTGCTTAATGGAGGGACTGGCAGAGGCGAGAGGCGGAGGGACTAATTAAGGCGGCGGAAGGACCGCTTTTACCCTGTTTGGTCGAATGGGGCGCGAGCGGGACCCTGGAAGTTGCGGTTACTGAAGCCAGGGGACGGAAGGGAGATGACACGAAGTACAGGGGACAATGTACGGGATTAAGTACCATCCAATGCTGGATAGGAACTGGGGTTAGTGCGCAAAAGAAAAGATCCGCAAAAGGTGCATCAGCTTAAGACCTTCCTGCGTTCATACCTAATATCTACGCAACTGGCTTTCATATGCCGCCGCGTCAGTTAACCAGGTTGTCAATTGACAGTTGTATTGGTCGGCCGGGCTGGAGCGGCCGGTGCCCGATCCGGAGGTGGATTTCGACTCTTTGAGGTCAGATGGGCTGGAACCATTCACGTACCTCTCAGTAAGGGATAGGATGGAAGAGATGCATACCGGCCTGCCCAGGTGGTCCCCTACGAGTGCGTGTTATACAAGTCAGAATCGATATGTCAGACTTCCATGCCAACTATAACATTCCTGGTTTCAGTGACTACCTATGCTTTGTTTTCGCTGAGAGTGAGCGGATCTTGGAAACCGTGTAGTCATACGGCAGCCAAGGGAGCCCATCGTTTGGATGCCGACTCTCGAAGAGACTGATTGCTAGGTTTGCAGTTTGGAAAGGGAGCAGATCATGATATCCCATCCCTACATCCCATCCCTAAAAAGGGGATGGTGATGTATCGCAAATCAACTTTGGCTGAGAAGCACTATTAATACACATTCCTATCTAATACGCCTTCCCTTACCCCATCAGCTCTCCCATATGGACAAGGTTGAGAAGAGTGTTCAGAATGTTTGCTGCATGCGGCCCTGGACGTGGTGGAGGAGGTGGAGAGGTCTCAGCTCTCTGCATACGCATAGGCTTTGCAGAACTCACTCCACGCGCCGCATGAAACTCAATTTAACTCGCCATGCTTTTCTCCTCTTTTCGTCTCTTCTCCCTTCTGCTACCTGTCAACATCGGACGACAAACAAGGGGACATTTGGGACCAGCCATCCATCCCTCGCTTTGTGTTCCTGCAGTTGGTTCGAGCTGCCACCTAGGGGCACAAGTGGGCATCGGCATCATTGCCCTGGGCCTAAGCCAACCTGGTCTGTGTGCCAGCGATCCACTCACCTGACCCAAGCGAATAGAGTTGGGGGGGGGGGGGGGGGGGCCCCATGGCAAAAATGATGCGATTCTCGTAAAATATGGAAAAGACTGCTGCAGGTTGGGGCCATTGCACAAAGGGGAGGATTTGCCAATGCAACTTAGACACTTACAATAGAGCTTAGGGGTAGTAGGACTTACCAGCCTACCTTCGTAACTGGTAGACAGGAGAGTACCTGCATAAAAAGGAACAACTCCGACCCATGGCTCTAGCCCGGTATGGAACAGTCAGTTTCTGAGAGCCAAGATTGTTCAAAGCTCAAGTACCTATCTTGTACATAGTAATTCCACTTGCTATCCTTTGATGCTTTGGCCCGGAGCACCGGGCTCTCTGGCCCACCTCATTATCGGCGTTGCCCGAACAAACTTGCGAAACCTCGACGTGATATCCCGAGCCCTTGAACTCCATGGCCTTGAGCGATAGATATACATGGCGTAACTCCTATTTGGTAACACATCCCTCCGATTCTAGATTAAACGCCGGTTCCGTTAAATGACCAATGGCACATGGCATATGACTGAGACATCAATGATGATGACCAAACTGTGCGAGCAGAGGAAAGAGCATGCCAATTACGGTAGCAATCGTGTCTCGCATCTGAGGCTTACCCTGTTTCCTCTGTGATGAGCTGCTGGCGTCAGAATAGCCATTCGCACTCGAATGGTGGTCATGCCCTTGCAATCCGTGATCTTCTTGCATTGCATGCATGGCAACATACCTAGTAAAGCTCTTGTCAGTAGGGGGTCGGGAGAACGGGGGAGAGCGCACAAGGTCGTACAAGAAGGTCCCAGCCGAGAATAGCAGCAGCATTCCAGTCCACCATTTACCACTCTCGCCTTCCATGTTCCCTCCACCGATAAGGGATATCGCAAGATACGTTGCCAAGGCCCCAAACGGCGACGCAAGGCTGAAGACGATGAGGTGACCTCGCGCGGCTCGTTTCGACAGCCCTTGCTTGAGCAAGACCGAGGTCAATCCGAACGCTGCTGGTGCCTTGTGAATCATAATGGCAAAGAATATAATGAAGCCGAGTTTCATGTCCGACGACGTCGCCGATGCCCCCATGGCAATCCCGTCGGCCGCCGCGTGGATCACCAACCCCGTCGTGGTTGCGAGGCTCCTCGACTGCTTTGGAGTTGGCGCCAGCGAGCCCAAGAAGCTGTCCGACTCTTCATCACCGACCGTATTGGATGAGGCGAGGTTGTCGAGGCTGATGTGCCGGGTCGCTGGAGGGGACTGAAAGTTCTCGGTCGCATGCCGCGGGAGCCTGTCGATCAAGAACATGAGGACGAACCCCAATATGAGGGAGAAGCCAATGTAGAAGGTTGGCAGCTCAGACTCGCTATGCTCCTCGCCGCCCTCAGGAGCAGTCGCCTCCGGATGCTTTACTTCGTCTTTCGTGTCCGACTCTTTCTGCGACTCCTCCCTCCTCGCCGTATCAAAAGCAGGCGATTCCCTAGAGGCGATGACGGGTATGTAAATGTGGTGGTCGTGGTGGTCGTCGCGGCTTATGTGGAGGTTCGGGACATGGTCGGTATTCCAGCGCACGTCGAGGCCCTTCGAGAGTGCTCGACTGCGAGTGTTGTGCGAGTGTGAGGACACTCCACGCGAGGCTATGGCCTCGATCCCCTCCGGCATGATGACGATGAGCGATGTGCCCACGAGGATGCCGATCCCAATGCTCGAGATTAACCGAAGCTGTGACTGGGAAAGAGTCATGGATAGCGGAAGCGCACCGGCCAAGAAGGAGCTATCGCAGGAGTCAGAATAGTCGGGACCAATGGTTTGTACATGCACTCTGATCTAAATCGCAAGGGTGATCCGACATACGCCAATGCCATGACAACCTGTAACTATCAGCTAATGGCGTCACAAATATTCCTAGCGCTGCGACTTACGCTCAAGGCCAGAAGAAGGAGCAAGCCACCCATCTTGCAAAGTGTGGTACCGAACCAATTAGTAGAAACAAAAACAAGAGCTCGCTACCGAGTCATCTGTATTTGAACTTCTAGAAATAGGTCGCCTGGTAGGTGGTCTGCGAGAAACGGTTGGACTCGATGATGGAAGAAAGAATTAAAAAGAAAAGAAGGCCAACCGGGTGTCAAGCTTCGATTCATAAGTCCTGCCTTGGTGGCTGTGTATCCGAATAATTATTCGTCAGATGCGGACCTTGCCCAATTAACCCCTGCCATGGTGGGTGTCGACATTTTGATCGTGACCCCTGACTTTGATCGTCCGCCTTGCCTAAAGTGTATTAGCGCGGCACTAAGATGTGGACCATGAGAGGCTTGTGGCTCGTGCATCCCATTAAACACCAAAAGGCTGACGCGCTTTTGCTCGCGTCGTGGCCTTCGATTTAAAGCTATCAGAGTTGAAAAGTATCCCCCTCCGCCTGGTGGACCTAGAATACCCCAGCTCGACTTCCATCATCATCACCAAGACCATCAATATGTCTCAATCGGACGATAACTGTAAGATCCATTTTCTCTCATATCTCTCCTCTCATCGCTCTTTAACTGTAACTGATGGCGTATCTAGGGGCGGCGAACTCGAATGACGCCCTTGTGGTGACCCTCGTCACTTCTTCGCCGACCGGCTCGAAGACAGTCACCAGTTTCAACCCAAAGTTCACATATCCCATTTTTGGGGAAGATGAGCGGATCTTCGGGTATCAGGACCTCAAGATCAACCTCCGGTACAATGCGAATGATATGCGACCCAACTTGGCGATCTCATTCTCCAAGAAATTTACTGCTGTCGGTGATACAGAGCCCGCCGATATTGAAGGGCTGCTGAAACCGTTTCTTCCCCAAGGTAGGGCGAGCACATGATTTACAATCCATCTTTACATTTTATCACGTTTGTCGCATTTACTGACCTATTGTAGTCGCGTTTCAGAAAGAACGAGAATTCGAAACTGCCATCCAACAAGTCTCCCCCAGCTGGACACCACCCGGGAAACTTGTTTTGTCGTATAATACGAAGGATGGGACCTACGAGATCTGGAAGGGGAGCCTGGCAGATCCCGCGATCAAACAGCTCGTGACCCGTATTCAGATCTTGGTCTCTCTCCTCATCGAAGCTGGAATGCCCATAGACACTGAGGGATCAGACTTGGATAGGTGGACGGTATACTTCCTCTACCGGAAACAACCGGTCCGTGGAGAGACCGACCAGTTCTCGTACATGTTTGCAGGATACTGCACAGTCTACAGATTCTTCCTCTACCAGCCGCCGACACCGCCACCATCTCCGTCGGAGGCTGCGCCGGCCGTGAAAGAAGATCTGGATCTCGGCGACGGCAATTTCGACCTGTGCGAGCTGCCCTGCCGATCGCGGATATCTCAGTTCATGGTCATCCCGCCTTTCCAAGGCAAGGGCCACGGACCTAAGCTCTACAGTTCGATATTCCAGGACTATCTGAACCATCCACAGACGGTGGAGATTACGGTGGAGGACCCCAATGAGGCCTTCGACGATCTCCGGGACCTCTCGGATCTCACTTTCTTGCGCACGCTCCCGGAGTTTAACGAGTTGCGGCTTAACACGGACCTGAGCATCCCCAAGGACGGCCTCGTTCCTCGAAATATCGTTGTTCCTGAAACAGCAGAGGCTGTACGGCGAAAATTCAAGATAGCACCCCGACAATTTGCACGCGTCTTGGAAATGCACTTTATGTCGAAGCTCCACGATGTAGTGCGACCTGGCATTTCGCCAGAGAGATCAGCAAAGGGGAAGGCTACGGAGAAGCAGCAGCTCGAGTACAAGCTCTGGAAGCTGCTGGTAAAGCAGCGGCTATATCGTCAAAATCGGGACACACTTGGCCAGCTTGAGCTGCCTGTGCGCATCGAGAAACTCCAGGAGACGTTGGGAAGCGTCGAGTTCGAGTACGCCCGACTCCTGGCGATGCTAGAGGGACGGCAGCAGCAAGAAACCACGGGCAATCATGCCGCCAAGCGGAAGTTGGACGAGACGGCAGAGACGCCCGAAAGTAAGAAGGCGCGTGTCGAGGATGCATAGGAGGCCCGATGGATGAACGTGAGAGACCCGCCACCAAGGTTATTGAGCGGACGCATATTTAATGGGCATGCGTTCTATACCTAGTCGCAGCAGTAGGGGGACGGTGATGTTATCCACGGGCAGTGTTTTAAGTAGATACCACGAATCAATCAGCTTTACTCGAGCTTTTATTGTCGCACGGCTATGGCACCCCCGGTGATGGGGGAAAAGGGGCCATCATGCCGAAGAACCTTGCCGCCAAGAAAAATGCCACCAACCCGCAACCCAGTCCCTTAAACGCCGAGAACGGTTCTCTGCATTCAGCATTCGTTTTCTCATTCCAGCAGTCCCGTCGCAAACCAAGCTACCCAGGTAGTCGTTGTTCAGTCGAGCTGCGCGCCGGGAAACCTGGTCCCGTTGACGCCCTGCACGCCCTTGCCGAGCTGGCTCGCGACGACGGTGGCCTCGCGCACAGCCCTCGCGACAGTGCCGCGGACGCGGCCCTCCTCGAGGACGAGCAAGCCGCCGATGGTGCAGCCGCCCGGTGTGCTGACCTTGTCCCTCAGCAGGGCGGGGTGGTCGCCGTTGAGGACGAGGCCGGCGGTGCCGCGCATGGCCTGGGCGGCCATGCGCTGGGCCTCGGCGCGAGGGAGGCCCATGGCCACGGCGCCGTCGATGGCGGCCTCGAGCATGAGCGCGAAGAAGGCAGGGCCCGAGCCGCAGAGGGCCGTGCTGGCGTCCATGGTCGTCGCCGGTAGGTACACCACCTCACCGATGCGCCGGAAGATCCAGGTCACGAGGCCCATGGCCTGCGGCGGGAGCGGCGGCGTCGTGCTGCCGATGACGGTCATGCTCTCGCGGATCAGGCTCGCCGTGTTGGGCATGGCCCGCACGACGCGGCACCCCTGCCCGTCGTCGTCCTCCTCCTCCTCCGCAAAGCCGGCCGACGGGCCGCCGCGCAGGATGCCGTTGATCTGCTCGACAGACACGCCCGCGCAGATGCTGATCAGGAGCTTGCCCCGCAGCGACTCGGCCATTCCGGGCTCGGACAGCACCTCGCTCACCATGTAGGGCTTGCAGGCGAGGATGACGACCTCGGACTGCCTGACGGAGGCGACGTTCTCGTTCTGGACGACGCTGATGGCGCCGGCGTACCCGCCCAGGGCAGCCCTCACCTTCTTGGCGCTCTCGGGGCGGCGCACGCAGGCGATGAAGCGGGATGGGAGCCGCGAGGGGAGCTCCTCGTTGAGGGGGGTGGATGTCCCCGATGCCGAAGGCTGGACCGGCTTGGTGGGGCCTTGCATCTCTTGCAGGGAGGCGAGGATGCCTGAGAGGATGGCGATGCCCATTGTCCCTGGGGATTGCTTTCAGTACGGGGAGTTCTTTCATTCTGGGCTCATTTTGTTTGAAACTCACCACAGCCAAGAACAGCCATGGTTAGCTCAGGGCTGCTGCCATTCTGGGGGTGACCAGATGTGTCAGACATCTTCGATAAGTCACGAATCAAGGCGAGATGTATGCTGTCGTGATATGAGGAAGTCGGTCTGAGGCCGAAGTAGGTTAACAATATAAAAAGAATGAATGCCTGAAAACTTCTCCGCTGCAAAAAGTTTTGCAAGTCCAAAGTCTTCAGGATTTTTATTGCCTCTCAATGCTTTCTCTACTCCAAACCTCACTCCCACCCATCCTCTGAACCTGTCTAGCGGCAGAATATCAATTCTCTCTCAACGACCCTGAAAATCCTCACCGCCTGCCACACAGAGTTTAGCGTTGCACGCACGCGCCATCCCTCCAAGAAATGGATACTAGCTCCGATGAGGAAGCAGGGGCTTCTCCAGTGGGAGACTCTGGTCTAAGTTCTGATGCGTCCGCTGGTTCTGAAGAGGATCATGAAGTGAGAAAGAACCGGAGTTTTTCTACAACTCTCCCTATTCCACCTCCCCTAGTTACTGCTGATGCATCAGACTGACCAGCTCAGCTCACCAAGATGGCGGACCCTTTCGAAGTCCGCATGCGCTTCACGTCGCAGCTGCAGCATCTCAACGCCTCGGTGACGTCTGCTCAGAAGGCAGCTCAATTTGCCCTCAAGTATAAGGACATGGGGGAGGATTTGCACTCCTGCATTCTCGAACAGCTGGAACGGGTATGGTTCTCCAAGATGATTTTTTTGGTTTTGTTTTTCATTTTACTAACTCGAGCCCTCAGAATAATATGAACGTTCGCGCCAATATCATGTATTTCATCGAGCACTTTCTCGATCTAGCACAGAAGGATGGCCACACCGACTATGTGCGGATGATGCAGCGAGACATCATCAGAGTCGTCGACGCGGTTGCCCCCGACGACGGCTCCGGGGCGGCTAACGTCAAGGTCGTGAGGAAGGTATGAAAATTCATCCAATCTGCTCTTCAGACGAGTCTCGGAAGTCTTCGCTGGCAAAAAAAACCAAACTGATCCCCGCAATCCAGGTTCTCCAAGGCCTGCAGAGCAAATCATTCCTCGAGGCCCAAGCCGTCACGGAGATCGAGGAGGTCCTCAAGGAGCGCGACACGGCCGCCCACGACATGGGCCTGTCGTCCCCGGCGGCGGCGGTGGCCAACGGCGACGCCGAGCTTGGCGACATGCCGCCGTCGCAGACGCTCCCGCAGCCGCGATGGGACCGCGGGCCCTCGAGCGCGGGCGCAGGCGCGGGCGCGGCGAGGCTCGACCGCAAGCAGGTCGAGCAGCGGATCGAGGAGGACCGGGAGCGGCACAAGCGGCTGCGCGAGGGCATCTGGGCGGTGCCGCCGGGCCCCGACGCCGAGCTCGACCGGCTCTGGGAGGAGACGAGCGACCTCGGCGACGACGACCACCTCATGGGCGAGGAGGAGTACGAGGAGCGCGAGAGGACCGTCCGGTCGAGCTGCGTGCATCGCCAGGCTGCTACCGCTGCTGAGGCGAACGGGAAGCATTCCCGCTGAGTTGAGTGCCCTGTTTCTCCTGGAGGGCCTGGTTTATTGCATGGACTGGCGTTTGGTAGGGATCGACGGTGGCGTTCTGGCTGAAGGGGATGTGTAAGAGTATTTTTTAAAAATAGGTTATTCAGCCTCCTGAGGATATCAAGGTCGGATCTGATATCGAGCTTGATATTCGTGGACACTCCCAAAGGAAGAAGACAGGCGCTTGTCAAGCGGCACGAGCTGAAGAGACGACATCGTCGACTGTATTGTATATAATGTTACATGCTGTTTTGTACATGCAAAAGGATGATGCTTTTTAATCGTAACATCCAGTAATCCAGCACCCCCCCATGCTTCCCAGCTAGACACGACACGTCTCTCTGCCCTCCTACTCCATGGCAACCGTAGCGCCGAGCGCCTTCAGGGTCGCCACAATCTTCTCCGCCTCGTCCTTCGGCACCGAATCCTTCATGGTCTTGGGGGCGCTCTCGACAAACTTCTTCGAGTCGACCAAGCTAAGGCCGAGCAGGTTCTTGACCTCCTTGATGACCTTGGGTTTCGACCCGGCCTCGAACGACATGAGCTTCACGGCGAACATGGTCTTCTCCGCTGCCGCCGGAGCAGCCTCGTCGGCGGCGTCTGCCTCTGCTGCCGCCGGTGCGGCCGGTCCCGCAGCCGCTGCGAAGCCGCCGACAGGCAGGTCGGGGATGTTTAGTCGCGACTAGAAGGCGTTTGCCCTTAGCTTAGAGTACAGGCAGTAGGAACGCGGGGGGGGGATCAATCATACCTTCAAGCTGGATACGAGGTCTGCGGTCTCCAGCAGGGTCAATTGGCTGATCTGGTCTACGATCCCGACGATCTTGGGGCTCACTGCCTCTGTCGAGTTGTGCCGCCTTGCGATCTTATGTCGGAGGAGGGATCCCGAGGCCCGGAGCGAGCCTGAAGAGCGCAGCTGACGCGCGCAGCTCTGAGCCGCGTACCGGCATGATAAAGACATGTTTGCTTCCGAGTTCTGGGGGTTCGTGGGAGTTCGTGGGGGATCGGAAAGGCGCCGATTGACTTGCGGGCTGCGGAGCTTCAAGGTTGTTTCCAAGGAGATTTTCGGGTCGTTGGAGGTCAAAAAAGATCCAGTACTCGAAGCTTCTGATTGGTTGGGCTGTGGATAATTCCGCTCCGCTAGCTATATGGCCCGTGCGCAAAAAAAGTCACCCAGCCTAGATCATTGCAAAAGTCGACGTGCGAAAAGAGGCAACTAAACGCAAGAATTCGAGTTTTACGGCACCAAAATGGCCGTTATCGACGTGAGCTCGCAGAGGGCGTCTCTGCTGAGCGACGCGACCGCACTTGGGCACCTACCGCCCGAGTTACTCCACATTGTTCGAGATCATCAGTCGCATAGTTTTCTTGATGCCATTGCGGCGGCGGCTTTGATACCTCGACTTACAGGTCGAATTTTCGCCCACTTCGAAGCCGTCTTTGCGGATATCTGCGCAAGATGGCTACTCCCCTCCAAGGGAGAAATCCAGGATGTTCAGATTACCACCTCATTTGCGAGGATCCTCCCGTTTGCCCCATATCTCTCAGTATTTTTGCAGAAATATCTGAGATATCCCGGCCCCGACGATGAGGGCCTGTCTCTGAAGCCATTGGCCTTGGATAACTATGAAGAAACCCACTTGGTCCAAGTTCTTTTGGCCATATGGAGACTGAATAGTTTCGACAAACGGACCTATTCAGGACTGACCAAATTATCTGACATCCAAGCTCTCTTCAAGCATGAGAACGCTGCTGTCAGGTACCTCTCTATCCGGATTTTCTGTCAGCTGCTTGAAGCTTCGGACTTCAAGCTTGAGGCGCTCATTGAGAAGCATATACGAAAAGGCGAGCTTCTCGTTGCAGATTTTGACGGGCAACAGGCAGACCTCACGTTCCTTAGTCTGTACGAGCACGCTCGAGCCAAAGAGATCCAGGAAATTGGTCGGAGAGCGAAGGAGGCATCACCTGAGCCTGTCCAGCCGCCACTACCGGCGCAGAAGTTGACCCCTCTTGTGATTAACTATGGAAGCTCAGTCTTTCCCCGACCACTGGGCCCCGTACACAGGCCGGCCAGTCTGGTACCCACGCCAACCACTCTTGGTAACCTGGAGCGGTTGATCAATCTCCTTCAGAACCCGGGACCTATCTTGCTCCACGGGCTCTCCGGTGCTGGCAAGACATCGTTGATCCATGAGGTGGCAAGACAGCTTGGAAAGGACAACGGTCTAGTGACACTGCATCTCAATGACCAGACAGATGCCAAGATGCTCCTCGGGCTGTACACCACTGACTCCAAGCCGGGCTCTTTCCAATGGCGACCGGGTGTCTTGACTACGGCGGTCAAGGAAGGGAGGTGGGTTCTGATCGAGGATCTTGACCGCGCTCCGACTGAGGTCATGAGCACCCTGCTCCCGTTGGTCGAGCGAGGGGAGCTGCTTATCCCCAGCCGTGGAGAGAGAATCCAGGCTTCCGATAGCTTTCGAATTTTCGCCACGGTCAGGACATCACTTGGGATGAACGGGCAAGAAAACCTGCCCAGTCTGATTGGTCTTCGGCTGTGGCAGCCTCTCCCTGTTCAGAGCTTGCCCCAGGGGGAGTTACGGGATATCGTCAATGGAAGCCACCCTCGATTACACAAATACACCCCGGGCATTCTGTCCGTTTTTGATCGACTCCTCGCCGTATCCAATGGCCCTTCATCACTGGCCCTTGGGCGTGGGATGATGGACCGCCCCATTAGCACCAGAGATTTGCTCAAGTGGTGTCGACGACTGGATCATATCCTGACTGCAGTCGGATGTAAGAGTGGCGACGAGCCAATCAGTGAGACCACTCGAGACTGGATGTTTATGGAAGCTGTCGACTGCTTCATTAGCTGCGTCAAAGAGGAGGCTGCTCGTGGGTCGTTGGTCGCAAAGATAGCCGAGGAGATGCATATATCATCTAAGCGCGTGAGACACTACTTGAATAGCCACGTCCCGAAGCTGGAGGCCACAGAATCCCACCTCACCACTGGCCGTGTTTCACTACGGAAAACACCACGACCAACCTGGGTCGCGAAGCAGAAACGGCCATTCGCCACCACGACGCATGCCAAACGGCTGCTTGAACAAGTTGCGGCCGCCGTGAAGATGAGAGAGCCGGTCCTCCTCGTGGGAGAGACAGGTATCGGCAAAACTACGGTGGTTCAACAACTGGCTGAGTCTCTGGGTCATAAACTGGTTGCAGTGAACCTGTCTCAACAGAGCGAGGCTAGCGACCTCCTTGGAGGATTCAAGCCGGTGAACTCTCGTAGCCTGGCCGTTCCGTTGAAAGATGAATTTGAAGACCTCTTCGAGAAGACGGGCGTCTCGGCCGACAAAAATCAGGATTACCTTGATCGGATCAGCAAGAGATTCGCCAAGGGGAGGTGGACGGAGGTCGCCAAGGAATGGCACAAAGCGCCCAAGATGTTCGAAACCATCTTGTCAACTCTTCAGAAGAGCAAAGCTCGCAGCGAAGCCGGGGAGGATGCCGATGGCCAACCAGCGAAGCGCCGGAAGACGGACTCGGGCAAGCTGCAACGGCTCTTGAAACTAAAGCCTCGGTGGGACGCCTTTGCCCAACGGCTTGAGCAGTTTGAGATACAAATCACGAGCGGTTCCGGGGCATTTGCTTTTGCGTTTGTCGAAGGAAACGTTGTCAAGGCTGCAAGGAACGGTGACTGGGTTTTGCTGGATGAGATAAATCTGGCATCGCCAGATACATTGGAGAGCATAGCCGGACTCTTGCACTCGGGTTCGGAAGGGAGCCCGTCGATCCTCCTGTCTGAGACGGGAGAGATCGAGAGAATCAACGCCCATCCGGATTTCCGCGTCTTTGGAGCGATGAACCCTGCCACGGATGTTGGTAAACGTGACTTGCCCCTGGGACTCCGATCTCGATTCACCGAGATCTACGTCGTGAGCCCGGACAAGGACAAGAAAGATCTGCTCACAATCATCAAGACCTACCTCGTTGGGAACAACAGCCGGATCGACCAGGTGGCCGACAGCATCGCCGACCTCTATTTGGAAATCAAGGCACTGGCCGAATCCAAAAAGCTCGTCGATGGAGCAAACGAGGTCCCCCATTTCAGTCTGCGTACCTTGACTCGGGTCCTCACCTACGCAAATGATGTCGCAACCATCTACGGCATAGAGCGAGCCCTGTACGAAGGGTTCTGTATGGGCTTCCTCACTCTTCTAAGCCAGGATTCTGAGAGAGAGGTCATGCCCAGGATCCAGCTGCATCTGTTGAGACGTCCAAATATCCTCTCCCAGCCTCCAAAACGGCCAACTGATGGCAGGAACTACGTCTCGTTTAAGAATCGATCCATGGACCATCAATACTGGGTTCTGCAGGGAGATGAGGCTCGACTGGAGCGGTCAGACTACATCATCACCCCCTACGTCGAGAGGAATCTCCTGAATCTTGTTCGTGCCACGTCAACCCGGCGTTACCCAATCCTGATCCAAGGTCCGACTTCATCAGGCAAGACGAGCATGATAGAGTACCTGGCGAACTTCAGCGGCAACAAATTCGTTCGCATAAACAACCATGAACACACCGATCTCCAGGAATATCTCGGCACTTACGTGTCCGGGAATGATGGGAAACTCAAGTTCCAGGAAGGACTACTTGTTCAGGCCATGCGACAGGGCTCGTGGATTGTCCTGGATGAGTTGAATCTTGCGCCAACCGATGTTTTGGAAGCATTGAACCGACTTTTGGATGACAACAGGGAGCTTCTGATCCCCGAGACACAGGAGGTCGTCCGGCCACATGAGAACTTCATGATCTTTGCCACGCAGAACCCTCCCGGCCTGTATGGTGGTAGAAAGGTGCTCTCTAGGGCATTCAGGAACAGATTCCTCGAGCTCCATTTCGACGACATCCCGGAGGATGAACTTGAGACAATCTTGCAGATGCGGAGCAGAAATACTGCGCCGTCGGACTGCAGAAGGATAGTATCCGTCTACAAGCAACTCTCGAGGCTGCGACAGGAAAGCAGGGTTTTCGAGCAGAAGAACAGTTTCGCAACCCTCAGAGATCTGTTCCGATGGGCGATGCGGGACGCAGACAACCGGGATCAAGTCGCCAGCAACGGATTCATGCTTCTCGCCGAGAGAGTACGGAAGGAGGAAGAACGGCTAGAAGTGAAGAGGGTGATCGAAGAAGTCTTCAAAGTCAAGATCGACCTGGACGTCCTCTACGATCGCGATTCATCTCCGGGGCTCCGGCATCTCTGCAAGAGACAGAACAGTCAAGGGGTTGTCTGGACAAAGGCGATGCGTCGTCTGTATGTGCTGGTCGAGAGGGCCATCCAAAACAACGAGCCTGTACTGCTTGTTGGAGAGACTGGATGCGGCAAAACCACCGTGTGTCAGTTGTTGGCCGAAGCTCGTGAGACCGAGCTACACATCGTCAACGCTCATCAAAACACCGAGACTGGAGATCTCATCGGTTCTCAGCGACCTGTCAGGAACCGAGGAGCGATCCTGGATGCTCTCAAGCGCGATCTCCTGGAGGCCGCCCAAGTGTTTGGAAAGGACCCTGAGGATTCCTTTGAGAATCTGGTAGCCTGGTATCAATCACTCCCCCCTGGTGAGGTTGGGAGACTTCCTGGTAGCCTGAAGACACAAATCGACTCGACACTGCACAGGAGTAGGGCTCTTTTCGAATGGTGCGATGGTAGCCTCGTCCACGCTATGAAAATGGGGCAGTTCTTCCTCTTGGACGAGATATCTCTCGCCGACGATTCCGTGCTGGAGAGGCTCAACTCCGTCCTGGAACCTCACCGGAGTCTTCTCCTTGCTGAGAAGGGGGTCGATGACTCCTTCGTCAGGGCCCATGATGGATTCCAGTTCTTCGCCACTATGAATCCAGGAGGTGACTTCGGCAAGAAGGAGCTCTCTCCTGCTCTGAGAAACCGCTTTACGGAGATTTGGGTCCCGGCCTTATCGGAAGACGAGGACGTCCTCGATATTGTTATTTCGAAACTTGCCGAGAAGTTCCGGACAGTTCCCCCTGGAGCCCAGAAATCTGTATCAGAGATGATTGTCGGCTTCACGACCTGGTTCGGGAAGACCTTCCGACCTTCGTCTGCAGCGCCGTTCTCCCTCAGAGACATTCTCACTTGGGTGACGTTCATGAACCAGTGTGGCTCAGCATCCCAAGGGTTCGCCCTTCTTCACGGAGCTGCTACTGTCTTCATCGACACGCTTGGAGCAAACCCGTCGGCATTGATAGCCATAGATCCCAGGGCAATGGACGCGCAGCGGCAACTGTGTCTCGACAAGCTGAGCGAATTGGCGGGCTGCAATCTTACGCCCCTGTACCGGGACGAGCCGCACATCCATATTGCCGATCATCTTCTCAGCATCGGTGACTTCAGCATCGAGAGACGCTCCTCGGGCTCTCTGGACAGCACCGTGGACTTCCAGGCAATAACGACAAAGATGAATGCCATGAGAGTCATCAGGGCGCTTCAGATTAACAAGCCGGTGCTTTTGGAGGGTAGCCCTGGCGTGGGGAAGACGACCCTGGTCAGCGCCCTCGCCCGCGTTTGCGGGAGGCCGTTGACAAGGATCAACCTGTCTGACCAGACGGATCTCATGGACCTGTTCGGAACTGACGTTCCCGTCGAGGGCGCCGAAGCGGGTAACTTTGCGTGGAAAGACGCCCCGTTCCTGCAGGCAATGCAGAAGGGAGAATGGGTTCTTCTGGACGAGATGAACCTTGCTTCCCAGTCTGTCCTCGAGGGCCTGAACGCTTGTCTCGATCACCGTGGAGAAGTTTACATCTCGGAGCTGGACCAGGTCTTCAAACGGCACCCGGAATTCCGACTATTCGCGGCCCAAAACCCGCACCATCAGGGAGGCGGGCGGAAGGGACTTCCAAGCTCCTTCGTCAACCGGTTCATCGTCGTCTATGCCGATGTATTCACCGAGCAGGATCTCCTTCTCATTACGCAAAGCAGGTTCCGGGACGTTGCCCCCGAGACCATACATCAGATGATCGGCTTCATATCCAGGCTCGACGACGAGGTTGTTTCCAAGAAGAGTTTCGGCTCTCAAGGCTCCCCTTGGGAGTTCAACCTGCGTGATACGCTCCGATGGCTGGACTTGCTCGCATCGTCCGACCCTCTCATCGGCAGTGCGAAGCCAGATGATCTCCTGGACATTATAATACGACAGCGATTCCGGACCGACCGGGATCGAATAGAGGTCACGAAGTTGTTTGCGACCTGCTTCCAGAGACCCGCAGGTAGGCACAGCCTCTACCACGACATCAGCGACCTCGTGTCGCAGGTGGGCATTGCCGCCCTCCCCAGGAGCATCGTCTCGCAGCCAACACAGTTTCCCGCCATCGACGTCGTGCCTAGGCTGGCAGAGGTCGAATCGGTCATGATCGCGGTCAAACAAGACCTCCCGTGCATCCTCGTCGGCCCGTCAGGAAGCGGCAAGTCGGCTCTATTGCGTCACGTTGCCGCCTTGGCCGGCAAGGCTTTGGTCATTTTCCCTCTCAACGCCGATGTAGACACCATGGATCTCATCGGCGGGTTCGAGCAAGCCGATCCGCATCGAGAGCTGCAGGCTTGCCTCGGCCAGCTCCGGGTGGCGGTTCAAGAGCACATCCTATCAATCCTGCCGAGGGAATCTCCTTCGATGGTCTTTGACCTGATAAGCCTCCTGGGTGTCCCGGCCAGCGGGGAGCGCCGTCACCGAGACGCTATCCTGCTTTGTGTTGAGCGTCTTTTAGCAGAGGGCCCCATGCCTGCCCCTTTGTCAGCAGCCTTGTCAACGGCAAGAGATGCCCTCCTGAAGCCCCTGACCTTGGAGAACCCGCGGTTCGAGTGGCTCGATGGGGTTATCGTCCGTGCAATCGAGACTGGCCAGTGGCTGGTCCTGGATAATGCCAACCTCTGCAGCGCGTCTGTCCTTGACAGACTCAACTCCCTGTTGGAGCGGCCAGACGGCTTCCTGAGCATCAACGAGCACAGCGGACCTGGTGGCGAGCCGAGAGTCATCAGGCCACATCCCAACTTCCGCATCTTCCTCACCCTGGACCCTAGATATGGGGAGCTCTCGAGAGCGATGAGGAACCGCTCGGTCGAGGTGTACTTGGGTACCATCCCTCAACAACCGGAACCGTACCTCGAGAGGATCACGCCAATCGAAGCCAGCCTGAGAAGATTCCACACTGTCAACGAGACGCTGGAAAGCTTAGCTGGAGTTGATCATCCCATTCAGCCGGCGTCCTCGGCACTGGGCCTGCTCTCGGCGAAAGACATGGCCGTCCTTGAGAAGTTCGGCAAGGCCGTAGAGCTTGGCCTATTTGCTTCTGGTAAACTGGATGTGGCCACACTTCTGCAATCTCTGGGGCAACTTCTCTCGTATATCAGTTCGAAGGGCTCTAGACCCGTCTTCGATGCCATCTCCGAGTTGTATCGTTCCACGGCAGAGAAGATGTCTCCTTCGTTGATCCGAACTCATCTGGGCTCCTCAATACCATCCCAGGAGATGCTCTCGAGCTATCTCAGCCGTGTCCAGCTGATCTATCCCACCCACCCGCTTCAGAACGATCTAATCCTTCCCTTGCTGGATGGGAATATGCAGGAGAACCCACATTGGCTGGCAATCTGCTACGAGTATTGCTTTGAGATACAGTCCGCAATGCAAGCCATGGAATCGCAGATGTCAAAGGTCAACGTGACTCGACCATCTTCGTTGAACCGATTCCAGAGATCCTGCATATCCGACCAGGTTGCCACTGTCTCCAAGGACTCGACCGTACACGTCTCCAAGTTCCTGTCGTCGACTCTTGGGGCCATCGATGCCTATCTGAAGGAGCATCTCAACGACGCCGGGACCTGGACGGAACGCCGCCTGTTGCTGAGAAAGCTCATGCATTACTGGAAGCGGACTTTCGATTTTGTCTGCGGCTCGCCCTTTGACGAGGCAAGGTTTCAGGCCCATCTCGGCCAGGGCTTGAGTCTCTGGAAGAACAACGTGGAAACCGTGGAAGTTGATACTCGCACCATGGCGACTTCGTTCCTCGAGCGACTGGAAGGGAATTTCGTGGTTGGCTTCAAGCTGTTGACCGGGCTGAGCATGGAGGTTCTTTGGAACCTTCTCCGGCCTCAGCCAATACGAGATGTCCAGTGCCTCGAACAGGTCGCAGAAATGGAACGCCTGGCGGCACGGTTCGATACACTGCGCTGGAAGGCTGATGCCACCGTCCAAGACCTATCCTCCGTTTTAGAGTCGCTTAGCAAAGCCTACGCCATCATTCGTACGAATGGGGCCGACGCGGCTGACCTTGTCAAGGACTTGACAACGGAGATATCGTCTCTGGAGGCGAAGATTGGAGAGCACGCCAGAGACCGCCGGCCCTTCCTCGCCAATGGCTTTGAGGCTCTCAGACAGACGCTGACACTGCACCAAATCTCCAACGAGAGCGTGGCCTTCCAGCGAGTGTCCGACGTTACGGTGTTGTCGGACATGCCCACCTTGTACCAGATGCACTTGCACAGCCCCGCAGGCACCCCGACGGCTTTCCAATCGCTGGACTACCTCTTGGCGCAGGATACCGAGACTCGGCCTTGGACTGCGACAGTTTCCGAATCACTGTTGCTGAAATTCGACTCGATCAAGTCAGCCTCCTTGTTCGAGCTACGGTCCCTGGAAGAAGAGCTCCCCAAAATGGGACGTGCTCTTGTTGAAGCCTCAGAGGCACTTGGGACAGACCCAATCCCGAAGCTCAACAGCCTACTCTCACGCCTGATGGCGGACGTCATGGGCGCCCACAGCGACTCGCTTCGGCAGTACGTCTTGGACGTATATCGCGCACTATTCCAATCCGTGGGACCGGCATCAGTTTCCATAGGAGAGAGCGGTCTCCGATTCGAGCCCAGGGCACTCCCTTCAATCTCAGAACCGCCCACGGCTGAGTATCCGCATTTCCTTCCGATCTTCCGAGAACATATTCTCCCTTCCCTGATTGCCTTGACAGCTGCGATCAAGGGGATCCAGCCAAGATCAGCCTATGCATCTATTGCGTGGGTGCATTTTGCCCAGGGATGCATTAAGCTCTACGTCCCTGACAAGGTCTTCGACCCGTACCTGAGAGCACAGGTTGAGCTCGACTTCCACGAACAACTCCGAGACGCTCTAGAACAAAAGATCTCCGCCCTTTCTGAGATCGAGCACGCATTCACTGGGCGACGGACAAACCTGCGCTGCGCCCTCCTCGAAGACGAACTGAGAACGATTGGAGAGCCTCCGCCGTTGGTACAAACGATATATCGGCCATCCGGTGGCGACCTCTCTAGGTTGCAAGGCGAATTCAATAACATCCTCAACATTGTCGTCCGGAACGATGTCACGTCCTCCGTCGTCCGGCACCTGTCAGGAGGCTCGGAGAGCGATGCCCAGGAGCTTCGGCTCGTCAACGACAATATCTCACGCCTCATTCAGCGTGTCTCTGGCCAGTTCAAAGCTTATCAAGATATGACCTCGCCGTTGGTCAACTTCCTCCGGTGTCTCCAGATCGGCCTATCGCTGTCCGATGGTGTTGCTGCGAGCAACCGCCATAGCAAGGAACTTGCCAGTCTGCTCAAAATCCCAACATTCCTCGACGGCAGTGCATGGGACGATGAGGAGGTCGTCCCGCAGACTCGCAACCTGGAGTTCCTGTCATTCATTGCCAGCGTCGTTAGCATCGAAGGTCTCGACAAGCTTTCTGGCCCTCTCAGGCAATCCCTCTTTGACTCCCTCGCGTTCTACTATGAGGAGTGGAGCAAGAAGCTCCAGGCCGACCGAAAGGCTCGAGAGCAAAACCAGAGCCTGTACCGCTTCCGGGGTAGCCTTGAAGACCAAGAGGAAGACGACGAAGAGGAATTTAACGAGCTTTTCCCTGATTATTATTCTGCGGAGGACGACAAGCCGAAAAAGAAACCCACCCAGGACAAGTACAAGATCAGGGATGTCTCAGTCATCCTGGCAGAATCGCACGCCAACATCTTCTTGTCTTCGCAGGATGCCCAAGGGGGCTTGCAGGGCCTTTGCAAGCAGATTGGCCGCAAGGTATCTGGAGAGAATCGGCGAGCATCTGCTGGGGGCGAGGGCATGGACAGAATCCTCCTTGCCCCAGCGCTTCTGGTCTTCGACGAGCAGCTAACCACGTTCCGGACATCCCTCCAATCGGACATGTACAACTTCTACACCGACCCTAACGTCTTCGAGATCCGGAAGCTGCTCACGCTCGTGGGCAGCATCAAAAGCAGGTTCCAGGACCTCCAAGCCGTGGATGAGATCGGGCACCATCACACCCTCACGGATGTCATCGTGGCCTGTGATAAGCTGCTCGACTTCAACGTTGAAGAACCGCTGGCAAAGTTCATCACGGGGGTGGAGTATCTCCATTCTTTCGTCTACGAATGGCAAGAAGGCGGCTGGGCTAGCCACGTGCACAAGGCAACACCGCTCTATGAGCGGCTTACAAACACCATTCATGACTGGCGGCGTCTGGAGCTGTCCAGCTGGGCAAGGCTGTTTGACACGGAGGAGAAGAAATGCCACGACGAGGCCAGGTCCTGGTGGTTCATCGCCTATGGGGCTATCGTGGTCCAGCCATGCTTGAAGCTCCAGGAAGGTCAACAGAATCTCAGGAGCTACGCTATCGAGCTGCTCCAGACCCTGGAAACGTATTTCGCAGATGCCGTGGTCGGCCAATTTGCTGCACGGCTGAGTCTCCTGAAGCAGCTTAAGAACCAGTTGGACCTCCTCGTCCAGGAGGCACCGGCCCTGGGCGTCGTCCGCGACGCCACGCAGAACTTCATCTCGGTATATGGCCGCTACGAGAAGAAAGCGGCCGAGTTCATCCGCGCTGGCAGGGCGCCGTTGGATCGGAAGATGAAGGACGTCCTCCTCCTGTTCTCCTGGCGCGACAAGAACATTTCGGCCCTCCGCGAGAGTTCCCGCAAGTCCCACCAGAAACTCTTCAAGCTCGTGCGGAAATTCCGTGGCGTCCTGGGGCAGCCGATGAGGTCGATCCTTGACCAAGGCCTGCCCGATGAGGAGCAGGCGGAAGACGCCTCGGCGTTTGGTGGAGATGCGTCCAGACTGGACATTGACGGAGCAGCGGCATCTCTGTGCAGCCAACTGATGCCACGTCTGGCTGATGATACTCACTGGCAGAGACTCTCGAATCCCGCTGGGATCGTCAAGGTCATGGCCAAGATCGGGTCGCTGCCGGAGTCGGTGATAGAAGGGGCGCATATAGTGGACTCGTTCATATCCGATCTCCTTGCTTCCATGGCGTCACTCAAGAAGGAAACGCCTGCCATCCTGACGGACGAAAATAAGGATGAAGTCAAGCACCTCAAGACCAGGAAGACCAGGCTCTTCGTCGACACGCTCAAGACGATGCGGCAGATGGGCTTCAGCCGCAGCCCCAGCACTAACGTCCTCGAGCGGCAGAGATCCACGGCCGTCGTCTTAGTCGATTCGGCCGTCCTCCAGCACTGCCGGGGCTTCAGCCCCGCCGAGATGGAGTACTACTACCACAAGCTGCTCGACCTCGCGGCACGGTTCAGGGCCGCGACGCACGAGCACTCGGGCGACCTCAGCAGGGAGGCCGTCGACCGCTGCGTCGGCTACCTCGAGGGCACCCTCCACACCGTCATCCAGCAGCGACGGGATCTCTGCCAGTCAGTCCGGTCCCTCGGCGCCGTCGAGCGAGCCATCGCCGATGTCGAGGTGCTGTCGAGTCCGAGGGTGGACATGGTCCTCGGAACTGAGAATCGGCAGTCCAATAGTGTCCAGGTCCTGCGCTGGCTGGTGCAGATGCTCAAGTTTGCAGTTCATCTTGTCCACGTCCATGCTAAGCTTGGCGGTGTTAATAATCGGGATGCCATGGATAAACTTGGCGCATGGGTCGGCGTCTTTGAGAGCCACTTGACACGCCGGGCTTCTCTGCCTAAGCTCCCCTCCGGATTCGAGACTTCAGAGCACAGCAAGCTCCAAACCCATATGGAGGCAGATTTCGGAAAGCTCCGCGAGATGGTCCGCGAGCTTGGCGAAGCTAGACCCGACCTCGCCTTCGTGCTGGAGCAGATCGAGCCCTGGACAACCGTCAGATTCGTGGACGCCGTGGACGGAGGCACCGCGGGCGACGTCGACGCTTTCGTCGGGACCATGATGACGGCGTCCAAGAAACTGCTGGTCGCGATCCAGGAGGTCGAGAAGCTGGGCAAATCGCTGCCCACTTCGACCGAGGACCCGGCGTGGCTGGTCAAGTACAGCGGCGGCCTGGCCAGCCGGAATAGGTCGCTCCGCATGGAGACGGTCGCCCAGGAGGTCAGCGGTGTCATCTTGTCGCTGAAGGACCTCGACCTCGGCGAGGACGTCGCCCGACGGTCGGCCACGGCCCTGCTCCGCGTCGTTCTGCCGCTCCTCCAACAATACGCTTCCATCTGCAGGCAGAACATTGCGCGATTCGCAAACCTGCACAGGGCCCTCTGCCGGATGGGATATAACCTGGGCAAGTCATTCGTGCAAATCGCGTCTCAGGGCTTCTGTACTCCGCAGGAGAAGGGTGACGAGAAGTCCGGAGATTCGGGCCAATTGGAGAGCGGCACCGGCCTCGGAGAGGGCGAGGGCGCCGAGGATATCAGCAAGGATATCCAGCCCGACGAGGACTTGGAAGAGCTGGCGCAAGAGCCGAACAACAAGCCGGATAACGACATCGAGGACCAGGAAGATGCCGTGGATATGGGCATGGATGATCTGGAGGGAGAGCTCGGGAGTGTTGGCGGCAAGGATGAGGAAGATGAGAACGGGTCTAAGAATGGTGATGAGGATGACGAAGAGAATGAGATGGATGAGGAGGCGGGCGACGTCGATGATTTGGATCCCACCGCTGTTGACGAGAAGATGTGGGATGGCGACAAGGAGGAGGAGGCCGAGAAGGACCAGCAGGGCGACAACAAGAAGGGGGAGAAGAAGGAGGAGCAGGTTGGCGCCGACGACGCGCGGCAGGAGGAAGACCAGGCTGTGGAGCCGGAGGAACAGGGAGATCAGGGAGAGGAGGAGGCCGGCGCGGAGCAGGAAGAGGGCGTGGCTCAGGAGGAGCTGAACAACCAGGACCAGAACGTCCCGGATAACGAGACGCTGGCCCTCCCCGAGGATATGGAGATCGACATCGATGACAATGCGGACGAGCCCGAGACGGATGACGACCTGGATAAGCTCTCGGATATCGAGGATCCTCGAGAAGACCCTGAGGCCCAGTTGTCCGATGCGGAGGACAATGATGACGATGCCGAGAACGGGGAACCGAGACAGGAGGAAAATGATCTGGACGCTGCTGGCGTAGAAGAAGAAATCGAGGACCAGGTTGACGGTAAAGATACCCAGTCCGAAATGGAGGTGGACGAGGAGCAGGATCCGGACGAAGCCCAGGACGAGGAGAAGCCGCAACAGCCTGCGTTGGACGAGGGTAACGCAGACCCCGAAAACGCAGCCCCGAGCGACGTCCAGGCTGGCGGAGGCCAGGCGGAGACCGAGATGGACGCCGAGGACGAGGAGGATGCCCAGAAGAACACGGCGTCCCAACGGGAACAGGGCGACGTCGGGCAGAACTCCGCGGATCAGGAGACTGCTGCTGGCAATGAGGGGTCGCTGTCGAAATCCGACCAAGAACACACCCAGCCCGAGGATGACACGAGACAGGAGTCGAGCAAGGCTCACCCCTTCAAGAAGCTCGGCGACGCTCTGGAGCGTTGGCACAGGAATCAAAAGGACATCGAGGCCGCCGCGGAAGGCGAGGAGAATCAGCAGAAGAAGGACATGACCGAGGCCGAGATGGCCAAGTCCGAGTTCCAGCATCTCCAAGACGAGAACGCTCCCGAAGATACGCAAGCAATGGGTGGCGCCACCGACGAGGAAGTCCGACCGCTGGACGATGCCATGGCAATCGACACGGAAGCGGACGAGGCAGAGAATCAGCTGCTCGCCGAGGATGCCGAGGATGAGGAGATGAAGCAAGACGACAAGGTGGATGATGCCTCGGAGCAGAAGGAGCCACAAGACAGCGAGAAATCGGGCCGCGAGGAGGGCCGTTCCGGGGTGGCCACTCTCCAAGGAGCATACAACGTGAACGACGATGATGATGGGTTGCCAACCGAGCCCCTGGAGGACGACTCCGAGGACGAGGAAATTCAGGAGACATCCACGCAGCTGTCCACCACGCACATCACGGAGGGTGACGAGACGCTCCGGGACTTCTCGGAGGCGCTCCAGCTCTGGGCGACATTCCAGGCCAAGACCCACCCACTGTCACTGTCCCTGACCTCGCAGCTCCGCCTGATTCTCACCCCGTCCCAGTCAACCAAGCTGTCGGGCTCGTTCCGCACAGGCAAGCGGCTCAACATCAAGAAGATTATCCCCTACATCGCGTCGAGCTACAAGCGCGACAAGATCTGGATGCGCCGCAGCATCCCCACCAAGCGCTCCTACCAGATCCTCCTCTGCGTCGACGACTCCCGGAGCATGGGCGACTCGGCCTCGGGCGCCCTCGCGCTCGAGTCCCTCGTCATGGTCTCCCGCTCCCTCGCCATGCTCGAGGCGGGCCAGGTCGGCGTCCTCGGCTTCGGCTCCGACGTCTTCGTCGCCCACGACCTCGCCGAGCCCTTCGCCTCCCACGACGCAGGCGCCCGCGCCCTCCGCCGCTTCACCTTCCGCCAGGACGCCACCGACGTCGCCCGCCTGCTCCGCCGCACAATCGACCAGTTCCGCCTCGCCCGCCTGCAGAACGCCGCCGGGTCCGGCGCCGGCGGCAGGGACCTCTGGCAGCTGGCCCTGATCCTGTCGGACGGGCTCACGCCTTCGGGCTCGCACGCGCGCATCAGGCCGCTGCTGCGCGAGGCGATGGAGGAGCGCGTCATGGTGGTCTTCATCATCATGGATGGGGCCGGGCGGGGCAGCGGTGGTGAGGGTACCAGTACCGCCGGCACCACTGGCACTCGCACTGGCGGAGGAGACAGCGTCCTCGAGCTCAAGGAGGCCAGGTTCACGGCCGACGGCGGCGTCGTCGTTGAGAGGTACCTCGACTCGTTCCCCTTCCCTTACTACCTCATCGTCCACCACCTCGACGACCTCCCCTCCGCGCTAGCGGGGCTGTTGAGGACGTGGTTTGCTGAGGTTAATTCGTGAAATTTTTTTTTTTCTTCCTTTCTGTTTGTTGAGGAGTTGGGAGTTAGATTAAGAGGGAAACTTAGATTAGAGAAAAAGTCCGTTTGTTTTGTCCTGTCCGGCTTGTCTGTCTAGATCATATCCTTTCTAGAGTCTAGTATAAATTGAATCAAATAAGATATGAAGCCAGCACGGCCTCCGTCCAATACACACATAGCTAGAAATGACTTGATATTCATCTTCTATTCATTGGTTTGTACTGTTCAAGGCGTCGTAACATCCTTCTCAGACGCTACGCTACCATATCTACCTTCCCCCTCCCTACCTATCGCCAAACTGACATACGAAAAGGAGAAGGTAGTGTGATCCACAATGTCTAAGTCCACCAATAAACCAGAAAAGGAAACACAAGAGAGAAAACGACAAGTATGCACGCATACCAAATGGCGTGAGTTATCTGCAAAATACACCTACAAAACAAGTAACAGGTGTATGTGTATGTGTGTGTGTGTGTGCGCATACGACAACCAAGCTGAATAAACAAAGCACACACCACAACCCGAGACCCCCCACTCCAACTCTGTACCGTACCGCACCCATCCATCCATCCGGTGGGGTTCTCCCGCCTGTGCCCTGGGCCATTACCCTGCAAACCCCTGAACAAGTAAACACGAGAGTCTTGCCGTACCAAAGAAATGAAAAACACAGAAAAAGGGGTTCGGGGTTGTGTGCCGCCACCTCTTCTTAGGCAGATCTGGATCCAAAAGCATCCTAGTCAACCACCGTCCCCAAAAGCATCCTAGTCAACCACCGTCCCCAAAAGCCTCTACCTCGGTAGGCAAATTTTATCCCGACAAACTCTGTATACTCCTTCCTTCGTCGTCATCATCACCATGGGAATCACCTGACTAGAAAAGGCGCCCCCCCCTAAACACCCCACGTGTTACACGGCGCCCCCTGTTCGCCCTCTCACCTCAGATACACAAACGTCTCCGCACCCCCCTCCGCCTCCCCCTCCCCCTCCTGGCTGCACCCGGCGCCCCCCTCCCCGAGGCGCGCCAGCCCCTGTATCGTCTCGATGTCGGCGATGGTGTCGTTGAAGACGCGCGTCAGCGCGCCGAGCACCCTCATGCGGTTCCACTCGGCCCGCGTCCGCCAGATCTCGTCCATCAGCTCCCGGCTGATCTGCTCGAGCTGCTCAATCGTGCACCCCGACGTCGCCCCCGCGATCGTCTCGAGGAAGTCGGCAACCGACGCCTCGTTGATCACCGGCTGCTGCTGCTGCGACGACGACATGGTCGACGTCCCCGAGTTGCGTATCGACGAGGGCGGCTGCTGCTGTGCCGCCGACGCCGACGCCGACGACGCCTGCTGGTTGCCGCTGCCGCTGCTGCCGCCGCTGTTGCCGTCGTCGTTGAGGATGTGCGCCATGCTGACGGCCGACGGCCTGCGCGGCTTATCGTCTGGCGGGGCCAGGACCTGCGAGGAGGTCGGGCTGGTTCTTGTTCCGCCGAAGGGCCCCCCACCTCCCATGGGGGCCTTGATCGCGCCCCGCAGGAGGCCGTGGGCCTGCGAGTGCGGCCACTGCTCGTCGCTGGTGGACTGGCTGGGCGGCCCGCCGCTGCCGGCCCCGGCCTGCGACTGCGTGTCCGGCAGCGCCTGCGACTGCTGCGACTGCTGCAGCAGCAGCTGCTGCTGCTCCGGGTTGCTGTGGAAGCCGTTGGTCGCCTGCGTGCTCCAGGGACCCGATTCCCGGTTGGTCGACGGGTCCGACGTCTTGGTCGTCGAGGCGTCGTTAACGATCGCCGACGGAGACATGCCCGGCGGGACGGATGTGATGGCCGATACCTGCGACACCTGGGTGTTCCCCGCAGTGGCCCTCGTCGATTCGCCAAGCTGCCTCGAACCTACTTTCGGCCAGAAGGAAGGCGGGCCCATCGAGTCGGGCTGCGTCTCCTCATCCATGCCGGCCATTTGAGTGTCCTCGCCGTCCTGGCGGGACGGAACCGAGTTGCCGTTGGTCAGTGGATGGGAATCAGATGTGATGGCGCCGTGTCCGTTGGAGTGGGGGCTCATGACTTGGAAGCGGGCTCCCGTCGTCGAGCGCCCGGCCGGGGGGAAACCCACCCCGACGGGGCCCTGGGAGTCGCTGTCGTTATCTCCCGCCACGTCGGATGTGACAAGGTCGACGATCGACTGCATGGCCTGCCTCTTTCGAGCCCGTTCAGCCTGCTCTTCCACCCTGCGCAGTTGGCGCTGGTACAGCTCGTCGAATTTGATGCCGAGGTTGGTGAGCTGTTGCTCGATATCCGTAACATCGACCTCGACGTTGGTCCGGAGCTCATTGGCCTTTAATGCTCGCTCTCTGTCACCAATGTTCTTGGCGTCATTGTAGAGTTTGTTGATGTCCAGGTAGAAATCCCTGGGCCGAGCATAGTAGCCATTGGCCAACCGCTCCTCGATCGTCGTAGTCTCGAGGTTGTAGAAGAACTTGCCCGTGGCGGTATCTCTGAGTCCCTCGGTCCCTTCCTTGTCCCTGGCGATCTCGTACGGTCGCTGCTCCCCCTCGGCGAGATCCGGCCGGACATAGTTTGGATCGGACTCGTCGAACAGATAGGCGACATGGGCCAGCGGAATGACTGGTTGCCTGAATTTCCTATATTTGCGATGGATCTGGTCCATGATCGGCTGCAGCCGGGTCTTGAGTATGTTCAGCGAATGCAGGTCGGCCTTGCGCTGCGCCTTGATCTCCGCTTTGGTAAGGGTCCGGGGCGGCGGGGGAGGGGCAACGGGGAGCACTTCCAGAACCCTCCTCTTGCGGTCTGCAGGATCCGGGAAATCGGTGGGCGCCTTCTGCAGGTGCTCGATGATGTTGGTGAAATACTCAACGCGGACGCTCTATCGGTCTTGTTAGCGGGGGCAAGTCATATCGAGGGCAGGAGAAGCACTCACCTTGTTCGGACGGTCAATAACCGCCCGGTTCTTCTTGGAGAAGCCAAAGAGATCAACTAGGAGTTTTGGATCCAAATCGAAGATCTCATTCTCTGCGGTAGCGAGGAGAAGGACGGGGTCGGTTGGCGGAATGGACCGGAGCAACGTCGCAAACGTGGTGGTTGCCGCTCCTTGCAATGCCGACCACCACGTGTTTATGTCGGGAACATAGATGACGCTGGGCTTGTGTCGCTTGACTTCGCTGAAAAGGCCGACGATCACTTGTTCAAGGGGCTACAATCATTTCGATCAGTGGGACTTCCCGACAGGATAGATTAGGCTGTGCAAAACTTACCCGTCCGTCGCCAAGCAATGTCGCCAAGTCGAAGTTCACAACATGTACGCCTTCCAAGTGGTGAAGGATGGCTGCCGATAGGTAGTTCTGGCCCATGCCAGCCTTCCCTGCAATGAGCAGGCGAGGCCGGAAGATTCGAGACCTCTCGAACTCCTGCTGGAGAGCTTCCCGACCAAACCCATGGTCCGTGTCTTTGGGTTGCTCGAACATGGCTTCTTCCAGTGCGGTGATCTTCTTCTTGCGAGGTAGGATTTCGTCGATGCTCTTCACAATCGCCTTGAACTGGCTCCTCAGGAGGGGTTCTATGGCCTTCGGGAGCGGTATCGCAGCAGATACGGTAGACCTCTCGGATGAGGGAATCAATTTCTTGATGGAGATAATGAAGTCCGTGGCATGGATACTGATCTTGTCGGGGTCAACGATAAGCTTCTCCTTGGACGAGTAGATCTGCGGGTAGGTTCTCTGGATCGCATTGAGGGCGGCTTCGGTGCAGAGGGCCCGTAGATCGGCACCGCCGTAGCCCTTGGTCCTCTCGGCGAGCGCGTTCCTGAACTCATCTGTCAGGCCCCAGTCCTTGGTGTGGATGTCGAGGATGGATCGCCGGCCCTCCACGTCAGGCAGGGGGAAGTAGAATTCACGGTCGAACCTGCCCGGCCGGCGAAGTGCCGGGTCGATGTTGTCAGGCCTGTTCGTCGCGCCGATGACGATGACCTGGCCACGCCCGTCCATGCCATCCATCAGAGCCAGCAGCGTCGAGACGATAGACGCATGGATCTGTTCTTGTTTACTAGACCGGACAGGCGCGAGACCATCAATCTCGTCGAAGAAGATGATGCTGGGCTGGGTTCTCCGTGCTTCCTCGAAGAGCAGCCGAAGCTGCTTCTCGGCCTCGCCAACCCATTTGCTCAAAGCATCAGCTCCCTTACGCATGTAGAAGGTGATCTTCCGACCACCGGACCCGACAGAGTTCGCAAGCGCTCTGGCGAGCAGCGTCTTGCCGGTTCCGGGAGGGCCGTGGAACAGGACTCCGCGAGGCGGCGTGACGTGGAACTTGAGGAAGAGCTCGGGGTACAGCAGCGGCAGCTGGACCATCTCCTTCAGCTGGTCAATATGGCCCTGAAGACCACCGACCTTGCTAAAGTCAACGTTCGTGTCGACCCCGAGAGGGTCGGCGTCGGCGAAGGCCTTCTGGCTCTTGATCTTGCCGACATTGGGAGTTGCCCCACCGATGCCGCCGACTCCTCCGTCGTTATGGGTCTGGGCGGGAACACCGAACAGCCCGACGGGTGGTGCGGCGGTGGTGGGCGTCATGCCGACAGGGCCGCCGACCCCTGATCTATGGACCATCTCGTCATCGCTGCTATCCGAGTCGACACCACCAGTAGCACCGGTGCCCCAGGGGCCATTGAGAAGAGAGCCTGCACCGCCGCCGCCGCCAAACGGGCCATAAGTCGTGTTGAAGTTGCGCTCCCAAACTTGGTTTGCGCCGTTTCGCCCGCCTCTGCGCCCGCCTCGTTGAGGTGTGGCAGCAGGCTCTTCGTCCTCCACTTCAAAGGCCGCTGGGTCAATGGCCTTGATGCTATAGTCGACCGGCTTGGTCACACGCCTCCTCTTGGTCAAGGGCTCTTCATATTGGATAGAGGGTGACCGCTGACGACGGCGGCGAGGCCGCGAGCGCGAGCTCTGCCGAAGTTCTTCGAGCTCTTCGGCCATCTCGTCCTTGTCAAGCTCGACCTCCTCGTCGCCCGAATCCTGGTTGCGTCGAGACCTCGAGCTCTTACTCTGACCAGCTCGCCGCCCACGGGGGGTCGGGCTCGAGGAGTCGTCCGCATTATCGACAGCGCCAGAATCGGCATCGTCATCCTTTGGCGGCGCCTCAGAGCCCGATTCTTCAGCTCCCGACTCGTCGCCGGGCTCAAAGTCGCTGCTGGGCGACTGAACCGACTTTCTCATCCCCGACTTCCGGGTCAGACGACGCGAGGTCCCAGCGTTCTCGGCCTCATCATCCGCTTCTTCAGGTGCTGCAGCACCGGAAGTGGTCCTCGCACTGCGGGTACGGCGCGTAATTGGGGCGACGTCTTCATCCTCGTCGTCATCTGCCGCCTGGTTCTCATCTCGCTGCTCTTCGGCCGCCAGGTTCTCCTCAGGTGCATCTTCAACCTCCATGGCTCCAACATCTTCATTTACTTCGTCATCATTCTCGATAACTTGGGCGTCCTCGGGGTATCCTGCTATCTCATCCTGATCCTGAAGAAGGTCCTCGGGCTCGGTCTTCGGCTCGGTCTCCTGCGTAGCCTCCAGGATTGCGGCAGGCATCTTCTTAACTCCCTTGCCACCGCGCGTGGACCGGGTAGTACGGTGTATGGCTTCCGGGCTGCCACTTCTTGACGACCGGGCGGCGAGCGCATGTTTCCCTGAATTGGATAGCTCGACCAGCTGTTCCTCGGTCTCCTCGGTTCGGGCTCGAGTCGAGCGGCGCGTAGCTACCGAAGGGGTAGCGACTTCCTTTCCGCGCCTATTTCGGAGCTGGCTGAGATTTGTACTACGCAACACAACGATACGTGACGGGCGGGGTGCGGCTTCCTCGGACGATTGTTCGGCCTCTTCACCTCCAGCCTCGGAATCCGCGATCACGCTATCTTCGCTGCTCTCTCTATATGATTGTTGCTTGGTCGCGGCCTTCCTCATGCGGCGGCCAGTTGCATTCAACAGGGCTTCGTCGTCGTCGTCTTCTTCTTCTTCCTCATCCTCGTCATCCTCGCCGAACGAATCCGCCTCGCTGTCGGACAGTTCTTCGTCATCTTCAATATCGGAGCCACGGTATTTAGTTCGCTTAGTGGATGCAATTTTCTTGGTCTTTGATGGACGCGACTTCTTTGCAGACCGCCGAGGTCGATCCTCGGTCGGGTTGAAGTTCTCGTCCTCGGGGTCAGATCTATTCGGATCGAAGCCGTCGAGGATATCGCGCTTCCTTTTGCTCGGCATGTTTGTTGAGAGCGATCAGCGATCGGGATGGCGGGAGTATGAGGGGTCCCAAAGGTGGCAGCACTGTCGATGGCACGGCGGGCGCTCGACGCTGTAACGGGGTCGGAGCTGCACAAGCGTGATGTCAGTGCTCTGCAGGACATGGAAGACAGTGTGGGCAATAGGAGTGTGGAAAGGAACGGGGTGTGGTTCAGAATAATTCTAAGAGTCCTGATGCAATGGATGTGTACTTACATCACCCTCGTTTTCAAGGACGGCAGGATGTCCTGGGTCACTGCATAGACGGGTAAAAAACTTTTGGCGAGAGAGCGAGACGAGCCAAAGATGGCATAGAATGAAGCGAATGCCAAAGAAGAAGAAAAGTTCGAAGGTTTTCTTCTGTCGATGGTCAACGATGGGCAGGATGCATCGCGGCTGGTCGCAAGTTTGGTGGTCAGTGTTGGAGCAAGCTGTGCTGGACTGGCGCGTTCTTCGCGGCGTCGAAGGTGAGATGTGGGGACTTCACGTGCTCTGACGAATCATAGTCCCCATTTCGGTTGGTGGTCCGAGCGTCACAGGCAACAATTCCTCGGAATTGCCTCGAGGAGGGGGAAGGGGGAAAAAGCCATCTTGCCCCATCGCACTCAAATTTGTCGCAATCCCGGCAACTTTGAAAAGACCAGATTGATCAATTATGTCAGAATAAATATGTAATGCGTGGACAATTGGTTAAAGTGCAAATATCTCTGCATTCCAGTCGTGACAGCGGTACGGCGTTGGCAAATTTCCACCAGTCTGGCAAGCAGTTTCCAAATAGTTGCGAAAGACGCGAAGTAAACAATTGCGAATTATTTATTTTCCTACGAGACCATGTCGTCATACCTCCATGTTGGAATAGCCTCTGGGTAAGGGTGTGTCTGTGGGGACCGAATCCCACGTGGCGTGGATGCGGGATGCGGCTCAAGCAACTCAGGCGGCGACCATCCAGAATCAAATCGGGCCTCGGGCCAATTCTGTTTGGGCGGAGGGTATTGAGGCGAGGTGATTGGCTTTGCCCAGGCCATACCAGCGGAGAAGCACCCTTTCTCCAGCGAGCAGCCGACTCTCCTGGTCCAGCCCGGCTTAGACAGTGGTAGAGCATGTGCAGTTATGGAGGAAGCCACCGCGCGGCGATGACTGCCAAGCCCAGACACATTTAACCTCCACGTACCTACGCTAGGTAGGAAGAGTGGCTCAAGTTACATCATAGTTAAATGCACTTGCCTATGTGTGACAGAGGACGGGGTGAGTACGGAACGTAGGGTTCTTATCCCTACCTACCTAAGGAAAGTTATCCACTGCCCTAGTATAGGATCAGAAAAGGCGTGTCTGTAGTAGTATCTACTGAATTTCGTCCACGGCCAGCCACCTAAAAGTTCCCCACATGAAGCTATCGTCTCGTCCATACTACCTATGTACCTAGAGCAACAAAACGAGGATGCTTGACCATCCCCCTCTCCACTCCAAACCAACGAATTCATCATCGTCCCTGCCTCTGCTGTCTCAAACGGGGGAACTGGAGAGGTAGAGCGAGCCTGGCAAGGTTTTCTGTCTTGTCGTCCTTCCTCGTCTGCCGCGTCCTAGCCCCTATCTCGTGGAAGTATTGGTTAATCTGCTTCTGGTCGATCCTGAGATCCTCCCGGAGGTCAAATGTATTGACGTCGAAGCTGTCAATTATGCTCGCGAAGACGCAGCAGTGCGTCATGAGCAGATCGATGTGGATCTTGCGCATCTCCCCGTTGTCCGAGAACTTTCGCCGGATGTTCTCGATGACAGCCTCCGGCGCGGGCGCCAGCAGCTCGCGGAGCTTCTCCCGCTTGGCGATCCTCTTGGCTCCGTGACCCTTTCCGCTGGTCGTGGAGACCCAGAAAATGAGGAGGAACAACATGTAGCGCAGCATCTTGAGCCTCTGCGCCGCATGTTCGTTCGCAGCCACCCGGTTGATGCGGTTGGCGACGAACCGGGATGGAACCTGGATTTCCTCCTGCTTCTTGGCCTTCTCTTGCCAGTCTCGGATAGGTATCGCGTTGAGGATCTCCCCGCCGATGATCTCCTTGGGATCGTAAACATCCTGGATATCGGCTGCCTCATAATTGCCCTTCGGTACGGGCCGCGCCTGATCGACGGCTGCCTGTAGTTCTTCCCTGGTGGCCATGTTCGCCGTTGATTCCTTGATGGAATCCATCAAGGCAAGGTCTTCGTCACCCAGCTTCAGCGGCTCGCCATCCGGACCCTTCCTTGGCGTGAGTGCGTTCTCGGCCATGGCCACGATGGCCTTCTTGGCCTTCTTTGTTCCGAACGCCTGGCCCAGCTCGTTCTTCATATCGGTCAAATTCTGGCGGAGAGTTAGTACAAAACGATTGACCAGCTGTAAGGGAGAGGGCGCTAAGATGCTTACCTCTCTCACAGTTCGCTCCGCCATTGCTTCATCAGCAGCCATCCGAGATCGGACGACTCCACGAACAACCATTTTCCTAGCTTCGACAATCTTCAGGCTACCCAAGGCAGGGTCGAAGACACAGATATAGTGTTTCAACAACGACTCCATTCCTTTCGGCTTATCTTCATGGGCTGTATAGTCGAGCGTCCTGTGCGAACTAGAATGGAGCAGGATGTCTTTGGGGGGTTGGGGGGGAGTTTGAGAGCTCTGTTTCCTCTTCTTGGAAGGGGCAGGCTCGGGTTTGGCGTAGGATCGAAACCGGACATCTCGGGACAGGACCAAGCCCGGAGTTGTAGCTAACTCTCGTCAGATAATTGACATACCCTTGGTCTAGAGGATGGTCATACCGATAACTGGAGGAGAGAACCGCGGTCTCACAACAGAGGAGACGGAGACGGAGTGGGGTAGCGAGGCTGGCTGCTCAATAGCGACCTTCTTCTTCGCCTCGCCATGTTGCCCTGCCGGTCTTTTCCTTTTCTTGGCTGAGGTATCTGCCATGGTAGTCGGTTGACGCTATCGGGTGCGTCTACTGAGTGTTGATTGGTGAAGTAAATGTTACCGGCGGCTTCGTGATATTTTTCTGCCTAAGTGTGGCAGAATCCTTCGATTTTTTTCCCGCTGGAAATTCTGGCTTCACCGCCCAAGCTCAGTGGGACCCCACCGCCTTTGATCGCTAGATCTCGCAGCAACCACAGCGAAGATATTACGGGTTTTATTTCTTGCTGTACATAGAAAAGAGATGAGACAAAGGTAGTCAAAACCGGAAGACCTGGTTTAGTTGTCCAATTACCTTACGTGCCTAGGCACCTCCCTCCTTAAGTGGATTGTCGTCGATCAGAAAAGACGAAGATACTGCAACGAGAAATGGACACCAGGGTTACCAGTCTCCACAAGACTGAGCGAGCTCTGCAACCTCGGAATCTAGGTAGGGCCAGGCATGCCAATTGACCCTAGAGCTATCTGTGAGCATCACCAAAGCTTGCAGGTGCTCTTCACGTATGCCACAGTGAACCATTCCCCAGGTTCCGTCCCAATTGGAGATGGTCAAATCCGTTACAAGTCAGGTCGGGTTCATGTCACGTCAGGTATATCCGCGTTGTGGAAGTAAGACTGCTTTGAATTTTCTCTGCAAACTTCTGTAGGTTCAATCTGCTTCTCAGGCGAGGCAGTAGCACTTCCGGCTTGGTTCCTGCAAACACTTCCCAAGCTTTAGCTCGACCATTGTCTTGTCCATGTACCAGTCTCCTGTCATCAACCCCAAATCACCACCTGCCACAAATCCATGACATCACCATGTCCTAGCCGGTCCCCCGATGAGTCCAGCAAAAGCTACTTCGAGTAGATAGCAAAGAGCGGGGCGTCCGACAAAAACAAGCGTTGCGAGCAATGGTAGAAGTTGTGGTGTTTTTAAATGGCCATGGTGATCATGTTGCGATTTCTTTCAATCTGGTGAGGCCGAGTAGAGCGGGGTGTTGTGTTTACTTGCTGCGATGGGGGTTAGAGAGAGAACGATAGACAAGCTGGCGACGACAGCACCGGGATAACTTACGATCTAGCCCTCATCTTTCTCCTCTTACGCTTAAGGCGGCGAACCCGCTTCTTTCTCCATTTGGCTCTCATCTTGAACGACTGCTGACGGCGGGGTTAGCGACTCGGCACACGAGCAGAGCAGAGTGGCGGAAAAAAAAGAGAGACGCATGGAAAGGCAAAGGGAGGGAGACAATAAAGCTTAGGAGGTTCGCATTCTGTTGGGAGAGGAGGGAGCGTCAATTTTTGAGGGAGAGCAGACTTACTTGTTCGATGAGATGCGATCGTTGGATATGGGAGTGGAAAAGAAGAAGTTGGCGGAGGGGATTTCTTCTCTTATTTGTGTGGGCTCGAAAGCCCTGTGTGGTGTCATGTGACTTTGGACAGGGATGTGCCGCCTCATGACCTTCGAGCTTGACGACCCTTGACGTAATTCCATCGAGACGGACAATTACGTCGTATGGTAAGGTAGGTAGGTTTTAGATTCACACACACCGTTGTAACCAGTTTACGTATCTAATGACATCTATTCATTACAGTACAATGTAATCGAAGGCCATTGATTGACCACGACTTCCCTACGGCCTGGCCAAGCAAGGCAGATAATCTTTGGTACAGCGTGTCTCACACGACAGGTATTTCCCTTCCCTCCCCGCGCAACCGCGTAAACGCCTCCCTAAAATTAAGATGTTCCCATGCACACTACCTCCCAGTGTTGATCAACATTGAAAACCACTGCAAAACCACAAAATAACGTCCCCGTTGAAATATCGTCCCCGTTGCTCACACAACGCCGGAAGTTCGCCATCTAGGCCAATATAGGGACGAGGCATGCCAACCCTCCTAGCCCTCCGGGGCCTTTTCCGTACCGTTTAATCATCATCACTTTGGACGCCACTGCTTTCCCCGTTGACTTGGCTAGCTCCATTCGAGTTGTTGACCAGCTTGATTCTAGTTGGTCCGCTGCTCGTTGGCCGAGGAGTGCCGGCGCTCGTGGATGGGCCAGTCGAGGTGCCCTTCTGCGAAGGGTCCTCCAACTCAACAAGCTCAGGATGATCATTGAGCTCTTGCTGGTACTGCTTGTTGAAAAAAGCCTAAACAGTGGGTTAGCAAGAGTGGAATTAACTTCTCTCTCACAGGCTCTACAAACCTCCATGACATTTGCATCGGAGTACAGTATGCTCCCATCCTCGTTGAACGTCCTACAGTTGTTGCAAAGCAGCTCCATGTCCTTGCGCAGGTCGTTGAGGCTCTTGTACTCCTCTTTCTTGATCCTCTTCATGATGTCATTCATACAGATGGGGTTCTGGATGATGAGATAGTAATCGCCCCAATCGCGCTTCGGAGGGAGCTTGACGAATGGTCCGATGATGAGACGCTTGGGAGGTTCGTCGTCCTCCTTGTCCTCGTCCTCTTTCTCTTCAGGTTCCGGATCGTCGACTTCCAAGTTCATCAAGCCGTCATAGAGTCGGCGCAAGCTCTTGTTTAGCACCTCGCGGATATGGGGCGGCATGCCGTTGGTGGCACCGTTTGCTGACGAAACACCCTTCGGCCGGCCGATCGGTCCTCGTCGCTTCTTCGCGGGCGGCTCGTCCTCACCTTCCTCGGCCTTGCGCTTCTCGGCATTCTTGCTGCCCGGCTTCCGCCCCCGCTTCTTCACAGGCGTCTCGATCTCGACCTCCTCGGTGCTAGCCCGGCTGGCGGCTGGCGAGTTCTCAACCGAGGCACCTCCCATAGACATCCTCTTCAGCCTATTGGCCTCTCGCCTGTCTTTCCGGGCCTGTTTTCGGGCCGCAGCTGCTTCGGGAGTGTCCTCTTCATCGTCGACGGCCATGAGCCACTGTTCCTCAGTCAGACCGTCATCGTATCTGACCTTGGTACGCTCACGCGCGCCACGGCCAAGGATAGTCTCGACCTCTTCTTCGACCGGATTTCCCTCCGAGAGATAGATGTCGGGAAGCTCGCTCTCCGTCATGAGACGGGGAAAGCGCTTGCACCCGGCCGCCGTGCCGTAGAGTGGATCCTTGGATCTTCGCTCATCAAGCTCCTGGAAGGCGACCAGTTCATCTTCGCTGCGGGCGAGAATCATGTTGAGTTCCTCGTCGTCCATCTCCTCCTGCTCTCCGACCTCTGCCATGTCGGCGGTCTCTAGGAGCGTTCGGAGCATTGCATCACGATCGGTCTCGGATGATTTGTTGTCGAAGCGACCAGCCTGGATGATTTTCCCATCCATGTCGAGCTTGAACCTGGCTCTTTCCAAGATCTTCTCTTCTACAGATGCCGAGCTGATCAAACGGAGAATGCGGACTTCATTCTTCTGGCCGATACGATGCGCACGATCCTGGGCCTGGAGATCCTGGTGAGGATTCCAATCGGAATCGTAGATGATGACGGTATCCGCGGTCTGCAGGTTGAGACCCAGACCACCAGCACGGGTTGACAGTAAGAACATGAAGTAAGGCGAGTCTGGGCGGTTGAACTCCCTGAGCAGTTCAGATCGGTCTTCTGACTTGGTCGTGCCATCGAGTCGGAGATACGTGATGCCGCGGTACCGAAGGAAATCCTCCATAATGTCCATGATGGCGGTCATCTGGAAGAACATCAAGACACGATGGCCGGTTTCTTTATACTTGGGCAGGATCCGGTCCAACAGCTCGAACTTGCCCGCCGTCCTCCAAAGGAGATCGTTGCTGGTGTTTAACGGATTCATCTGGTTCTCCACCTCGTCGAACACGAACGGGTGGTTGCAAAGCTTCCGCAGCTGCATGATCATGTTGCTTAGACCACGCGCGCCAGTCTTACCGCCTTTGCCATCGCTAACAACAAGTTTTTGGTGCGTAACCATTTGCCTGTACAGCCTTGCCTGCAGCGCGGAGAACTTGCATTTGATGACCTTCTCGGTCTTGTCGGGTAGGTCCTTCTCGACGTCCTTCTTCAGACGACGGAGGAGGAATGGGCGCAGCACCTTATGCAACCGACGGATGACCAGGATTTGTTCTTCTTCAGTGAGTTCCATCTTATCTTGTCCACCCGTGTTCGCAAAGGGAGTGTTGAACCATTCATCGAAAGTCGTGGCTGACTTGAAGATATTGGGCAGCACGAAATTGAGCATCGCCCACAGCTCCGACAGGTTGTTCTGGAGGGGCGTGCCGGTGAGGATGAGGCGGAATCTGGTGCTGTAGTATTGCTGGATCGTCGCGCTCAGCTTCGAGTTGGCATTCTTCATCCGGTGGCCTTCGTCAATGATCATGTGGAACCACTTGATCTTACTAAGAAGCGGCCGATCCTTGATGATGTATTCGTACGTGGTGAGCAGAACGTGGAACTTCCCTTGCCGTATCCTCTCCTGCTGGAGCTTCCGCGTGGTGGGGGGGCCCTTGTACACGACTTTGGTGACGGTCGGTGCCCACTTTTCGAACTCGAGATTCCAGTTGGTCAGGGTGCTGAGAGGCACAATGACCAGATAAGGGCCGTTCTGGAACTTCCTCTCGATCAGGTAGGTGATCAGGCTGATGGTCTGGATTGTTTTGCCGAGGCCCATTTCATCGGCCAGGATACCGTTGAGGTTGTTGTTGTACAGCGATATCATCCACTGAAGACCCTTGACCTGGTATTCCTTAAGATTGCCGCCCACCAGCATGTTCGCCTGCTCGGTCACCTCTTCTTTGATGCGATGGGCAACAGCATAGTAATCGATCTTGCGGTTGCTCTCCTCGGCCCCTTCCTCCGCCTCGCTCTCTTCTTCAGGGAGATCTCCGCCGTCATCTCCGCCGTAGCGCTCTGCAGCTTGTCGCTGTTGGGCCCTGACTGACGAAGCAAGCTGGTGCAAGAAGCCATCTGTCTGTCGGAGCAGGTGGCTGATACGTGTATCCTTGGCTTGGTCAAGCAGCTTGAGATAGGCCTCCTCATCGTTGGCTTTCAGGGCCTGCAGACGCTGCTTGGCAGTCCTCTCGACTCTCTTCTGCTCTTCCTTCTCAATGTTGAAGTGCTGCGCAAACATGATGCGACCGAGCTTATGCATCTTGTTCCGTTGAGCCTGCCCAGAGGACTGTATCTCAAGCCTGTGAGTCTGCACGGCCTGGATGAAGTCGATGTGCTTCTTTCTCTCCCTGTTCTTGCGGGCATCGCGTTGCTCCTTTTCGAGCTTCTCGGTAATGCGCGCCTCCCGGACACTCTGCTTCTTCATCCGGCGATACATGCTCCGGTTGGTTGTCATGGCAAGGTTGTCGTAATGCATCATCTGCCGCCCGACCTTGTCTCTCAAAGCACGTTGCTTGGAGTACAGCGCCAGCGACTTCATCTCGATGATGGCTTTGCGCTTGAGGGTATCGTCAGGGGTTATGGTGTCCTTGGAGGTATCCCAGTAGGCAAGATTACCCGGCAACCCCTTGAGCTCAGCATATCTCGCACTCATACGATTGAAGACTGCCTTTTCGCGCTCTATCCTCAGCTGCTCAAAGTCGACGCCCGTTGGAAAGATGCCAGGGATTATGAGCCGATTCTTTCGCCGCGCATGCTCGAAATAGTTAATGCTCTGGCGGACAAGGCCACCCTCGTACGGAGATTTAACACTCTTGAACGAACGAGCTTGCGGAATGGGTGCTGGAGAATCAGGTGCCCCGGTCACGGCGCCACTCGGACCCGTCTGCGCAGCATCCTGGGTGGTTACCTTCTGGGAGACTGCGGTTGACCCGGCCTGTTGGGGCTGTTCGGGCATTGAAGCTTGGCGTCGTGCGCGGTGGGCGAATATTGCCTGCTGCATCTGGAGAGGGACGCCAACATTCTTCCCCAGTATCTTGAACGCCTGGATCTGGTTCCTCAGCAAACTCAATTGCTGCTGAGTGAATTGTAAACCACCGGACCCCGTGGCTGCCGACGCAGATGTAGAAGAGCCGGGAGCAGCAGTTGCTGGGATCGCGGAAGCACCAAGCGCCGATGACGATGCAGGTTGACTTGTTGGGGTCGCAGTCTGCTGTGGAGGACGGCTAGGTTGGTTGCCATTAACAACGCCATTGGGAGTGCCCTGGGATTGTGATGTCTGCTGGGGCTGTTGTTGTCCTTGCTTCCCCTGCTGTTGCTGGAACTGCTGCTGCTGCTGCTGATGTAGCTGCTGCTGCTGCTGCTGATGGAGCTGCTGCTGCTGCTGTTGGTGGTGGAGCTGCTGCTGCTGCTGCTGCTGTAGCTGTTGTTGGTGGTGCTGCTGCTGCTGTTGGTGCTGCTGCTGCTGTTGCTGCTGCTGCTGGGGTTGGTGGTGCTGCTGCTGTTGCTGCTGCTGCTGTCTCCGTATCTGCTGCTGTTGGAAGGCGAAGAGGAGTTGTTGGGTTTTGATGTAGTCGGGATCGGTCTGTGGAACACCCTGCTCCTTCATTTGACGGAATCGCTGGACGGTATTAGCACGGGGCCAAGATACAATGATTGGGTATTCAACAGAATGGGGGTCGTCAAGACGGATTGGGTTTGTTCATTGAGGAACCACTTACCATGATAGTCTCTTGGACCTGTTGCGGAGTGATGCCGGCCGGTATGGCAGAGCCGGGATACTGGCCGACGGGGGGTGCCGGAGTAGCCATGGCGACGGCGGCCTCTCACAGAGTGTCTAACCAATGATCGTGGTACAGGACAATGTTATGTTGGGCGCATGTCCAAGGGAGAACGAATCGCAGGGCGGTCGCAAACGAATAGATTGGCAAGGAGGGGAGTCGACGGGATGATCGCGACCGATTGGATCAAAAAAGCGCGATGGACAACACAATGGCAATGAGCGGTGCGTGGAACTGAAGATGTCGGCCGGGGCCGTTACCCGGAGCGCGGTTGGAGATCGGGGCCGGTCGCGTTGTGGCGGGAACACAGGCGTGGTTTTGATGGACCGACACGATTGAGTGCTGTGCTCAGCCGCGTGAAGGCGACGTGGTTGTTGTGTGGGGGCTCCGGAAAATAAGGGAAACCTTAAGTCGAGTTGGGGGAAAAAATGGGAAACAGGGCGATGGCGGGGCGTGGAGGCTATTCACCTGGTGGGATGTGCGAGGAAATCGCGTGTATAAAATTTTGCCGACCTTTTTGAGATGGGTACTGATGGTCGCAGCTGGGGGTTGGCGATTTTTCGATGCGCGCGGTCACCCTTGGATTCGATGGGAGAGTTCAGAGGTGAAGAGATTCTGCCTTCGCGGCTTGTTTGGTGGTATGGAAAACGCCGCCCCACCAGCGTACATCTCAGCATGATCCATTATGTAAAACAGGCTTCCAACCAATAGTGAATGCCTGAGGTTCCGTGCTTCCTTGGCTCGTGCGCAGCGATTACCACCAAAAGGGGTTGATTACCTAATTGGATATTTCTAATTACTTTCCTCGGAGCACCACCCGATATCAAGACAGCGAGCACCCAGATTTTGACCCAAACGCCATTCCACCCGTGTACGCCGTAGTGTACGCCGTAGTCCGTAGTGTAACCCGCTTCCCCCCCTTTTTTCTTTACCTCTTGATCCTCTTCTTATCCGGCCCTTCTTGCTCCTCGTCGTCGCTCACCTCAGCGTACCGGGTAACAGGCTGAGTTGAATCATAAGCCTTCGTAAACAGTGGGTCGCTCTTCGCAATATCAGCGTATTTTAATAGTGCCTCCCTCGGATCTTCGTGGAGCATGCGACTCAGCGGGATATTCTCCGAGACGTGTTTCGAGTCGGGCTGGCTCCTCATGAAAGGGGTGACCTGTTGGACCTGCGGTCTCATGGGATCCCTGGACTTGCCAGAGGCTGTCACCCCTCCCTTTCTTGTGCCGGGCAGGCTGCCGCCTGGGATGATGATGGAATCGCCCGAGATCCCGAGGGTTTGGTCCATTGTCAAAGAGGGATCGTCATCAATATGACGTTTCTTTGGAGCGCGCGACATGACCTCAACTGCCCCCCGGGTCGACATGGTTGGGTTAAATAGCACATGTGTTTCCGCGTTCGCCGAGCCTGTGATGATCTGGTTGAGTTTGGGATGCCAGTCAACCACAATAAGGGGCGACCCTGGGGTAATCGGGGTGACGTGTTCGGGCTGTAGATTGCCAGGGTTCAAAATGTGAAGGTGGCCGGACTCTGATCCGGTGATGATGCTCGTAGAGTTTGGAGAGTACTTGATGTTAGTCATGTGGAACCGGTCCGATGTAGACGGGTGTTCAACCTTGACCAGGGGCTCCTTAAACTTGCGAGTGTCCCAGAGCTTGATGGTGCCGTCACCTCCTCGAGTGACGACCATGCGTCCATCGGAACTGACGTCTATGCCTCCAGTCCAAGTTGCGGGCTTGTGTGCCTCGCGTATCTCCGCTGCGGGTCGCGTGAAAGGGCCATTGCCGCTATACATGACCAACGACCCGTCCAGGGCGGCCGCAACGAGGATGTCGTTTCCTCCCCCTGCGGTCGCGGCCCAGGCCACGGCAGTCATTCTCGTCCGACCGGCGCACCCCGGCGCCTTCGACTTGAAGGCGATTACCTCCTTCTGCCGTCGCTTATTATTGATGTCCCATATCCGCAGCGTGCTGTCCGAACCGGCCGTCACACAGGTATTCCGATCCGTGGGATGCCAAGTACCCGTAGTAACTTCGCCCACGTGGCCGTTGGTATTGTTCATATCGCGCAGGTACATGTCGCCCTTGACGAACTCGGTCAGGGTATCGCCGTCTCTCGACATGATCTTGGGTTGCGGATGCGCTGTTACGCAGAGGAAGACCCCCCCAGAGAGGTGGCTGAACTGGACATGGTGAATGGGATGCGACTCTGAGGACGCAGCAGACGATTTCGTCTCCCAGGGATCGACGCTTCTGAAGGCGCGCAGTGTAGTCGGTGTCATGGATGCAAAATCGTGCAGCTTGACGGTGGCATCCAGGGAGCCAGTTATCAACCGCCCTCCTGCCGGGTCCAGGGAGATACTCGTAACGGCGCGGTCGTGGGTTTTGAGCACGATCTCATGCGAAACGGGAAATTCGTCGTCATCTTCGTCCGAGTCCGAATCGTCGCTGCCGCCGTCGCTGTCGTCGTCGGAACCGGATCCTGTCGCTTCTGCCGCTTTGGCCGCCTTGGCTGGTTTCTCGACGGCTCTCCTACTCTGCTCGATTTGCGCAGAGATATTGGTCTGCCTAGACTGTTTGCCGAATGATGTGGGTAGAAAGGCTCTCATAGGGTCGTCCTCGGCAAGAACAGGCCCTTCAACCCGATAGTCGTCGTCACTATCACTCATTTTTATATGTGAGACGTTGAAGATGGGTGGCGGGGCTCAGAAAATAGATGAGCCGCAATTTATTTGCAGGTCGAATTAAACCTGGAATGTGCATGTATGCTAGCGTCAATTCATATGTACTACCTTGTCCACCACACGTATAATTAAGCTTCTCTGAATGGTATATAAATATCACAATCTGGTTTAAGTAACACTCATATAGCTAATCGGTAATACTTGTAAGCCCGCTCGCTGTGTTTATCATGCCGTCGCCGTGACATGCATCGCGGCGACGGCAGCATCATCGGCCCTCTTCAGCGCCTCCAGCCTCCTGAGTTCCTCCCTCTTCATCCTCTCCTGGATCCTCACCCTCTCCGGAACCACCTCCTCCCTGGGTCCCGCGATCTTCCACCCCTCCAGCCTGTCCTTGCCCAGGGCCCTGAGCGTCGTCTGCTCGACGAGGCTGTAGTTCCCGTCCGCCCTGTCAAAGTTGAACGGCTCCTTGACAGCCACGGGCGGATTCGTGATGATCCGCACGTTCCTCAACGCGTTACTTGACGCCGAATGCAGCATGAGGGGGTGCAGGAGGAAGAGATCGCCGCACTTCCCATGGGCCTCGACGAACTCGGTCGACTCCTTAGCGAGGCCATTGAACCAGTCCAGATTCTTCTCCTTTGTGAAGTCGGGCTGGCCCCGGGGCGTCATGCGCGGCGACACCCCCTCGGGGTGAGCGTACAGGTGCCTGGCGACCTTGGGCATGGCCTCGGGGCAGATGACGGTCCCGCCGCCGTCGGGCGGGATGTCGGTGAACAGCGGGATCACCAGAAGGCCCTGCTCGGGGCTGTCCAGGTAGTGGACGAAGAAGTCGCCGTCGACGTGCCAGTTCTCCAGCTCCTGCGGCGGCGTTGGCTTGCCTTCCTTCTCGGGGGTGCCCAGGTTGACGATCAGCGAGTCCCGCCAGAGTCTCGAGTCGTCCGTGACGCGCTCCTCGCCGCCACACAGCTCGCAGATGGCCGCCCAGGCCCGCGGCGCGAACTCGGCGGCGTCGAAGGTGAAATGCCACGGCATGTTTGTGCGGGACGCATTCCAGGTTGACTTGTCAGTCGGCGACATGCCCAGGCGTGTCCAGACATCTTTAGTAATCACAGCGGCTTGCTCTGGAGTGAAAGCGCCAGGGATCCTTGTGGCGGCTGGTGTTAGCATTCAGGGGGGTTTTCGGAGAAACAGCGTCATAAAAAGGTGCAGTACTTCAACCAACCGTGCGCAAGGAAATGCTCCTTCTCTTCCGCCGTGAGGACTGATACGGGTGCCATTCTGACGTCCAACGAACAAATAAGGTAAATAAATACGACAAGTAAGCACTGTGTAGTTAATTCTGCTTCATCTTTTTTTTTTTACAGAACCAACTTTTCCCAGACCTTCAGCATGGCTTAGTAGAGGTAGTGTAGTTATATGCTGCTACGCAATAGGTACCAAGCTTATACCCCACGGGCTTCTGTGGCGACATAGTGACACTAACAACACACTTGCCACGAGTCGATGCGGGGAAGGTCAGTCGCCTATTTAACCACCATTTTCTCATTGGACCGCCGGAGCAGGTTCGGAGGCGACCAGAGCACCGGGGCTTCCCCAAGGATTCTAGCCCTTCTTTTTTTTGCCCCGGGTTGGTCCGGGGACATGACGTTAGAGTCCGTCACGGGGGGTCAGGCCGGACTTTCGGCTAAAGATTGGGATGGCGGATAGGCAGCCAGCGGCAGAGGCATAGATCTACTAGCGAGGCGTCAACATCGAATGCCCGGCAAACGAGTCTCCTCGCAAAAGAGAGAGGAGGGGATGGGAATCCGGTGTCGGTGTCGGTGAGATGCAAGTCTAAACTATACGAGCTTCTGCCGGCAAAAAGAATATTGACCTCGTGACGGGACGAAAAGGGGAGGGGAGACAGATCATCAGTCTTGGGCGGACGTCACGGTCAAGTGGGGCCGATTGGCGGATTCCCATTGGCGATTCGGCATCTAAAGTCCGACAAGCAAATGCAGTCACATCAGTCGCGTCCATGTCAAACAAAAACCTTGTCCAAAAACGCGTCAACCCTCCTTCCGAGGACAACGCAGAAGCCATGCCGCCAGAATTAGATCCCGAAGAAGACTATGCCTCCTCCGAGGATTCAGATTTCGCCCCCGAAGATGTCCCCGAGCGCCAATCGTCGCCCTCAGACGACGAAGGCGCAGGCGAGAAACAACCAGCCGCGAATGCACGAAAGAGGCGTGCCGGGGATAACGAGGCCGAGGATGCCGGCTTTGAGAACTCGGGGGACGAGGCGGTGATAGTGAAGGGCAAGAAACGGCTGAAGAAGACGAAGGGGAAGGGTAAGGAGGGGGCTGGCGAGGACGATGAGGGCGGCGAGGGCGGGTTGATCAAGACCCGAAGCATGCGCGCACAGGAGTAAGTCTGGCCTAGAGTCTCCTGAACCTCCTCCTTTCTCTCTTTTTCCTGGACGAAGAAGTCATTTTCTAAACTTGTTGAACTGCAGAAAAGCCGAGCGCAAAGCTAGCGGCCCGACCGGGCCCGTCACCATCGACGCTGACGCATTATGGGCGCAAATGACCGGAGCCGCTCCGGCGCCCTCGACATCGACGGCACAGGTAGACAACGAAGGAGTATCCGCCGCGGATTCTGGGCCAGTTTCCGAGGCCCAACCCCAACCGCTGGCTAACGACGCCAGTCCGGGGAAGAAGGAGTCCCCAACAATGATACGGATCAAACGAACCTACAACTTCGCCGGCAAAGTCCACAGCGAAGAGAAGCTCGTCGCGCGTGACTCGGCGGAAGCACGGCTCTACCTCGCCGAGAACGCGGACGCGGACGGAGAGGAGCAGCAGGCGGCCCGGCGGATGCCGCGCAAGGCGTTCCGGTCGGCGTTCGAGCCGGCCATGACGGACCAGCAGCGGCGCGTGGACCTCAACCTCGGGGTGGGCGTGCGGCTGCGGGCGCGGGAGCTCGCGCGGGACGCGGGCGCCAAGAAGCTCAACACGGTCGAGAAGAGCAGGATGGACTGGGCCGGCTACGTGGACAAGGAGGGCATCAAGGACGAGCTCGAGCTGGCGGGCAAGTCCAAGGATTCGTTTGCCGCGCGCCAAGACTTCCTCGCCCGGAGCGAGGCGAAGAGGGAGGAGGAGGCGAGGCGCGCACGGCTTGCTGGCCGGGCGTGAGCAGTGCGTCACTTGTACTACAGTACTGTACATATACGGGTAGGAAGGTTTGTTTGGGAGCTTGCATGGGGTTCGCATGGGGTCATTAAGGGTCATTTGCGGAGTTTTATTGGGAGCTAGAAGAGAATACCCGCATGACAGAATAGATGCTTGGCTGGATCATCATACAATAACTGTACTATCTCTACACAACTTCCTCTTCAGCCCCCTTCTAGTACCGGTTGGCGGCGTCGGGTGGCGTGGTGCCGTTGGTCCCGCCGCCTCCGTCCGATCCCCCGGAAATAGGCATCTTGATGGCTAGCTCGGGGCTGGTGCTGAAGACGGTTACGGCGCCGCCGCCGCCGCCGCCGCCGCCGCCGCCGCAGGTGGAGCCGGAGTCGCCGGAGCAGGGCACGTTGCATGCCGTCGTTGCTGAGACGGAGCCGTTGTTCAGTGAGGTGTCGCAGAGGCAGGTGTCGCCGTTCTGGATGCCGAAGACCGGATAGCCCTGGTCCAGGAGGCAGAACTCGCCGCACTTCAGGACCGTCAGCAATGTCGAGGTCTGGGACACGTCATCACCCAAGACCGGGCCATCGGCATTAGTGTAGCATCCCAGGGCGAGATATTGCACGTCCCACATGCGCAGGGGGGCGACGCAGTAGCTCGTGCCGGCGACGATGTCTGTGGAGCACGTCGCGTCGTGCACCGAGGGGTTCGCCGCCACGAAGAGCTCCATGTTGATGCCGTTGGCGAGGAGCATCCTGTCGCACGTGTCGCCGGCCACCACCGTGTACCAATTGCCGCACAGCGTGGTGGTGCCCGCGGCGACGGGGTGACCCGCCGGCGGCGCCGTTAGGTCCGTGCCGTAGCCTGTGCTCGACTGCGGGAACGACGACGTGCTGTCCGGCGGCGCCGGCTGGTTGTACGTGCCTCCGAGCGCGGAGGCGCACAGCACGCTCCCGACGACGGCTTCGGAGTGCAGGTTGTCGCACCACACGTTGATCCACGGGTTGTAGAGCTTGATGTCCGGGATCCCGGCGTGCCAGGATGCCGTCCCGCAGTCGTCGTCGCTCCGGAGCTGGTAGGTCGTGCACGTCAGCGGTAGGCAGAGGCTCGAGCCAACAGGGAGGGTGCTGCAGTTCTGGATATCGGGATTCGCGTTGAAGAGATCCACCGAGGACACGCTCTTCGCCAGTGCAATCGTGTTCGCAGGTGTCTCCCGATTGAACCGTGTAGAGATTGTTTGACACACAGAAAGGGGGAGGAGTCTGGGTGGGAGAGAAGAGCGGAGCTTGCGTCGCGGTCGGTGCTTGCGTCGAGCACACTTGAACGACCCTCGTCAATGCGTCTTGGAAGAAGGTCATTGCCGCATATGCCGAGTATCTTGAGGCCTGCATCATCTTCAGCCGGCCCAGGTAGCACGTGGAGCAGAGCTGCAGGGTGGAGATGTTGTCAGCGCCTTGGGTAGGATCGAATGAGGAGATGATGTCTGTTGAGCGTGGTCAGTCAACAAACCCTACTGTGGGGTCGTTTTATGTTCAAACCAGATGTCACTGACCATTACAGTATTGTCCACTGGAAGGATCCTTCTGGCGTGTCTCACCCACGCCGTATGATATGTACTTGCCGAGCATCGCTGGTGGCGATCCATCGTCGAACCTGTAGCGGGAGCAGTAGGTGTTGACTCCGGCAAGCCAGGCCGTGAGTGAACTTGCAAAGCCCGGTTCGCAGATTGAATCGGTCAACGTGACATTATTGAGGTCCCCATGATACGAAGCCTGGGTCCAGGAAGGGGTGTAATCGTCGCACAAGATGGCTGCTTCCAAGACATTTCGGCAGGTCGCCGGCTACTTGGAGTATTGGAAGTTGTCCTCCGTGTACAGCTAGTATCCCTCAAAGGTTCTTGTACCGGTCTGCTCTGTGGACCCTCCAATCCAGGCAAGGATGGACGATGCAAAGCCATTTCGGTTTTGCACAGCAATCGTCGCGTCGGAGTTGACCGGACTGATCATTTCCACCGTCCCGACAGTGACCAGGTTGTATACCCAGATGTCACTGCTTTGCTCCGTCTGGAAAATCCTTGTCTGGCAGTTGTTCGCCCCTGAGTTGACACAAGTCTGGTCGTACTACTGGAACCAGGAATACAGGCCCGTGCTTAGGATGTACACCGATTCGAAATCTACGATTCTCACCCCCCAAGATACAGCGCAGGAAGTGGACGACCCGCAGTCGGAGAAGTCAGGATCGTCGATGAAGGCTCCAGGTGAGAAAGGAGCCGGGACTTTTGGAACAGGTTGGAAGTACGGGGATTCGGTCTGGATGAGTCCGAGCAAGACGCTCTTTGCTGACGAGATCTGGTACTGGTATAGGACCGAGTGCTCAACTGAAGTGCCCCAGAGCCACGTCGGCCCTTGGCTTTCGATAAGGAGCCCATGGGCGGAATACACGTCAATCTGCGTCTGGTCGACGTTGTCGATGTAATGGTCTGCCGTCCACGCCCACACATTCTCCATGTAGGCGGACGCCTTGGAGGTGATGTGCATCAGGAGTGAGGCGGCTATACACTCCTCTTTAACAAACCCGCTCTGCTTCGGGCAGGTGGTTGTGTCCAGGTTGTAACCCTGGGCGTCACCAACACGGAAATGGGAGTCTGTCCAGGTTTATTAGCGAGTACTCTTCGGTTTCAAGAAGGCAGGTTGTGGTTGGAAAAGTGTACCCCACAGTTCAGCTGAGCCCTGGGTAGACTCGTGGACATTCCACTCGACCAAAACCGCTCCAGCCGTGCCGCCCTTGACGGTGAACATCATGTTCTGGATTTCGACAGAGCCTACGCTGCCCACACCTCACAACTGCTCGGGGTTCTTGTCACTGGAGAAATTGGGGCCGTATGCCATGATCTGGGGCCAGACATGCCCGATGATGCGTGAGCCGACAGGAACCTGGATGGTATCCGAGACCATGTAGACGCCGAAGGGGAAGTACTCCACGGCAGAGATATTAGCAGCAACGTCAAGAACGTGATTCAAGATGGCAGTGTCATCACTCGACCCGTCGCCCTTGGCGCCGAGGGCCTTGACGTCGAAGATTTGGTTCTGGCCAAGGTCCGCATAAGAAGGGCGCCTCCTGGTGAAGAAGAAGTTCTGCGACGTGCCAGAAGGTTCGGATTGGATTAGCGGCGTTGGCCGGGTCATGGTCGGGACATTTTGCGCGTTGACAAAGGTCGTGTCGCCCCTGACGTCGCTAACTCGGCTGAATCCCCACGAGTCGATGGGTATAGCGCCGGTGCCCCCCGCCAGCAACGTGACACCCTTTCGTCATCCCTGACGATGGTGCCTACGTTGGTGAACTTGGAGTTCATGAGCAGGAATGCCGTCGAGTTATCAGCAAACAGGGAAGTCTTGATGCCGAGGTTTGAGTTGGTCACGAGCATGTCCGTCAAGATGAGCGACCCTACCCCCTGGCCAGTGCTGAAAGGCTATGTTCACTCTTCATCAGTCTAGTCCTAGTTGGAAAGGTGGTTCGTTGGGCTCATAATTACTCCTCCGGCTCCTCCAACGATAGTCACGCCCGCGTCAGCCTGATCAATGGCGATATTCTGAATCGTCCATCCCCAGTCCCAATGAAGCTGGAGTGCATTTGCGCATTTGCTGAAATACATTCCGCTGGAAGTGTACTGCTGGTTGCCCATGTAGGCTCTGAAAGTGCAGTTGTCAATCACACTCGCTCTTTGTATCCAACCCTTGCCATGAGTGCAAAGCCCGAGCTGAGGTGAAATACTGACCCGAATTTACCGCCGACAAAGTACAAGTCGGACAAGAAGCTGCCACTGCCGTTCTCCATATATATACCCTCCAGGTTTATCAGTACCCGAATATCGATGCCATTCCCAGGCGCTTGGCGAACTCACCTGTTGGGTTGTGTCTGGGTTCACAGCAGGATCCGTCATGTAGAAATGGATGTTCTTCAGCGACGTGCCTTGAGCGACTTGTCTGCGCACTTTTAGCACCCTGTATTGCCCCTGTATTGCCCCTGAGCTCATGAGGCTGGTTCGACACATACCAGTGTATGCCACAGATTTGTGCCGTCTGACTCCCAGCACGAACATCGATGACGAAGTTGCGGACACTTCTCAAGAAGTTGTTGGTGTTCAAGTACCTATTGATCAGGTGAGTTAAGGCTCCAGTCCCAAGAAGCGGTCTATGGCAGGGGGTGACTACGGACCACTCAGTTTGGGCGCCAGTGTAGATGTTGGACTCGATGATACCTCCCCCAGAGAAGCTGGACGCCGCAACGCGTCTGGGAAGATCTATAGGCTGTTGGGGTCAAGGCATGTCAGGATAGGTCCGAGTTTATTGGGCCTATGCAGGGGTTTCAAATTGCCGAGCATCTCGGTGTTGTAGTACATAATGAGGGATGAGCTGATCACGTACGTTCCGGGAGGGAAGTACACCGTTGCCGGGTAGATGGTGCTACCACCGCAGTTGGCGCTGCACCTGCGACCGTCCGAGATGGCAAGCTGGATGGCGGCCGTATCATCGTTGACGCCGTCACCTGGTCGGATAAAAACCAAGTATTAGAGCCAAAGTCTGGAAACGAGGTCCATCCAGAGAGGTTTACCTTTGGCACCATAATCCTTCACGTTTCTCCATACCTGTTCCAACTCATGTGTTAGCCGTGTGCTACTCTAGATCGGCCATCAATATCTCACCTTGTAACCCGGCGGGGCAAGTGGACTGGATCCCAGTTGGACAATATTCTCCATCCAGAAATCCGATGCAGCACGCTTCTCCAACCTTGCCCCGGAGCTAGCAATGGCGGGGTCCGCTTCAGAAACATTGGCCACGTATTCTAGGAGTCCGGAAGGCTGCTGCAGAACCTGGGGAATGGCATTTGTGTCGTTGTTCTTCGGGGCATATTTCTCCTTCATCCTCACTGCGATGGCATCGTATTCGTCAGCCGAAGCGTCTGGAGGGTATGCTTCCGCAGAATCCTTGCTGCCTCGACAACGTCAGGGGGGATGATATACGACTGTGTCGAGGAGTTGCTGGGGGACGTCTCATTGGAAAGTTGGCGTCTCCAAAGGCTCCGTCTCAGCTTCTGAGCGGTCGTGCTGTTAGTGGTTTCATATTCCAGGTAAGGGGCTGGCTTGACCGCGTCCTGGATATCAGATTTGTTGTACACGGAATATATGTTCGTTCGTGGATTTTCCGGATGGCGGCGTTGGCGATCGCCATGGCCTCATGGAACTTGGCGACGATGTCCTTCGCATCCTCCAAGGTAACGTTTGTACCAGTAGAAGGGGTTACGGTTGAGTTACGGCGGTGAAACGGAAAGACGACACGGTGATCCTGAGAAGAGCCATGCCTGTCGACAGAATGAATGAGCAATGACAAAGTAAGGAGTGAAAGAACGGTAGCGAGTATGACCGTACTCCTCGCCATGGTGAAGACAAGCGAATGTGAGACTGGACCGTCAGCTTGGGTCAAAGAAAGATGGACGATGTGAGTCTGGGGAGTAAGGTATGGGAACAATCTTAAGATGAGTGGCCGGGGTTTTGCTGGAACGCAGCACAACTCGTGAAGAGGCAAGGCTCACTGGAAACCCCCTTCCTTGCGACTTTCTTACAAGAGGGCGATGGATAAGAGGAATCATCGTCACGTTCCCAAGATCCTTGCTACTCTCCCTCGTTTCCTGCGCGGGACTTATCGCTGAAATGAGTAACCCCCACCCCAACCCCCTTCAACGATGAGGAGCATGCCCAATATTGGTGTTTCATTTCCAGGTAGTCAGTGATATTTACGGCGCGAAACGCGTGATAGCCTGCATGGGATTCGCAGTCGTACTGCAGCTTAAGATGGGGTAGCAGTCAGAATCCAGCATACTCCCCAGTGTGTTCTGCAAGGCACGAAAATAAACCATTTGGGGGGGCAACACTGAGAATCAAGGGGTAACCATGTCCATGTCAGCCCTAACCCATCCTACCTAGGAAACGGCGATGAGGGAACCATGGAATGTCGGGAGAATAGCAGTTTAAAACCTGCCAGTCCCGTAGTGCAACTTCGTCATGACGACTTTGCGGGGCGGGTGTGAATACGATGCAATACTTCGGAACTCTGGGGATCGATATATCTTATCAAAGTGCCACACGTAAGCTTGATGTAGCACAACGCCGTGTTCCCATAAGTTGATCCAGTGGGACAACCCTCAGAACACACGTTCCTGTGGTTATCATTTGATAGCACCCCTGGCGATTGCCTGCAAGGGTCGTGGAGCGAGCCCTTTCCTCGTTGATCGCCTTGGATTGACCCACATTCTGGGCCGGCGCGGGAAGCTTGTTCTGACTGCAGCCAAGCGGCGCAGCGAGGGTTTACTCCGTAAACCACATACCCAGGGATTGTCAGACCCCTGAGGGATGCGTTTCCCCCCTCACGGAGCCACAGGTCGTATTATCGCGCGCTTACCGCGTGGTCATCGTGATCTGGGGATTGGAGGCACCGTTACAATGTAATATTCACCATTCAATAGTCTCGTGCTGACTCGGCAAGACGGCAACGATGGATCGCGACATTCTCACGCTTCCTCGTAGTCACCCCGGGCGAGAAGGCCAAGGGAAGCCCAAAGAGGAGCCAAAGACAATCATGCCGTGTCCTCGCCTCTCTAACTATATGCCATTCCCCAGGCTCTTGACGTCTATCAAGATGCTACCCCAACTCCCCAACTGCCTTCGTTCTCTTCACCCCCCAACTCCTCGATCTCGCCGAGGGAGGGTGCTTTCTTGTTGTCGTTCATTGCTCCTTGTTGACTCAGTGGGCCCACCGCCGAGGTCCCCGTCAAGATGCCTTCCTACAAGCAACACACCCTTTTGACTATTTTCCTTGTTATACTCTCTCCTGTCGTCCTCGCCCAAGGGCAGGATTGTAGCGCAACCAAGCTCTGTGGCACAGGATGCTGTAGCTTCGCTGGCTTTTGCGGTACGACGGATGCTCACTGCGGCGCTGGCTGTCAAAGCACTTGCGACTACAAGCTGGGTTGTGACGCAAACAACCCATGCAAAGATGGCACATGTTGCTCCAAGTTTGGATTCTACGACCTCGGACCTAACTATACGTGGACTATATTATATCCATTGCTTGTCAAGAGGAAATTTTCAGATAAATACAAATATATACATGTCCTGAGGCTGACGGAGACTACCAGATTGTAGCAGCACCAACTGTGTCGCGAACTGCGACGCAAAGTCGTACTGCGATCCCGGATACGGAGCCGAGTGGTCGGAGATTGGGGAGTGCCCTTTGAGAGTTTGCTGCTCGACATGGGGGTAAGCTATACGCTCATCATGCACTTTGATAGCTTCAGAAGGAGACATGCTGACTCGGAACCTCCGTCTTAGGTTTTGTGGGTTGACAGAGGAGTTCTGCGGTGACAAGAAGGTCAGGAGACCGTCCTGCGAAGCCTCCGAGGACTCAATCCGTCGCGTTGTTGTCGCCATCGGCGGCTGGGACTTCACTGAGCCGTGGAAGGCCACCCGGGACACATTCTCGGACCTGGCGGCCTCTGAGACAAGCCAGCGAGCCTTCTTCGCGTCGTTGATATCCTTCATGTCGATGTACAGCTTTGATGGAGTTGACATTGACTGGGAGTGAGTCCCATCCTCGCAGAGGTGCCCATCCCTACGCTACAGTTTAACTGACAATCTTCCACAGATATCCCGCAGCAGAGGACCGGAGCGGCAGGTCAGAAGACTTTGCCGAGTACTGCGCCTCGCTGACCAAGCAGCCCATCAACGGGTTTATCACTAAGGCGCTTACGCATTTCTTCATCGACACTTCGATATTCACGTAAGGTTGTAAGAGTTTATTCTAGTTAGGAGATTCAAACGTATAGTCAATTCAATTCAAGGGGTTAATGTAACTGTGATGGTTTTGGGCAAAGAGTCCGTCTGAGTTGTAGCGAGTAGTTCCATCTTTTTGTCTGTCGGCTCATGACAGGCGGGACCCCTTTCATCAGTAAAATCACTCCAGATACCTGCCCAGCTTAGGGCACCAAGCATACCGCATCAACCCCGTCTGCAGCGCAGCTCTCACACCGACACTCCTCCCCCTCCAACTCATCCGCCATCCTCATCATCTCCTCCCTCGCCCTCGCAAACAGCTCTTCATCCTGCCTATCCCACACCCTCCCCCTCTCCGCCGCCTCCTCCTTAAGCCTCCTCTCCCGCACCCGGTACCTCGCCCGCTGCTCACCCGTCTCAAGCGGCCCCACCCCCTCCAGCTCCCTCCTCCTCCGCCTCTCCACCCTCTCCGGCGTCTCGAGCGCCACGGCCGCGCCGTGCGCCTCCCTCTCCGCCGGCGTCGTGACCGCGTTGAACGCGAGCCCCCACGCCGCACCCAGCTTGCGCACCCACGGCAGGCGGCGCGCCTCCTCGTAGACCGAGGCGGGCACCGCGAACCCGTGGACGACGAGCGAGACCAAGTCGTCCGTCACCGCGTCGGCGGGACCGGCAACCACCTTGCGGAACACCTCGTCCGGCGTCGACATGGCCCCGCCCGTCACGCGCCGGATGTTGGCCGCCACCTCGTCGGGCGGCGGCATCAGGCGGATGCGGTTGCGCTCGGCGGGCGTCAGGGATTCCGGCGCCACGAGGGCCTTGTAGGTGAGCTTGCCTGTGCGGAGGAGGAAGCGCTTGTCCCGGGGTGTGAGCTGCTCCTTCCTCTCTAGCTTGCCGTTTAGTTCTTCTAGGCAGGCCTTTGCTCGAGCTAGGCCGTCCTGGTTTTCTTGGTCTGCCATGACGTGTGTGCTTCTTTCGACGGGCTTGACGCGGGGGTGAGAGGCGTGTCAAGTGTCAGGAGAGGGGGGAAGACACAGGGACTCATGGAGGGGCAGTGTCTGTGGTTTAAGTAACCGCGGATGCAAGCATTGCAAATAAGTTGGCTGTCCAGGGGTATCCATTGGCCTGTCACCACACTGCAACACAAACTGCAATGCTGTCAAACCACGGATTTCGATAAACCTTGGTATCAACGGCAGCGGTTCCACGCACAAACAATTATTTCCTATCTCTCTCATCACATCTGGTACCTAGCACCTTCCAAGAATAAGTTGAAATCAGTGAGGTCTAATAAAGACCCATAATAGGACGAGAGGACGAGTACAGTAGGGAAAGAAATGAGAAAAGGACAAAAAAAGGGCAAAAAAAGGGCAAAAAAAGAAATGTGGCGACACTGAGGATCGAACTCAGAACCTTTTCGGATTTTGCACGTTGTGAACGAAACGTCATAACCATTAGACCATGTCACCTTGAAAATACCGCTCCTAAGTAGAATTATGAATAAATTATTTGGCGGATTTGGGACCCACAACGACCGTTCTGTAAATGAGAGGCGCCAAAAGGCACTGGTGAAATACCAATCACCGTTTCTTCCCTCGTCTGGAGCTCACAAGTTTTGCCAGGGATGCCGACTTCACCGGGGATGCCTCACGGCTCTTGTCCCCCGCTGGTGGGATAGACGGTGCGCTAGCTCCGAAAAGCTGGGGCCTTGGTGTGTTGGTGAAGTCACGCATAGGCGGTCCAGCTGTCGGCATCTTGGGGTCCTGTTCTCCTGGTACGACAGGGCCATCTCGTTCTAGTGTGGCGGGCGCGTCTCGTTCCATCGTCGCATGTTCCACCGGTTCATGCGTCACCGGGTCGAGTGGTTTGAACTCGGTAGTGCTAATCCAGCGACGTACCCCGTACTCATGGTCGTCAGAATAGTCAGAGCGATCCAGAAGTTCTTGCAGGAGAGACTATCAAATCACATGCTTTGGAAGATAGGTGTCAAGGATCCATGGAAAGGCCTATTGAAATGGGCTACAGGAAGTCATTGGAGCGAAGCGTGACACAACAACGGCAGAATGTTAGCCATTGGTACGCCGGCATCTATCATGGCAGTGTTTCTGATCGGAGTTCGAGGTCAAAGACGCTGGCAAGAAACTGCGTCAGCTCTAAGGCTTTGACAGAGGCGCAATTGCAATTGCCAGCCTAATTCTAATTACAGTTCAAAATGCTCGCAAATCTTGCCCCAGTCATTTCCTTCTTTGGAAGTAGAAGATTGATGCGAGCAGAACGCCGTGACCCTGCCATTCTGACTGTGGCGATGGTCCATCAGCCCTGAAGAATTCGTTGAGATCGATCATGGGATAGACGGTCACCTTCCAGAGCTTGGCAACGGATGGTAGTTATCTTTCCTCCAATCCTCATCATCAAAAATGGCTTCCTGCCAATGTCCAGGCATCTCTCTCTTGTCCGGCTCAGCGATGATGAATCAGAGGAAGTTTGTATCCCACTCGGGTTTGAGGAGCTCAAGGAACTTTTTCCAAACAGACTGATCTGCCTCCTCATTAGAGAATGCCCCACGTCTCCCACAGAGCCAGCTTCCGGTCCCTCTCGGGCATAAGGAGCCTCAACTCCTCCCGCTTCCGCTCAAAGTATTCCCTCCACGTCGGCTCCTCAAATGCCGACTCATCGTCCCCTTTCGGCTCGGGGAGGAGATGCCCCAACCCACTCTCCTCGCACTCCCTCGCCCACGCCGCCCCCCGCGCCTTCTCAGCCTCGCGCCACTCAACCACCTGGTCCTTCCAACCCGGCAGGACCAAACCCCTGCGCTCGCCGCCTTTCAGCAAGACACCACCCCAACCCGCGCCCACCGCCCCACTCTTCTCCCCCCGCAGCAGCAGCTCCTCCGCAACGTCCCGCAGCGCCTCCGGATCCGGCGCCTCCTCGTCGCAGACATACACGACGAGATCCCGGCCGCGCACCCCCATCCCGGGGACAGCCACGTACCTTGAATCGTCCGCCAGCGGCGGCATCCCCGCCTCTCCCTCCCCCTCCCCATCACCGAGCACCCGCACGCAGTAAGCGCACCCGTTCCTCTCGCACCGCGCGCACCGCACCGCGGCGGCGGCGGCGGCGGCATCCTCGCCGGGACGGTCGAGCGAGCAGGGCATTCCGGCCGTGGTGCAGCGCAGGCAGGACCGGCCACCGCTGCCCGCCGTGACCCTCTCGCGCCTGTTGCGCCTGCAGAAGAAGAAGTTGGCGAGGCGGGTGTGGTCTCCTTCGTCGGTGGGCGAGCTTGGGACGTCGTCGTCGGCTATCCCGCGCGGCGGCGGCGGCGGGGCGGCGTAGTCGTGGGCTGCCAGGGGGATGCCTGTTATGGTTGCGACGGAGGGGGGCGCGGGAGGTCGAGATGGCGATGGCTCGGCGTCTAGGAATAAAGACGACGAGGACGACGACGAAGAAGAAGAAGAGGATGACGACGACGACCAAGCCGACGAGGAAGAAGACGAGTAGGCGGCCAGGGCAGAAGCCGCGGCCGCGTTATCGGGGGTGACGGCGCCGGCGAGGAGCTCGGTGGTCTTGGTGAGGCCGGCGCGGATATCGACCGCGGGGCGAAACGGCGAGCGGTGGAATAGGTGCCGCGTGTAGGCCCTGTCTTCGGCGTGCCGGATGGCTCGCACCGGCGCGAACCAGTTCCTCTGCCTGTCCCTCTCCGAGGCTGCGTCGGCGAGCTTGGCGGCCCGCCACGCTGGGGTGCCGACTTCTAGGGCCTCGGGGTCGGCCTCGGGCGTGGGTGTGGTAGTGGATTTGTTCATTGGCATGTTGGTGGATGTGTTGGCGGGTAAGGGGACGGGCGGCGAGGTCGGTGACTTACCTGGGCTGCTGGGAGTGCTTAGGAAAGTACTTGATATATGCTCAGGAGACCGGGTCGGGTGTGCGTTGCCTAAGTTACCAGTTGGTCCGGCCATGCTTACCTTTGCCCCTGAATATGCTGCTGCCTTTTAGTTGCTTGATTGTGTGTCTCGAGATGAAGCAAGCTTGAGAAAGAGCGGGACATGGAGATAAATAACCCCAGCTTCATGAACTGCATATAAACATACTGGCGTCGAGTAGTTTTGGGCCGACTAACAAAGGGCTTGTGAAGAGTGTGAAGGCTGATAACAAAGACGTGGGATATTGTTTCAGTCGAGAGGAACTGCAGACAAGGGGAATATAAAGGGTGGTGTCTCCCACTTCAGACAAAGAAGGCACCACACCACGGGAAAGGGATGTTGGACAAAGTGGCTCAAAAGGGCGCTTGGAACGTAAAGAGAAGTTCATTTGGCAACTCAAGCTGCTGTTTAATCAAAACTTCGTCGCTTGATGCAAAGAGAGGAGCCCGACAAGCCTGGATTCCGACCGTTTCATGATATCGAATCGCATCAAGCGCTGATATTTTCCAACTCGAGCTTTTGGACCAGCTGAAGAGTGTAAACGCATCGATTACTCCCCAACACCGAATTTTGTACAATGCTGGAGATTGACATTCATCACAGAGCAGCTTATCCGCACACTGATACCTACGAACCCTTTTCCGTCGGCCCTTCCCCCTATCCTAGCACTCCCAAAGCAGGGCAATCACTCAAGACCTCGCAGCCTCCAGCTCGAGCTCCAACTGTCGAATCCTCTCACTCTGGTCCTGGGATCCGGAGCCGACCTTCTTCTTCAGGGTATCGACCTCGGAGGTCAACTCACCGATCTTGTCACTCTGCGCGTCGATCCTGCTACTCTGGGCGCTGATTATCTTGGTCTGCTGCTCCAGGAGTTGCTTGATCTGCTCGAGCGAGGACTCGATCGACGGCGCAGTCGGCGTGCTCGCGGTCCGCGACACGGTGGGCGAGTACTGCTGCGGCGATTTCACGGGAGACGGGGGCTTGGCCTGCGCAAAAGCCGGGGTGGCCTTGATTGGCGGCGGGGCCTTTGCTTCGGACCGAACCGGCAGGGCCGCTCTCTGGGGCGGCCTCGATACCTCTTCGAAGCTGGACGTCTCAGTGTCATCGTCATCCTCCTCGTCGTCATCCTGGAATTTGTTCGCCATGGCCGAAATCGAGGCCTTTTGCTCCGAGGTCGATGGCGGGGGCGCTCGTGCGGCCACCGGCGATGGCTCGGGCTCTTTCTTGGGGGCGGGCTTTGCTGCGGCTGCTGGCGCGGGAGCCGCCGCCGGAGGTTTATAGTCGGCTGGGACTTCGACTGGCGCGCTCCCTTCGTAGACGCTCTCGAGGTCGATCTTCGGAGGGATACCAGTCTTGCCACCGAGCCATTCCCTGGCCGACACGGCGGGTTTGAGCCCAGTGGCAGGCGGATAGATATCTGCCTGGAAAGTTTCTGCTCTCCTGGGGACGGTGAAGGAGATGGGTTCGATATAGGAGTCGTTCACGGTCTTGTATGCTCGCATGATTTCATTCTCATGTACCTGATGCTGTTCAGCCTTGGTACACCATTGAGTTTAAACGGGCAACTGCTTACATTGATACCGCGCCTCGGTACAAAGGCAATACCTCTCTGAGGCTCTCCGGACTTGTACTCGGACAAGAACTCGAATTTGTCGTTTTCGTATTCGAAGTATCGGATATTTCCGTCGCTGATATTGTTAACCTATGGTACGAAAACACGCTCAGGGGGCAATGACTCTTACCCCTTGCCGGCAAGATACAGAATGTTTGAACCATCATCTGGATTCAGCGTCAGCATCAACCGGTCTTCTTTCCGGGGAGGGGACATGCTGCTCTACATACCCCAGAACGGCATGCACACGCCAGAGATGGAGTCAAGGGAGCTAAACCCGCCAATGGGGTCTTTCCGGCCGGGCTCCCAGAGGGCAATCTGCCTGTCGCTCATCCTGGAGAAACCGGTGGTGGCGATACGGTTGTGCTCTCCCATCCAGACGGCCCGGCTGTTCTTGGCGCCTTCGTGTCCGGGGTGCTCGTGTACCGGCTTCTCCTGACGGACGTCCCAGACGCGGAGCTTCTTATCTCTCGATGTCGTGACCAGGAACGAGCCGTTTGCGCTCCAGGACAGGCTCTGTACGATGTCCGAGTGCTTTAGTGTAAGGGGCGACTGTCCCGTGTTGATGTCCCACAGTTTGATCATGAAGTCGCCCGAGGCGGAGGCGAGGATGTTTTCGGCGGCGGGGTTGAAGAGGACCTGTCCGACCTTTCTGAAGGAGGGTCTGTCAGTCTTGTCCACCATTGTAGCTCCCGTCGGCAAGTAGGCAGACGTACCTCGAATGGCCCGTCAGCTTGGCGGATGGGCCGACATCCTCAATCTCCTCAGCATCGGTATAGAGTGTGAAATCCCGTGGCACCTCCCAGACGAAGACCTTGCCATCCTCGGAGCCGGAAGCAATGATGCGGTCGTTGAAGGGGTTCCAATCGGTGTCGAGGACTGTGGCTGTGTGGCCCCGGAACAGCGGTATCTGGTCTGGGAGTTTTCCGCGCTCTTCGAGGGGGATGACGGCGAATGCGCCTCCACCGCTCGATTCCCAATTGACAGAGAGATATTCGGGGTTGACCTAGAGGACCCCGCAGGTGATCAGCGCCTAACGCCATTCTCGCGCGCAATCGACACAGCTCCGACTCCGACTCGCTTGGGTGCGGCTTACCTTTACCAAGTTGGTATCCCAGGCATTTCTGCTGATGTGGATATTATCGTAGCAAAACTCCTTCCTGGTAGACTTGCCGAAGACATGTCCTGTGGGTTGCGTCAGCAGCTGATGCAGGGTTGGCCAATGCGGAAATTCGTCTGGGTTGAGGGTTGAGGGGCCGGGGGGGCTCACGATATTTCGACGCGCGAACGAAGCGGCCTGCCATGTGGGCGGGGAGTTATCCAGTTCCAAAAGCAAAGGGGCGAGTACGAGAATGCAGTTATTTACTCTTGCTGAGAGAGTTGGAGGTTTCGCGGAAGGAATAATTTGTGAGGTGTATCGGAAGGTAGGTAGCTAATAAGGGGAGGTGTCGCAACTCAGCCAGCTGTGCCCCCTTACCAAGAAAGTAGCCCCGCCTGCTCGAGCCTCTAATAATCAAGTGTGACCGGGTTGGGGGACCCAAAGTTTGTGTAGCCCCTGTTCCCGCCTGCGTTTCGAGGGTGAGAGGAATAAACCCCGCAAAAAGAAGAGCTTCGATTACCTAAATCATAGAAAGAATAAAACCACAAGAGGACTCGGACGACAGCAGCCGACAAATTAACTGGGTTATTCCCCCGACCTCTTCGGGCGACGGCCGGGTGGGACCCACAATCCACAAGAAATGACACCGTGGGATGGATCCGGGACCCCCGACTAATGCCCGGGGTGGCTGGTGCGCTGCCTGTGCTAGGTCGCCCTACCCATCGCCGGTTTAGCGCCTGTTAAACCGGCGTGGAAGTCGGCAGCTCCGCGAGGGCAAGGTTCGGGCACTATTACACCTCGAATTTTCCCTATCTCTGTATTCAGCTGGCCGTTCTTCGTCCTTCTCTCCAACATGTTTCGACGGCTGGCCCTTGACACGCTTTCTTGCAGTCCCGTGTAGCCCCTATACTGGGAGACCCAACAACGCGCAAGGTAGAACTTAGCCAACGAGTCACTCTGTGTAACCGTCGTGAAATAAGCAACCTTGCACAACACCTAGATTCAAAGAGGGCCTATCATATCCTCGGTATAGACGTAATAAGAATATGTCCCAGAAAAAAGGTAATGGTTATCAAGGTACAGGTAAACCTTCAAGTATACAAGATGAACGACTACTTTCCTCGATATTCAAAATGTATATGCCCAAACAAGCAGCCGCAACCTACACAAGGCCACCTCCCACAAACTCGGCTGCATCGAAGGGAACCAGCTCAGGAAACGCCCCAGCCCCTGCTCCTTCGGGATCAGCAACATCCCTCATCAGCGGCTCGATCAGCCCCTGTATCTCCTCGATCTGCGCCGCGACACTCGGGACCCCCAGCTTCTCGAGCGCCTCCAAGTCCTTCACCGCCGCCGCCAGCTCCCCCTCCGGCAAGGGACGCCTCCTCTCCGCCTCCAGCGCCGCCGCCGCCCCTCCCCAACCACCCTCCGGCTCCCGCTCCCCGCGCCGCCGATCCGCCCGATAAGCGACCAGGTTCCCCCTCCTCACAACAGCAACCGCCTCCGCCGCCTCCGACCCATCCACAAACTCCACCGCGCCCCTCAACCCGGCATAGCTCTCGTCATGGACGCCCCTAGGCGTCAACCTGAGCGGCAGCCTCCCCGACCTCGCCTCGGGCAGATCCTGGTGGAACCTCGCCAAGATGCCCAACCTGCTCAGCGCCCCGGGCACCGCCAGCACCGCGACCCGCACGCGGTACCCGCCGGCGTGGAACGCCTCCGCCAGCCCGCGGAAGTCGTCCGGGTGCCTGCAGGCCGACTCGACGAGCGCGTCGGCGCGCACCTCGACGGCCCGCGCGCACGCCATGGTCAGCCAGCGGCGCGCGTCGGTGCCCGTGGCGGGCGACGCGCGCTCGGGTCGGTCCGACGCCGCGATGGACGCGTAGGCCGGGTGGTACGCCTTGTACGTGTCGGCGATGAAGTGGGCCGGGGGCGGGCCCGCCCGCGCCGCCGCCATGGCGTTCTTGAGTATGGGCGCCACGCGCGTCTTGCCCGCGCCCGTCTGGCCGACGATCAGGACCGCCAGGGGCTGTCGACCGCCGTCGCTCCCGTCCTGGTGGCGGTGGTGGTGGTGCTGGATGGCTGGCCCGAGTTCGTTTGGCACGATCTCCTCGTCAAAGATCCGCTGCGACTCGGCGTCGGAGAGGACGTAGGAATTGAACGCCATGACGCCGGGCGCGAGGGAACCCAAGCACGAGAGAAGTGGTTGGGGGTTGGTCTTGTTACTGCGTACAGGCAAACGAACGGTAACTGGGCCAGTGAAATGCTGCGATGTTTAAGGTTTGAAGCGCATTATCTATATGTCTAGTAGCCGGCAAAGGGATAGAACATAGCGCGGACCTACTCACGCCGGAAATGAAAGGTCGAGACTAATGGAGACACTTGCAACGCTTATTCAGAGCTTCCCCCAACGATGGTGAAAGGAGTAAAACAAACGCTGTTGGCCAATGCCGAAAACCAAGACTTGCTTCCAAACCCCAACCCCCAAACCCCACGACCCCAAGATCTCGGGCGGGCGGCTTTTTTTATTACCAAGTACCTAGCCACATCCTCCGGAGTATTTTTTTTCTGGCGTCTCCATCCTCCGGCGTAAGCTCTCTCAGAAAGCCGATCTCTTCCAGTACCTGGTTTGTCCGGGTATCTGATCAACGCTTTATTTAACATCCCACACGTTTCAGGGCTACTAGTTCGAGAACACATGTGGACATACCAGACATGAGAGAGATTTGAGTCGGCGTCACCGGAAATCCAAGCATCTCGCCGCCGTCGTCCCAGACCCTCTGGAGACGTTTGAGGACCGCGTCACTGCCGCCAAATATTGGGTCCGGGTTGAGGGCCGAGTTCCTGATGCTAACCTGTTAATTATATTTCCTTATCAGGTTCCCCCAAAGAATTGTTAGTGAGGAGTGCCCGGTAAATCGGGTCCATGTAGGGACAGACTCAAGATTTAGGGTACTGATGCTGGCTTCTAGAAGTTCCAACCGTTGCTGCATACCAGCAAGCATTTGCTCCATAGTAACAAGTGTTTGCTGCTGCATATTAACAAGTGTTTGCTGCTGATCCGGTAGATGCCATGTGCCGTGAGATTGATATACGGTGGGTGACGGCACCTGTGCATGCTGCGACGGTGTGCCGTAAGGTTGATATACGGTGGGTGGTGGCACCTGTGCATGCTGCGACGGAGGTGGATCCCATATGCCGTAAGGTTGATATGCGGTGGGTTGTGACTCCTGTGGAGGCTGCCACAGAGGTGGCATTTGCGGAGTTGTCTTGACCTGCGGAATTGCCATGGTTGACTCGGCGATCAAGTTATGTGATGGATCAGCATCGTCCTGATCGTATATCGAAGCCATAATTTGAGGTTTGCGGTAGTTCGTGCGTTGCAAGGACGGGCGATATGGCGATAGCTGTTATGCTGGCGATGCTGGCAGGAATGTTGGTGTTGGTTCTGTTTGCGCAGTGTCAGGGGACGCGGAGGAATACCAATATATTTTTCGAAACCTAGCATCTCGGATACCTACCAGGCACCTACCCAGTAGGCAGGAACCTAGGTACCTGGTTACCTAGACAGGTAAGTCTGGGAAGCACCTTCCAGGTTCTTGCCCTCGGGAATTGATTATAATAAACGCACCTTCCATACAGGTACCTAGGCAGGTACCTCCAAGTCTTGGAGAAGAGTCCTATCACGTTACCCCCAGGTTCCATGTCACAGAGCAACAGCCTACTCCAAACTTGCCTTGACGACGGGAGGGCCCAAGGTTCACCGGTAAGCAGGCAGTCATTGTCAAGTTCACACTTCCATTGTGTATCTGGGTTTGCTTGCCAAGGGACATCCTCGACACTTGCCACCCCCAACCCATCCTTGCCTACTAGTAACCCACGCAGCAGGTCCCCTTGCCAAGGGGAAAAAGGAAAAAAAGCGCAATCCATGCGGCTGGCCGTCTCCTCCCCTGACCAACGCGCAATGTATCCCCAGCAGACAATCTATTCTATACACGTTTGGTGGTGAACTGATCAACATGAATGTAGCCTCCGAAGACAACGAAGTATCTAGCCGACCAGTCAGTGGGGGTGACGAGAGAGATGCCAGACCTAGTAAGACCGATCCTGTCATGCCACTGATGGAGGCCGGCAAGCCCCTAGCCCCTAGAAAGGGGGACCAGAAATGACTGAGAAAAGAAGAGGAAATAGAAATCAGAGAGAAATCGCTGCTCTGATGAATACATACAAGCCTCGGTGGATATGTCACCGCGAAAAGAAAGCCAAACCGTCCAAAGGGTATTCGGCCAGCATGAAATCGCATCCATTTGATCCCCACCCCCTGAAGCACACCGTCCTAATCCAGTACTAAGTTATGCGGCCCTTTGACTCCCGAGTGCCCTGCCGATGTACTCCGGAAACACTTTAAAAAAAAAGCAATGAAAACAGACCCTGAAAACGACACCACCGGTTACGGTGGAGACGATCGAAAGAAAAGACAGTGTCAGAAGTCGGTCAGGGACAAGCTGACCCAGCAGGTTGATGCACCAACTCCAATGTATGATATGATGAATGGGCCTTTGCAAAAAGTGGAAGAAGAAAATATGAGAATTTTGTGGCGGTCGAGGGAGAGCCGAAGAATGTCATTCCCATTCGGCGCACAGGCCGAGAAGGTAGCCGCGGGGCCCAGATTCGTAATCTAGCGGATATAGTCGTGTGAATCGTCACAAGTTCGCACCCAGTTCAGGAGGAATGAGATGGTACGCTGCGTGCTGTGAGGTCTCCACTGCGTCGCTGGACCAAGTATTGTTGCTGTTGATGCTGTTGCGCCTTAGAGGCTGTTGCGATCATGTGCAGCTTCTTTCGAACCGTCCCGAGTCTTCCGGTTACCATTTGGATGACTGCCCAATGTTAGCTCGGATCGTAGCTGTAGAGTCGGCAGAGGGAATGAATCCCATCATCTCACCTTTCTGGACAGCCTGCTGATCATCTGAATTCATCTCGCCGGGGTTTTCGTCCTTCGGGGCAGCCCTATCGCCCCTGCCCGCACCCGAGGTACGTCGCTTGGAAATATCATCGTCGTTGTCCAAGACGGCTTCCAACATCCTGATGGCTGTAACGTAAGAGATCTCGCAACCGGGGAGATCCTCGTTTGCAATTTCATTGATAGCGGCTGCCCGACTCATCTCCAGGGCACGATCATACATTAGCTTCTCGGCGCTAATGCCCGCCGACAGGAAGACGCCCTCCGCGCTGGCACTGCCGGCCGAATTCGCCTCGATATAATGATTGCTGGGGTGGCTGGGGTGGTCTTCGGGCAGCTGCTTTTGTGCCTCGACCAACTTCAACCTGACAATCTCGGCCTTCTCCAGAACCTCATTGAAGCGGCATCTGATCCACTGGACGGCCGAGTTGACCCTCAGGGGTAGGGTCTGGCCGTTGGAGGATTCGCGTGCCGAGGAAGAAAGCAGCCCGCCGTTGCTGTGCTCTGTCCGGCTCTTGCGAGACCACCACAGGCTGGCGATATCCATCGACTTCGCCAGGAGTGACAGTGCCTTGACATACAGCACTAGTGCTTCCTCTGACAAGGCAAGAATAGCCTCCACCGTCAGCCCGAGGTCGTCATCTGAGGCCATCCTGTCGGCAGGAATGCCGCCGAGACCATGGTCCATTGAAGGAGCCAGAGGCACAAGTTGCTTGTACTTGACCTCAGCGAAGCCATACACGACATCGCTACGCGTCGCATATTCCTCGATGCACTGGGCAACCCGAGAGTCCTCATCGACCGGGGCGCTCTGCTTTCCATCGCCGATGAGGCCGACAGGGGCGGACGGTGTCGGATACGCTGGGAACGGGCTGTAGAGCTGTGGCGGCGAGGGCCCCTTCCCAAGGACGTGTGGAGAATACTTGAACCCAAACAGGCGCAAGCTTGCATCCTGTATGGCCTTGCTAATATACGAGGTCGCCGAGCCCGGACTGCCTGATACGTTCTTGTCGTACGAGGCATGTCGGTAGTGGTCGGCCTTGCCTTGAGCAACCTGGGTGTTACGCGATGGAATGGCCGGGACGGCACCGGTAGTCGAGGTAGGGCTGCCTTGCTGGGTTGCTCGCCGGACAATCTGTTTTGATTTCGCAGATGATGATGGCCGCTGTTCTGTTAGTTGTCGGTTGGCCGCCATTTCATCTGCAAACGCATTGACCTCGACATGTCGCTTCTCGACGAGAACGTAGTCACGCTCAAAGGCGACCTCCTGCTCTGCCTGCGCTTGAGCTGCAGCCGCATCCGCCTGGGGTTTCGGTCGACCCCTGGCGTACTCGTCCACGTCGTCAGGTCGATACTCGCGGGTGGGCTGCTTGAGAGATGCGTTCGAGGCCTTATGCCTTCGCTCGGCGATGTACCCTGGCCGCGTCGGTGCTGGTACGGGCGGCTGTGGACGGGGCCGGATACCCAAGCCTTCACGACCGGGAGAATAGCTCATACCCGACTGGGGGGCCTGCTCTAGGGGGTTCGGCTTCGCCTCGACCGGAGTGGCAAGGGGCGATGATCGCCTGGGTTTAGGTGATGGAGGAACAGCTTCACGTCCCCCGTCCTGGTCCGGGGTTAGTCTTCGGAAGGACGTTCTCCGAAGAGGCACAGCTGGATCCTCCGGCTTCGTCGCCGCCCTTGCGTCCTTGGGAGTTGGGCGTTCCTCTTTCGGGATATCGTCCTCGACCAGCCCAGGTATTGCACTTGTAACAACGGGATGCGCAAAGAAATTATCGAAACTTAGACGCTCAACCGGGTTGCGCTTGAGTAACGCGCGAATCAGAGACTTCATCTCGGAACTAACGATGCTCTCCCGGGGGAACCTGATCTGGTCCTCGGCAGCCTCGATTTTTCTAAGAAGCTCAACGTGATTCCCGGCCCTGAACGGCGGCCGCCCAGTGACCATCTCATAGAGCACTGTCCCCACGGACCACAAGTCTGCCTTAGCGTCATACCGTTCGTATCGAAGAATCTCGGGAGCCATGTACAGCGGCGAGCCGCAGAGAGTTTCGGCGAGGGATGTTGAGGGAAGGACACGGGCAAAGCCGAAGTCTGCAAGCTTTAGCATCGGCAAAGAAGCCAGTCCAGCGACAGGGACGAGTGAATGATGGCTGGCGCTCAAGATCTGCTTGGTCGTCTTGTGGGCATCTCGGAACTGGGGGGAAGGAAGGAGGAGGAGGTTCTGCGGCTTGACATCTCGGTGAACAAAGTTGCCTTCTCTCAGAAACTTGAGGGCACTGGCAAGCTGTTTGAGAAAGTGGCGGATCACGACTTCGTTCAAGCCCGAGTTCGGGGCATTCGGGTACTTGCGGGCAATGTCATGGGTGGCCGGGTTTGTGATCAGCTTCTCCCTCTTCTTGATGAACAACGAGAGGTCACCAAGCTCGCAGTACTCCATAATCAAGTTGATATGCGTGGCGGATTCGACGCAGTCATGGAGGGCGACAATGTGAGGATGCCGAAGAGTCTTGAGAATCTTGATCTCCCCATAGAGGTTTTCCTTCAGTTTCTTGTTGAGCCTTGCCAGTTCGACGGATTTTATGGCCACGAGAGCGCCGGTGACCTGTCGTGAGCTATGTTAGCCGAGTTACTGCTAGAGGAAGCCATCGCCCAACGCCGCATATAGGCTCCAGAGGTAGGTGCATCAAGGCTGCCGCCGGGACGACTTCTGGAGAGAATGCCAGCATGGGGATGGGAGGTTGCATTTGGGAGTGCCTGGGAGCGGATAATCCAAAAAGGGTTCAGAAAGGGGCGAGGTCAGGGCCAACCTTGTGCCTCCCAGAATAGACCTGGGCGAAACTTCCTTTCCCGATCTCTTGGTCGATGACGAACTGGCCGACGGAATCGCCCCCATGCTTGGGATGCCTGGACGAGGCGGAAGAAGAGGCTCGGTCAGCCATGACTTCCTGCAGAGGGTTGGCGAGAGCAGGAAACGAGCTGGGTTGTACGGTAGCCCGGGGGCTTATAAGGGTGGGAGGTCGTTGGCTGTTGGGGGCGTCGTCATGTACACGTTTGGAGGATGTTTGATGCAAGGCGAGATGGGTTGATGGATGGGGGGGGAGGGGGTGGTAGGTAGGACAGAAGGCAGGTAGATCGAGCTCAAGGGCGGCTTGTGGTCGGTGTCAAGGCGACGGTAGGTTTCCGATAGGTCGAGGTTGAAGAAGGCAGAAGCCAAGTCGAGATCGGACAGTGGGGGGGGGGGGGGAGGGGGGGGCAAGGTAACTGCGGTTGGGAGTTAGAGCGATGATAACAATGATGCTGCCAGTTGGAAGATGAACAACTGACAGACAGGGCACTCGGCTTTGGATGGAAGCTGCAGAGCCTCGTCAAAGACCTCAAGGGACAGACCTGTATGTCTGGGGTACTGGGTGAGCCACAGAGGTTAAGCTCTGATAGCTGGTGTCACCTCGAGTCAAAGCTCCACTGACAATCCAAGACCAACTGAATGACTCGGAATGGGCGATGTGCAGAACTGCTGTCTCGCTGTCGAAAGGGGACAGGATGAGGGAAGAGAGAAAGAGGATGAAGAGTTGGAAGATGGGCGAGATAATAAATGTAGGTTAAGTAGGGTACGTAGGTACCTAAGCTAGGTACGTTCAAGGTTGAAAGTAAGAAGGTAGGTACTAGGATGGGCGTGGGTAGAATGGAAGCGACCGTGAGACTGAGGTGGATGACGACGGGCAACTTCTAGGGGACCTTCGATCCTGATTTGGTGGCGGGCTCAAGCACCTAAACCAGCTGGGACAAGGCGGCTCGCACAGCAGATTTAGGGGAGGCCTGGGCAGCCGTTGACGATGACTGACAGTCACTCAACAACAGCACTCGTGATGCGACGGAGACCATGGGACAGAGTGGGGGGTGGACCCCGGGCTTGGGTGGCCACAACAAATGGACGTTTCGTCTGAACGTTTCGGAAGTGACTGCCAGGTAGCTCCGCGAGGCTCATCAAGCGGGCCGGTACTCAGGAGCTACTTCCACGGGTCCCGTGAGTTTTCCAAATCGGTACCAGACTTAGCCCCCTACGGAGTAGCGTATTCTTGCTCTCATAGGTCGGAGGCGCCAAGACGGTATCTGCGATAAGGCTTTCCGACAACATCGCCAATCAAGGTTTTCTGTGAAGGGCGCAACGGAGAGGTTGAAGAAGCTTAGGTTGTTAAGCGATCCCCAAAAGCTGCTGTGCTACGTAACGTTCTTGATCTAAGCTGGCTGCGCAGGCTCGTGGGCATCGCGAGGACAACGCTTTGCGAAGAGTCCAACATCCCTGCTCCGGGCGAATCGCCACGGCGTTGGCGTGATGCGCCGGCTAATGCTCGCATTTGATGCCTTGGAATCTTGAACCTCTGATCGCGCAATGAATGCGTGATCATTGAAATGGTGGTTCTTTCTACGTATCAACGTACGGAAGTACGAAAGCAAAAACCTTCGCTCAGGTTAGTTACCGACGATCTGTCTAGATTCGTCCATACACGCTAGCCATACACTTCCAAGTAGGTACACCACAGCGTGCGCACCTTAGCTTTCACGGATGTGGGGAGCTTGCTGATGGCATCACGACGGAGAGAGTCTTGCTCTTGAAAAACCCTTATCTTGTGGCCAGGTACCTAGGTAGACAGTTTGGAAGAAGAGAAGACACTTTATTTCCAGAAGTGCAAGTTAAACGTCCACCTTGGTGCTAATAAGATGGAACCTACCTACCTAACCTACCTACCTAAGGTAATCATCGTGGATTATTATTTTGTATGTACATAGGTACATACCTATCTATACATACAACAGACTTCTAATATCAGACATATCAGATTCATCAATCCGCTTGTCTCCTTCTGTGTTTCCTAACACCCAGTGCCTATTATCTAGCCACTGCATACCTGACTATTACCTAATTACCCAGGCACCTTACATATACACATGTAGGTAGACGGGCACCTCGCTGCCAGTTTTGGTGGAGTGAGTCAGGTGCCGGTGTGTCAACGATGAGTGGAGGTGGCCCACTCACATCCCTCCTGCTGGTCTCGCACGTCATTGGCTTTCGAGGCTCTGCAACAGTAACCTCAACGGCTTGGTATCAGAAACGGGAACCAACCTGCCCGTTATTCTCTGGGGTCTGGACTCTGGAGTGTTCCCCCTTTCTTGCTTGGCCCTGTGCCAGTGCCTTCCACGTACGCAGTACATAGCAGCAGTCTAGGTTTGCTGCATACCATGGGTAAGATCCTAGTGATCTAGCTTGTAGTCACCTGCTGCCAAGCCACAGCAAACTCAAGTTGCGGGGAGGTCACCTCAGGATGGAAGGAAAGCCGCGCTCATGAGAGGGCCAATGCTGGTGCAATAGATCCCTCACGTGCCTACGTCTCGACAAGTCGGCAAGGCGTTTCGACTCGGGCTAGCACTACTACATCCCCCCTGTTCGGCAAATCGGAGAGAGCCTGCTGTCCATGCACCTGCAGAACGCCCGGTGTGTTGTGGGAGTTCCACTGTGAGCAGCGCGAGGGAGGCGCTGAGGGTTGCAACCTGCCTGGAATTGGATGGCCAATCACCATCTGCATGAGGTGAGGCAGCCACTGATGACAGCTCCGGCCAACCTCGTTTGGTTGCAAGATGGCCGCATGTGTGAGGCTCCCGGCCTCGCTAGCTTGAACCATGCGCCACGGAGAGATGCAGCTGCAGACAATTTCACTTTATTGTTTTTGCCTTTTTTTTTTGGTATAACAAATCACGCTGCATGGCAATGTTGTCAGGCCCATGAGGGCGCCACGTCTACCAGCCTCTCAGGCTACCTAGCTGCGCTTGCATCCACCATCCATGCACAATTCAATTGATGGGAACATGGGCCAATTTAGACAGGGGCCCCTCGTTGGCCCGCTCGAGAACACCTCGGTATGACAAGCCTTCCAACGAGTCAGAAGCCTCGACATCAAGAACCTCTTAACCGGTCCAGCAACCGGATCATCAACCCGAACCCCCCTTACTCCACACTAATGTGATTCGGCTTTCTCCGCCGTAGGCAACTCCCTCAGCGACTCTCCAATGAGAGTGAGAGCCTTCTGCAGCTCTTCTTCTGTGATGATTAACGGGGGAGCAAATCGGATAATATTGCCGTGAGTCGGTTTCGCCTGTTACGCTTAGCCGTCGTTCGTTCTCCTTGGGGAAGTCCTCGCTCGGACCACAATCACCTACCAGCAAGCCCTTTCGTTTTAGTAGAATGCATAGATCCCAAGCTGTCCTGCCAGCAGCAGCCGACTCGTCTATGACCACGGCGTTCAATAGGCCCTTTCCACGTATCGTCTGGATGATGGGCGATTTGAAGGACGCAACACCCTCGCGGAAGATGTGACCCAACCGCTCTGCCCTGTCCATCAGCTTCTCCTCCTCGACCAGCTCTAGCGCGCGGAGCGAGACGGCACAGCCAAGGGGATTCCCCCCGTACGTCGACCCGTGGGTGCCCGGCTCGATGACGAGCATGACGTCTTTGTTGCCGAGAACGCAACTTACGGGATACATGCCGCCCGAGATTGCCTTACCCAGGGTCACCAAGTCCGGCTTGACGCCCGCCCACTCGGAACATAGCATCCGGCCGGTGCGAGCAATGCCGGTTTGGATCTCATCACAGATGAAGAGAACGTTGTGCTTCTTGCAGAGCTCCGCAACCTTGGGGAGGTAGTCGTCGTCCGGGACGACCACTCCTGCCTCGCCTTGGATGGGCTCGACAATGAAAGCCGCCGTCTCCTTCCCATGTGCCTCCAGGACAGCCTCCAGGTCCGGAATGTTGTTGTATCGAATCGGCTTCCCGGTGGATGGATTTACAGCCCCGATGTTGGGCACGTACGGTCCGTAGTTATCCCTTGATTCCGGGTCGACGGACAGAGAAATAGCCGTCATCTACCTTGCGAATTAGATGGTCGACCAGACAAACACACATTGACTTACGGTGCGGCCGTGGAAGTTGTCAGACGCGGCGAAGACAAGAGCCTTTCCCTGCGGAACCTTCTTGACCTTGTACGCCCACTTCCTCGCAATCTTTATAGCCGTCTCGACGGCCTCGGCGCCGGTATTCATGGGCAACACCATGTCGTAGCCAAACACCCTCGAAACCTTCTCAGCCCAGACCGGGAAGACGTCGTTGTAGAAAGCTCGCGAGCTCAGCGTCAATCGACCTGCCTGTTCGGTGAGGGCTTTGATCAGCTCGGGGTGGCAGTGGCCTTGGTTGACCGCACTGTAGGCAGAGAGGAAATCGAGGTAGTGCTTGCCCTCGGGGTCCCACACGTTGACCCCCTGGGCTTTGGAGAAGACGATGGGGATCGGATGGTAGTTGTGGGCGGCGTACTGGCTCTCGGCAGCAATTGCTCCCTTGGTAGAGGTCGCGTGGTACCTAGAGGACGGCAGCGGCGAGCCACCGCCGTTCTGGCCATCTTTGTCTGCATGCGGCGCCATGTTGATGTTTCGGGATTACAAGTGGGTGTCGACGTTCAAATCGCTGGATTGGTATCTGTTTCTGTTTCGTTTCCTTCGTGTCGAATGGTAATAGAGCTTGAATTGATATTGATTGGCACAAAGTAAGTCCTCTAGTTATCCAAGAAAGAGCTCAGCTGACTCTGGGATACTTGGGTATTCTGGAATAGTTGTACTCGTGAGAACGACGGATAGATCAGGGGCGGGAGTCTCAGGGGATTAAGTAGGTAGCTTCCAACAACCTAAACCTCCCATGTGTTCCTTTGGAAACCGCCACTATACCCCTAAGTGCAAGGTCGCCGGGCAGCTGTTGGAACCAATTGGCCGCCACCACCTGACCGAGCGGGGACAGTGCCGAAGGAAAGCGATACCTGTACCAAGCTACTTCCATCTCCATGCTCCGTTGATCCTGGCAGCTCTCTCAACAGCGTGACATCAATCCGGAGTAAATCCTGTCTGAGTGACCGAGCCTCTCACGCCGCCACTTTCACCCCTCTCATCTGTTCTAGCAATCCAATTTTTGGAATGTACCTACGAATTGAGGTCATAGGCCCGCCCACCGATAACGGTCATGCGGGGTTGATGAGAACCGAGAAATTGAACCAATCATACCCCTATTAATTACCCTCACAATGCAAAGCCCAGCCTGCCCGCCTACCCAATCAGAACAGACATAGCAACTGCTGGGGATTTACGAACTACCTATACTGTACCAGCTGTGTAACACTCAATGCCAGCTGTAAGCGGACAGCACACTTCTGCACCAGATGCGAGGTGTTCATCAGCTCAGACAATAACAACCGGAGATGCTTCACCGGGTGGGATTGTAGCACGAGCATCCCAGAAAATTGAATCCGATGAATCCTGCGGAAGGGCCCCCTCCCAAAGGAGGTTCCAAGTTTGACTCCACATCCCGTCCTGCTCCAAAACTTCATCCCGAAGTTCTCGCAGCTCAGTCGAAAGATATCCTCTCAGTCCTCCTTGTCCTCCGGTTCATCAACGCTCTTTGTGTCCGGACCTTCTTTCAGCCTGATGAGTATTTCCAGGCCCTGGAACCAGCATGGAGCATCGCGTTTGGCGGGCAAAGTGGAGCTTGGCTCACCTGGGTACACACATACCCTCATCAACTCCAGCCCCCTTTTGCACTCTGTTTACACAGTAGCAGGAATGGCAGCACCAGCTGCGCTCGTCGCTGCATCCGGCTCTGTTTGGGGCCGCGTACATGATTGCCGATAAATTTATGAGCGTCCTCCAGCTCTTCCCGCCATTTAGGGCTCTCATCCTAGTTGCGCTCCCAAAAGTGGTTCAATCAGTATTCTCGGCACTCAGCGACTTCTATACATGGAAGTTTGCAGAGAAGATATATGGCCAGGGTAGCAACTCGGCATGGTCCGCCGTGCGTAACTTCTCTCTCAACTCCTGTGGCATTGACCTGACCAATTCAATTATGCTCAGCTATGGATGACAATCTTCAACCCGTGGCTCTGGTATTGCTCAACAAGGACATTTTCCAACTCGATGGAGACGACTTTGACCGTGGTGGCCCTCTATTACTGGCCGTGGGAGATCCTTGGTGACTCTAGAGAGAACAAACAGAAGCTATTCCAACAGAACGGCACCATCAGCAGGTTTGGGGGGGGGGGGGGGGGGGGGGGGGGGGGGGGGGGGCGGGGGGGGGGGGGGGTGGGGGGGGGGGGGGGGGGGGGGGGGGGGGGGGGGGGGGGGTG